GTGAATGACAACACGTCCGAGGGATGAAGGAAAAGGTGGGTTAGGGCTATAATGGGTTCGAGCGAGATGGTACGCTGTGAACGGATTGTAGAGTGAGCTTTCTATTTTGTGAGGCAACGATAAACTATAACAAAAACTAAACCTATCTCCTTCTGCACTTGCAGGGAGTAAGGGTCCAATGAGCTTTGAGGTCGACAGACGCTAGAAATATAGCGAGTAGAGGACTTTGAGAGGTAAGCTTCAAAGGTTCTTGTTGAGGAGTAAAGCGGGTAAATTCAGTAATAGAAAGCTAAGGAGCTATACATGAATAGGTACGTCTTTATATAGAGAACTGTCCGCTCCTCAGACCGAAAGGAGAATATACGAAAAGTGGTCTGAGGAATTAATCAACCAATAGGAAAAAGGGAGAGTAACTATCGTACGACTTCTGACTTGATTAATCAGCAGGTGAGAGACTTGTACTAATAATAGAAGATTGTTACGCGTGGTCAGGAACCGTATCCTCATGATGAGGTACGATTCTAGATAAGGCGTTTATTAGTATTACCAGGCTTTACTAGGGCTTGGAGCTGGTTGGCGAGATGCCTACTACCAGTCCCTACCCAGTGTGCTGGCTAGCTGGGAGCGATGCCCAGTCTCTGATCTGTGATATAAAGTGGTAGCGATGGTTAAGAAAGCCTGTGAGGGCTATGAGAAGTAAGATGGCAAAGGATACCTCTAGCCCTAGAGCCAGAGGTGTAACGGGAAAAGCGTTTGAGAACCAAGACATAACAAAGATAAGAAAATAGTAAAACGGTCCTTACAGATCACTCAGATGGGGATCAGCTGATCCAAGTGAATCTAATGAACTATGAAGATACTTCTATTGATGATCACTACTACCATATTAGGGCACAAGGCACAACAGCTCAGAAACTTGCCAAAGCTGCTGGTAAAGATCAGAAAGAAGGAGGATTCGAGAAGATAGTTCCAAAACATCTCCACGATTACAAAGACGTATTCGATAAGGAGTCATTTGATGCACTGCCGGAGAGACGCCAATGGGATCACGCCATAGAACTCATCCCAGGCGACCATACTCTGGACTGCAAATGTTATCCACTGGCTTTAGGAGAACAAGAACAATTAGATGCATTCATAAAAGAAAATCTTGAGTCAGGAAGAATCAGACCTTCCAAATCTCAATTTGCATCCCCGTTCTTCTTCATAAAAAAGAAAGATGGAAAACTTAGACCCGTCCAAGACTATCGGAGATTAAACAATATCACCATCAAAAATAGATATCCGCTACCCTTGATAAATGAACTTGTAGACAAGCTCAGGGGCGCGAAATACTTTACGAAGTTAGATATCAGATGGGGATACAACAACATCCGAATCAAAGACGGAGACGAACACAAAGCAGCCTTCAGAACGAATAGGGGGCTCTTTGAACCATTAGTGATGTTCTTTGGACTCACGAACTCGCCAGCGACATTTCAAACCATGATGAATGCGCTATTCAAAGATTTGATTGATGACGGAAAAGTCGTAATATACCTCGACGACATCATGATTTTCACAAAAACAATTGAAGAACACCGCGCAATGACGCGCAGAGTGTTAGATATCTTAAGGAAGAACAATCTTTACTTAAAACCAGAAAAATGCGATTTCGAAGAGACCTCAACAGAGTACTTAGGTCTTATCATTTCAGAAAATGAAATCCGCATGGATCCGGTAAAAGTAAAAGGAATCATGGAATGGCCAGAATGCAAATCAAAAAAGGACGTACAGGCATTCTTAGGTTTCGTGAACTTCTACAGAAGATTCATAGAAGGCTTTGGGTTGATCGCCAAGCCATTAACGAAATTGACCGGGAAAGTAGAGTTTGTGTGGGGACAGGAACAGATCGACGCTTTTAACGGATTAAAAACCCGTGTCGGATCGACTCCCGTACTCGCCTTACCAACTGATGACGGCCAATTTAAGATAGAAGCTGATAGCAGCGATTATGCTATGGGGGCAGTTCTTTCACAAATGCAAGACGGGAAATGGAAACCGATTGCATATCTCTCAAAAGCGTTAAACCCTACAGAACGCAATTATGAGATTTACGATAAAGAACTTCTCGCTATAATGACTGCGTTAGAAGAGTGGAGGCATTATCTCGTTGATGCTAAAGAGGTGTTTGAGATCTGGACAGACCACCAGAATCTTCTCTACTACAAACAACCTCAAAAGCTCAACAGATGACAAGCTAGATGGGTCATGGAATTGAGCAATTACCACTTTACGCTCCATCATATTCCAGGTACCAAACACATCAAAGCAGACCTTCTCTCAAGACGAGCAGATCATGAAAGGGGGGTGGATGACAACGAAGACGTAATCGTTCTAAAAGCAGAACACTTCAGAATGATGATTTCACACACAGAAAGACAACGCATGGCAGAGCAATCGGCCGATGCAGTGGAATTATACAAATGGATCTGTAAAAGAATGATGAACGTAGACGAAGTAGCGCGGAAGATGATAGAGAAAGGGGAAGACAGAGAAAAAGGCATATGGATGGAAGATGAGATGTTGATATTCAAAGGAAGGATCTATATTCCCAAAGACGGGAAATTACGAGAACACATCATAAAAGAAAACCATGACTCCACTGTAGCAGGACACCCCAGACAGTATAAAACCAAGGAATTGGTAACTAGATGGTATTGGTGGCCGTACATGGACAGAGACATCCGAAAGTACGTAGAAGGCTGTGAAACGTGTCAACGCACAAAGATTAATCATCAAAAGAAAGCGGCACCGTTACACCCGAATGAAATCCCAACTAGACCATGGGAAATCATTACCACAGACCTGATCGGACCATTACCGGAATCTCTCGGTTACAATATGATACTCGTGGTAGTAGATCGATTCTCGAAGATGATCAAAGTCATGCCGACTTATGATAAAGTGATGTCAGAAGGAGTAGCCAGATTATTTAGAGACAACGTCTTTAGAAATCACGGCATACCAGAAAAGATCATTTCAGATAGAGGACCGCAATACGTCTCTAACTTCATGAAAGATCTCTATAAGCTCCTCGGGATAAAAGGAAATCCTTCGACCGCTTATCATCCTCAGACAGACGGACAGACAGAACGAATAAACCAAGAGATAGAACAGTATCTCAGAATATTCGTAAATCACAAACAAACAGACTGGGCCGAATGGTTACCACTAGCGGAATTCTCTTATAACAATAAGTCACACTCTGCAACTGGCTATAGCCCTTTCTTTTTAAATTCAGGACAACATCCGAAAGTCGCAAAAGGAATTAGAAGTACGGTAAAGACAGAGAGTGCGGAGGAGTTTGTAAAGAGGATGGAAGAGACGAGGAAGGAGGCAGAAAAATCGCTGGTAAAAGCAGCAGAAAATATGAAAAAACAATATGACAAAGGAAAGAGGGAGGCTATTGCATACAAAGAAGGAGACAAAGTATATGTTGAAGCGGAACATATAACCACCGATAGACCCGCAAAGAAACTTGACGATAAAAGACACGGACCTTTCCCCATTGAAAAGAAAATAGGCAAAGGAGCCTATAAATTAAAACTTCCTGGACGATGGAAGAACATACACCCGGTCTTTAACGAAAAGTTACTCACACCCTTCAAAGAACCAGAGTTCGAAACTCAAAAGAAACCAAAAACCGCACCACCGGTGATAGTGAAAGGAATCAAAGAATACGAAGTAGAAGAGGTTCTAGACTCACGATTGAAACGTGGGAAACTAGAATATTTGGTACATTGGAAAGACTTTCCAAAAGAGGATCGCACGTGGGAACCCGAATCTAACCTAACACACTCACCAAAACTCGTAAAACAGTTTCATGATAAAAACCCCAGTGCACCCCGAAGGATAGAATTTACTCTAAATTACCAACCATTCGAAAACTTCACCATTCCAACTCGTATTCGAAAATCCTTATATAACTGGGAAACCGGAAAGCTAGACTCTCACTTTTGGGACGAAAGTCCTAAGGAGGGGGTAATGTCACGATCGTACCCATGTGACTCATCTTTTTTATCTAATCGTGAGATAGAGACTATTATCTCACCTTATCTAATCTCTCCTTGATCTTATCTTATCTAGTAATCACGTGACACATTAGTAATACTCATTACCAATCAGCCTCACGCATTACACATGTTACTTACCAATACGCTACGTCATACCTCACCGTAGCCTCATGCCTTCTTCTATATAACTAGCACGATATCCATGTACATACCCCAGTTGTAGATTTACTCTTATACTTGCTTGTCAAACACTTGTTGTGTGATTTAAGTCCTACGCTGCTCGGGTTACCGGCATAACAGCTAGGGTCTTTACATTTACCAACTAAGCTACCAAGGCGTACTTGGAAAGCATACTGATTGGTTGCATGCCCAGAAGGTCCAGAATCACTGTACACGGGTGTGGATCCCATTGTGTTGTGATAGATACATATGGAGATGTTATTTTCAATCAACCTGAAGACCTAGGATCAGATGCTAGCAATGTTAGCGACGGCGACAGCTTAGTAGTTAACTTTGAACTTTTCGATTTGTATGCTGATGACTTGGAGGATTATGGTCACTACGACTAATGGCGTTCTCATATACATACCGTTACATATTCCTAATCCTATGTTCATATTCTGGTTCAACCTGAGATTGATTCTGGCTGATGATTGATGCCAGTCCCAATTACAGTTTTATGTAGTTGGTCGTTGGCATATCTTGTAAACCCTGATAAGGAAAGATACGGACGGCAGAGTGAGGTGAAAGGACCTAATAATAAACGAATAGGAAAATAATCAGCTCGCTCTCATATGTCTTGCTGATGGAGGGTTATAATCGTCTGAGCTCATTAAATAACTCTTGCAAATGATGGTAAGACTAGATATCTCCCGATAACTTAACAGAAGGCTTAAGTTTGATTATAAACTCCGCCTGGTTATATCAGGTCCTCACCGATTTCCTGATGGAATCTGATTTTCAGAGCAAGTATTGCCTTAGCTTACAAGATAAGATTGCGACATCGACTCGGATACGAATAGCTAAAGAATCATTCATTCATCGCAGAGAATTTCAATCTACCATCAGCAGGGACTTAGGCACCGTCGTTATCGTATCAAAGCCACTCGGATTCTATGATCCCGTGCTCTGGGCGACTGCAAGTGAGCGCTTTTCTGAAGTCCTGACCGCTTCTGATTGTCCATCGCAGCCATCATGAAACTTAGATTTTATCTTGACCTACCGATGTTATCCATTGTTGGACAAAGGACCTTGTCCTCGAGGCCTGTCAACGCACGGCGACCTCCCTTTGTAATGACACGAAGGAAGGCTTTCACAGCTTACTTATCGATCCGACGACCCCTGTATGTTTGCACCAAAACACGAGACTCCCGCGTTTCCTGGTGATAATAAAAAAATGCGGCAGTGATTGAAGTATAAAAGGCCCACTTCATAACTTAGTGTCTATCAAACTGCTACGCCCTCCCCTCTTCGCCGTATTACATTCTCACCTCTTCATCGAGTAACAGCCACTATGCCTTTTGTCCAGCACGGTAACAACGCCAAGGCTGACATCAAAACCTACAACGATGTTGCTGGAAATCAGAACAACAACAACACCACAGATAACTCTGTTCGCACCAACTCTGGAAACACCACCACCACGAACAATACTAACTCGAACAATAACTCCTCCGTCAAACAAACCATGAGTCAGTGCTATTCTTCGTTTGTTTCATTACTTTTGCTGAGCATAAGTGTTACTAGCGGGAAATGGAAGGCAGCGTGTGGTGCGCCGCTGAAGTCGCACTGTGGTTAGTGAGACGAATAATAGTTGGTAAGCTCGCTGCATTATGTAGCTCAAAAGCGTAGGTTGTTAAATGGCCGATTGCCTCAAGGTTGAAACATTACAGGGCAGCCCAAGAAGATATGTACATGTATGTTTGAACGATGTTGTACACAAGATTATGGTTCGAAATCGAGAAAAGGATGCATTGTTGCCAATTCAGTGCCGGACTAAGAATATTAAGGGTGTCAATCATAGTGGCATAAAACGGGTTCCTGTGCGCACTGATACTAAAATCTATTAGAAGACCGAACTCCATATTTTGTGTTTTGATTGTGTATTACAGTTGCCAATGGAGGTCTGATAGGGGTATCTAAAAAAAAGTTGAGTTCACCAACGTCGAAAGTTCGTGATAGATAATTGGGACTCAGAGCTTGCGCGAAGTCATGTAATGAATAAACCTATCTTCACAATCGTGTAACCAGTTCCGATAGTTAATGTAAGAGCACAAGGACATACGGCACCCCATATGAAACCCCCATCATAAATACCTGGTACTGGGCTAAAAGGTACCTCATGAGCTTCGCGTGAGTATTCGATGTATAAGAAACCATATCTCGGGAAATGTCCATAGTGAATTATTTTGCTGACGTCGACTGTACAACTGTCATATCAGAGATTTGTCTGCCATTGTACTTTTCGGCTCCAGCTACGCGGACTATTATTTAAGCTGAGTTCGGGCTGATCCGGAGGGTGTCTGATCGTTATGAACTATCGCCAAGTTCACCGTCACTCAATCTAAATCCTCGCAACTGTAAAAGCTACTTATACGGAATCGCGAGCCAAACGACCTCACACAAATGAGAGGATGATTGAAAGACCATATTACTGGGGGAGTCTCTTCAAAAATTTCATCGGATTCCTTGCCATCGAACATTCATTTGTTTTCCTGCCATTCCCCTGACTTGTATAAGTCCTTTCTCTGTTCAAGTTCTAAATAAATCTGCGAAAGGTACAGCTTGATCTAGCTCACAATTCTGCGGTCTTGTGAGACAATTCTATCTACTCTTTGTGAATACTGAAGCAGTACAGTACTCCTTCAGTTGGGGCCAACTTCATCAGTGTTCTGAGACTTCCTAGTGTTGACGCCCTCATTGGTGAACTTTTTGTTTTCTGTTCAATTTTTGGGTGCTTTGGGAAGTCGTGTCTTCCTCAGATTTACACACTAGGCAATGGTCGCTTGTCCCCATGATCACCCCATCGTAGGACTGTATGGCTTGTATTGGAAGATGCAATAAACCAGGTGCCTTCCAGGGAACAGTCGCCGCCATTGCTAGCCTGCATTGGATATTTGGGCGACCATATCTGGATCTCCAAATTTGTCATGTTCGATATCACTGAAGCGCTCAAGGACGTCTTTGGATTTCCAAAAGGACACACGCAAAATTATGGTGCCCAGCGCTAGAAGCAAGGGAAATTTCCATTGTGTGATGGAAGATGAGCGGACTATTTGGATATAATTAATGCCCATGCATGGCGTCATTCACACCACACACCCTGGGTGCTGGTAATCCATACATGGCAACTGGGGATTGTAAGTGACTATAGCCTTTTTCGTACTGAAATAATTGTGGCCGCACGTTGATGCAGATATGCATGGTGGGTCGTTTCTCAGCTTTGAAGTAGTTACTGATCACCAGTTCTATAAGAACGCTTACCTGACGAGTACCAGTCATCTTCTCGTCGGGATGCTGGATCACGCTGTGACTTAGTAGGCTTTGTTCATCCACATTAGCCTGCACTTTGCGACAAGCCGACTGTGGTTATCAATTCAGGAAGGTAAGTATCAAGTCTTTTTTTGCATTTACGGCGCACGAGTCAGTAAGATGTAGTCCTCGTGATTATAATCTATCCAATCCGAGGTGTTATCCCTCGCTGCTGACATTTTTAGTATACACCCCCGATCGCCGGAAGATACAGCGTAACGCTCATTTGTGGAAATACATGGATGTCTGGCCAGTTTCTAGGCCAATCCCGTATCACATTTTTCCGAGGTTGTGCAAAGCAAAGCGGACATCCGGTTGACATCGCAGCAATCATGAAACTGTATCTTATCCTAGGGTCATCAACTCCACAGAAGGTCAGAGGGTCACAGTGGTCTATCCTACTGTGATTCATCAGGTGTTTAAAAATCCATTTTGGGTGAAAATGAAGGAACATACTCCTAACGGTCCTTATACCGATATGTTGCTGTGAGGTGAGGGAATGGCATATTCTCTTCTGGAATCTTCAAGGCACGGACATGAAGAAACAACCGCCAATCCTGCACGATATAAAGCAAGTGGTCCTGGCGTCTTGAGAGTACCAGAATCCACATCTACGTCTGTGTACATCCTTATATCACACTTATCATGCCTTTCGGTCAAAGCGGTAACGGTGCCACCAGTAACGTTGGTACTTACAACGACGTCGCTGGAAACCAGACCAACACACATAACGACAACTCTCGTAACGAGAACTGTGGCAATACTAATGTCAATAACAACCTCGCTCCCAGTGGTGACTTTTCTGCTCAGATAGGTAATATTCTTTCCCTTTCATCAAATTGTTGTATTGCTCAATATGATGATAACTAGCGGGGCATGGGGTTCAGGCATTTGGCTCAGCTGACGGATCCGTGAAGGAACGGGAGGTAATATTATATTAATAACTTGTTGATTCGTTACTTATACACTCCTTTTTAGAAAGCGTATCTTAGGTCTCACTGAACGACGTATTGTGAAGTGGGGAAATAGTTGTTTTGTCGTGGTTTTTATAAAGTGAACAGAACATTGGTGAATATATGCTGGAGTTTCAAATATTGTTCGATTCTTTCGTCATCGCAAGTAATAAGTGTGCATTCTCGGCAGTACCATAAATGAGACGCAAACCCACCCGACTTTTATTTCTAGTCTCAACGGTCATCAGTGGTGAGCAGATGTCTTACAGATACCGTCAGCCAGAGAGTCTCCTATCACCATCCTGGAAGTAAGGGCCACCCATGAAGTAGAACGAGGAAAATATTATCTGTATACACTGTCTGTATTTCACCTCTATCTCCGAAAAGTATCTAGATTTTGCAAAAGGGACTGACGCTAAATGACTCGCACCATGGGAACCGACTCAGACCAACAATTCATATCACTCTGAATTCAAGTTGTAAGGCTGCTTATAGTAAACTGGCGTTGAAGAGTACATGTATAATTTAATTTAGGTAAATAATACTTACATCCCGCAATTGCAAACCCCTTGTAAGCATCGGGATTCGTGTATATTCCACGATTTTGCTTCGAGAACTTTTCAAGGCACATTTAATGGTTTACCAAATTGGCGATCATTCAACGGCCACAATCTCAGAAGTTAATGCAACTCTGTCCTGATAAGATTCCCCAAGTTGGCAGGTAGCTTCGAAGCCCCTTCAGGGGGAACGCATCGCAAACACCGCAATACATCCTACTGGTACATATGCATCTGTCCTATGTTATTTGTCAACCAGACGTCCAAGTTTCCTAGCCAACGTACATTGCTATCAAATCCACTATGCCAGCTCCCAACCAGAGAACGTATTCGCCTCATCGAAAACACCGAAGCAGTCAAGAAGCATCCCCCTTTGTCCCTGGTCTCTCAGGATTGCCTGGCATGGCTGCTGTATGCTCTCCTGTGACCAGCGTGCTCGGCTCTGCGCTGTCCGGTGCTCTTTCGGGTAAACCCCCAACCTGGGAATCCGTCAAGTCTACGGTCAATGTAAGACTTTGGTTTAAGCAAAGCTGCCATGGTGGCACAGAAATGACCAACTTCATTCTAGGGTATCAATACGACTAGGAATATTTCGCGTGCTGAATTACAGCGTCATAACAAGAATACTGATGCCTGGACCGCCATTCATGGAAAAGTTTATAACCTCACCCCGTACTTGATATTCCATCCTGGTGGTGAGGAGGTTTTGCAGGCTGCGGGAAAAGATGGTACCAAGTTCTTCAGTACGCATCTATCGATTGTTTTATTATTCACGTTATCGTTCCACTCACCCGCATTTACAATGGATACGCATCCTTGGGTCAAAGTAGAGTACATTCTTGATTGTTGCCTTCTTGGATTCCTTAAAGATTAAGTTGTCCATGATAACGTGAATATGTTGTACTATGTCGTTTGCATGTTAGTAGTGACTTGAAGAATGTCTGACAATATCCAGTTGCTGAGATCCCTCGTGATAATTGCAGGTAGAGGAAGAAGTGCTATAAACATAAACTTCATCTTGTTACTAGTATTTTCAAGGCAGAAAGAAATACGACAAAGAGGACACGACATTGGCACTACTAGTAACTGCTCTGAATTAAGTTGGGAGGAGCGGACTAACCGCGGAGTTGAATCCGGCATGAACCACTGCGGCGCCAAAGGTCTTTAGCATCACCACCTCTTTGCGCGCAATTGCATCGTGACTGACTTCTATCAGAGCCATCTATCATTGGCAAGTGAGCACCAAGTGAGCACAATCTCCCAGGAAATTTCAGAGAAGCCATGATTTACACTGGCAATTGCGCAAAGTCCCGTCACAGTGAGATTAACAAAGCCTCATGCCACACGATAATGATGCTTCTGCAGTAGCGCTAACAGCAATAGCTTACAGGTTCCTAGTATGGGATTGAGAACCTCGCTAATGCAGATTCGAATTGCTGTTTATTCGTCGGACGCCTTAGGAAGTCGTTTCTCCGTCTTGGAGGCAGTCATGCCAGATTACTTTGTTATCGCGCTTATGGCGCACATGCTTCGTCGTGGAAGAACCATGAACCGGCCTGTGCAGGATCTCCGGGAAATCACATCTAAATTCGTCAAGGCCATAGAATTATCGCTGAAGTGGATCTTTGAAGACTTGTCTCTAGGAGGAAATACGTACAAGACTTTTATGACCAGGGCTAGAAAAGGGGGCAAGGTCCGCAGCATAGCGCCTATTAGCGGGAACTCGGTATATACTTACACAAGTGACAATCCTATTGGGGTACGTATACGCGGTACGTTCTGTGCGGATATACGATACACCTGTCTATGGCGTAACCACTGATCTGGCCTAGCCCTGGTCACTTCTCATTATGGGTCAGATTAGCCTTTTTCTTACTGAGATATGTTAGTCCTTCGGCTTGAAGTCTCATGTTATGTGTGTGACTGGCTACCCACACCTATAAAGAACTCAGGTCTTACCAATGTCGCAATGGAATGGATCCTATGACATTTCTTGATATGTATGTCTAACGAGACTTCGGCTCGAAGGCGCATTCATACGTTCTTTGGTATCTCGTGGTGATTGGTCTTTAGCAGCCGGCGCTGTTATGGGAGCACATGATTGAAAGGCGCTAATCTGCAGGACAATACGGCGTGTGTTAGCATTCTTGGCACGGTCTCGATGTCCTGTTAAGGTAACTTAGCTAGTGCTTTGAGAGTAGCCAATGGCAGTTATTCAAGTTAACTCAGTACAGTGAGTACTTTTATTATCATCATCTTATAATGGATGTACTGACCCAGCGGAATATTATATCAGAAGATACCGCGGAACATTCGCATTCAGAACTTCCGATTCCCTGACTATGGCAACTTCAATGCATGGATCCCTGGGATATCCCGTACTCGGTTCTTCAAGGAAACGCTTGGTTGACTATCTCAGCCATCATGAAACTATATCTTATCATGTCCGCAGTGGGACAGAGCAGTCACTCCTGATGTCCTTCACGCGAGCCGTTAGAAGACACCCTTTTGGATGGCGTCGAAGGGTACATAGCGTTGATGTTCCTCTAGGGTTGATATCCTAATATCTCAGTGTGCAGAAATGTCGTGCTCTCTCACGGAAGTTGCGGGACGTAGAGGCATTCTTCTGATTTTGTCCAGTATAAAAGGCGTCCTCTCAAGTTGAAAGTACTCCCTCAGTTACTCACATCCCTTCATAACATTTTACCATATCAATCATGCCTTTCGTCCAACACGGTGACAAAGCTGGCGCTAACATCGGCACATACCATGATGTTGCTGGAAACCAGACCAACACCAATCACACCGACAACTCTCGTCGAGTAAACTCTGACAACACTAACACCACTAACAACACCAACTCCGGAAACGATTCATCTGTCACCCAACAGGGTAAGATTTTTTCCCGTCGATGTGCACATTTATACTTAACGGTGACGAGTAGCTGGTGGGCGTAACTACGCCAGGCGTTGATGGGTTTGCCTGTGTCGCTGCCCAAACGTTGGTGGTGTAAGGTGAAGTTTTGTTTTATATCTAACATGCCAAATATTGTCCTTACTTTAATGTTTCTAGCAGATATTTTCTTGGTTGTCGATGTGCGAGGGCTTCAAATTTCTGAAAGAGATACTCTGTCAGACTTTTGATATGCGATAAAGAAGAAAAGAAATATGAATATACGCGAGTTCCAGTGTACTTCCTAGTCTGCTTGAATGAAGAACATTTTCTTGCTAAATGTCCTAGCATAGCAGAGTCATGCGAATAACTCAGCCTGAACGTACTCACACTATCTTGAATGTGATGACTCGCAACTACCGAACAACATCGATCTCAGGAGGGTTCATTTATTCCAGTGTTATCGACACGTACCGTATACTAACGTTGCTGGAAACCTCACGAACATCTGATGCCTGGGGATTCTTCAATGTATTTCTCACTCCATGTATGTCCAACGATATGTACTCAAATAATGTGTATAAACTGGAGAGTGCGATCATGCCATGAAGTGCGATCCGCCATGGTTATAAGAGTCACTCCTGAGCAAGATGTTCGCATTGTAATAATTCTGTCGGGATCCGCCGCTTTCGCTTTCGAATGGGCAATACGCGTTACTGGCGGAAAAAATGCCAGTACAAGGTGTCCAACTTGGGTAAGGCCCATCGTCAAGAAACCATGTTATTATTAGATGGGCATTGAGTGCTGCAGCTATATGCAAAACAACATATACCCCAGGTTGGCTGAGGACAGGATGGCTTTTTGCTTCATCACTAGGTCACTAGGGGACTATCAGAGTAAGCATCAGCGAGAAACGCAGAATGAGTGGTTAAGTGAAGAACCTGGAGTACTGAGTTGACGTATGATGGATAGCGTTCGTAGGGGCTCGTTTGTTATTGACATGACTCATATTATTATAAAACTTGCGCCTTGACATGAAATAACAAAGACGTCGTTCTAATCGGCATTAGGTATACCTCGCAGCAAAGCCCGGGAAAATCCTTCGGTCCATGCTAATGACTCTACCTGGTTGTCCTAAGTAGAAAGTGACGATGTTCCCATATACAACTTGGATTGAAGCTTTGACACAGGACTTGACGGGTCGTCAGGGACAAATGAGAAAATGGCGAAGGGGGACTTGATTTATTTGAATAGGTCTACTATCGTGCCGACAGTTGTGAACGACGTGAGGGCTGGTCTGATGCTCAGCGCATTTGAGTCTAGAGTTGCTGGACCTTTTTGACGTGAGACACCAACTCGTCAAGGATACACAAATCTTTGAACGTACCCATCTAGGAATACGATGGGGTGAGGAACTGTCCATTTTAATAGATGCTGTAGCGTTTATCGAGGGTATCACTAACAGATTTTACCAGAAACCAGGAATAATAATATCTGGTACCGGGGCAAACGAATCGTGCCCAGCTCCACCTCTGAAGTAGATCAAGGTATATTCTCGTGGTGAAATATCACCGATTCTTCCAGAATAAATGATAGTGGCATGCTGATATGCTGGATGCACGACAAATGCGATGTGTCGTGAAAGACATGCACTTTGCTACTTTCAGCTGCCTTAGGAACTGAAAGATAGTATCAGCAATTGCTGGATTTCTTGTGCTGGCCAAATGTTTGACGCCTCTGCGCAGTATCTCTAGATTATTAAGAAGAAAGTCTCTTGGGGCACAATACCTGGAGTAACATGAATCACGTGTATCGCCTTGTGTTTAATATCTTACGCCTGGACTGGGACCACAGTTATCAGGTCTTTGTCCATGGATAACTTGGCGAGGGCGTTTGCGTTATTCAATTGATTCTTTGCTTTAGGCCTGCAGTTTGAGTAGGGTTTTTGAGCTCGTTGTCCTGAATTATCGCGGGAATTCGTGGGCTGCAATTACACCCCTTGGCGCTTCATCGAGCCCAGCGATTGTTGCCATTATGGTAGCTTGTGGCCAAACCTTACTTGACTGAAGTATGTCGACGTAAGAGTGCTCGTGTGTGAAGATCCAAGACGCTCTCAATTGAAGAATGAATTGAACCGACGTTTTCGAGGTCTCCAAAACTTACTACAAAAAGACGGAGTGTTAGTACAGTGGTCCAATGAACTATGTTTCGTATCTGACCGGAGTACGGTCTGGTGAAGTGGCTGACGCGGTGACGGCGAAGAGGAAGGGAAGGCTTACATAATCATGTTCGGCCGGGTGGCTATACTTATCGGAGACCCAAAGTCGTCCTCTCTTTGCTCAACGTCGTCGTCTAACGTCCACTACTCTTTCTTTGCTACACTCATCATGCCCTTTGGCCTTACTATTGGAACAGACCGTGCAGTGTCACTTCAGGTGCGTACAACGCCCTCGCTCTCCTTGTATTTTTTTCTTCCTTTTACTCACCTCTTTCACACAGACATCTATCCAGGATGAACTGACCGCACGAGGTTACAGTCCTGATGCTGGTAAGAATGTCTTTTGCTATAACCTGAAAAGCATCTCATATTACTTGTAGATCCCGTCATGGCTGAATATATAACCATAATGATAATCAATAACAAAACCGCAGGTGAGCACAACGCTAGTCATTTGGCGCGTCACGCTAATTATTTCCACAGCTCAAATAACGTCTGAACTTGAGGATTGTAAGCTCATTTTGATTTTACATTTGTTCTGTACTAATGTCTATCGTCTACAGTGATTGGCACAGATTTTGGTGTGTAGAACTCTTATTACTCGCGTGTTGTCTTTTCATCTAATGCATGGCTGTAGATCCTAGTTTTACCGATTGGTTATTCATTGAAGCCGCAAAGGGAGCACCAGAATCCGAATCTCCATCCCAAGCACCTGCGGTGCCTTCTGAGCCGCCACCTGAACCCAAGACTACCCGTGATGTTCCCCCGCATATACCCACGGACCCAGCTCGCCGTCCGCCAAATACACAGCGTGTAGGTGCTCCGCTTTATCAGCAGGCTATATCGCAGGCTCTGCCGTCCACGTCACCTTCAGCTCAAAAACGAACAGCATCTGCACGATCTCCCTCGCCGAGTGGCCAAGGCCCTGCAAAATCGAGGAGGACAGATCTCCCGACCGGTCCTCGTGCTATGTTCCGTGATAATAATGCCAACACCACCAATTCCAGGAGTCTGCTGGAGCGAGTAGGGGGACCTGCAGGTCCTGTGCGGAATGGTAACTCGCAAGGATTTCCTCGAGACGACATCCAAGCTCGGATTGACAATATAACTAGTAACTCGCCCGATCCTAGCATGATGATGGCAGGGTTCCCGAATGGCATGCCGGGTATGGATATGAGTGCTATGACGGGAATTACCAATCCTTTGGTTTTACAAGAGATGATGATGAACCAAATGGCCCTCATGGCGCAAATGGCATCTTCGATGGGAATGCTTAATCCTTCCACTGGTCAATTCATGAATAATGGCTTTCCAATGCAGGGGGTGATGCCAGACATGGGGATGTTCAATGACAATGTGGGAGGAGCGGGCGGCTTCCCGCCCATGAATAACGGTAGAGGCAGGGGCTCTGGTCGGGGAGGTCGAGGCGTGGGACGAGGGAGGGGAGGTCAACCATCGTCGCCCGCAGCTCAGCCAAATGCTTCAGGTTTCGATGCCGTGCTACCTGTGCAGGCAGAGACATCGGTTCCTCTCGTCTCCGAATTTTCTAAAGCAATTCCAATAGCAACTCCTGTGCCTACATTGGCTTCTACTCTCAACCCCGCACCGGTCGCTGCAGGTGCAACAGCACCATCCCCATCACAACGGATAGCTTATGCACTTCCCGAACGTCCTCAGTCCCCTACGCTTTGTAAATTTGCGACAAAATGCACTAACTCGCAATGCCGCTATTCTCATCCGTCGCCCGTGGCCACTGCTGAAAGCGGTGTTGTTTTAAGCAATGAAGCTTGCGAGAAAGGCAGAGAGTGCAAAGACAAAGACTGTATCAAATCCCATACTAGTCCTGCCATTAACTCGCCAGGTAAATATCTTGCATTTGATTTCTTGTCGAAGTGCTCACATGCTTTTAATCACAGGTGCAGAACATCAAAAACCGCCTACCGTCGTTTCTCCACCTACTCCTGCTGCCCAGCCCTACTCCCATCCTACCATTCCATGTAGATTTGGCGTGGCGTGCTCTCGTCCAAATTGTCCGTACACACACCCGCCCCGCCCATCGTCGAACAACCACTTTGCCCAACAGTGTCGTTTCGGGGCTGGTTGTACTCGTGCAACATGTCCATTCCAACATCCTGAGGGACGCGTGTTGCCATCAACCTTCCATCGCGGACTTTCTACCACTGCTCCGATGATCAGCATACAAGCACCTGAAACAGGCACTATGGGTGGGCCTAGTCCTCACAGAAGCGTCACATTTAACACTAACAAGGCTGGCGAAAACATGAAAGACAAGTTGGAAAGGCAAATTAAGGAGATTGAGGAGAAGAAGAAAGCTGTCGCCGAGGCGGAGGCTGCCGCCAACAAGAAAGACGAGTCTAAAGCCTTCCCCATTGCTGTCTGAAGAAAATTGATCCCCTCCCCCTGTCCTGTTGCTCAATAATGTATTCCCTTCCTCTACCACCAAACTAAAAGCAAAAATCGCGGACCAATCGTTACTTATTGCGTTGTAGTATTTTTCTGTTCCATAATGCTCTCTTACTGGTACTGCCTCTGTTTCCGTTATGTCGTTTACTGTTTCCTTTATCGCTGACAATAGTCATCACACGGAGTGGATAAATGAAAAGGATTACATTCGACGGATGACCCGCTTAGACGGGATCCGCCTCCACTCCCCTTTTCGCCTGATATTAAGTTTCAAGTCGTCAGCGCTATGAACAGTTTATTTGACATGTCCACTGGTGTTGAGGGAAGTCGTGTTATTGCAAGTTGCTACGATATATACTGGGATTATAAGAGTTAGTTCTTGCGGGATACAGTAGTTAAAGCTAAGACCGATACGGTGAGACCGGCCAGCTGGTATTAATTACTTGGCCAGCGAACCTCCCTTGTCAACCGATAGTCTGAGCTTGTCACCAGGAACAAGGTCCTTGAACTGTTGGGAACCAATTTAAGTATGAATTCCAAAACATATGTGAACAATGGTGGTTACTAACCGTCAACTCCCTGGTGCGATGGAGGCTCTCGATTGCATCAACCCTGTTTTGTACGTTGTCCAAGAGGTCTTCAAAACCATCTTCCTCTACAACTTCACGTGCAGCATGTAGAATCAGCATCGAGTCTGGGCGTACGTCCAAGTTGATCTGAAGGTATTAAGATTATTTCGAGTTGTAAGTGATAGGTTACAATGCTGGGCTTACATCGATGGATATTATGTTGACTCTATCCAGGTCTTGTGATGTCTGTAAGTCAGCATGAATGATAGCATAAGATCAAATAAACTGGCTGACCCTCCAGGAAATCGGGCCGTGTCATGATTTGGCGACATCGCCACTACTATGAAGTGAGTACAGTGTCACATCAAATTATTGGCACGTATACCGACATATGGAATGGAAGGAAGATCAATGGGGTCCAAATTGCTATCGTCACCAGCCTCCTTTCTAGCGAGTTCTTGCTCTTGGCGCAACTTGACGAACTCACGCAACAACAGCCACGAACACGAGCTCCATTTTTGCTACCCACAACGAGCTAAACAGATAGTTTTTTGGAGTGAAAGGTTGGCGTACCTCGTCCATAACGTCATCGTCACAATCAGGGATGAGGCCAATCTGGCTTTGCAGCCATGCTTTTTCGAACCTTAGCATCTCTCGCGCGGATTGTACCATGTCATCTGCTCGACTAGCCCTATTGAGGAGGGCGAGTCGACCACCAAGGAGCGATACGACTTCTTTTGGATCGTTCAGACTCGTCAATGGTTTCCTTGCTGTACGTCGAATTTGAGTTAGTGCTTGTTCCGCTTGTGTGCTATTCAAGTCGTGTATAGAAATGACCTAAAATACGTTGTGAATAAGGTAATGGGAGACCTTGATGGTGCTAACTTACGTGCATTCGACTAGCACTTTTGCCTAAGACACAAGATCAGCTCCATTCCTCAAACAAAGGTTGTAATCTTACGCATTGCCAAGAAAGGCCACGAGTCATCCCTATAGCAAACGTAAGGCTGATAAAGATGCTGGACTTGGAAAGTACTCACGTGTTGAAAACGACCGTTAAAATGCCTACTCGATCATGGTAGTCATTAGTAAACGCACTGCGACCAGAAAAACAATACTGACCACCCGCTGCCCAAGCTTCTGCGCGTTGTTGCAGTTGCAGAAGCATATTTCGTCCTTCTTCATCATTATGAAAGTGCTGAATGTTATTGATAACCAATATTAAAGGACGCCCCCTCCGACGTGCAAGACGCAGTGCGACTTTTTCAAGTTTGGTAAGTGCTGAAGGGATGTCAAATTGAATTGAAGTGAATCATGACTAGGTGCACTTGCCCCGTTCGATATCCAATGCGGGACCGGCTAATACAAGTGATGAGGATCAGACGGATCAGATGTACATCGTGGACCCCTTGTGAAATTCCACGCACCTTCTCTAGGATCTCGTCGCTGGAACAAACCCGTTTGAGAATCCTCATTGAATTCATAATTTAACGCCTTGCCAAGGCGCAGACGGAAAACTTCGAGGTCAGGGTGAGCTTCGAGAAAAGCGACACCCTCCGCCTGAATACCCCGCATGGCATCAAACACCATGGTGGATTTCCCTCCGCCCTAAGGAATAGGAGTTTATCAAACTGATAACAGATTTAAACCAATCTCAATCGGTATCTCACTTTGGGGCCAACGAGCACGTAGTAGTGTCCCGTCTCTTCGCCTGTGATGATGGCATCTACCAAGTCTTGTTCTTGGCGCCGTAGATGTTCGGTCCAGGGGATGTCAATGTCACTACCGAACTCTTTTGAATCATCAGAGGTTTCCAGATTTTGTATTTTGACAGAGTTGTTGGCAAGCTCAAGTGCGGGGTCATAACCTGGGGCAAAGGCTAATTCTATCTAAATCGCACATTTGTATGAACGAAAACTTGTCATACTGATTAGATTATAGAGCCAGGACTTACTTTGTCCAAAACATTCTTTTTATACCATGCCAGATACGCCACACCACCGAGAAATACTAAATAACAAGCAGCTTAGCGCATATAACTTATACACAAAAGCGATGGGGCCAAGCACGAAGAAAGGAACGCGTACACAGAGAACAGAGAAGCAGGTCTCCCTCCGAGTCACTAAACAGGTTCAGGTTCCGCAAACCATGATAATTTTGCCTATCGTGCAAATAATCAATCCCATCGATGGCGACCTCGTGACAGAGGACAGAAACAGAAAGTTCAATGGGATGGGGTAAGACTGCCCAAATCAACGGTCCTAGGGCATGCGGTGCGGAGGGCTGGCCTTTGCCATAACCCTATTATGAAGTTGCCCTAAACTCAGCTGATGAGTCATTCCAACATTAAAGAACACTAAATCTCGACCATTCCGCGACTGGAGCGAACCGTAAGGACATGCAGGGTCCTTGGAACGATAGGAGCATCATCATTGCAAGAAGAGCAAATTTGTTTTGGGAGAGCAAGCGATCCAGCTCGGATTGGCTTGCACGCCTGATGAGAACACCGAAGAATGTCGATATGACTTACCCATTCCGAGACCAACGATAGTGGTGAGTGCTGCATCCAGCATCGGCGAACTTGTGATGGGGAAGACACTGCCGCTTCCATCTCCTGAAGCACGTCCTTTACGCCGACTGCTCGAACTCCCATCATCGACACCCCCAGAACGCGTTCCAGCAGCGGCTGAGCTCTCGCAGCTTAGCGATTCGCAAGGTTCAGGAGGTTTTTCAGTCGGCGTAGTAGCATAAAAACGCGTCGTACGTGCCGACACCAGAGGTAGAAGCATACGCCTTTTTAAATGCACTGCAGTCCTGCTGCTATAAGCATAATACTGGCCATGTTCTACGCTTGTCAAATGTCCTAGGAGGCTGTTGGTCAAACGCCGCTGGAGCGTGAAAGTGCTCATACACGACTAAAGCAATTATGGTATGTTGGGTGGGATGGCAAAAGCAAAGGAGGGAGCAGAACACAGCTGTGTTCATATTGCTTATGAGTTCAAAGGGTCGTGGGGGCGCAGCCCGCGGGTGTCACGGCAAAATACAACCATGCTTGGCAATGTGGCAATAACATAGGCTACTAGGACTAAACTGCATACAGTCACTGCACCTTGTAGCTTGCTCTCTGCCGGCGCATCAACACCCATCGACTATTTTCGAGTCTCATCCTCATTGCCTAGGCGGTGTCGATGCGCAAAGCTCTGCAAAGATATATAGGATACATGTCGCATCAAGCGGCCTGGGATATTTCGAAACCATCGTCCTATGAAGCACAGCTGCCAGAAAACGAAGCAAAGAGACTACACCAAATCGAATTGTATCGCCATAAGGGTCTTCGTGTAGATGTTGAACATAAACATAGATCGCCGCGAATGGAAGGCCTACAACGTTCAATTTCGATTGAAGAACTGAATGGAAACATCCTCACAGGCTATCGTTCAATGGAAGGGAAGGAGATTGAGGAAGGTCGAAAATAACAGCCAATGGCGTATACGCACGTGTCCTTCTGCAAGGTAATTTGAGGATGAGAGGCGGCCTGATCCAACCATTGAGCCAGATAAGGAGGTTGATAACAAAGGCTGCAATACGCGCGTTTTTGGAAAAACATGTCAAACACTCCACAATCAGTGATCGAGGGTGCTTTCACCTGCTCAAAGACATGGCAAAACATATGTTGTGGTGATTGAAGGCGTCACTCCTTTCTTTGACCGACCAGTCCTCGGATAAGACGCTGCAAGATCAAAGTTGCATGACCGGTTTCCCATCGACGGCTAGAGCGCATAAAATGATTCATAAACCTATGTGCCGTACTCACCATGCATACAGCAAGGTTTGTGGATTCATGAAGCATAGCATTATGAGCGACGAGATAACGCAGAATTTTCTGTGAGGACGCCGGGAGAGTAACGATGTCAACATGTGCTTATCCTCGCAGCGCGTCTTGATCACCGGCAAGTTATCACCACTAGTCACTGGATCTCATCAAACCTAACTCTAAGAGTGCACGTAGCCTCGCAGAGCTGCGTTAGTACTGTGCATGCGATAACCTAGTTGCAGGCTAAGAATCAGACATGCTTTCAACGTCGTAAGGAGACCGAACTAGTCCAAATCAATGACGTACATCCCGAACCGAGCAGAAGGCCCACAACATCACGACGCTTCCCAGACGCGCTGAACAATACAACAAACGCGAGGACAAGCGTCTTCGGACGCTAGTCATGGATGCAGAGAAAGCGCCACAACGCTGGGAACCACGAAAAATGTCACATGAGCTATACAGCAGCAAGAATCGATTTAGACTCATCAAGCCTTGGGTGCTCTTGACTCCATATTCCATTGATTCTGATCCGAGGATTATGACACTGGTATGATGTAGTTGTAGTTGTAGGTGCATGTTTAGACTTCAACTGATAATCAGAAAGAAAAACAGGGACATGACGCACCTCCATGCACGAAAAAAGTAAAAACAACGTCAATATCATTTTCCCGGTGTTTAGAAAATACGTGACACCCACAAAATCCTCGGGGAAAGAAGGGGGAAAAAAATTAATGATGGCCACGAAGTGAACTCTACATTTTCACATTTTCCATCAGAAATTATAATGCTGTTTCGAATTGTCATCAACCAACGGACATGCGAATGAGGTTAGCAATACGATCTGATGATTTCGAGTGAAAACGAGTCACGGATTGCGCAGGACGATGAAACGACATCCAGTCTCGCGGATACTATTGAGTAAGGGGGGGGAAAGAAATCACGACATGCTATGCTCTTCAATTGCAGCTCTCAACGGACCTACAATACGCCCGGAAGAAATGAGCATGAGCATGAAGGCACCAGCAGCATGTGACTAAGGACCGGCCCCTCTGGTGGGGTTAGTAGAGAGCAACGATCATGACAACTTCTCCATACCACACCAGTACACAGATTTGCTAACCTGCGCGAACCCCGGTCTCCGCTCAAGAAGGTTATGAGCTGCACCTGTGTGCAAGGGAGTCTATCAACGGGTTTAAACGCGTGAAAATACAAATACCGACGCGATAGCGCCCTAAGCCAGCGAGGAGAAACAGAGTGAATGATGATGGACGCCGGGCATGGAGGTTTGCAGTATAGGACTTCCAAGCTTCAGCTAGTGAATTACTCGAGCGCTGTAGCATACCACGGCGCTGTAACATCACCTATCTTCCGCATAAAAGTAGCACAGACATGTGGGCTCACATCTCCTTTTTTTTTTTCCTTTTCTCGTGGGATGATGGGCAAATTTTCCATCGGCATCAGGTGGGAGAAACAGCACTGTCGGGCGAGAAGCAAGATTATAATACCAGAAGGCAAGGGCAAGTCGATATATCTGGGATTAGGCAATCTCCATACGTCTAGCACCAGTTCCGATGTTTGCGTAGCCGCCAAAACTTGGACAAAAGTGACTCGAGTGATGCAGCCCATATATAGGGTGCTCAACGCGCCCACTGGCCCAGGGGATGTACGGGAATGATCTGCAAGGGGTGATTTGACAAAACATATTGACATCGCGATGCCCTCTCTTACCGTCTTACAGATGCACTAACGCGCCCCTCTGGTGATGATATATAATGATATATCACCATCATGCGGCCACAGCCAAAGCTTGAGAGTTTGAGAAGGGGGGGAGGCTGTGCATGCCGCTGTCAAAATCTGCATAGCAGACTTCAAACCTGAGAGCGTAAGCCTTAAACAGTCTAGAAGGTACAGGTTTTCTAATAGAAATAGCAGGTCGTCAGCCTTTCAGCGACCCTTAAAACCCGGACTGGGCGGCGGGTGGTATGAATGGAATGTTGCCTCATCGTAATTCGGTGTGCTGATATAGCACTTGACTCGACTCGGGAGATGCTTACGAGGACGGTGACAGTTTCTGGCATCAAATCAGTTGCTCTGTGCGCTTCATAGTAGCCGCACATGCTGTACCAATATCATAGCAGAGATAAGGAAATGAGAGTAACTTGGATGCGTGAAAAAGACGAAGATTGTGAAATAAGCGCTGGGATGAGTGCTCTTGGTTTCAAGCGCCCGCGAGCGCTTGTAGGGAGATTGACAAGGCGCTTACACTACCACGGCATTTACCGTAAGCTTGCGTCTGTTCACCGGCGGTATTCACATTTTAGTGATGCTGAGTCCATTTGAGCATTACAACTATAGTGACGATCTCCTGTACTGTAAAGCTCTGATACAACATACCCACACCTTAACATTAAAACTGCTGCCAGCGGCTCCACCGCAGTTGACTCCTACCCCCGTGGAAACAGGCTGTTAATGATTGTGTACGCAGCGAGCCTAACACGAATCACGAATCGAACCGGTTTGCTTACCATAATGTATGTGAAAAGAAATACGAAATCATACGATATGGTAGAAAGTAATGAATTCGACCGTGACATGGCCTAACAAATAGCAATAGGCAATAGAATCTCTGTCGCAAATGGAATGCGATCATTGAGCTGCAAAGAATGTTCGCGAAACGATTCATCTCCGGTCTAGAGAGAGAAATAACCAAAAGGACGCAGCCAGAGCGGTACATTACAATTCTGCCCCCCATAAACGTGGGGCTTTTGAGAACAAACACATGACACAGTATGTCGATGAGATTGATAATTTTGAACACCGGGTGGAAGTACAGGCGTAAGCGATGGTGAATGGACGCCTCGGGGAACCGTAGTTCATGACTGATAGTATCCCCGAGCGACGGGTGCGGGCCTGCTACGTCAGTGTTCGGCTCATGGAGTAGGAAGAAAGTTGTAAGGCTTTGCGGAAAAATCAGACTGCATCCTGTGTCGAGCATATGCTAAAGCACGAGTGACGTCAACCTTTAGTGGTGCCTCTACACCATCATTTCTCATGCTGGGAGATGATACCCACCAGATTACCCAAGCAACTGCAAAACTGGCAGAATATAACTTGCTCAGCTACATAGGGGAGGAATCTCGTCGAACTATAAACTGTTTATGACACCAGCGCGAACGGAAATCTGCGAGATTACGGCTGCAAATGACACCTTATCAGACAGATACCTGTATAGCTGAGAAACGATGAAAGAAGTGGTTAGAGAATACGAGAGAAAGATGATAATGAAGCCTTTAGTGAGCTCACACGTCGAAGGATCGTACAAATGTAGGTGACAACATGCCGCCACCATTCTTAATCCTGTGACCGGTTTCCCCACCTACCTGCGACCGGGTCATACTTAAAGATCTTATTCTTCCTTGTCAAATCTCCGCAGTTCCCAAGGTGGATAAGAAGGACCATAATAATGGCTAACTTTCCAGCAACGAACAGCTACATGAAAATGACTATCTGTATAGGAGGACCTGTTGCAGGATACAGCTGTCATCACAACTCTTGAGAAAACTAAGAGCAGTAACCGAACCTACAAACTGTATAAGTAGTAGAGAGTTTCGACGAATTGCTCAATTGATAACCAAGATTGATACCCACTGGATATAATAGGAAACACCGGTATACCGAGGACCGACAACCTGTGCAAGTCACGATCGATGATCAAGCCCGACGGGAAGCTAAAATGAGAAGTTGGCGCGATTAGCCAGTTCCAGCTCGACGTCATTTTTCGACAGATGGGAGATGGGGGAGGAGGGAAACGACGAGGCAGAGGTGCAAGAGAGACTCACTGGCAGATCGTAACAGGCTAGCTGTTTACCAGGGCGAAATAAGATACTATAGACAGACGGGGATTTGAATTGAACGTCCGTGGTACCCGCATCAAAGCCGCACAATTGTCTACGAATGCACACCAGGGGAATGGACACTTGAAGAGGTAACCACTACACCTTGACGCTCGCGTGCTGTGAAAACCCACAGCGTCGTGGCATAAAAAAGCCTAGTAGTGCGTGTACTATGAGGCGCTGATGAGTATTGGTTACAGGTAATATATTATGTCGCCCGAGTAGCCTGGTTGTACCACTAGGAATGCAGTCCGAGGGCATTGGATACTATTTTACGTTGATAGCGGAGACGTGAGTTGGATGCTTACGTCAAAATCAATGGCGTGCAGCTGCCATTTGCGATTATGGAGTAGTGGGACATGCGTAATCGGAGAGGCCAGATCAGGATATAGGGACCACAGAAATAGTGTAGAGGAAGAGATAGTGTTCAGACCCACGAGTAGCAAGAGCAGCACCATCGTGGAGTTATTGGATCGTAAAGAGTAATTGGACAAGATCCGAAAAACGCAGGGGACACACTGCAAGCAAGAACGTCTAGTGGAAGACTCCAAACGGCTGCTCCAAGCAAAGAACTGGTCTGACAAAGAGAGTTCGAGAAGACAAGACAAGGAGGTGTTATAGTAAACGTGATTGTACTGCAGACAAAGGCCAAGTGATGTTTGGTGGACCGGTTTGGAGAAGCAGTGCATTGTGATAAAATAAAGCGAAGATTGTCAAAGTTAGCTATATATTCTAGACAGGACGAGGCCCCGGCATGAAAATGATTGATTTCAGTCAGAGTTTTTGTGTAGTTTGAACGTTCGGCGAAATGACCGGATCTTGGAACGTTGTTTCAAGCAAAAGCAGTGCGAGAGGTGAAGACAGCCAGCGTCCGTACCGCCTGCTACGGTACGAAGGTGACATTCGCCGATCCGTAGTGCTCGCTCTGACTCTGAGTATAATGCTAATCATGCATATGGATGCCCCGCAAAAGTGCAAGGACTGAGATGAGCAGCGGAGCATCTGAGCATCGCAGAGATGAGATTCTGGGATAGCAGGTGGCGATAAGGCGGTGGACACGAACCGTGGCGGACGGACGAAGCGAGTCAGTTTGCGAAAATGGGCGAGCTGCACAGGATTGTGGGCCGAGAACCCGAAGACTGGAGTAGCTCCGACTCATCCATTGAACAGGGAGCGCCTTTGTTCTGAGGCTCTGATATATATACCCGTGTGTTGTGTTTCGCAGCTCTGTGCATCTACAACTTCGCCAACACCCATACTCTACATATTCGCAGCAGCAGACTGCAAGTGATCTTCTCCACTGCCTCTCGCAGTTCGATCGAGCATTGCTAATTAGTCAAGAGCCCTGCTCGTAATCTTCCTTCCATTTGACCTCGAGGCGTGAAGCGAAACATAAAAAGCTGGGCTGCAGGAGGACGGACACAGGTCCCAATAGGGATTTCACACGGTGAGTATTGGCTTGTTTCGTGGATGTCCGCAAGGGGACGCTCCAGTGACCTGTAACGTTTCTTTGGCGGTATCTTTTTGGATTTGATACACACCGGCTGGTCCGCGCAAGGTCCCAACAATCAGGGTATGTCTACGAAAGAGACCATGCTGTTCCGGTTGCAGCCTTCGCTCGGTTGGCAGTTCGGGGCGTATTGCTTATCTAATCATTTATTTTCTAATGATTTACTGCCCTTTTTGATGTGGCACAACACATGTCTTTCGGATATAATCTTCGAAGCGTGGTTTCCTTGCTTTCAAAGTCCTCGCACCGTCCCATGCTCCTCGCGAAGGCCCTTCCCCTTCTTCCTTGCCGTTCTCAGGATTCACTTTCTTATATAGCTCTCTCCTCTCTGCTCTTCCACTGACTCATATTCCCTTCCTCAGCTATTTTCTAACAACAACATCTTCTTCCACCATTCTACATAATGGCTGCTGTACATGGCCCTCAAATCGCCCAACACCCGTCTCCGTTCCGGAACGCACATAGTCTCTCCCATTCGCGCATGGCCTACCACCCGGCGCCTCCGGTAAGTATCTTTGCCCGTTCGTCCCTTTTTTAAAGTTTCTCACTTTACAACAACCTATCACAGGCTCCGTCGAAACCAGCTTCGACTCAGCCCACGTCTAGGCAGCAGGACCCCTTCTACGGTCATGAACAGGCCTCCCGCCTCTGTGCCCGTTTTATCACCCATCTCTTCGCCTGCCCAGAATACCCTCCATCGACGTCTGGCTCTTCCACTAAGCTCCCATATTTCATCGCTTATGCCCTTCATCGCACCAAGCTCCATGCATCTGTCACTTTTGCCGCCCTCGTCCTTTTGCAGCGCTTGAAGGCTCGTTTTCCCACCGCTCGAGGCTCCTCTGGTCATAGACTCTTTGTCTCCGCGTTTATGATTGCTTCAAAAGTCATTTGCGACGACACGTACAGTAATAAGTCCTGGAGCATTGTGGCTCAGGGTATGTTCCAGTTACGTGAAATTAACCAGATGGAAAGAGAGATGTGCCAATACCTCGATTGGGAGCTCAACGTGGACCCAGTTACTTTGAAGGAGTTTGAAGAAATGGTACGCAAGGACTTTGCGGGCCCAGGGCCTTACCCTACCTACATTCTTCCTCCCTCCTCCAAGACGTCGCCGCCATCCACTTCCAACCCATTCCCTCCCGCCAACACGAGTACGAGTCCAATACCGTCGTTCGGTCACCGCTACCCATCTCCACCCAAACCCCCATACCCCCCACCATCGACAAACACCTCATCCACCTATTCTCCTCCGGCGACACCCGATACACCCTCGCCCAGCAATTCGGCTACCACGTCTCCTGCATCTTCTGCTTCGCCACCTACACCCCCTGGCGTCGAAGACCTCACCGCAAAAATTGTATCGGCCAGCTCGTCGCCTGGTTATCCAAGACGAACCGAGTCAATACCACCGCCTACACTTTCGAAGTCGAAAATGTTCGCGTTCGCCACCCCTGCCGTTTGGTGAAATGATCCTCACACTTGTATTATAGCCTCGACGTTTTTGCTAGTCGTTCATTTATCAGACGTATCCACCTCGCGCCGTCTCGAAGACTTCGCAAATTAATGTATACGATCCCGACAGACTTGCGCCATATTTAATGGACTTATCTATACCCCCTCCTCTTCGACATCGTTGTCATTTCCTGTTTTGTGCATTGGTGGGAGGGTTGTAGGTGTTCTTTTCATTTTTGCATACATATCTTTTTGCCATATCACATTTCATGTTTCAATAGCATCACTCATGGGCATAGTAGGATATAATGAAATAAAAACTTGAATACACATGTACTAGATGAGCGCTGAGAGTGTTGTCACTAACTGGTGCGTGCTGTCTTTTGTCTCGATCCATCAGTGGCAAACAATGAGCACCATTCGTTTCATTTACGCTCGGACCCGGTGCTTGGAGGGGATGGGACGGGTAGAACAGCCTCAGGCATCGACGCAAGGGCCTACAGCGCGTTATCTGTCAATTTCCGGGTTGATTGATGATACGTTATGAACCTTGCCCATTCTGAGGATATTCCTTCTAGAGGACATTCGCCGCATCAGACCTTTCGGATGGAAACGTCTTTCTGGACACGTTTTTTTAAGACAACGGAGGCCGGGTACAGCATGTCGTCTTGATATGGAAACACATCTGACTGTGTTCAGTGGCACGCCTAGCGTCTCTCCCCTCTGTTTATCAGTCCAAATACGATCAACAAATCTTCACGCTTTTCTATTTATCTCCGTTCTGCCACCTACTCTCCTCGCATTCCTGTGGGCCATCACCTTTTGATATCGTCTACTGATACATTAGCCCTTTCGTCTCATTGTTAGTCACCGTAGTCATACTTGCATGTCCTTTCGCTGTACACGCACGCTGCAACTGATCTCGCAGCTCTCGTTAAAAGCTTATCTACAGTATGCAGCAGGCACATAGATCAGGTCATCCGCGAGACGTGGTTCTAGGGGTCCATAGTCCACCTCGTGACAATACTCATCATTTCCCTTCCCCCGAAGAACTCCAGAAGGAGCGGTGAAAGGCGGCCATGCGTCCTATTGCAGGCCATCGTGATTCGTTATCGCGCGCTATATTCAATTCATTTTGTTACTATGGATCTTCCACTCAACTCTTCAACTCATTATTATAGAAAGAGCCTCCTCCGTTAGCAGCCGCCCATATCTGAACACGGCGCTCCTTTCTCCATTTCATACCTGTGATAAGCCTTCAAGTACCATTTCGATCTGCAGATTTCATATCAGCCTCGAGGGCGGAGCGCTCGTTATGACTCTTTGTGTTAGTCTTGAAGATCTCAAAGCTCACTCCAGACTGCCGTACTACGCTTGCTTCTCTGAGGGTGCCATGTTTTCTGGGGAACACACGCGGCAGCCTCGTGCATCAAACTCATTTCAGCTACGCTCTCCGCGAAGGTCGCGAGGCCTGCGCCGCATCATTTCGGGGGCGGCTTTGCGATTGATTGTGTTGATTTTTTTTTGATTGCTCCGTCCATTCTGATGGCGCACGAGTCTGGCGGCTGCTGCAGGCATTTGGGAGGGGGGCATGAGCTCATCATACAGACGATTTCATTGGGGGATGAGCCCCGTGGCTTTTTGTTTCTCACTACTGTCAAATAGGCTTACAGCACCTTTCATCTTCGTAATTGATCCGTTAACGAAAAAGAAAGAAAAAAACCAAGCCATCGTCATTTCCGTGGTACGTCTTCGTCAATTCTCTGCAACCCCTTCCAAGGAAATGTACATAACTGAGAACTCGCTTGTCTATCAGCTCTAGCCTTTCGATTGACTTCTAAGTCATGCCCGCCAGTTCCTCAGATTGAAATCGGAAGATCAGGCCATACACGCCTTAAACATCCACGGATGATAAGCACACACATTGTTTTGACTACTTTAAATTTGATGTCCGCCGCGGTAGAATGGATTTTCATGCGATCTAGGACCCTGACATATTCGACTCAGAACGCTAGACTTGCCAGTGTGTCAATCCTGCAGGTTTTATGCAATGCTGCCTCCTCCATTCCGAGCCACCAATTGTTTTTGGACTTTCCTCCGACAACATACCCACAGCGGCCCGTATCATGCGGTGATAGTGTTCCTCGCGGTGCGGTCCCATTGCGGCCAAAGTATACTGAGAATAAGTGCAAACCTCAGATTTCCTTCCTATGCATCGTTCTCGCCTCTGCCGTCACCGGGCCCATCTCAGTGCCCGAGCAATGCTGTAAGCCGCATCCCAACTCAGTTTATTCCGCTGTACCTTCCTCCCCACCTCCTTTTATCAAAAGAATGCCGGCGGGCCCCGTCCGGTTTCTCTGTCAACCTCGTGTGTGACTAACTGATATATGGTGTACTCCCTACCGCGGTGTAGTCGAGTAACCTGGGCGCCCTCGAGAGCACGCGGTGATGGCATAGCAATGAATGGCGTATTTGAGGAAGAAGTACGAGATCTGCTTTGCGTATCGGTTATCATTTTAGCATTATTATTTTGCCGTGACATATACTCCTGTCTTCTCCTTGCCATTCGAGTCCACTGGAATATTCCAACCAACCCCAGCTTTCCCTGATCGCAGCTTGCCAGCAAGCTGTGTGTGGGAGACCTTTTCTGTTTAAACTGTTGACAAAGTTTACACTGCTGGGACTACGCTTACTACCTCTCACCCACCCACGATCGTTGGTCTTCAGCCATCCTCTGATGCTGCACTGTTTACCCTGCTATCTGGGACAGCCTCTTCGCTTGTAGGCTGTCAGCTGTCGACGCGTTGCTCGTACGTCTGAGTGTATCCATCACTCTCTATCACGTTATTCGTCCTATCAATTTTGCCTCCCACTGGCAGCAAGCCGCGGATATCCGACTGCTGCACTCATCTACGCGAACCCGTTTGGTGTGCTACGATAATACGATAAAGATCTATATGAAAAGGCTGCAGAGCACACCAGCTGTCGATTGCTTTATCAGGATCGCGATGAAGCGCTCAGGCTTCAAGTTGACGCGCTGAATAGCTCTGATCCTGAGTTGCCCATGTTGACAGCTAGGGTGGTGGGGCTACCGTGACCGAAGGAGGGAAACTCCAAGCTCTCCTCTACGTATTTGTCGATTGGTACCATCCACGGACGAAATCAAATAACTGTCTTTATTCACTCCAGGTGGAAACCTTTACTTACACTACCGTCACATTTGACATACACGAGCCACTAATATCATGTGGAGATCTTTAGAACCCATCGGACACAGCCATCTGACAGATTTTAATCAACAAAAAAGACATCTCTTTCCAGCCCCTCCCCCCCCTTCGAGGGTCCAGTCATTTCTGGGCTACTTTCTTCCACTAGTCCCCTTATGGGTTCCTCAGGACATCCGCCGTGGAGAGAGCTTATCCACGAGAGATGGCGATGATCTACCAGTGGCGCGTGGGGACACACACACTCCGCCCTCCCGCCCTCCACCGCCGTCCCGTTCTTGCTAATTGTTTTTTCTTAACAACTTCCTCGTATATCCAACGCACCCGCATCCGCATCCTGTGAGACACCAAAGTCGCACTAGCGGCTCCGAGAATCCCTCCAGTCGAATCACGGTCACTATTTCACCCTATCACCCGCATCGATATGGGCCTGAACGCCTGACCATTCAGGTTGGATTCCTTCCCTGGAGAATCCCCATATATAACCACACCTCGTGACCGGGTGGCCCACCCAACGAACGTATTAAGCATAACTGGACCTATATGATGTTGATAGCGATGCCATGGCATGCTGAATGGGATTGCTTTTAGCGTCTGAGTTACTGCGGATTGGCGATGATAATCATTGTGATCAAGATATCGTCCTCGATGGTACACACGGGTCATGATCAATGCCCAGCTTTTTAAATTAGGTCTAGGTGAGTCACGAGTGGTACTTGCTGTGGTGTAGAAGCCTTTTTCGAAGCTCATTGTTATGATACCGAGGGAGAGGATATGAAAGTTTACTCACCTCTGACGATGTGGTAAGGCTCCTTCTATGACTCTTAAAGCTCGGATACAAGTTTGGACAGTTTGAGACTGTTTCTTGATCATCGATAATGGATAAACAATGCACCGAGAAAAGCTCCTCACTTCCCTTTTCTGCGATCAGTACATAGAGCATCTTGGTGTGATGAAGTGCTACACTTGTTTCCCAGTCCAGAAGTTGTTCCTATCGATTGTTCTACAGTGATTGCGCAATGGGCAGGCACCGGTGGGCCACTGACTGACAAGCAAAGCCCCTGACTGTACAAATAAAGTAAGCCACTGGCATGTCGACAGTTCACACCTATCCTGATCACATCTTGCGGCCCAACTCATCGTGTGGCCCAGTGCCTTGCACTTATCCCCTATCCACATCCTCTCTACGTGGTACTCGAACAGCCACAGATCATTACTTTATGAGGAACAGTGAGTACACGCTATACGAGGGCTTCTAGCAAACTACAGCCCCATACCGTATTTATATCTTCAGTGTGGTTTAACAGTTCATGCGCTAAGGATAGCAGCATTGACACCACGGTCTTCCCCTTCGAAACTCTTGTAAAAGACCCACGCGTCGACGTACTCCTCCCCCTCCTGTCCGTCTTTGCGTTTGAGGCGACCTGCCTTGGGTATCAGACCCGCTTTCGTGAAGTTAAGTTTTTCCCATAGTCTGTAAGCACGTCATCAACATTGCGGTCCATCAAGCAAAGATATCAACATAAAAAATAATGGAGACAAACGTGTACGGAACTCGATATTCGACTACCAGTACCGGCGTCTATGTGTCATTGCTCCTACAGGATGAGGGGGGAATGTCAACTTTGAAAAAGCGTGTGCACCTGACGCTTGCTGTGTTATTCACATATACCAAATTAAACACGCTGGCTTTGTAACCTAGTGCTGGGCCATAATGAAGATAGGACTTTGCGAGGACAGAGCCGAAACCGCCACCTCGTTGGTTTGGAGGAACGACAAAACCAGCATTGCATATCTGATGTGACGGAGATGAATTTGAATTAGCATCAGACGAATTCAGACTTCTATGGAGTTTCGAAACCCGTTCACGGCTCCAAGTCGCGTTTCGACTACGGACCGCAGCTCTTCCCCGCAACTACTCTTTGGCTGTGAACTGAAATACTTACATGCGATGATCGTCCGGGATAGTTCGGTTTCACCTGCAAGACCACGCTCTCGATAAGGGGATGTCATAACAAAGCAGGCTCCCCACTCACGTAGTAAAATCCAGCCACACACACTTCCCAAGATCGTCCCGCTCTGGCTTCTTCCACGCTCAGATCAACCTCTCTCACCCCATCCTTCTTCTCCGTCATCGCGACCTCTCCCGTGCCAGTGATCGCCACGAGCACATCGGCTGCAAAGAAATAGTTCGCAAAAGCAGCCTGATCGCGCACATTTTCTTGCGGATACGAGAGTCCCGTATCGACTTCATCTGCAAAGACGGAGTGCAGGTATTCGAATAGGCCGGGGAGTGCTTCTACGGCTGAGCGGTTGACATGGTGGATGGATAGGAATGTGGGAGATGCTGCGTCTGCTTTTCGAGGACTATCCCAGAGAGTGGGTGGTAGTAGTGATGTCCTCGAAGTGGTGATGGGGCCGTATGCAGACATCGATCACTGACAGTAATTGGCTATGTTCTAAAAGTGGTCCTGAGACGAAACGAAGGTTATTTACGATTCTAATGGGTCGGGAAAATCATGTGTGAGTCACTTTGCATGGAACGTCAAAGAATATAATGTACAAAACCTGTCAACACAATCTCACACCTTCAAGTTCAAGTTAACACATGTCATAGAATCATGACTCTGATGTCTTGATCTTTTTTAACATCGGATAGGGCAGTAATCTCGACTAACACATCTAGGCAGAATTTTGGTCTGCTCTGTGACTTTAAGGGGTTTTATGAGAAAATTGGACACAAGCGTACTTCGATGCTCTCAGTTTGCTTTCACGTTCACGTTCTCATGGTCGTTTCCCCCACCCCCGCATCGATATCGGCGCCAAAAGTTTGGTGCTCCGCTGCAAAGACCCGAACTTCCAGATGCGGTATCGTAGATAAAGTGCCTTGAAGTTCAAGTTACAGCAAAGAGTCCAGTACAGAAGTGTGTAGAGCAAACGTATATCAATCACCTTAGCAAGATCAGAAAGGCGAGTTTGATCTAAGTCAAGTGCAGAATTCATCATGAAATGTTAATAGTACTCGGACGATGTCATCGGTCAGCCAATGGATGACTTGAAGTAGGTAAGTATGCACAAAGATCCACATGCTAATGCAAAAATATGTACAGGGAAAACCACTATCGTTGTATATAAACCGCCAGGTTGTCCCTCATCCTCTCCACTAAAATGTGGTCGTCCGTCTTTCTCTCTCTCTTCTCATGTGTCCTTTTCTCGAACTTCTTCCAAGCAAACAGCAAAGTGCCGAACTTGGGGAAAGACACAGCTCAGCTTCACACTACCGTGACCAATAACTTATCCAGAGCAAACAGCTCCGAGCTATTGGTAGATATCAGTAGCAAGCACGTCAAATGGCTTTCATACAGCGATGCTGAAATGATATATTATGTTGATGGCCTGTATGTTGCCATTTACGGGCCTGTGCGTGTATCACTGACGCTGACGTTGGCATGTACAGGGGTGTTTGTGGTCTTACGAATGCGCCCAGTGACTTTGTGAGCTTACTACTCTGCTGCGACTCCTACTATAGCTAATCTAACATGCCGTATAGGTTGTGGCCTTAGATGCGGATGCAAGTCTTTTGTCACAGCTTAAAAATTCCGCCTGTTACCTTGCGCTCACATAAAAAACTAGCTATACGGCAATGGACAATATTGTTTCTCTACTATCACTATCACTTACAACGACATATCTAACCAAGCACATATAGTTGACGAGGTATGTGCACTGGCAAATACTGATCGTAGCTGGTGTTTCTCAGATGTTTTCCAGTGTCCTTTTTGTCCGTATTCTGGCCTCGCCCCTCAGTCAGGGGCTCTTCGAAAGCTTTGTTCCCCTTAGTAATGGCCCATTCTATGCAGATTGGACTTTTGACACGTAGGAAGGGGCTATACTCAGCATAAATGGTCTTCACGGGTATTATGCAAGCTGATTCGACATTGGCTTATGCTTTTCACCCTGTAACAAAACTTGATCCCCAACCGACCGATCAACCTCTGCGGTTTTGTCTGTAACAAATGCTAATATTATCCCCTTTTTTGTGCGAGCTTTTGCTCCCCAAATTATCATACCTATCATAATAAACAACAGTATGATATCGCCCACTGGCACGGACAAAATCTCTCAACATTTCGGACCATACTTTTATCTGTGTAGTTAAATAGACATGAAATCCTGAATGAAAAACTTCTTGCGTTGAGTTCTATAGGTATAGGAGAAACTCGAGGACCGTGATCATGTGCAAGTGCAAAGGCTTTTCACGAGATATAATTATATCCATTCCTGACCGAAGGTTAGCAGGTCTCATCTCACCATTAATTAGACTGCAAAGTGAATTTTCGGCATATTCCAAAATTGCACACTGGGAGGCAGATGGATAGATCTTTCATTCCGATTCTTGCGCTAACTTGAAGCTTCCCTACGTAGCCAGGTAGACACAGAATCCTGAATGCGGGATTTCTTGTGATGTATTCTCTACCGCACATTTGATACACTTGCGAATTTGAAGCATGTACAAAAATAAGGCATTTCATGATAACAGCTCGTGATGTCCACGGATGTATGTTTTAGTGGACAAGAGCGACTAAAGACCAGTAGATGAACTGGGACGAGAGAGATGTGTGGTAAAATATTAAAAAAAAGGATATGAGCCTACCTCATTGCATGAAGCCCAAAAGTTCAGCGGATTCGATCCGACTGCAATTTTTAGATCGGTGTTGAGCATAAGAAAACCACAACGACACGCAGGAGATCTTTGGGCACTACAAGGACATTGACTGAAAGCAAGACACACTACTGACCTATGAGAATTTATCCCAGCGGTGCGCTGATATGTATGTCGAGTCACGAGCAAGCAACGGTATCATGCACCTGAAGTAGCTAGCGGTCAGATGTCTTATAGGTCGGGTGACCTACCTCCAGTTTAATTCCCAAAGTCTGCAAGTGAGTTCCCCGCCCAAGCGTCACGAGTTTGTTTTTTCGACGGGCTTTTCGTCACTACAGTAGATCGGATATATGCGTAAGTCGAGTAGAGTAAACAAGATCAACTGGTAAAACCAAACCTAAAGCTTAAAGTACAAAACATCAAACTGTGAAGCACTGCTTACCAATGAGCATCAGAAAAAAAGACAATGTCGGAGGATTCCATGTACAAGGGTCACGATGAATCTGCCCGAGTGCAGATACAGTATATCGATATGGCTGACGACCTGTTCAACGAGCTATGCTGGTGCGGTCTAGCATCATGTGCACGGCTCCTCGGTATTCTAACTGAATTGGCGCAGTCTTTTGCGGAAAATGAAACAGAAGTTCTGCAGAGAACCGAATCATCGCCTGAAACAGAGGAAGTTGCTGCGTATAGCCAAAAGGATATAATGGTTGCCAGTGACTTAGCAGTACCAGTCCAGCTTTTGGAACTGCGGCTCACTGGGTAGACCACCTCTGGTCAACCTGTGTTTGCTTCGCTCGCGCCGCCCAAGAGCCTGAGACTGATCATCCCCGTTCACTGGCACTGGAAACAAACGGTGAAGACTGCAGAGCCACACTGACAAAATATTGCAAAATATCGCGTCTAAATTCGCCGCGGCTGGCCCTGACAAAAAAGCCTTGGCAGGAGACAAAGCGGAGATTTGATGACTTGGTCTGACTAAGCGGAAAGGTCCAGGCAGCCATCGAACTGAGTCGCGTTGAGAAAAAATCAGTGTCAGTAACGTCTACTAACGTCTTTCATCTTGTGTCTTGTCATTTCCTAAACAACCAACCACAGTCACTACAAAAAAAAAATATACAATGCGCTCTTTTATCTTCTTGTCTGTCTTTTCAGGTCTCTTGCTCTCCGTTTGTAGAGATGCCGGTTTCGCAGTTGCTCAGAACCTCAAGAAAGCCCATGCTCGTCCCCGAGTCTTAGGCCACAATCGCGCGTTGCCTGAAATGAATGGTACAGCTATCGGTGTATCGGATACAGCTCTCAGTAAACGCGATGGAAGCTCTCGGTTTACATACTTCCAGGATGGCACGTACGTTCTATTCCCCAACTCTCGCTTGGTAATGTGCTGAGGATGACATATACAGAGGCGCATGTGGGGTTTTCAACCAGCCAAGTGACTATGTGAGCAATTATGTCTTCAGCATTGTGTTATATCTCAGTTGCCAATCATGCAATTGTGGTCATAGATCGTGGCCCTAAATTCTGCAGTAAGCCTTGCTCTACCGACCTGATCGGGTTGTCGAGCTGACATACGAACTCGCACAGCAATTCGATGGCGGCGCACACTGTTTCGCAATGATCACCATCACTGTAGGCGACAAGACCACGCAAGCACAGATCACCGACGAAGTGAGCATCTTTTCCCCCATCATTCAACCGTCAGCCACCCAGAACCTGATCATCAAACACAAACAAGTGTCCTGGTTGTCCGTACCTCGGTCTAGACTTCAGCCAGGGGCTTTTCCAGTACTTCGCTGACACAAGCGTGGGAGAGCTCTATGGAGACTGGACCTACGGTGACGGTGCACCGACGACGAGTGCAACGCCTACGACGTCATGGGCACCTCAAACAACTTGGTCGCCCCCGCCCCCGCCCCCTACCAGTACCTACGTGTACACGCCCACCTCCACTTCGACTTCCACCTGGGTTAGCACCACCTCCACCACGAGCACAACGTCATCCACCATCTCTTCATCCTCTACATCGTCAAGTGCTGCAGTGCCAACCGCGGTGCCGACATTCACGCCCCAAAACCCCGACATGCTCCTCCAGCTCAACTTCGCCCTCATCAAGATCGGTTTTTTCGTCGAAGGGAACGGATTGCTATCATTATCGTCATCATCATATTGAGCATGCATGCACCTACTACCCAATAGTGTTCATTCAGTCAAATACATCTGCTTTTTCCTCTGTAGCTACTACTTCATAGACACCAGGTACAGAATCTTTTCTTGGGATATATATTATATATTATATATATGCGTGATTCATTATGCCCGTATGGATGCGAACTACAATAAGATACTCGCTATGACTGACCGATAGCCTCACGAACTACACGCAAGAAATGAGCGTCTTCGTCGCTTTGTGACCGAACAGCGCTTTGCTTCCTCCTCCCAGCCTTCCATAGAGAGTGAATCCCTTTGACTGCGTCCCTGAGTATCCCATCGTCCTCTTCGTTATCCCCTGTTATTATTCGAAGACCCTCACCAAGACCCACAGTCGAATGAGCTGTTCCGTTCACACTAGCACCTCGCCGAGACACCATCGATACGTCTGCATATTGATCGCTATCCGCCGCCGACAGCGGTGTAATCGTTTCAGGCTGATCTAGCGCAGAGAACGGCGACGGCGTATCCGACGCCGTCTCTGACTCTTCTGGATCGGACAACGGCGATGGGAACTCGTCGCGGCGAGGAGAGATGACGTTGAGTAGGTCGGTGAGCGTATTTGGCGAAGGTGGGCCTAGATGGGTGAACCGCGAACGCGAGTGGATGGCAGAAAGAGGGATCGCGATGGGTTCTTCTTGGCTTGCGGCGAAACGATGTGGGTCGCTGGCCGGATGGAGTGCGCGGTTTTTAACAGGCAGAGGGGACGGAAGCGTCGAATCGCCAGTTCCTAACATCAAAGAAAGTAAACGTTTAGTGACAGAGGACGAGGAGAAGGAAAAAATGACTTACCTTGAACTGAAGCGTACTGCGCCCAATATGCGTCCTCTGCTCCTTCTCCGCTACCGCTCGTCTTGGAGTTGACAGCAGAGCCTAGGAGGGCACTCGGGCTGCTATCCTCGTGCGCACCATACGCGTTCCAATACGAATCGTCGTCGTCGTCGTCGTCGTCTTCAGTCCCATCAGCATCTTTCGCGACGTCGAATTCGCGGGAACGTTCTGTGCCGTTTAGTTTCGAATCGTATGGAACTTGAATGGATGAAGCCGTCGACGAAGCTTCTCCCAAGGTCGCATGGGAGGCGGGTGGGAAAGGCATGAGCTGGAGATCGTGGTATTTCCACCCGTCCACGTCGTCCCACTGGAAAACTAGCCTCGCGCCGGTATCATCATCGTCGAGTCCTTCTCCCGTCGTGACACGCACATGGGCGCACGTGTGTTCTCGGTCTGAAGTGTACCGCACAGCGAACTCGTCCCCCTCTACATCCCAGTCCCGCTTGACTGCCACGAACGACTCTAACAGCTCCACCGCCTTGGAGCTCTGAGAAGACGGCCAGCAGAGGTATTCGAGAGAATCATTGGGGAAAATGGAGAGGAAGTGATGTCTCTGGAGAAGTGATTTTGAGATGAGGTGTGGGGGGAGGGGCTGGTCGAGCTGGGATGGAGGACAGATGTACTGCAGGATGAGGTTGACGGTGTGTGTGGGGATTGGATACATTGTCACGGTGCAAGAGCAGACAATGGTTTTTGGAGAGGAGGTCGACTGAGACAGACGGTGTTAGGTACTTATGATGAGTTTACTGATCGCGAATATATAATTTCGATTGCATTTGATTGTCAGCAAGCTGTGAGATTCTCTCCATGCTGGTCCCGGTCCGGTTGCAATTCTCCTAGCTGTACCTTCGCGGAAGCATACTTTCAACAACTACTGGACTCAACCGTTCACTTCGAGACAGAATGCCTGGATCTGATATGTTATGCATACTACTCCTGTATACGACGACGTAGTACAAAACAATCATGGACAGTCCAGTCTAGGTACAGCGTCACGGTACCTGATTCAAGGCGTAGCGTCGGCAATAAATCGGTCATTACAAAACCTCTCGATAGGGGCGTAAATACACTCGAGCTTAGGGGCCCACAAAACAAGTGCAACTATGAGTTCAGGTAATATTATGCTGCGCTTCATTTCCTGCGGCTTTACAATCCTTTCTTTCGAGTCACAACGTGCCATCAGCTTATATATACATATCTGTCACTTCCCTATCGAAGCAAGTCGTGCGATCACATTCTCAGAACGAGATCAACGATGCAAGAATGGCCCAGAACCCGGACCTTGTGATTTTGAACGTGGTATCACCTCGGCGATGCATCGTTGGGGCACACGACCTCCATAAAAAGCTGACGAGATCTCGAGGGAGGTGTTAGATGAGCTCAAACAAGAAATTGTGTATCAAAAGGCCAACGACCATATAACGTGCGTGTACGTTGATATCGTGTCCCTTGTTCATATTACTACACGGCCTTATTAGCCTAAACAGTAGCGTAAGCCACGAGACTGCAAGTGAAGCAAAGACATGCTCACCATAGATGCTTCTCCCAGTCCATTCTGCGAACTCCCTTCACAATCGTCCCTGTCTATGACATATCTTCTAGAACGAGTCAACGCCAAGCACTTCTCTCTCCTCTCCAATTGTGATTACCAGTCCTCTCCCGATCCACGAGGGTCGACGTGCAGTTAAAGCACCCTGTACTGACGCCTCGTTGTCACATTTGCCTTCTTCAGCCTTCACGTCAGCCTCCAATCCTTTCGTCACCCCGTCCCCAAAGAAGACATATCCCGGAATGTAACGATCGACGAATCTGAAAAAGAAGATGTGACGAGGTTCCCATAAACCGAGTAGATGGGGATAAGAGGTCACAATGCATAGAACAAACGTGAAACAAACAAGATGAAATGGACAAATACCTCTTGACCTGCTCATCTGACATTCCCTTGCCTCCATTCCGGGATTTCATGTTATGTTCCTGCTGCAGCCTCCACTTATAGATGATTGCGTAGGGCGAATGTTCTGGCGGTTTAATCTGTTTAGAGTCGCGTTTGCAGTGAGCGGTGGGAGCCACGTAGGTAATTGTAAGAACGTGAAGGGCAGCGCGCATAGCTCACCTGTAAGAACATGTCAAGCATTTGCCACCAGTCTACATACGCTTTCAGCTTCTCGTTCACCTCTTCTACATCTTCCATCCTCACACCCGCCATCTCACAAACACCCATGAGCCCGCGAACACTAGCCTTGTCCGACTCCGTCAGCCCTTCCTCCCACCCTCCGCCTCCACCACCTTCCGCCTGTTTCGCCCCCGTCCACCTCCTCTTCAAACACTCGTCGCTCACTGGATAGAACCCAACACACCAACCTTCTAGCACAACCACATCCACCGTAGGCGGTGCACTAACCACAGTTCCTTTTCCCTCTCCACGCGGTAAACGATCGCCTTCGCCTTCGAACAATGATTTCTCGAAACTGGGGAGCTCTATTGTTCTACCTTGCTTGTTGAAGCTTCCCTCTCCGTCTACTCCGACAGCGCCGTTAATCTCCTTCAGAGCACCCAGCACTTCCGTTCCAAGCTGGACATCATGCGTCCCAGGCAAACCTCTTCCCTTCAACAGCACGTTTCCAGTTCTCTCACTCCCATCCAAGTTCCCCCCAGCAACCTGCACCAAGCCCTCATGCGTCAAATACAGATCATCCAAGCTCATCACCACAGCTCGCACCCCCTTCTTCCCGAGTGCCTCTCTCAAGCGAGATGTCAGGTACGTCTTTCCAGAACCTTGTGGACCTTGAGCGCCTACGAAGAGTGGGGGAGGGGCGGCTGATGAAGATGGGGAGGAGTTTGAGGAGATTGTCGAAAACCTTGCTCGGTGATTCTCCAAGTGTGTCAACACATGTTCGACCATATGTGCCACCGCTGGCAGATCGCCGCCATCTGCAGGCATATCAACTGACAACCAAAAAGTAAGTATCGCGATAACGAGGACAATCAAAGTGAAATTTGATTACAGAGCAAACAGCCTTACTCCTTGAAACTATTAGGCTTGAAATGCTGACTTACAGTGTAAGCGTCGCGGAAGAGGTCACGAGAATCCCTGGAGATGTAGTATGTGGTTAGGGTTAATGCATTGGCGGTCCGACGGAACTTCTGGATGAGCCGGGCTTGAAAAAAAAAAACCGCAGAAGGGAACCTGTTGCCCCCTGTTAACGCTTCTCCGAAATCTGATTTGTTGTTGGCAGGACCGTCTTTAGCACAAAGATATTCAAGGAATGAACCCCCGCCATTGATGAAAGAAAAAGTCACGGCAGACAATAGATGCAAAACAAAGAAGAACCACATAATAACAAATTAGGATAAAGGGCTCGATAAAACCAGAATAACGCACAGCAAAAATGGACCGGCGTCAACAAAGAACTCGTCAGCTGTTCATAAAACAAGGAACAATGGGAAAGGCTGAACAGTACAGGCTATATACCGGTAAAAGCCCATGAGAAATAGAGGATTGATACCGGGACGCCCAGATAATTTTCTAGTCGGTAAAGCTCCATGCGCCATGCCCGTGAACTCGAACCAGGCAAAAGCGGTAAACACACTCGTCAATTTTGTGAACCGGTGCATGATCGATAATTGAACCAATGTGGTGGAATTGGAAAACGAAATGCTGTACCGATATAAGTCCAATCTGCCATAATAGAGCATATAAGCAGTCCAGCTTTCATCAACAATGATTTCTGATGAGCGGCACAAGAATCAATTGAGCTTTGAGATGTATCCCTTGTAACTTGAGCGTTTAATTATCAACCAAAACAGCATCAAGAAATTTTTGCGTAAACAAGCCGCTTGACAATGTTCATGCAATGCCGTCGAGGTAAACCTGATACAAAATTAATAAGTCCAGCGACGCCTCAACTGAACTGAATGAAATAGAACGCACTACGTGCTTACATCTGAAGAACTGAGCGATAAAAGGGGTGAGTCAAGCTTGGTATCAAAGAACCCTGCGGGGTATTATCATTCAGTTTAAATCTGTACCGTAACGTACCACCATCCACTCGAATACAGTGTAGATGGTGAAGATAGAATCCACCCTCTTTCTGCATCCTGCTAATCTATAGAAAAGTCATGTACAAGTCTACTTGTTCCCGCCATATCGCGCCTTACGACCAATGTCGAAGGGAATGTACTTGTATTTGATCATGTGCCTTAAAGTGGGAGAAACGGTCAGCCAAACCCATAGCATATACATAGAGGGGGAAAACCAAGAGATGCATAGAAATATGCATGAAGAGTTTGGTGAAGAAAAAGGAGAGGCCTCCACAATTCAGATAGAAAAATATCACTTACTGAATCTGCCTCCGCATAGTCAGAGCAAAGAGAACGCAGAAATATACTACAAGTATTGGCCAGTAGACAGGGACATCAAATACTTCCGACGAGGTGCATAACAACGAAATGAGTGTTGCCCGAGTAGCGCTCAACCTACGTAATGAAGTCATCAAAAATAGACGATGAAATAATGTTAGAAACGGTGCGGATAATGGTGTAGCTTGAGACGTACCAGAACTGCCATTCAGGTAGTCGCCTTACGAATGGCCTGAATTCATCATCACGCTGCTGGGGAAGTACATTCGCAGTGTCTTCTGGGCCACCCTCTTCAATCTCATCTGCTATGAGATCCTCTTGAAGGGAAGGGTCGAATTTCGGTTGAAGGAAAGCGAGGAGAAGGTTGAGAAGGTAAATTGCCAGGCCATCTACGGAGGTTCATGAGAAGAATCAGGCAGAGCAGGATAATTTCACAAACTTACAGCATACTGCAATCGAGGCGTGGTAATGACAAGTGAGTGAAAATATAACATTCTAAGTTAATGAATGACAAACCAATGTACCACTGTTCATTCACAAAAATATATGAATACACGAATGCAAGATGAACTAAAACACGCTAGACTTACTCCTTGGGCGAAGACGATTCGAAGCATGAAGAGACCAAGCAGACCCGCGGTAGCAAGCCAGCGGTGTAGGACGTGTGGTGTCCATCTGTCAAGCGTCTGCTGATATTGTCGTTGTGCTTTCGATACCATCGCTTGCGCAGAGGCAAGAGGAGAAGAAGAAGGCTGGTCGTCGGAGGACATCATCGTGGGCGACGTGGGCAACAACGAGGTCGTCAGTGGAAAAAAGAAAAAGGCACGTGAGTTCGTCAACGCGCAGTTGTTTTTTTAGTTCTGTCGCCGTTGGACGTGGCGGGCAGGGTGGGAAAAATCATTATCAAGCGGAGATCCATTGAGTTCGAACCAGGCCGTATATCCGTACGAGCGCTTGTTTGCCAGGCGCTTGTTCCCCTCCTTGTCCGTCATCATGTAATCGGAATAGGGTGAAGGCATACAATGATAATGTGAGTATCACACCGATGATTTTCTCTGACTGTCAAGCACAAAGCAAGTTATCCATGTGTATCTTCGCAGCTGTCTTTTATCAAGTGAGTGTCACATACTATACTATATGGTAACCGACGGCCATCTATCTACCTCTGATGATATCATGAGAAGTTTCGTGCAGCATGGTGAGTCTTTGGTGTACAGTAATGTTTTTATTTTCCTCATTTTCAGTATCATCAAACTTAACCTGTGTTGATGCACATACCGGGCCTATCCACTGATCATCAATACCATCGAACTGTACGCTGTTTATCCTCTGCTTTGATCTATCTCGGGAACGTCGTGCATCGATCCATCATTGTGTTCATGTTTTTGGATTCATTTCTGGTCATCCGATGTTTCCTGTCGTTTCGCACCAAAAACAAAGTATCACATTCTCTCGGCCTAACAGAAATCATCATTATAGTAAGATAAATCAAGTACAGATATAAACGAGTGTATATCGAACGTCACATCGTGACTAACAAAGCTGTCAATGTTCATCCTCCCTTAGGTCAGGCTCTCTGTGCCTACAAATGTCATTCCATTCTGATGATCATTTATGTCGCAAGATTAGTGCGGTCCCTAGTTGCCACAGTAAAGACATACCTTCGCATTCGAACGCTGCTAGCAATCGTCGCACTCACACTTTTTGTGTGGAGAAATGTCCCCGTCTTGAACGGTTCTCTCGTCTGACTCGACTTGTGCGAGCGCCAAGTCATCATCATCGACCCGATCGCAATTGTCATCAATCTCCACCAGCAGTTCTCCCCCTGGTCCTGTTTTATATTGCACTCGGCTGAGCTCATTGTGACTCAATAACCAGCGTGGATCAACATGGTATTTAGCGGCGAGAGAGCGAATTCCCAGTAGAGCATGGCAGACGGCAATCGTGATCATGGCGAAAGCTAGGCTGCAGGTAAATCATTTATATGTAAGTTGCTTATCACAACGAAATGGAGAATGAATCACTATGATTCCAACCCTGGCAAGCGCACCTGATGGGAGCGATGAAAAGAATCAGAATTTGGGTAAGATACGGAATCCCCGTAAGACCCACCTTCATGTTGTCGGTTATCGAAACACTACTTTCCGTAAATATCAGAGCAACTGTCGCGTACTTGTCAGAATTTTCAATCTTTTGTTTGGAAGGATACATACTCGTTGCCATGAAATACATTGGACCTCCCCTGTTGAGATCGCGTAAATGCATATCATCACCAAGAGCAAGAAGAAATGACCACGTACTCCTCTATGAACCGCTTGATAAATACCCCTGATGAGATTCTCGTGGTGCTATGAGCCAGGCGGTAGAGAGTCAACGCGTACATCGTGACGTGCAAAAAGATGGCAGGCAAATAAACATGCCAAGCAGATGATGGAGGCAAATATCCACAAGATGCAACGCCTGGAATTTGGTTATCTGGCTCGAGTTGAATGTTGCTATAAGTAAAGGCCATGAGAAATGACTGGGATACCACGCATAAAGTGAATATGGAGGCAATAATGATCTGAAAGAATTTGCTGTGCGTGAACAAGTACCAGACACGGAACGATAGAACGGCTGTTTGATATGCTCAGCGCGAGGTACTACTAGTATCTGTACTTTGTGTCTCACTTACCTTGACTAAGCACTAACACTGCTGCAGTTGATGCGTATAGGGTTCGTGACACACCTGCACATCTTGAACATATCATTCAGGAAAGGACAGCCAAATTCAGTGAGAGGAAAAGTACCCCTGCAAGAATTTTGAATGAGCTTGAAAATATACCAAAGGGACGGAAAAGCCCTACCGCGACTGTCATTTCATGAAAAAAGGCTATGAATGGAACAAGTTCAATATCACTAGCAGAGTGATATCACACGGATAGTACTGACACAGCAAGGTGAAACTATAGCATCAGAGAGTAAGTGGCAAGCAGAGTACCATTGAAACGATCTGAGAACATACACCACATTGCAAAGAGAAAGATATCGAATCTACCATCACCAAAATATGTTAGAATACATAGTAAACATTGCCGAAAGTGATGATCTTGTTACTAACACTGAGATAAAGTATCTGAGATATGTTCCATCTCTTGGACCAGAAGTACGCAACCTTTGCATATATCATTGTTCAGTAGGTGATTGTTTAGATGATGGCCCAAACGCACCTCCTGATCAAGCGTGATTATATGGTCATAAATCAACAGAGCTGCAGAGCCCATACAGAGGCGCTCCGCCAAGTCATTAGTAATTACACCAGTGAAGTCACTTGATTGCATGGTCAGCGAAAGGGAGGAAGGGCGCTGGAGATGAGAAACAAGTAGTTGGTTTATGTACGACTATGACAGTCCATCAACTGCATGAGTATCGTGAGTAGAAATCACTTTTAACAACTCAATATGAGTGCGATTTAATTCCACGCACAGCAATTGGGAAGGCGCGACAGGCAATGACAAACTTAGCTCAATGATAGCTATACGAAGTTCATCATTGATCGTTTGATGTCAGCATGGAGTGATTCCTCTCGAAGTCAGATCTAGTAATGTTCCATCGGATGAATGATCCAAACATTGTGATTCGCAACACATGACTTCGTCGTAGTATCCCTATTGCAAGAGCGCCTTGCTTTATTCTTGGAGCGCATCATGGGCAGTGCGAGCTGCCTAACACTTGTCATAGTATGTTGAGCGGGGGATGAAAGTAGCATAGAACCCACGAACACAAGGCTCGCCATGTTTGGTTGAAGGATCCTATAGTGACAGCATGGCTGGAATACAAGTGTCCTATGAACTCTGTGAATCGCCTTGAGCGAAACGACAGCCTTCAAGCTCAAGCTGGTCGGCTCGAGGACGGCGCCTGGCGCGTTAACAAGAAATCGAGCCCTTTTGTGTTCAACATTGAATCACCTTCATAATTAGCTCAGACATAGGCTTGGGCAATGCTGCATTGAGTACTTAAAGTCAAGTTTCAGGTGGCAACAATCAGTGGGTACACCATCGATTTCGGTGATGTCGATTCGGCGTGAGATTCTGGAAGGCACTGCAGTGAATAATTTTGGTATATCACTCACTGCACTTCACGATACTTCCAACCCAGCACCCCGAGCCCGAGGACCTAATGATCTATTTGCTATGCATATGACAGTATTTAACCGAATCTGACTTGTCGAGGGACTAAGAAGCATACGTGGAAATTACATGGGTACATTCACGACGCGTGATGCCGGCATTGGGGTGAATATAAGGCAAGAGAGAATCATGGTTTCTGCTAAGTATGCGGGATTTATGATCGTACATCAGTCTCCATTTCTATATGACTCAAAAATATAGCGCTTTTTAACGTTGTTCTACGGCAAATGATGTGAGTGGTCTATCATGCGATATTGGAACACGCACTAGGATATACCTATGATCAATAGTCAGACAGCTTGGATGGAAAGACGAGGAGGAGCTGCAGACGCCTCTCCAGAAGTAGCAGTAGCTAGACACGACTTAGAGAGCCGGGGTACTCCGGGTTCATTGGCTTTCTCTCGTCCGTTCTCTATTTGCAGAAGCTCGACGTGATCACCTTCGTATTGACTACCGACCTCTACCAGCAGCTCTGCGTTGTCCAAACCTCGTCTATATCGCAGCCGACTAAGTTCGTTATGACTTAATAGCCAGTTTGTATCAACGTGAAGCTTCGCAGCAAGAGTTCGGATACTGAGCAAGGCATGGCATACCGCGATGGTAATAATGGCGGAGGTTAAACTGTTACATTCCATGAGCAATAGCTCAATGAAATCAAAGTGAAACAATTACTATGACTCTATAACAGGCAACATCTGTCCAGACAAAGATTCAGTAGATAGGAAGTCAAACACTGTAAGGTACCCACCGTCGAACTCCCAGCTACGGCCAGAGTGAAGAATACCGCTAAGAGGGTAGCTATCAAAAACAATCATGATATAACTGTGCATAATAGAGGCGTAGGACATGAAGCTCACCCGTTGCAATCAAATACAGCGGTGCACCTCTGACCAAATCAATATCAGGTCAGGTAGAATTATAGGGTATGTGGCACACTCACTCTTCAATGAACCGTTGAACGAACGCTTTCGAAACGATAGATGTGGTGCTATGTGCCACTCGGTAAACCGTTAACGCGTACATCAACACATGTAGCAATACGGCAGGCAGATAAACGTGCCAAGTTGTTGTTGGAGGAACATATCCACACACAGAAACACCGTTGGCATAATCAATGCGTGCAAATGTAGAGTGACGGAACGTGATGAACATTAAAATGATCTGAGAGAGAACACATGCGAGAAATACGTATGCCACAAATAATTGGGCATGTTTGCTATGCGTGAAAAGATACCATACCCGAAAAGTCAATATGACTGGAGCGAACATGAGACTAAAAGAATATGAGAACTTCATGGCGGTCACCTACCTTGGCTAAGCAAGAGTATGACATTTGTAAGAATGTAGATCGTGATAGTTGTTCCCGCGCAGCTGCAAGGCAACAAAACTAGTATTCAGCCAGGCCTGCCAAGCGGAAATAAAACCAGTACCCCTATAGATATTGATTGAATTGTGAGCACGACAGAGTACCATAAACAAGGTAAACTCTTACCAAAACCGGAAGAATGGTAACGTGGTCTGATTCATGAACATATATTTTTTTTGCTTAATTGTAAGAAGACTTGCATACCAAGTGACACGAAACTGTGAAACACATCATTGAGTCGTTTAAACTAACTGGACATAGGGAGATGACAAACATTAGGTTTAGGATTGTAAGGTACCGAACCTGTATCGCGCACGGCAATTGAGCGAATGCATCACATTATTGAGGGGGACATTACGCTGAGATAGAGCATCCTAGATAGTGTCCACTGGCCCGACCAAAAGTAGGAAATCTAAAAAGACTCAACCTGGAGTTGAGTTATAGTAACTGCATGATTTAGACTCACTTCTTGGTCCAAAGTTGTAACGTGGTCATAGGAGAGTAATGCAAGAGCTGCGGCGAAACAACGACTTCCCCTGACATTATCCTCTACAAGTTGAAGCGTGTTAGACATCCTCGTTATGGAGCGGTGGTTCGCAGATCTAACTTGGGTTAGTTGAACTTGCGATGGAGACAGTTAGCCCTGGTACATTCGGGATTGGAATCATCGTGCTCTTTTTAAGTGAGAACACAATGACCATCCTGTGCTCGATCACCTAAGTGCAATGCTCGGTTAAGGTTTACAGTCAAGGTGCAAAGATGGTGGTCGTTGGGTAGCTGATGAAACTATATCGTCATGGAATGGGATGCGTTTCATGAATACTGAGCTTTCAGTGGGACTAACAGCTACACGGCCTACGCTGCACTAGCGGTAGTCTAATACCTCCCAACCGAAACATGAGTTTCGAGTCTCATAGATCCAAAGATGTGGGGAATTGCTTGCTTAGAAGGGAATTGATCAGATGTAATTCTGAATCAATGAGTATTTCTGCCAATAGGCATTGGTGTGGATGCGAAAAAAAGTGCGGAAAAAGTACACCCGTACAGAGGAGCGGAGACTGCCAGGATCAATGATACGTGATGCTGATGCAAGCCTACATCTTAGGATATGGGTTCCCACTTACCAGTTTGAAGTCGGGCAAATTATCAACCAGAGATCACTTGGAGAGGAACTAACTTGACTACTAGTATCATGATCACATCATCGGGGCTGTAATCTAACGGTAACTTGCGGTTGAAGCTCTTGCTCTCAATATCTGCACCCCTTCAGGAGAACGATTCAAAATTGTGTCATGTTAACGCCCACCTATGGTGAACAGACAGCAATACTTACTAGGAGTTGAATCCAGCTATTGTCTGTCCATACGAACGTTAAGCTTTCAGCTTTCAAATACTATAATGTACATACCCCCTCATGTCCTGACATGGCCATGGCTACGAGCCATAATACAAAGAAAGCTGTTGGATCGATGAATGATCATGTGCAGGAAAGGTGTAAAGAGAAGAAGATACCTGTTGCAATTAAATACATAGGGGCACCTCTAAAGCAGATGTCTAGTCAGTTAATATTACAGAGCAGATAAAGCTAGCACTCACTCGCCAATGAATCTTCGAACGAATGCTCTGGAAACAATGGATGCACTACTGTATTTCACCCGATAAACTGTCAACCCATACATCGTCACATGTAGGACCATTGCGGGTATATACACGTGCCAAGTTGTTATTGGGGGAAGATATCCGCAAAAAGTAAGATTAGCACCTATGGGTGCACGTATTAACGGGGACTTGTGGTATGTATAACCCATCAAGATAGTTTGGGAGAAGGTGCATGCGAGGTAGATGTGTGCGATAATTGATTGGGCAAGTTTACTATGAGTGAAAAGGTGCCACACTTGAAAGGTAACAACAGCTAAAAAGAAATGAGATAGAAGATATACAGTGGATCCAACGAAAATCACCTTGCATAAGAACCATAATTAGGCCAGTCAAAACGAAGACGACAATAGATGTCCCGACGCAGCTGTATACGCATAAAAATCATGGTGTGTCTTTGAAACATTAGAGCAGGGAAATACACCTCTAAAAGAAGTGACCAGACTTGAGCAGGATATGATCTAATGAATGGGTCTGGACCTCACCGACGGCGGCAGAACAACGTTGTAGCCTATATACAGAAATGAGACATTTCTAGTAGTGAACTGCTGCGATCCCAAATACTCACCCATTGACATAAATCTGAGAATAATTAAGTCAGTCATAGACGAGTAAAGGAAATCTGATAAAGAGAACTGACAAGATGTTCAAAAGTGTTAAATACCGAATCTGAGGCTGCTATCAGCAAATCAAGTAGTACACCACCGAACATGGAGTCTCACGTTTAGATAGAGCCCTCTTGATAGTGTCCATGGGCCTGACCAAAAGTATTCCACCCAGAGGTGTTCGAGTTAGCATAGAGGAATCAAGATACCCTTCGAACACATTACTTCTTGATCAAGAGTTATAAGGTGATCAAAGAAAAGTAACGCCAAAGCTCCAGTGCAATAGTAGCGCCCTTCAAGTGCATTATCGATGAGTAATGTCGAGTTTCCCATAGTAAGGACCTAGACGAAGTGTTTTCAACGGGGTATACGCCCCACCCTATCAAGCTTGTGATGGAATCAGTGCTACGACTGCGTTGTATCTTCAACACCCACCATGTCCTGTTTTGTAAGGCTAAATCCTTACTTCCTGCACACAACAAATGCAGTGCAGAATTGAACTTTCATATGCATGGTCACGGTTACACGATTAAGATAAAGAACAGCAAAAAGCAGTACTGTAGGTAATGTAAAAAGCACTAGCTTTAGAAAGTTGCACCGCGGCGTCTATGAGAGCTCACCAGATCAAATTAGCTTACAGCAAATGGCTATACACTGTGCAAATGCCGGCAGCGCATGTTGACTGACGTGCACATCTAAATCGCTAGTACGAAATTAAAGATAAAAAGATTCATGGTACCAATAAGGTCCGTATCCAAGAGATGACGAGTTGGGCAGAATAACGTAGAAACTCAAGAAAAGTCGACCACCACACACCAGCTGTCGACGACAAACTGACACACTGACACACTATTGCTCTATGCTATATAGTAAATCAGTTATGCGTATGTAGCTGACGAGTGTGAAAAAAAGCATCGTACTGACAAATGTAATATGGGAGATTCATAATTCTTGGGACGACTCCGAAAAGCCGCTAGCTAAAGTAACCGGATGAGACAAGGGACGTACTTTTGTCCAGACTCGCAGCTCATCAACTCTTGGTTCAGGTGACTGCACATTGATTTCCATATTGCTCCCCTCATTAATTCCCATATCCACCAACAGCTCCCCGCCCGCCCCTCTCTTGCACTGGAGCCGACTCAACTCGCTATGGCTCAAGAGCCAGTGCGGGTCAACTTCGTATCTAGCAGCCAAGGTGCGAATGCTTAGCAGGACATGGCAGACCGCAACCGCGATGGTTGCGAACGCGAAACTGAAGATTCAAGGGGACCTCAATCATTCCGAAAACGATAATGTAAGCAATGCACTTGCTATGAGTCTATTCCTGTTACGCGGATCTGATTTCGTGTGAATATAGTCAGTGAATAGAGTAACGATGTGCAGGAGTACATGCGTACTGTTTCATCTTCCACAGAAACACTGACTACTGTGTATACCAGTGCAGCTGTGAAGGCTAGTATCAATGATGTATATCTGAGCTGATAACATTCGCTGTACCTGTTGCTACGAAGTACATCGGTCCACCCCTGTTATAGATTGGTTGGTTGCTGTGGTCAATCTGCAGCTAGCACGAAAGACTCACTCGTTAAGGAATCGCACTATGAACGTAGGTGAACTGATGGATGTCGTGCTCTTCATTAGACGATAAAGCGTCATAGCGTACATGATGAACTGCAGAACGACAGATGGTATAAAGTTATGCCATGCAGCCGTTGATGGTTTTGGGAGGTATGCACAAGACATGAAGTTACTTCCCAGATTCGGGGAGATGGTGGCGTTGTTGGAAGCGACGATCTCAATGTAAGAGTTCCGGTAGGCGAAAGCCATCAGAAATGCTTCAACGACGAAACAAGTAAAGAACAGCAATGCGATGAAGCTTTGAACTTTTTTGGAATGCGAAAAGAGGTAGTACACCCGAAGACTGTAAACAGCTTAGGTTATGTAACATATCAGAGACATTTACGGTCGAGTTTATAGCACGTAAGGACTGACCCTGGCTGAGAAATAGGACCGCAGTGGTCGATGCGTAGACAACGCGGATCACACCATAGCAGCTGTAGCCACATAAAGATTATTCCTTAGATATGTTTGGGTATCATAGAAAATTTAGTACCCCTGCCGATAAGAGTTATGGTTTAGTGATTAGATTCTCCAACTCATTATTACTACTCACAGATTCTGTCATATGGTGAAAGTAGGCTACAGGTTGCCGCAAAGACCAGTTAGGTATAGAAAGCTCGTCTGTGGGACACGAACTAACCCAGGATCATTAATCTAATCAAAGCTTGAGCATGATGTGATAATCAAACTCTGAAAGAGGACATACAACACATTGCACAGGGAGACATATCGAATCTGGATATGCAAGTTGTCAAAAGCACAGAATTCCGACTGTTCTACAAACACTAAGATAGAGGGACTTAGGTATAGTCCACGGGCCACTCCAAAAGTAGGCAACCTGCTCAAACCGGGTATGTAAACCATGTCTCAAATTCCATATAAAACATTAATCACCTCTTGTCCAACGGTAATGACATGATCATAGACAACCAAAGCAGTAGCAGCCATGAATAAGCGTTCTCCTTGCACAATGGCTATGAACTCGTTAATGAAGTCCATGTCCACGGTACTTCTGAGAAATAGTATATGATCACCCGAGAAAACTCAGATGACTTTTGAAAAGCAGATTATATGCAAATAGGTTTCTGCCGTGAGTAGATTCGAACTGGACGACATCAAAGCATCTGTTAGGCACCGAAGAGCCTTGGGGTTCACATACCCATCGCATTTGCAAACCGATGCATTGACATCCCGGCGAACAACGATGAACGATGAAATAGAAAACTGATGTCGAAATATAGCAGCTGGCAACTAATAGTGTGCTATAAGGAGTAGTACGTAGCTTAAGATGAAGTATAGACATCATATACAGCATAATTCCCACCTTTCATTACGCGTTACACCATCAAACAATGATGAAAGCAATGTCACTCTCACGTTATGTCCATCTCCATCGAGTTACAACAGGATAAGAATGCTGGCTAATTGTGAACAGGCAGCACCAACATGATAAGCCACTCACCTAACATGCTCGCGATTCGGGGTGACAACAGGAACTCAATGGAGGTACTCCATGAATCTGAAAACGAAAACGAACACACTGAAAAGAAAATCTATAACATATGCGATACAACAGCCCGCGCCAGATACAGTGCACAATCCTGATACATAAATAGGACACTGCACAGTCCTGGGACATTTTGATCGAGGCAGAGAATACACCCGATATGTTCACAGGTTAAAATCAAGTTTTCCGTCGAGGAGCTACCCCATAAGGGTAATTCCATATCCATGTCAGTACACAAGAGACAAAGATTACAGCAAACATGCCGGTTTAATTTAACACACCTGCGCGGCGATTCGAGAGACACCTTTGATCTTTTTACACTCCTCTTGAACATTACAGCCTTTCGTCGTGTTCAAAGTGCCATAGTCATAGTGGCTTTTCAAATATCTGTTACGTAGTACGTATGATGTTGTATTGCATATACGGACAAAATTGATAGGCTGAATGATAGGAAGAACACGCACCGGAGACAGGCCTCCTCTTTGAAATCTTGATAAATTTTTCTGTTACTCTTTCTCTAAGGCATGATATAAGTAACAGATACAGCGCACAGGATTTAGCATGGGCAAACCTCTTGCCTTCGCGCAGCTTCCTCATACAGGTGACTTTGGTGCACAAGAAAATGGTCGGAAAGAACGTAAAACGACATGCCTGACAAATACATCTCGAATAGACATGCTGCCTTGTTGCCACCATAGCCGATGAATCGCTCATCGCACCTACATAGAATGTTTACGAGCAAACATATGCAACGTTGGGAGGACGGCGCTTACCATGGCGGTCCTGTCTTCTTGAATATGACATACGGCTCGTACGCGGAGTGATACTGTGTAACCTTGTATACTTCACCCGGTTGACTGGAGTAAAACCTTGCATAGTCTGTGCTGTTGTGTCCTGGAGCCCACGAACGATGGAACATGTCGATTTTCTTTGCTTTGACCAGGGATAGCAATGACTGCAATAAGGAAAAATGCGTCAAAGACAAAGAAGAGTGTATGGATATACATACGTTTTTATCTCGGGGGAACTTTTTCTGATCTGCCCCGTCAGCTTGTTTCAAGTACTCGAATGCCGGAACCACAAGAGCTGTATAACCCTCACTCAAGCGAGCCATGACTGCCTTGCTAGCACGCACAGCCGCGCGAAAGTCAGTGCATACCACAAAATCGACATCCAGCATCATCACAAAGTCTGTACGAGCAAAGAATCGTGCAATATTGCGCCAAGTATTGAGCTGCCGATCGAAAGGGTCGAGCACCAGATGTACATCTACAAAGGTAGCCATCGATGGCGATGAGGCATATAACTTGTGTAATTCGTTAAGGAGTGCGGTTGTGTGACTGGAGTCAGATTTGATGTGGACCGTGACAGATATCGGGCCTGATGTAAGTGTATAAGTAGCTTTCTAGGAGGCATAGTTTGTTGATATTAGTGAAACAAGCCGCATACCTTGATATCGCTCCACAAGTTGAGCAAAAACTTTGAATCGATTGGAGGTAACAAGGGTAGTGATAGTTATATCTTCTGGATTGAATGTACCGGATGCACGATAGAAAAAAGGAACTATTTTATTAGGTTGCATTGACTGTGCAAAGGCCTTTGATAAGAAAAGACCCTCGCGCATAGACGTGGCACTACCGTTCGCGGGACCTAGGTGGTGCTGCAAGGCATATTCTGATGTATGCCAGTAGATAGCTTCCTGGGAAGGCTCGGAGAATTTGATGTCGTTGCTTTGTGTCCCCCGCGAAAACTCTGTGAGAAAGAGATCGACCCAAGTGAAGCGGCTAGAATTTGTCTTGTTGTCAGACTTGACTGATAGAGAAGAGGTCCAAAGAGCGCTGAGTGGAGTGATGACGATGCGATTTGTTGAATCAAGGATTGCAAGGAGTACGTAGAAGAAAAATATCAGTTGTAAAGTTCGAATGATACGCGCGAATCCCATCCTAGAGTTCTCGTCGTAGTTGTTATGCCTGATTCCTGATACCTGACAATATCCTCGGAAAGATTTTGACTATGCCTTTCGATTTTGAGACTCCTGGAGTGATATTATTTTTGAACTTTGAAGAGTCTTCAGATGTACTTTCATTTACGCTGCAGCAAGCCGGTTTAGACTATAGGGATAGTAAGAGTTGTGGTAGTGGTTCAAAGTCAACAAAGTTGTGACATACTTAGAACCTTTCGTTGATCACGTGAAATGTGACATTCGTGGTGGATAATTTCCTTTCACACTGTCAGTCAGGTTGGTCAATGGAATACTAGTCTCCTGTCAGACCAAATTCACGTATAACTTATGGCGGTCAATAGCTGTATAAGCATTTTGACACATACAAATAAAGGTATGATACAGTGTCGCATACTTACTACAGTGACTTGAAGAGCCTAATACTGTCTGGGAAACAGTATGCAATTCTGAACGCCATTTTCTGTTGCAAGCAAAGTCGACCATAAAGCTGAGCCCCAGGATTTGCTAAGTGTAGCACATTGATATTTTTGCGTAGTAACCTTTACGACTCACGCTAATTCACCTTTCGCTAATTCACGCGATTTTAGCTAGTAATCTTGCGAACCTCTCAGGTTCATCCCAGTGCACCTATTGTTAATTAGTGATCTACCCTTCAAATCAATCGTCTCATGCTCACGAAATGGTTTGCTTTCTCCACCGTGACGACCTCAACGTCTCTTCCCTTTTGGTTCTTGCGGTTCTCTTCAGCTTGCCGTTCGAAGAGCTGCGCTGCCCACACACCGTCTCCAACGTCCATGTCGCAATACAGGATCCTGACTTTGGCTCTTGGCCACACGGTCTTTTTTACGCCGGTTTCTGCATCTTCGAAATACCCACTAAGTGCTCGGCGCATATTCTCACGATAAACTGCTGGGTCAACAGTTTCGACAAGGATTTGAGACCGTATCAATGCGGCCGAATCGATCATCTCAGCGTATTCTTCCGGCGTTATTCGTTGATCGGAAGGAATCTGGCGTGGCTCTTCATAATGAGCAGCTGGTACCGTATGTCCCTTTGTCTCTTCATACACCTTTATGGAGCGGGGTGCAAGTGAGGCTGAGTATTCAGGTGAAATCGGAGCAAGTTCAGCTTGGGGGTAGTATGACGTGATCCAGCTAGGAAACTTGGCGATTTTATCGTCGGCGCTCGCACTCGCGTCCCGGAAGGGACTGTACACTCCAGGGACAGGCGGTTCACCCAGACAGGTCTGGGACGTAGCTATAACGACGATATCACATCACCAAATGAATCAATGAGCGTCCTGTACGTATTTCTGTAACGTGTGTGTCCGAGTTGTACATACCATATACTAATAGACTGCGGAAATATTTGTCTAGTAGCTTGCTCGTCTTTTCGGGGACTTTGTCCGCATATGCAAGTATGGTGGTCGTCTGACAGTTACCCGCCGACCATCCCAGAAAAGATATTCCCCCAGTGACCAGACCGTCGGCGTTTGGCTGTTCAGATATCGGTGGAATGTCTTCGTTCTCAATGAACCAAGCTATGAACGAGGCAAACTCGAGCGCACGTGCTTCTAATGCTGCGGATTGCGTTTCTTTCTTTGCAAAGGCATCAAGTTCAGCAGCAGTGAACAAAGTGGAACCAGGGTAGTCTCTGGCCGTGAGGAATACCAGGCGTAAGTTTTGTGAGGCAGCATACGGGACTAGAGGCCGGAAAGAAGCTGTCCATGTCAATGCTATGATGAGCTACTGGTACCTCAGAGGTCTGTAAGTTGACTCACGCGTGTGGAACATGGCACCATGCACTAACACAATGGTTGTATAAGACGTGGAACCTGTTGGTATTCCTGTGTCTTCGTAGTAGAGCACAGTTCCATTATTGTCTATTGGAGCTACTGGCATGGTGTGATGTAGGGGGGATTAAGCCTATCACCCGCTACATCAGTTATCTTTTTGAAGTACGAGATGAGCCCATCCCTAATATCGCCGAGATATCGATTGCATTATGTACGGTAATAATCGTGACTTGCAGTGCATCGCTACGCGATCCAGGGACATAAGGCTTCAATCAGTACTTCATTGCAGTTACGTCCAAGTCGGTCATCTGATCACCCCCTAAATAGGCCCGAAGTTAACACCATAAACACATACCCCTTATCAGAATGCTGCTGGTGAATGTGATGTTTACCACGATCACTCAACTTAAGGACAATGAATGAATCTCCAGAAATATTGAACCATTCAACAAGGAGTGCATTGAAACTTCCTGCGAGTATCTCATATTCATACTACTCTGTAAGCACCAGCTAGCTCCGACCGTGTATAAGATTTTCTCTCGCCAAAAATATAGAGTAACGATCAAGAAAAACAAAGACATGCCTGCGAGAAAGAGCATTTCATAAGTGACTTGGCGCAGCATGTTGTCGATTCAAAACTTCACCTCACATTCCATCCACTGACGCTCATGCAAGAGTATAGGCAAATATTCAACGACGAACAGCACGCTGAGATCCAGCTCCGGAAACTGCTCATATTCGATTCATCATTATCGTAAATGCTCGAATGAAAGAGAAAGGACCTTACGCTGCTGGGTGACAGAGGAGTCGTTGTTGGAGTTGGAGTTGTTTGTGTTGGTAGTGTTGCCAGAACCCGATTTGCGGGAGTTGTCGGTGGTGTTGGTATTGGTCTGGTTTCCAGCAACATCGTGGTAAGTGCCGATACCAGCAGAGGCTTTGTCACCGTGTTGGACGAAAGGCATGGTGGAGATGATAGGGTGTTATGAAGATATGTGGGTGTGGACTGAGGGAGTACCATCGTTCAATGAAGGCATTTTATGCTAGACGGGATCGGAAGGACGGCTCTCGATGTCTCGCGATAGCAAAAGAGTATCGCCATCCTCTCACACAAAGTATCGGAATAGGGAGGCTAGGAGATCATGAGTGGTCTGACGCTCCATCTCCATCTAAAAACGATTTTCGAACGCTTCATGAACCACGTCAAGAGACGTTGTTCTGACCTACTATGGATAAGATGGCCCTACGATAACGTATAGATTTCATGATGACTGCGGTGGTCAACTGGAAGCTCTTCGTCCTCTGCAAATCCCGAAGAACCAATCACTAGGATGGTCCAGAAGCTGGTGCTGAACTATTTAAAGAAAAAGCTGATCAACGCGTGAGGTTTGAAGCTGAGTAGGACGACCTACTGCTATCTCATGTTGGACCCCTTTAGAAGCACGGCGATTACGATGATCGTCAAAGAACATAATAAGCCACATTTATCTGTGGAACACTTTTGACCCAGTGGGATAGCACTTGTGTAGTATTTATGCCGCGTCCTTGACCAAGCCACGGCCAAACAGTATCGACACTGGCTGTCCGTTGATGTACCATTTTCCCAGCAATAAGCTGAGGAACTTTCGCGCTGGTCACAGGTACTAAGTTTGCATATTTCCTGAAAGCAAGCAGCTTCAGAGGGCATAGCTAACTCCTTGAGGAACAATTACCTTACCAGATGTGAGGATAGTTCCCCAAAGATTAGCCACAAAAGTTACAATAGACAACGATTGGAAGAGTGCCCGGATCTTGTAATTCTCCCGAATGAAATGCTCCAAAATCGTGTAGAAGTGGAACCAGCGAAGAAAAGCCCTGCAAAGGCGACAGATAATGAGTTCCTGTGGTGCCTCAGGACCCACGAGTGCCCAGTCTGGCTTGCTGGTCGGATCGATAAGTAACTGTTGCCTGAAGCTTATCAACAACCCGCTCTCAGCACTATAGCCAATGTGGTATATCCGGGAGCGCCCATGAGCTTCGCTCATGCTGTATTGAATTCCTCAATGTGCCTGTATTCCGCTCCCCAACACTCCATCGCAGAAACGGCCATTCTGGCCATTATTTACCGCTTCCAAAAAATTACTGCAGGCATAGGTGTTCGACAAGTTATACTAGTAGGCAAGCATCATTTCACCTAATTTGAGGCCGCAATTCAAAATGTTGAAATATGGATAATCCTATGGTATTTCATAGAGTCTGAGTTGTAATTTGGTACGATGAGGATATTATTCGTCGTTGTAGAATGGCCGGACTGTTGATATCGGTCGAGGAAAGAGATATGCAGAAACATTCTCACGGGCTCGAATATACTGCTTTTGTCACGTGCCTATACAGAAATTCATACACCATGATTTCGAGAATTTTATCTAACAGTGTACTGCGACCGAAGTACACAAATTTACCCTAAGCCAACATAACGAACATCGCTAGGCTGCAGTTCAGACGGCAAGCTAGGCTACTCAAGTTATAGGAGCTACGCAGCAATACTACGAAATTTGGCAAGGATGTCGGGTGATTTCATCATGACCATCGACTCGGATGAGGAACATGATTCCCCCGCCCCTGCACCACGTCCAGTAAAAGGACGGAATACAGCAAAGGCAGAAGATGCACAACTGAACCCCGACTTTGATTTTTTGGTGCCGTCCTATAATGATGCTTCAGAAATAGTTCAAAACCTTGTAGAGAAAGTGTCGAAAGCGGTCAGTAGATTTCGAGAACCAGCTTATTCAAGACACACAGGCTGATGTCACTACAGAACCAGATTTCGATAGACGAAATTATTGCTAGACGGAAATTGAAAACGTTCGCCAGCAAGAGGAAAAGGGTGTCTGGCGGAAATAAAAGTGATATCACAGATAGTGAAAGTGGCTCGGGCGAGGGTTCTGATGCTAAAGGCAGCGAGGAAAGCGACGAGGAGGAAGAAGAGGAAGAGGAAGACCCTCTTGCTACATCATCTGAAGAAGATAACGACGAAGAAAACAATAGCGAAGTAGAGGAGGATGGTGAAGGAGATTCCTCAGACGACTCTAACTCAACAGACGAAAACGACGAAGGCGAGAACCTCCGCAAAGCTGCTTATTTTGACGACGAAACCAGACCATCTGAAACTCATGCCTCTTTCTTGACGATGAATCTATCTCGACCAATAATAAAGGCTCTCACTACGATGGGTTTACATAAACCAACGCCTATACAGGCGGCTGCAGTTCCAGTAGCATTATTGGGCAAGGATGTGGTAGGAGGTGCCGTCACTGGGTCTGGAAAAACGGCTGCATTCACCATCCCTATCATTGAACGTCTTCTGTATCGAGATAAAGGCAAAAATGCTGCTGCAACACGATGTCTGGTCGTAGTGCCTACGAGAGAACTGGCTGTCCAATGTTTTGAAGTTGGCACCAGGATGGCCGGTCATACAGATGTGCGCTTCTGTCTAGTTGTTGGTATGTTTATCAGACTTTATTATGCTTAACCCTCACATTTTAGCGTATTTTATTACACACTAGGTGGACTCTCCCTCAAGTCGCAAGAAGCAGCTTTACGTAGTCGTCCAGACGTTCTCATCGCTACCCCCGGTCGTCTCATCGACCATCTGCACAATTCTCCTTCATTCACGCTCGATGCACTAGATATACTTGTCCTTGACGAGGCAGACCGCATGCTCGAGGATGGTTTTGCCGATGAACTCACAGAAATCGTCAAAGCCTGTCCCGTTTCTCGACAGACCATGTTATTCTCTGCCACCATGACTGATTCAGTCGACAAACTGATCAGGTTATCTCTAACAAAACCTGTTCGCATCTTTGTAGACGCGAAGCGGAGTATGGCCAAAGGTTTAGTTCAAGAGTTCGTCCGTGTCCGTCCTGAGAAGGAAAAAGAACGGCCTGCTCTTCTTCTATGTATCTGTAAAAGGACTTTCAAGACTCGAGTCATCGTATTTTTCCGGAGCAAGAAACTTGCTCATCAGATGCGCATTGTCTTCGGCTTACTTGACATGAAATGCGACGAGCTGCATGGTGATCTCTCTCAAGAACAGGTTTGTTTTCAGCGTGTGCTCTCGAGAAAGATGTACTCATTCAGTGTTATTAGCGGCTAAAAGCACTCCAAGCATTCCGTGATGGCTCTGTTGACTACCTGATGGCGACAGACCTGGCTTCACGTGGGCTCGACATCAAGGGGATCGAGACTGTAATAAATTTCGATATGCCCAGTCAGCTCGCACAATACCTGCATCGAGTGGGGAGAACAGCTCGAGCCGGAAAAACGGGACGGTATGTCTAAAATGCTCAGTATTTTCCGGATCTTTTGTCTAATGTCGAGAATTTCCAGATCAGTTACATTTGTTGGAGAAGCCGACCGAAAAATGCTTAGAGCAGTAGTCAAGCATAGCGCCGGCGAGGATAGTGTCAGGCATCGCGTAGTACCTGCAGATGTCGTATCCAAGTGGGCCCAGAAGTTTGAACAAGTGAAAGAGGAGGTCTCTGTGATTCTCAAAGAAGAAAAAGAGGAGAAACAAGTACGTTGAGACTGAATTCGATTTCTTTATTCCCCGTTTTCTTCATCTGATTAAATGTATGTTATCTAGCTCCGACAGGCAGAGATGGAACTAAAGAAGGGACAAAATATGATTGAGCACGAAAAAGAGATCTACTCGCGTCCCGCTCGGACTTGGTTCCAAACTGGACAAGAGAAAAATAAGGCTGCAGGTACCTGCCCAGTTATCAGCTATGTAATATTTGTGCTCAACGATAAATGTTCCCAGGTAGAACTCCCGGGAGACACAAGGCAAATTCTGGTGGAAAGCAAAAGCCAAAGGATGCAGCTCAGGTAAGCTCGTAATCCCGAGCAATCAATAATAACTGCTCGAATACGTTTCCCCCTTTTCAATCAGCCACCAAAAAGAGATAAATATGCTGGGCTATCGAGGAAAGCGAAGCGGCGGAAAATGGCGATGGAGGAAGACTCATGATACGATCCTTGTCATCATCAGACAATCTATCAAAAAGGCGGCGTTCCACCAATTGGTGCTTTTACCAATGAACCATTACTGGATCTTGCCGCTTATAGCTAAATGTTACTATTCATCTTGTCCATTATATATGCTGATGAAGCCATTTTCACTGGAACATATTTGCGCTCTTCATTCATTCACATGAGGGGCATCATGTGCATTATAACGAACCCTCCGATTCATTGCAACTTCGGCAATCTGGACGTCGATATTAAGATATGCTTTTTTGTGCATTCAGAATGCCGTGAAGTCACTTCGAATCTCCTTACGGAAATGTAGGCCATCCTGCTGAATGACACCCGTCCTTACCGTCTTACTGCCTATGAATACGGGCCTTTCTCTTTGCTAGACTGATGAACTGATCACATCCCCAAGTTACTTGCGTTTACACATGAAGATGTCGTCAGATGAATCGCAATAATATACTATAGTTCTATGCTGGGGGGAGTATCGAACGCATCGCCAACCATTCTAATTGTTCCACGATCTGCTCCAGCGTGAAGGCTATTTACTTCTGTCCATTAAAATCTTCCATGCTAGTGGTACTTGACAGGGCTAATCGTTATAAAGGTACATGAGTTCTATTTACTAGGCGGATACAGTGCTTGATGAAGTTGGAATGCGAGTTTAAGTTGTGCTCTGGAAATAATACATGAAAATCATGGAAGAGGTCAGAACTAGTCATGACTTACGCTCTGAGAGCCTGTTGTTCTGGGAGTAGTGGCCGTGGCGTTGCTGGTAGCGTCAATGTAGGGCGCGAAACTGGTCTAATGACAGGCTATCGATTAGTAGGAAAAAGAAGAAGGAAAGATATTATACGAACATCTTCGGTCCCTCGCCTGACTTTCCAGTGCCTGCCGGTGGTAAGGTAGGAGCCCATTCCGCACCCTCTGGGTAGATTTCAAACATGGACCATTTTGGATCTATTTTCTGCCAGTAGAGAAAGAAACTCTGCATCTCATCCCTTCTTCCCTTTGTCGACTGCAAAACAGCTCGTAAATCTTCGGCTTGCTTGCGCAAACGCGCTGCAGTAGCCTTGAGGACAGCTATTTCAGCGAGGCACTCCTGGTCAGCCTCAGATATATTCGCCATTATATCCACAGCGCGCTCGACGGCACGAATCTCTGAAAGAATGGGGACGTCCTCGACTGATGACATGCGGCTTGCATATGTAGACTGAGAAATTTGAGATATCTCAGAGCTCGCCTCTTTGGCATTGACATGGTCCACTCCATTGAGTTTTTTATTCGCTGCATGTAAAGAGTTAGTAATCGACTTGTTAATTTGCTGTAATCTATCTTCTTACCTTTCTCTTTCTTCGGAGTTGATTTACACTTGTCATTCTTCTTGCACATAGAAGTCTGTGGTAAATCTGCCTTTAGCGATGACGGAGGTGGCGCGCATACATCCCGACTATCTTGATTGTTTTTGGCGTCGTCTGGTGTATCTTTCTCTTCAATGTCTTTCCTGTTGAATATGGTTGAACTATGAGTATTCCACCTATAAAAGATTTCAAAACGTACTTGGTTTGGTCATCCTGCCCGACTTCGGTGGCACTCCCACTCCCACTCCCACTTCCGCTCCCACTCCCATTTCCGAGTCCACGCTCTACGAGACGTTGTACGATAGCTTCGTTTTTGAGATTGGGTTTGATACCATTAGACTACTCTCGACAATCATTAGTACATTGGTCAAACAGAAAACGCAGTACCATGCACTTACCCTAGCCAGTTTCTGAAGCTCGCCTCGCGGTAACTTGCGCAATGTGATGGCGTCAGACATGATCGGCGAGAATATTGAGGATGGCAATGCAACAAAATGAAGTACGAAATGCTTAATATTTGGTATGCGAGCAACGCATAATCCAATATTTATATGTTTCCTGCTCTGGTGGCCCAGCCAAGGGTCCGGTCAAGTCGGTAGAACAATAGTAAGCTTTGAAGAAGCTTCAAGCGTCGAAACCGGCTGTGCACAAGGTCAAAACTACCTTCCTTTTTTGGTCTATGACGGTGGTGGCTGAACAAATCCCCACAACAAAAGCAAAAATACGCCTTACAAGGCGTTTCACAGAACTTATTGGTGTAATAGTATCAGTGCTTTTTCGACAAAAACATTTTGTGCATCCCTGTGCTTCATAGCCCCCAAGTAATCAAATATGACTAACGCCACTCGGAAGCAAAATTGGAACCATCATGAAAAATATATGACAAGAAGGGGATTCGAACCCCTGCCCGGATTACCGGATGAGAAACCTGAAGCTTTCAGGCAAGCTTTCGCTTGAGTCACACGCCATAGACCGCTCGGCCATCTTGCCATGTGACTTCTTGACATGGGGGACGTTCCAACCACAGGGCCACTTGTCCAGCAATTCTGTGATCTTATCTAAACGCCAGTGAGACCTGTGGTCTCCCTACGTTTGACCACCGCATCTCAGACTACTACCATGTGAGCATGACGTGCCTGTAATTATAGTTACATATCCAGAACGCCATTGTTACTGTAACAGAACCGATACCGAAAATACAATAAGCATATGCGAACATATGGTCCTCCATACCACCATGCAGGTGCAGAGAATAGAAACAGCGTGATCTGCCAGATCGAATCGAATCGCATACGCGAAAAGATTGTGTGGCCACTTGGTGGCCACAAATGTGTTCCACTGTCTGTCGTCAAAGCTACCTGCCATTACAAGACAAGTCGCAAATTCTATTGTCCTCCGTGCTTGGACCAGTGGCTCAGACCCTTGAAGAGACCGGGGTTTGAGCCACTCCCATCAGTTCCATAGAGTTATTTCTACGGTCCAAACATTGATTCCATTCTGTCTTTCATCTCTCACCTGCATCCCCACCCAATACATCGCATACCTCCCAACTCCAGTCCAAATGGTGAACATGGATAGTCTCAAACTGAGGCAACTCAGCCGCGCGCAGATTCAAGCTATTGCAAAGGTATGCAAGGTCAGTCGTGCACTGTACATTGGTACTGACAGACATTCCGAATTGCTAGCAAAAAGCCGTCAAGGCAGTTGGCAAGACGGAGGAAATTATCCGCCGATTGATGAAGAAACATCCTGGAGGTGTTCCTATGTAAGTCAACCCATCCCGCCACCGCGGTGAGAGGGAAACATTGACATGGATATGCAGGTCTAAATCCCCTTCCTTGAAGGGAAGGTCTTCACGACAGAAAAAGCAAAGGACATCACTGGACAGTAATAAAAGGCAAGAACTTGAGCCAGGTAAGCGGAAAGCAATATTATCCCCACAACCGACTGATTGGTTGTTACGTTAATTTAGAGAAGAGTGCGATGATGCCGGCGGCGGAAAATGTCTCGGCAGTCGCAGGTCCCTCCAACGCGGTACCTGAGCAATCGCATGCAATATCACATCCCGATCTCGAGCCGAGTGCCATATTCAAGGTTGGACCTCGTCAAGACAGCGCGGGTGGAAACATCACTATCGGTGGTGAAGGATATTACGACGAAGATGACGACGATACCACCAGCTGGAAATCATTTCCCAGAGTGGAGAATGGGCCAACTATCAGAGAGGTTCGACACATACTGCGAGAATTCACCACACTTGTAGACGACAAACCGGGGATTAAGAAGAGGATGCTGGAAACATCTATGTTGATCGAGCGTGCCTCCAAGGTCGTTGACGCAGTCCAAGCGGCTGTGGAAGAAACATGCTGGACAAGAATCGTACTGGAGGAAGATCTGATGGCCAAGATGAAGGAAAAGGATGAGATATGGGATGGAACGGCCCAGATGGAGGCAGGAGCCAGAAGAAAGCGGATCGCCTGCTTGAAACGTAAGAGAAAGTTAGCGAGGCAGGAAAAGTGGGACAAGCAAGCCAAAGAGAATGCTGAATTGGGTATGGATCCGCCGGGATATGAGTGTGTTAAATTTGCCTTTTCGATATCTCCTTATTGATTGACTTTAATATTTTAGCTCGGCAGCAGAAAGCTCAGAGTATTCCGAATCATCATCCAGAGGAGATAGCATTGGAAGAGGAGGTAAACGCTCGCTAGAAGACGAAACAGAGGTCGAACGCCCGAGCAAAAGGACCCGCCCCTGACGGCCTCCACGTCCAAGGCCGGCGTTTTAATTGGAATAAAGTTAAAGCTTGTAGTAATGATTTACCTTTACTTATGCATGTATAGTGTCACGGCATCCTGATATTCATACACAACTGTAACCTCTGCTTTGTCATCTTGAAGTAGCAAGCGGCGGGGAAGAGTCGGGGGAGGCAAGAGTCTAGACAGTAGTTTTTGTTGGCGTTAGGCACGTTCGCTGCAGTTAGTATGCCTCGCTTTGCTCTGACAGAGTTAGAGCTATGTATATCGTACGATGTTTGCAAAGACTGCGCGCTGACGGCGATTGTCAGGACTTGGCTTCATTGATCACGATCAAGAGAATGGTCTTCCCGACGGATGGAGGCAGAAGCGTACAACCGGAGAGTACGGAGAGTATGGTCTGGAGCAAGAGAATGACCGTTGCTTGGCTTGTGTAAATTTGCCTGACTCGTGACAGAAATATCTGCTCAGCTGCCTAGTTTAACCGCTGGGGACGCTGCTTACGTGCTCGGCAGGATGTCGATGGGGGGCCACAAAGCGGAGCGAAGGTTGCAAAAGAGTACAACAAGCCGCATAAGGACTTGAAATACTGCGACAAAAGTAGGGCGATCAGATGCGAAGGGCATAAGTCTGCGGCAAGCCGCCACGTTTGGCGGTTCGTCCTGCCGCGTGATGTGAAGAGCGTATTGCGCGAGGGTTACCCGGAGGATAGAGTGCTAGTAAGCAATTATAAAGCTTTCGCGAAAGGTAACAAGCGCTGGTGCTGTGTCTGACGAGACTCGCACGTTGATCTATCAAATATCAGTGTTAGCGTATGTATGCATAGGTATTTCAAGGAAGTGAAGTTTGAGTCCGGAACCTTTGGCGCTTATATTTGTTAACGTTAAGGTCCTTCCTTATATGGAGTGCAAAAATTTGAGCATCGAGTCACGCAAAAAGCTTTAAAGGGTACGCCTCCAAGGAACAGATCCTTGTACTGAGCTGCTGGGCCATTTCCACCATGGCACTCCAGCTAAGCTCGGTTTTAAACCGACATTTGTCTTCTTGTCGACAACCTAAGCATTGGACGCGTTACTTTCATTCATCCCCTCGCCGCTTCATTGCACACACAAAACCACTGCGAGCTGTAGCTGCTCCTGCAGTTGGCTCATACGCTCCCAAAGACGGAGAACATGTCATAAACTCACCATCCGAACTCGCCCGTAGAATCTCTGCAAAGGTCCTGCCCAAAATACCGCGCCCTGATGTCAAGAAAGTCGTCGTCGTAGGCAGTGGAGGCCTCAGCATTGGCCAGGCCGGTGAATTCGACTACTCGGGATCACAGGCAATGAAGGCTCTGCGAGAGGAGGGCGTCGAAGCTGTACTCATCAACCCTAACATCGCTACCTGGCAGACATCTCATCAACTAGCTTCTGAAGTTTACTTCTTGCCAATTACCGCGGATTATGTAGCATATGTGCTGGAAAAGGAACGACCAGACGGTATCCTCTTGACTTTTGGTGGACAGAGTGCCCTCAATGTCGGTATTGCACTTGACAAGATGGGTGTTTTGGACAGGCTAGGCATCAGAGTTTTGGGAACCCCCATCAGGACTCTTGAAATCTCCGAAGACCGTGATCTTTTCGTACAGGCATTAAAGGGTGAATTATAGTTCGCTTTTATTTCGTTCTCCCTATGTGTTAGTTCGGGGTGATTCTGGTTGTGAAACCAGGTCGCCTGCAGAATCTATCTCAAAATTTATTGTCTCCTTGATTTGCTCTTTCTAACTCGTCTTGCACAGAAATCGATATCCCTGTGGCTCAGTCGACTGCCGTTTCGTCAGTTAACGATGCTCTGGCAGCAGCTGAAACTATTGGTTACCCGGTCATTCTGCGATCTGCGTTCACATTAGGTGGTCTTGGATCTGGTTTTGCGAACAACCCCGACGAACTGCGCGATCTTTCTGCAAAAAGTTTGAGTCTTAGTCCTCAAGTGCTCATCGAACGTAGTATGAAAGGATGGAAAGAACTGGAATACGAAGTCGTCCGTGATGCTGCAGATGTACGTGTCTTTCTTCTTCTTGTAGCTTGTCATTGACTTACATATGTCATAGAACACTATTATCTGCTGTAACATGGAAAACTTCGACCCTCTTGGCACTCACACCGGCGATTCCATCGTGGTGGCTCCCTCGCAGACCCTCCCGGACGACGAATACCACATGCTTCGAAGTGCAGCTCTCAAGGTCATCAGGCATCTAGGCGTCGTCGGAGAATGTAACATTCAATACGCACTCAACCCCTTCTCGCGTGAGTATTGCGTCATTGAGGTGAATGCTCGGTAAGGACTTGCGTTTTTCTTTCTTATGTCACATTCTCTCATGCAAATATCGTCGGTTATAATAGCCTGAGTCGTTCAAGGTTCGTGATTAATGGCGTGCATTGCGCGGGTTTAGCTAACACGTTGATCCTTTCTAGTGCCCTTGCTTCGAAGGCTACTGGTTACCCCCTCGCATACACTGCGGCGAAAATTGCCCTTGGTCACACCCTTCCCGAGCTCCCCAATGCTGTCACGAAAACGACTACGGCGTGCTTCGAGCCCTCTCTTGACTACATCGTTACTAAGATCCCCAAATGGGATCTTGCGAAATTCTCAACTCAGGTCAACCGGGAAGTCGGTTCGTCAATGAAGAGTGTCGGTGAAGTCATGGCTATCGGTCGTACATTCGAGGAGAGTTTGCAAAAGGCTATCAGGCAAGTGGACCCTCGATGGAAAGGATTTGAGGCATACGTACAGCCCGAAGATTTGGACCACGCCCTTTCGAATCCTACGGATATGCGTCTGTTTGCCATCGCCTATGCCATGTACAACAAACACTATACTGTTGACCATCTGCATGCTCTGACCAAAATCGACAAGGTAAGGGAGATCAGTTTGTATAACTTAGCTTTTTCACGAGCCTCTTGGTTTGTAGTGGTTCCTCTACAAGATAGAGAACATCGTGAACACACACTACGCTATCAAATCGTGTAGTTCAGTGGAGAACATCGACCACGAGGTTATGAAACAGGCCAAATGTATGGGATTCTCTGACTCCCAAATTGCCGACCTGGTTTCGTCTAAGGAAGACAATGTCCGTGCTCACCGAAAATCCCTTGGCATTACTCCTTTCGTGAAGAGAATAGATACACTAGCCGCTGAATACCCTGCGCATACAAACTACCTCTACACAACCTACAATGCTTCCGAGCATGATGTCGAGTTCGACGAACATGGAACAATGGTTTTGGGCAGTGGTGTGTACCGTATCGGCAGTAGCGTCGAATTTGACTGGTGTGCTGTAACGTGCGCTCGTAAATTGCGAGACATGGGCAGGAGGACCATCATGATCAACTACAACCCGGAGACAGTGTCCACGGACTTTGACGAAGCCGACCGCTTGTACTTCGAGGAACTTGGCTATGAACGTGTCATGGACATTTACGAACTGGAACAATCTCAAGGTGTCGTCGTCAGTGTGGGAGGTGAGGATTTATTTTTCTTTTGTGATTTGGACTTGACAAACTAAACCACTCCACCTTAGGACAACTTCCTCAAAACATTGCTCTGCGTCTCAAGGAGAATGGCGTCAAGGTTCTTGGTACTGACCCCGAGATGATCGACACTGCTGAGGACCGACACAAATTCTCGTCTGTGCTTGATAGTATTGGTGTCGATCAACCTGAGTGGGTTGAAGTTACAACTGTCGATGCTGCCAAAGCCTTTGCTCAGAAAGTGGGGTAAGTAATCTGACTTTGCTCATCAATGCGGAATAACTAAAGGCCATTACATTAGATACCCCGTCCTTATCCGTCCTTCCTACGTTCTCTCTGGCGCGGCCATGAACGTGGTCTACGAAGAATCCACCCTCGAATACAATCTCTCTGCAGCCGCCGACGTGTCACCTCTTCACCCAGTCGTGATCACCAAGTTCATCGACAATGCACAAGAAATCGACGTCGATGCTGTCGCCCACGATGGTAAACTTCTCGTCCACGCTGTCTCTGAACACGTTGAGAACGCTGGTGTGCACTCCGGTGATGCCACCCTTGTCCTACCTCCGTTCTCCCTGACTCCGGAAGACATGTCGCGCTTGAAGACTATTGCAGAGAAAGTCGCGACTGCATTCAAGATTTCTGGACCTTACAATATGCAGATCATCAAGAAGCCTGCTGATGGACCTAATGAAGAAGCCCAGCTCAAGGTTATCGAGTGCAACCTCCGCGCATCGCGGTCGTTCCCATTCGTATCCAAGGTGCTTGGACATAACTTCATCGACACCGCCACCACCGCCATCGTCAACCAAGACGTACCTGAGCCCGTCGATATCATGGCGCAAGAGAGAGATTACACCTCAATCAAGGTTGCTCAGTTCTCCTGGACTCGTTTGGGAGGTGCTGATCCCTTCTTGGGAGTCGGTGAGTAATCAGTTTGTTCAAGGATGTTGTCTCCTGAGACATGGCTGATACATCGCTTTAACTAGAAATGGCATCGACTGGAGAAGTCGCAAGTTTCGGCAAGGACATCCACGAGGCATACTGGGCTTCTTTGCTCAGTACCACCGGTTTCAAGGTTCCAGCTGAAGGTTCAGGTGTCCTTATCGGAGGAGACATTTCCAAGCCAGAGATGGCAACTGTCGCAAAAGGAATGCAAGATCTAGGCTTCAAACTCTACTGCTCTTCACCGGTTGTTGAGGACTTTTTGAACAACATTCCTTACGTATCAGCAAAACGTATCATATTCCCAACCAAGGACAAGCGAAAGCTTAAAATTGTATTTGACGAACACAACATCCAGTGTGTCGTTAACTTGGCAAAGTCGCGAGGCACAAGTGCGACTGATGAGGATTACGTCGCGAGACGGTGAGTTAGATTTCAACCATGTTCCGTCCGGATTCCTTATCATTTTGGATTGCTAGAAATGCGGTCGACTTTGGCTTGCCATTACTGAATAACGCGCGTAATGCCCAGCTTTTTATGGAGAGTCTAGCCAAAAAGATACCCACAGGTGGGTTGAAGAGTTACACCGAAGGACATATACCATCAGAAGTTCGGTCATGGCGGGAATTCGTCGGTGTACGGGCATGATCCCTGGTGCACGATGTATAATATGAAGGGGAATAGTAAAAGGAGAGTCAATCTTCATGTACATCTACACTTAGACACTATTTACTACAATGGCATGAGCTGGAAACAGCCTGTTCATCATATGTGACTACTTAAGGAAGTAGATCTTGGGGCGAGCATAAGGTGGCGACGTCCAGTTCTTGCGCGATTATGCGCATGCTTCTTGATAAGTCAATGTAATCATGATGACGCTCCAATGAGAATCTATCAACCGTTGCTCGGTCACTTGTACCTTGAATAATATCCGCCACAAGGCGCCCAATGACCGGAAGGAACTTGGTAGAGATTACAGACTTAGCTCGTACAGAAATTCCAGACATGATAAGAACGTCATACCTTGTAAGCGTGGCCACTTCCAGCAGTAGCTAGAACCAACGAAGGATCACCCTGATAATGGCCAATCACCCAATCTCCGTCAGGTGAATCGGTGTACCTAATAGTATTCATAGCATTGATATTATATCGCCATTCATTAACCAATATCCAATGAAAAATCATAAACCAGAATGAACAACACCAAGAGATGCAAACCGGATCTTACCAGCACATGCGAGTTTGAATAAACGGTTTGTTGGCGAGCTCAGGGTATATATGGCTCAGATGACCCCGCAGTTCAATGGCGACTGTTCTAGGTATGCGGAGACCTTCATCGGCGTGCGAGAGTATGGTTCGTGGAGTAGAGATCAGCCTTTGAGCGGTGGGGTGAGGAGCCATGTGCGTATGGCCTGCGGCGTGTATAGACAGTTTTACCACATCATGTTTGTCAGGCTGTTGAAATGTTAAAAAAAGGTAAATAAATACGTCAGAAAATACAAAAATTGAGATAACGAAGATCCGTCCGTACTGGGAAAATGTAGAATCCAGTCCTAAAATTTAACACGACAGGGCAATCTCGATAAACGTCCGCTTCTTCGCGCGTCAATTGAACCATCGCGACACTTTGCCTAAATCAAAACCCGTTAGTCTATGACTCATAACAAGACATAGAAACACACAGGAACAACGCATGGCCACGCACCCAGTAGCAAGACATTTCGTATCTAGATTCAGCTCTGGGAAAGAAGACGCCATCCACGACCCCGCAGCTAGAACGACCAAATCGGCATAGAACAAAGATCCATCTGTACACCTCACGCCCTTCGTCGCGCCGTCCTCCCGTACGAGTCCTTCTGCCGTCTTTCCAGGGACGACCCTTCCCCCGAGGGCAACGACGCGGGAAGTCATGAGCGATACGCCCTGCGCAGCTTCAGCCCACCCACCATCGCTGGCGAGGTAACCGGTGGCATCCGAGAGAGGGGCTAGGCGTCCGCTGGATGCGACTGAGGATGGGAAGACGGAGCGCACGGCGGTGCTATCCTCCAATCTCCTCACCCTCGCACCAATTTCGACGTCGTTGTCAAACGACATGTCGGCATAGGACTCAATGGGACCTTCGCCGACCGCGGCAGGGGGGTCCAGAACAACCACGCCGGATCTTGCGATGACCCAAACGAAAATTTAGAGAATGGACCCACGAGGGAGAGGTTAAGATTCAGTTCGATTCGATGCGCGTTCGGACGAAGCAGCAAAGCAAGGCCATGAGAAAAAAACAAAAAAGTCAATACGGTTACAATTCAATCCGGAGAAAAGGGAGAAAGGAGGAGAAGAAAAACCGGATGGATCATGTTTATAGATAATGGCGCGCACTCGTGATAGGTAGTACCCCAATCTTCTTCATTCTTCCATGCTCGTATGGCCTCCTGTGCCAATTTGGAGTAGAAGATATCGGAATAGCTGGAACGGACGACTGAGGCGCACGGCAGAGAAGGCGATCGGGTGTCCAGTGATGGCAAGATGCGGTAAATAGCGATGATGGTAAATCGATTGCGATACGGGATTGAAAGGGGTGGAATTCATAGTAGCATCAGAAATCAGATATCAGGCATTGCTCTTCAGATGGAGCAAGAATAAAGAAAGCAGCGGATCTTGGAAGTAATGTAAAAGGGGGTTTCTGGCTTACCCTTATTCATATCAGTGCTAGCTGCATCTGGGGCTGGCAGAACCACGGAACGGTCGATGATGGTCACATCTCCATACCCTCTTTTCAAAAGATGATACGCCGTCGAGATCCCAAAGCAGCCTGCGCCGACGATAAGCACTTTGCGGTCCGTCATGATAACTTCAAGTTCCGAAGTGTACTTATAGAGAAGAGATATGCAAGAAAATGCAGGAAGAGATGTCAATGCTAATTAGTGGTATCGACTTTCATATCCGAGTCATTGTTCGGTCTGACTAAGGGAGGGAGTCAGAAGACTAGATATCGCTATCTATTATTGATTGGTTAAGTTATTATCAGCGAGGGAAGGTAGGTTTATACCAAACCTTACCAAAACAATTGTCTCCCTTCTACTAGTAATCTGCCAAACTCATTGTTTTCTAGTAGCTGAGCCGCGATCCTGATTTTGATACGATGTTACGATGTCCAGCTGGGATGGATTAAGGACTCGGACTAGCTTTGTATGTAGTCCAGTCTGACCAATCAAAACCAAAGAAAACACCCGACCCAATCGTATACGTATATCTCTGAATTTCGATTGGCGTTCTCCGTCTCGAAACTACGACGAACACTACGAAAAAAAAAAAACAAAAAAAAAGATCTCAAGTTTAAGCCAAAAAAAAAAAAGACGCAAAACATGCGCGCGCGCTTTTTCATTTCTATTCCTACACCATGGAAAATACAACAAAAAATTATCTATGATAGCATAAGTAAGAGTAAGTGAACAACCTTCCGAGTTCTAATATGAATGTATGTCGAGTCATGAATTACAATGAAAGATGGCAGCGTGGCAGTGAAAAAAAATGGCTGGGAACGAGAAACACAAAGCTGCAAAGTCAGCCCACCTCATTCAAACAACCCAACGACAACGCTCTGCATCTTCCCGTCCCGTATCGCCTCATGGATCAATGAGATATTCTGGCCAAGCGTCACATCCTCCACTCCAAGCCCGTTCCCAAACATCCCAAAGTTTTCACTCCCATGCATCCGAATCCCAAGCGTCAGTCTCACAAACTCATATACACTCTTCGTCCGATTCAAACACCCACTCGCAGGCGCTGCACCCTTCGCACCATATAGGTAGTCGTGTTGAAGCTGCTTCAGCAGCTCTGCAGCGCGCTTCGCGACTTGTGCGCGGAAGTGAGGAATGGAAGAGAAGAGGACGCCGGCGGTGCTGGGAGTGAGGCCTGAGGTGGCCCCTGAGAGGATATCAACGAGAGGGATGGTGGCAGAGGCTGCGACGGCTTTCATACGGTCGACGCCGTCCATCGTAGAGGTCTGATCGAGCTTGTCGCGCATAGTGTCACAGACTCTGTCGCAGGCTGTTTGCAGATCGCTCGACAAGAGCGACGCTCCAAAAGTCGCGGTGAGTTCTTCCACGGCAATGGCAGAGAGGCCTTGGTAAAGCTCGGCTTGGAGTGCACGCAGGTCGAGTGCTTGACAGAGAACGTAGAGGTAGGAGGCTGTGAGCATGGAAAGCACATCGAGTGCATTGATGGTTGCACGTGCGGAAATCAGGGCAAGGGAGCTGAAGGTAGAAATTGCATCACGGTCAGCAGATGTTGATTATGATGAAGGAATCTGAAAACCCAGAAAAAAGGGCGACTCACTTGACAGATTGATTGTGCATCTCCGCAGACTGTACATGTGTCGAAACCGGGTTTGCTAGGTGGCCGAGCTCACCCACGTATGCGGCAGTTGCGATGTCAATGCCTTTGGCGTGGTAATTGAGGGAGGGATCAGTCGCCGCGAGTGACGGTGGGAGACCGCGATTCATTGTTGGGTTCACAAGTTCTGTGCACTGCGCAAAGAGCAGTTTTCCAATGTGATGAAGTGAAAGGCGGGTCTTCTCCATGGCATTCGTGACAGCCATCGCCTGGAAGTTGCCACCGTGGTGCACAGCACCAGTCTCGCCATCAACAAGAGGGTTGTCAGTGGCTTAAGGAGAATATAAAGGCTATCAATAGACTGAAATTAGGGCTGAAAAGACGTGAAAACTCACTGGAATTGCATTCTTGTGTCACGGTAGAGAGGGCAGCAAGGATGTCCTCAACTTGAGGGCCAAGGAATTGGGGTGCTGTTCTGAGCGAATAACGATCTTGGCGAAGCTTGCCCTGGTCTTGCTCGATGGTGAGTTCTTCTTCATGGGTCTGAGCAAGCGTACTACCTTGCAAAAGATCGTAAATTGTGTCTGCAACTTCAATCTAAACATTACTCGGTTAACGTCACGTGACCAGCTGATGGGCTGTGTTAACACATACCTGGCCAGGGTGAGGTCGTGCGACGCGATGGATGAATGGGTCGAATGAGGCTTGTGTACCAAGAAGAGCCTCCGTACCCATTGCAGTGCAGACCTGGGCAAGAATAGCCAAATGTGCCGCATCATTCAACGCAAGCGAAGCGACGGAGGCTGAGAAAGCTGTGCCATTGAGGATACCAAGATGCTCTTTTGATGCAAGGGGAAGAGGATCGATATTGTGGTCAGCAAGAGCTTTTCGGGAAGAGACGACGCGGCGATAACCAAAAGTAGCTGGTCCATCAAACACCCTAATGGAGGGGTTGCCAATGAGGGTGCCGGCGATATAAGAGAGGGACGAAAGATCTAAAAAAGAGAGAAACAGAAAAAAATCAGGACATTGTTCGGACGTAAGTGGCTGATGGAGATAAGGCGCATACCTCCGGAAGCGGATATGCTGCCTCGTAAAGGTACCATTGGTGTTATGTTCTCGCGGAGAAGAGACGCCATTCTCTCGATAAGCTCCCACCGTACACCAGAGTGGCCACGGATGAGTGAGTTCATGCGGATGAGGATAGCACCCCTAACCCAGGCTTCTGGCATGGACGAGCCCATTGGATCACCAAGAGGGAGTACATTGAGAGGTTCTGTTGTTGATGAAGGAAGAATGCCGATATGTTGGTGCTGTAGAAGAGCACTGCCGAGTGCTATGGCATCGTCTGTGCGAGTGTCGGCTGGAAATGAATGAGAGAGGATGAGTGATGTTGCCTGGCCGTGACAGGAAAAAAAGACATACCACTGCCGCCGAAACCTGTGCTAACACCGTATACGCTGATTCCCGAAGCAACTTTACTGGCTATGGCATTGCGGCTGGACTGGACACGGTCACGGACATGCTGCGAGTCATCGAGCTGAATAGATGCGCTATACCGCGCAGCAGCAGCAACAGCTGGAATGGAGAGCGTGTGACCGTCTACTGTAACAGGCTTTCCGTTCCTAGATGAAGAGTGAGTGTTATTCTTGGATATGAGGAGGCCAGACAGACCTATATGCCTCGAGTTCTCTAATGCCGTCGATGAAGTTGGCAAGCAAGCTTGAGCTGGAGTCGGTGGCAGCAACGTCGTTGACATGTGTGCCATTGCCATTGGGAAATGCAGGGATAGGGACACTTTGAGGTGCAGCTTTAAGGGGCTTAATGGCAGAGTTGAAGCGACGGTCAGCGGGTACGATGGTCATTGTCGTGTTGAACGAGGAGGGGGATAAGTGATGAGGGAGAGGGAGAAAGCGAGGAACTTATATAGTTTTTGTGCATGATAGAGTGGTGAATGAGATCCGACCGAAAAGGAATGGGAAAGCTGTGAGACTTGGTCGTGTCGAGGGATCCCTCCGCCCAAATCCAAACTCTGACGGTCTCTCACTGCACTTCCCGATTTGGCTCTGTCGAGATCTTGCCTTGGATCTCTGTTCTCCCAGGCCAGCTACTTTCCTTCTTTCCTTCATTTTGGTCTAATTCCTCAGAAAAGAAACCGAGAAAATCCGATGGAATATTCGTCTTTCTTTCCTGCTCACACACTCAGACATCTCTTTTTCCTCTCAATCCTGTCTAGACTCCCGCGGACTTATCTCTCAGATTAGATCTAATATTTCATATCCATCGTTACTGCTCATTTTCTTGTCACTTTCCCTATTTTTATTAATTTTCGCCCTGACTATCTTCGTTCCTGTCCCCACATGCACTGGCATCTTACAGCGGTTCTCAATCCCAGCACTAGTCACCACCACCAGATATCTTATTCTTCACGTCATTTTTGTACTGTGCTCTTCAACCTTCAACCTTTCAAGATCCGTTCACGTCGCTCCATCACGATACGAGCCTCCACGTCCCCTCAATACGCACCCAATGGCACCCCATGTTCATATGTCTTCTAGTTCCTGGCCCTCTGAACCCAATAGCTATCACCACCACCATTTCCTAGTCTCTCGCCACCTCGCCGCAAGTAAACATCCGACGAACTCATAAATCAAACGTACTCAACATCAGCCCATGAATCTCGGACGACACCTTCCCATATCGACCACTGACAGCCCCGATCGATAAGCTCGCAACAGCCTCATCCTCGACCACTGGAAAACTTTTGAAACACCATCTCCGCGCACACCGCCTCCGAGTCTATCTTCTCACTCACCCCGAGCGTCTGCACCAACCTTCAACCTTGAACACGTTGTCTCTAGACGCTCGATCGGCTAGTCTTCCCGGTATTCAACCCGTTTACTACCCATGATTGGTCCTTCCCATCTCCTCTATCCAAGGTCCGCGCCAATTCGCCATCCAGACTTGTCGACGACTCACACCTCGCTTCGTAGTGCACGGAGAACCCTTCCTTCTTCTTAGCTTCGCCGTTCGAATCGTACGCTCCCAAAACCTGGTTTCTTTCCTTGGGTCTTTTCTTGCTATTTTTCAATAAAAACACGTGTGTCACAGACATGTTTGAATGCCGAAAACTCAGTCTATTCTTCCCACCGCCCTCCGAGGCGTTTGTGCGTGCATGTGGAGAGATGCATTTTGCATTGTCAGGTCCAGGTACACACTCATGGGTATCCCAGATTTCACTAAGCTATTCATATCCCTAGCACGGTCAAGTCCGATCTTCATTTTCAGCCACCATCCTAAGATTCCTAAACCTGCAAAATTCCGTTTGTCTCCGCATCAGTTTACCAAAAAAGAAACCCAAAAAAAAAGTATCAGCAAGTTAGCTCCATGTCAAAAAGCCGCCAAAAAGCTGTGTTTGGCATCAGACATACACTGCTGTCCTGTACGTTGGTTGACTGATCGCTCTTCAAGTCCGCATCTGTATTGCCAATAAGTCGACGGAGCCTTGAAGCATGAAACAAGTCATTGCATAGAGAACCTTGACAACACTCCCCTCCTTGAAACATTGCAACCAAGAAAAGCCTATCATGATGATGAATGTGCGCTGCATCTCACGTTGATGTGAAGATCAGGAAGTCTACTAGAGTCTACACCGTCGATACAGTCACATCACCGTTCCAGCTTCTGATGCGAGGCTTCCATCTATACCCCACTCGTCCCCAATCCCGAATTCAAATCCTCTCTACGACTAAGAATCACCCTCGGCATCTTGCATACCTACCTTTATACCCTTTAACGAGAACTGCGCAATCTATCCACCAATCTCTGTGCTTTTAAACGTTCACATGCACTCACGAGAAGCTATCAGATAGCAGTTCTTGCCGTCGCAAATGACTATAACCTTATGTGCCCCTTGCGAGCGCCCACGCACGCTTATCGCAGCGATAGAATGCTGGGAGGTTATCGCCAGATTAGATAGATAAGTGGGTTTGTCGTTCGCGATGAGAGATAGTTAGCCACACAGACTGCGACAATGCTTCTCTACTAGGTAGCAGAATCAATGTCCCACGTTCATGCATTCACCGTGAGACGTAACGGAGCGATCCGTAATTCGTGATGTGACCTCCTCGGGCCTGGACAAGGTTTTGTCTTTCTCATGATTTCTGCGATGAATGCAAAACGAAGACGAAGAAGCATACGACAGCATGATGTTCTTCCCCAATAGCAAGCGGCAGTGGTTAAGGAGATAAAAGTTCTGTCGCTCGTTTGGCAAATAGCGATGATAAGATAGCGGGGATCTCGTTTGCTTTGATAGGACGCTGTATTCCATACTCTTGTGGCGTATCGAGTCAACGAAAAACGAAAAAGCCTGAATTCGAATATGTGACACACCGATTTCACTAGCGAAGATGAAGAACAGGATTCAGACACTGTAGAGTCATCCCACAGGCGCCGACTCGGTCCTTACGTGAGCGCTCACTCAGCGTATAGCAGCACTGCTTCGGCGTTGAAGGGCCCCCTAGGGTGTACACCATACATTGATCGTTTGATCAGCATCAACTCATCAGCGAATCGCAGGCCACTAACACGCCATGTATTGCAATCACACAACTGGAAGAAGAATAAACCAGTGCATTTCCCCCCTGCCCTATTGTAGTAGAAGCAACGAGCGACTACATTGTACTCCGTCATGGGTAGTTGTACGGCATTGGCAGGACACGTCAAGAGGTTCTGCCTGTTTCACCGATTGATGGCATCCAAGGTGTCGATCGGCATTAACTGGAGATACCGATAGTCTGCAGTTCCGTTAATAATTAGATGGGGTTGACGCAATAAGGGACTTGATGGCTCTGTGGGAATGTCCTTCAGAAACCACGAGCCTACAAGTCAGCTGAATGACGGCTTTCTGTTCGTTTGTTCACAAAACTTGGTGAACCTGATTTTTCCCACTGCAAGAATATATGCGGCTGGTATGTTGAATGGGCGGAACTTTATTGCAGGTTAAGGAGACGCAAGTCACATCGAAAAGTAAACTGAAGTGCTCCGTTATGGGTTTCTCTTTGTACGGCATTAGCAGGGCGCGTCAAAATGCTCTGGTGCTTCGGCGATTGTGAGGTTTGAAACGATACGCGATGACGCGTAGGCTAAATCGGCATTAACCGCGATGCGGATGTCTGTCGTGTGCGATTGTTTGTTAGATTGTAAGCTAGGGCGACGGGGTGAGGAGATAGGATAGTTGGGAAGTGGCGTTCTGTAGAAGTATCCATTAGAAACCACGACCATATGAGTCAGCTGGTTGAAGTAAAGCCTTTTGTTTGTTTATTCAGGTATTTGAGGTAAATTGGCAATATCTTCTTTTGCGCAGCTTGGGTAAATGCGCTTGGATGTATGCGGCCTATCAGTCAGTGGAGTTTCAGTGGGAGTTGAGGAGACCCTGATAGTTTTGAAGAAGTAAAGAGAGCGATTGAAGTCTCTGCAATGTGTTTTTTTTATACGGCATTGACCCGGAAACTCTGCGGGGTACAGACACCGCTGACGATTAAGCCAGGGACGATGGAGTGAAGGTAAATAATAGGGTGACGTCCTGCGGAAATTCCATCAGAAACCATAGGCATACAAGTCAGCTGAAGCACAGCATGTTGATTGTCCACAGAACTTTAGAATAAATCGGCCGTTTATTTTTTTTCTTTGCGCAGTATGAGTGTATGCGGCCTAAGAACGTGCAGAGTTTTAGTGGAACTTGAGCAATTGGTAACTTTGGAAATTCGTATTGTCCTTGAAGGCGGGAGTTAGAGTCATGGTAATAATCCAAGACAGCTAGCCCGTTTTCATGGACTCGGAGGGGTACAGACAGGATAGGTTGAGGACAGAGTGTCCTATGATCTCGGAAGCCAGGATGATGATATTTTTATGAGATTCCTGATTCCTTTTAATGAAACATTAAGGATATCTTGAAAACCGTGTATCCCATGATCTCGGAAGCAAGATTTCTGGTTAGATTTAATAAAAGATGGAGGAACACTGACAAGATGACTGAAAACCGAGCAATTCCATGATCTCGGGTCAGAATCATGGCAAGATTACAAGTTTTATCGGTGCTCGAGAACCCAGTAAGGCTAGTCTGAAGCGGAGCGGTTTGAAACGAGCGTGCAAAGGCCGAGATGGTGGCTGCAGCTTGATATTTCTTTTTTACTTGATGACTGTATTCCTCCAATCGGTGCATATTCTAATAGCCACTCAGTGCATTTTGGATCATTGAATCATAGTAGCAGTGGTGATTTGATTTCTCTGGAAAGATAACAGTTGTAGAGGTTACGCAGATGCCAAATTCGAAGAACGGGGACCGCGTGCGAGGATAACAGGACAATGTTGACGCGATTTGACAATTATAAATGTGGGCGCTGCTGCTGTGCAAGCTGCAGTGACTGAAAATTGAAATTACACGAAATTTGATGGAGAAACGAGTCTGTCAAAGTGAAGCAAGCAGTGAGCCGTGTGGTGGTTGAAGGCGACAAGAATGTGTGCCGATGCGACTGCAACATCGAGCGGCATTGTACTTTTCTCACGATGGTGAAGTTTGTGGATTACTGTGGCTGAGGCCATCACTGGTTTCCCGTTCATCCTCCAGTCTTCAGAAAGCAAGTTATCATGGCAAGTCACTCTTTTGCGTCTGATCTATGTCCAACTGTCTCATCATTATCATCATGGGCAGGGAAAGGCAAAAAAAACACGCAAGTTCGCAGCAGTGAAACGCATGCTTAGCCCGAACGATGCTCGTCTGTACGTCGCCATCTAAAGTGTAGAGATTTTGCAGAAAACTTGAACATCTTTGTAGCAAGGAAAACCAGCTAAAGCAAAAACGAAAGGAGGAGGAAGAAAAGGCGAAGGCTGTTCGCCGAGTGTGCGCATTGTCCACGATAAGATTTGTGTTTTTTGCTGAGTCCCTTTTCTTTTCTTTCCTTTCGCAGACCGCAGATAGCATCGTCGCTATTCTTGCAGCACAACACCGAGCTCGTGCCGCCATACCGAGTCCTCATAGATACCAACTTTATTAATTTCAGTTTGCAGAACAAATTGGAACTTATCAGTGGAATGATGGACTGCTTGTATGCCAAGTGTGAGTACTGTTCATCGAAGCTTATGCACACATATATACATATGTTATATAATGATTATTAATATTACTGTTTTCGCTTTCCCTAGGCATACCTTGTGTTACAGACTGTGTTATGGCAGAGCTGGAAAAGCTTGGTCACCGATATCGAGTAGCCCTCCGGTAAGCATTAGCTTATATGCTTGTTATATCGATGCTGATCGATACCATTCCCACCATTCATTTCTACTTAATATTGTAGTGTTGCCCGTGATCCACGCTTTGAGCGTCTAAACTGCAGTCACACAGGCACATATGCCGACGACTGTCTCGTACAGCGTGTAACTGCACATAAGTGCTTTATCGTCGCGACCTGTGATCGTGATCTCCGTCGACGCATACGCAAAATTCCGGGTGTACCATTGATGTACATCGTCAGCCGACGGTACGCAATAGAACGACTACCCGACCAGGGTGCTCCAGTATAGTATATCTTGAGATATGGGTCCGTCTTTCGGAGAAAAAAGTAGATTATGGCGATGGTGTGTACATCCTTTATTTGGCACCATTCTCTCGTAACTCAATAGGATGATACCACCGTGTTGTAGTAACATGTCAGAAGTTGTAACTATGTGAGTTTCCTTCCTTTATCATATATGTCCCCTTAACTGGCCCTGATTTTACCATTATATTCTTTTTCAGGCAAATCCAATCGTGTAGCAGAGATAATATAGTTTTGGTATCCCTCTGCGCCGCGGTGCTACCCATTCGCTACAGCTAGGCAATTTTCCCATGAGGAAGCTGATGTCGAAGGACTCGATATCTTATCATGTGCTCGGCAAGTTTTCTAAATATAATAGACGTTGTGAGGATTTTCATATTTTTATTGCTTCGGTCCAATTATACGTAGTTGCTCAATGGGTGGCAAATCCGCAAGTCGCCGGGTTTTTCGGTTTTTGTCTTTATTGCAGAATGAAGGTTGCAGTTTTATGTGGTGCTCACAGTGATCCCAGCTTCTTCTCTCATATCCACATTTATCCATGACATGACAACTGATCTACATAGGGACTAATTGAAGTCTTTTTGTAACAGACTGGGACTTTCCAAGATTGGGCTGATTTCTGTGCTCCTAGCGTATCTTCTGAATACTGTGAGTAATATCATGAACGTAACTTCTGGCACCATTGAATGATCATACTAGTTTATTGCGAGATAGGTATCTCCCACCAATATCTAAGGCAACTTTTGCACACCATGGGACCTTGGGACCTTATGGATTGAATAACCGGCAACAAGATATTTCGCACGAGTTGCACGCCATAAGTCTTGGTGTGAAACTTAAATGATTTGTTCGTGCCCTCTTTTCCTGCTCTGAGGAACCGTAGTTTGTAAGGTTCAACAAAGCTCTAGATTAGGTTACGAGCATCGATCGAGTCATTCCATCGACGGTTATCATGCCCTGAATGTTCTATTTAGGTGCAGTGGAGTACCTTCTGTGAGCAAATATTTTTAGTGCAGCGCTGATCGACACACTACCTACTGACCTTCTGAGCGGTTCTCTCAGGGAGCGGCATGCTAGTACCAGCGAATCCCTCGGTACTTTGCCTTCGCGGTGGTTTACCCCCATTTGATTATCCATGACACTAAGGCTTTACAATTCTTAGTATTTTGAACACGTCTTAATCTTTGCATTACCCTCCATGACGCCACTTCGTTTTTACACCAGTCTAGGTAAGCCATAATTCACAGGCTTATATATAACCACGTTCCTTCCGGAGACTTTTATCTTTCGATGCGGCTCGGAAGCTTTGAAATGGAGTTAAGAGGGATAGGTAGCTTCGTTTACAATTCCTCGAGGTACGTCGGCAATAATACAAAAGTCTGTTATTTTTCACATACTTCGAAGTTATCAGATTCTCCACCAATGTGCTATCATCGGTGATGGGCTATATGCGAACATTCCCTACTTGTCTTCGTCCCCGAGGTTCTGATCGACCACCGCTTCGATCAGAGAATATTCGCAATACACCGGGTGGGGATGTGAGAGCTTACGTGTGTTATCTTATGAGAACACGAACTTGTTAGGCGCGGTAAGGCGTCATGTGAATTTGTAATAGTTTTCAGTAATGTACTTCCTAGGGGCGTATGTTTGACTCTTTTGGTAGGCATTACCTATCGCTTTACAGGGTCTAACGAATACGCGATTTGAATGGCAGGACAACATCAATTTTACATGTGTTGTGTTGGTCACCGGTGCGCCTTTTGGACATGGTGGGAAGTTTGCAACTGATGAACAAAGATAAATTTTAGGGGTGCCTTCCGCGGATTGGAGACAATACTTTCACAAGAACTACCTCGACATGTCCTTTCGTTTATGACCTCGATACCGTACCAATGGGTCGTACCTTTCTCGAGGACTACGAAGTTAGAAGTACACCTTTTGAACGGGAATACCCCGGACACTGACCTTCTGGTGTGTCCCGCGGAGGTGTTGCTTGCCTTTCGGGTGCTGTCGTCTCTACTCACTGCTGGTATTATTTGATGCTCTACCTCGAACTAGAAATTGTGGAGAAGCTGCTATCTGCACACCCATCTCTCGCTTAGACCGTGTCTTTGAGGCCAAGGCTGTCAAGGAGTCATCATTTTCTCATCGACTATCTCACCGACGGATCGTGATGTCGCATTCGGCTTAATCTATCAGATATTTTATCCCAGTTCATGTTATCTACGGTACTTTTGAGCCCGTCGCAATGGTACGATATTATTTCATTGATACGGGGCCACTATAACGGGACATGATTACAACTTTTAGCAGACTTCGTTGCGCTTCATTGTGCAGTTCTCGTGCTCAGTAGTGCTGACCGAAGTTCTACCGTTTCATTGCTCCAGCTCTCAAGCTTCGCACTTTCCATCCTCCCGCCGAGTTGTGCGCATGACAATTTCGTTGGTAAGCATGTGTGACTGCCCGACGGGTACAAAGTTGCATGCTGATGCTATAGGTATTTCTGGCCTGGGCTACAAAGACAGATGGCATCATGGTGAATTGAAAATGACAGCAAATTGACACGATCGAGACTATCATGAAGGTGGACGTTCTCTCCCTGACGTGTGCATTTGTACTATTGATTTTTACCTCTTGCTGGCGGTATGGTCTTTCACGCTCTTATATATTTGAAAGTGCGGCTTGATACGCATCCTGAGCGCTGAGATTGTCTGTTCGATCGAGGTCTGGTCATAAATCTCCAAAGAAGAGACAAGTTTTTTGTCAAGTCATGGCTAATGATATCACCAAAAGGCGCGACCAGGATCCTGTTATTGAACTAGGTCCTTCACCATAATGGTTGAAGTTTCCAAAGGTCAAAGAGGAGCCCATTTATGGTGGTACGTTGTCTCAAAGTAAACTGCTTTTCTAAGACCACCCTGGTATGGATAGCTGATTGGACGCTTTTACACTGTAGAAGACAAATTTCCGTCACAGAAACAATGTCAATTTCCCGAGTGCTCCTCGAGCACGATCTCGCTGCTATGGAGCAGCTTATTGTGAGAATTCGGGAGTTCATCTATCAACAATACCACTGGCGGTCAGGCAGGTAGCGCTTAGTATTCCAATCAGTGATTGAATATTCGTTGAAACTTTGGATTTTCAGAAATCGTTCAAGGAAGTGGAATCATATTGAAGATGAGAAGCTATTAGTTAGCATAGCGCATAGTCCCACCAAGTAGCAAGCTATTCTCAAAGCCAAGGGCCAGAGTCGAGTTTGTACAAGTGTTATCTGGTGCTTGCAAGTCTTTCTACGATTACGAAAGGTTAATTTCCCTGACATTTTTATCGACTTGAATTTGATGTATGCATTCTCAGTGCAAGACTGTTCTTGATTGTGACCATGGAATAGGATGGTGGAACTATCGAACGATTATTGAGTAAAGAAAAAACCATGGCCAGGGTTGGTGCAGAGAAGGACTAGCTTCCCCATCAAAACAGCCTGGTGATAAGAAGAATGCACATGCGGTACTTGATGTGTTTGAGGATATATCTCTGTAATCATCGGTTTATCTTGTATGGTTCATCTTGTTGCACTTGGGTCTACATTGTTTCCTTGGTAATCGCAGCCTTGTATAATATTACCATACACTTCTTGGAGCTTGTGTTGGAGAACAAAGTCGGTGGGCGCTTAATGTGTGCTTAATGCCATTTATGGAAAGTTTGTATCAAGGTGGAAAAATCGCCGGTTCTCCAGAGTTGTCTCTTGCCCAGTGTCCTTGTTTTTCTGCAAAGTTGTTGACCAGGCAACACACTAAGTACCGGTGTTTCGTGGAAGGCTCAGGACCATCATCATGAAGACATGATAAGTAGTGGGTAACCTGACACCACAATGCCCCAGCCCAAGACTGGTCAGCAACTCGAGTTCCGATGGGAAATCGACCCTCAGTTTTCCAGCGTACGCCCGAAGAGCGTCTTGAAGCAATATGGAATGGTCGGAAGGTAGGCCTTTCCCCAGAACCCCCTGCAGGGTATGTCCCATTCTGTCATTCTAGCGATTCGAACTATCACGTTGGATACAGACACCTTCGCGTTAAATTTTACGTCGAATACGAAAAGGATTATGACCTAGCCGTGACTTGGTCTGTTCTAGTAGCAGATTTTCCCTTGGAGCCTTCAGGAGAGTTTAACTTTGCGCGCGTTAAAAGAAAATGGGCTCTGGAAAGTTGTCAGGCGAGTTTCGTCGTTGCATGCGGACTTGGTTATAGGTCTAAGCGTTCTATATACACCTTAGGCCATCGACCCAGTTCGCTTAATACCTTTTGAGAGTCAACGTCCCGACGTCCTCTCAGCCATTGCTGTCAAGGTCCTCACAGAGGAAACAAGAGAGTTGTTAATATATGGTGAGTTTCCTTACATGCAGGATTGATCTTTCGTGGCTCATCATGGCGTCTTGCTTTTCAAGAACCTTCGCCGTCGGAACGAACCCTGAAGATTCGCGAAAAGCGGATGCGTGTGGTACGACGATACGAGGCCTCAGTGGAGAATGCTCAAGAGGCCATAGTGCATAAAGTAGACGCGGTTGCGAATTGCCTATCAAGTAGGCCTTTTCAACGTGCAGGTGTGGTCACTACTCGAAGCTGGCCTAATACCATCCGACGATCTCTGCAATACTCTGTGCCCTCCCCGCACTACTCTTTGGTGCTGGGTGCTATCATTATACTCATCATACTTGGCGAGTATTCCAAGTATGTTAAATTATTTTTTGATTTTATTTCAGTGATCCATTCGCAAATTTTCATTTTCTTCTAAAATGTCGTTTCACAATTTTACGACGTGCTCGAAAGAGCAATATTCCACGACTTCTGTAATAACTGCCTCGTTTTAGTCTAATCGTCGTTGTATGACACTGTTTGACCTTCTGTTTTGCTTCTTTTATCATGATCTATATGCTTTATGTCGTATGAGAAGTTTTTTCTTGATCTCGAGATCGTTTGTACAATTATTGTACTATAGTTATGCTGCAGTTGAATGCAAATTTACGCCGTGATCTTCCTCAGGTGTCGTGGTTAAGGCAGTGCAGTAGACTCCTGACGTACTCAAGCGATAATTATTGTATTCCTGCGATTTGACGTATGGTCTGCGTTGCTATTTCATACAGACGCCGTGTATTGCATATATCAACAGCTTTTGCCCTTTACTTGCACCCTGAAGCTTGAAGATTGGCCTGAAGTGTCTAGGGGAAGTGTCTCAATGGGACTGCAATTCGCGCATCAATTACAATAGTCACGTGATATTCGCGTCACTTGAAATTTGAATGGAGACTGCAGCTAGAAAAACACAATTTGACTTAAAGGTCTCAGTCATAACAGGAAAGAATCAGCTTGCAGTCTAGTCTACAGTGCTTATATTTTTTCCTTCCTTCTATCATTAGACGTTGTCCGTTCTTGCAGCGGAAATGACCAATGATGTGGTAAATGAAGATAAAGCTCCCAAGGAATACGCGTATTATTGGTCTCAAGATTCAAGCTTAACGCTCGACGAGTTTTTGGACAAAGTGGGTGGTCATGCATTTGACGAAAGAGCTTTTAATTCTCAGTGGAGCACACATCAGTATAAACCATCAATGGTTCAAAACGATGGCACTAAGCCTGTGAGTTGGCACAATCATATATTGCGCGATTTCGGAATGTACACTTAAAGTCTGTTAACTTGAATGAAGTGGATCTGGGTCAAAGGTGCAGAAGCCTCCAAAAAAGACACTGGAACGATACAAGCTGAAGAGGAAGCTTCCGCTTTGCGTGCGCACTGAGCATCATGTTGCGATGATTAATAGTATCTGAATTCCATTATGGTACAGTGCAGGAAGTCTCGAAGAAAGTGGAAGATATCAAGGTCCGTATTCTACCTTGGTTGTTCCTGCTGTGTAAACTTCATATTGCGAGTTAGAACGACGCGTCAATTCCCGTGCGCTCCAACAAAAAGACAGGGGCCAAAAGTAAGAAGGAGTTGCGTGAACAAGTGAGCCCCTTCCCATGCTGATTCAGGTCCTCGAAACAATGATCCGTGTTAGGTGCAAACAGAAGCGACAGATAAGCTGAAAGCTATATCGATAAAACACGGCTATGTTTCGGGGAAATGGTCTGTGAATTATACTATTTGCTCTGACTTCTAACTTGATGCTTGGGAGACAGGCTTATATTTGCACCGCCAGATAGAGTTGACTCCGTCTGGTCAAGTGTGGCCAGTCAGAATTCTACTCTCTATGAAGCTCTGCAAGCACTAACTACCCATTGTCTTTTCAATAGAGTCGTTAGTCAATGGCCCGCTATTGTCTACGGCAGCATTCCTCACTAAAGTGGCTACATCACCCGAGAGCGAGACGCAACACTACCAACACGTCATTTGTCTTTATATGCCAGATGTTTACGACAAAAATAGTGTAACAGACGTGAGTTGTCGTACGTTTCGTTTTTACCTTTATAATGACATCAGAGGCTAGGTCATGAAAGTTCTATTGAGAAATCATGGCGTAAACCTTAGCGGAGTAAAGTCAGATCTGTATACGGTAATTGGTGTGGTTTATCCGCTTTCAAATTAATGTGTCGGGCTGAAGTTGGTGATTAGGGCTTGATAGCAAGCATCCCAGTGGAATTCCGTCGACGGTGAGCACTACAATACTGCTTCAATGAACATGAAGTTAATTTATGCGTTAGGTTTGGAAGAACACAGCCCTGATGAAGGACACGGAAATTAAAGTAAGTCGACCATTTCATGATGTCAATATCGTACTCGTAAGGTTCTTAACTTCTTTGTTTTTCAGGAGCTTAAAGATGCCTATTTCTCTGATCTCTCCGCCGCAAAGAAAGTAACTATTACTAAAGTGCCTGAAGTAAATGATGCTTCTACCGTCGGGAGTAAGCGAAAGCCACCTCTCAAGAAAAAGGAAAAGGCAAAGGAAGACGATCCATTTGCCTCTGATGAGGATGACAACCAAGTAGATGAAAAGAGAAGAAAAAACGAGGTGAAAATGAAGAAGGCAGGCACTAGTGCGAAGAAAAGAGCTTCTGAAAGCGAAACTGAAGAGGAAGACGTCAAACCGAAGAAGAGAAAGATAATGAAGTGAACGTGACTACGGTATGACATATGTTCTACTATTTCCCCGACATTCGTACACTACATGCTGCCTTGAATTCACATATTTGGACATTTTTGCCCACAAATCGATGTTCAGAGATATGGCATGGCCTTAATATGCAGCTGATACATTTATGCACTGGCTATCCGTTTATTCTCCGCGACCCTTATTTGACCTGAATTTAAGGTGCGTGTATCAGCTCTATAACTATTTTGCCGGCATTGAATCACGTGGGTAATAGGCAAACAGTTACACAAGATATCGTCGAGCATCGAGTTGCCACATACATACCACTTCTTCCATCTGTTACGGCAGATATTCAGACCAAATATAGTTCGCAAGATCATGCAAGATGTTACTAGTCTTTTGTCGATTTCATTTTGTGGACGGATATCGTTATCGTGGTCAACCTGTCTATTGATGCGATCAGGCCGGTGCTCTGGGAGAATCGACTTTAATTCTCTGCTCTGACGACATCCCATGACATTCCCTGAGCTAACAGGGAAGCTTTACCGGGTTCCCGGGATAACATATCAAACAAGTGAGTTATTTGTGGTATGTTTTCGTAGGATTCCTTCTTGGCCTCAAAGCAGGCGTGCGCATGCAAGGTGGCGCGTCTATCGGCTGAAGGGTTCATTTCCCTTTTCTTTGCAGTCACGCTGGATTGGAAGCTACGTCAAAATTTTCATTTCCGCCAGTCATATCAGATGGAACCTACCGAGTTCTCCATAGTCGTGGTGCATTTGCGGTTAAGTACTCAAGCCAAGGCTATAGAGCCCTTCATCGCTTTTCTTGCCTTTCACAGCTTTTATCTCTTCTCGAGGACCATCAATAGTCTCACCTTATTCTTCAAAAATTTGCTGTCCGACTCTCACGAACTTTATCCTTCTCAAAGCGCCACATACCGCTGACGCCACGCGTACGACTTGTTCCTCAGTTGATGCAATACCCCATCCATTCCCACATGGACCCTTCTGCTCGAGTATGGAGGCCATGGAGCGTACCACCTGATAGTGATACAGTTAAGCGGAGAGTATGCGGTTTGTTGAACAAACTGACCGCTTACAATTTCGACTCCACCTCCACGCAGGTTGTTCAATGGTCCGTAATCTGTGGAAGGAGTGGAAATGCCGAGCTACTTGCCTTGATTGCAGATTCTATCCTTCGTATAGCCCTTCTGGACGAAGCACGAGCGTCTCTCTATGCAGATCTCTCGCAGAGAATTGAAGATGAAGTGGGTAAGGAGAGTGCTCGTTGGTCTAGAGTCAATAACTGCCCTCCGCATTCATATCGACATATTTTCACCGTAGCACTACGCAACTCCTGCTTTAGAGAATTTGATCGCACGCACAAAGACAACTCCCCCCATCTTCTTCCACTCATGCGCTTTTTGGGTTATCTGCTTCGCAGTAGCTTTTTTTCTGCCGAGGATATTCAAGGATCGATCAGCACACTGTTTACTTGTGCAGAAAATGGCAACGAAGAGTGTACCATTGCCATTTGTAGACTCTTACGCCCAATCATCCGAGCGACAGATGGATCACAGTTACTGGAGGCATTGAATATCTCCGATCGAATAGGGAGGGTTCTTGAAGAAGACACAGTCACATATAGAATTCGCTTTCTGATGATGGTCAGTCACCTCTACCCTTGTCTCGATTTTCATTGATAAAATCCTTTGCTACAGGCTATAGTAGAATCCATGACTATGAAACCCGTAGATGTTTTTGAGTCGGAGAAACAGAGGACAGAGATATATGGCTTAGACTTAGAGGACGATGGAGACTCGAGATCAAGGCAGGGGGAGGATATTCTTTCAGTTGTTGGGTATGGAGAAGATCACGAAGTCAGCCAGCATTGTCACGAGAACGTTCAGTCTTTCTTCGCCATCCGTGATCTGGGCTTTGGAGATGACTTTGTTCAATCCCTCCCTGCTGAGCAACGTCCTGTACTTGTCGGGAGTTTGGTGCAAGAAGCTGTGGTCTCTGGTGACGTCGATAACGCGTCCCTTGTAGCCTCCTTATTTTCCTTGCCTTCGGTTCGTCGCCTATGCATACCTTGTCAAGCATTTTTGGACGGTTTCACACCTGTTATGGAGATGCTAGAGGACGCGATCCTCGATAACCCTGATGCTTACGGGTTTGTAGCTCGTATGCTGCATGCCTGTACTTTGAGAGCGGATTTGGTCGAAAGGTTGGCAAGCAAAATCCACGGTCGTGAACACTGCAAGGAACGCTTCCTTGATCAGTATTTTTCGCTCTTTAGTCGGTTTCAGCCACGTAACGAGAGGGTCGACTGGGACGTACACCCCAGCCCTGTCGGAGGGGGAGGAGAATCAGGACCAGGAGACCAGGGGCCAGTCGTACCCTACGCTTATGCATTTTAGCAACGTCTCGATTTGCAGCTATCTGAGCGAGCCAACTCTGATCAAAACATGGGTTCAACATGCCAGTGTATACTATTGATACTCATATCTCTGCCTTGTAAAACAGAATACAAAGCCATCGTAAACAGACAAAATGAACAACAACTAAATACAGTAATGCGAGAGTTATGCTAGGTCTAATTTCAAGGCGGGCCTCTCTGCTTTTTCGTCTTAGATTCACTTTGATCCTCATCGCCAGTTTGCTCTGCTCGAGACCTTTTGGTCCCTCTTCGCCTGCGGCGAACTTTATCAATGATACCATCCTCATCGACAGATTCATTTTCTTCGTCAGTTCCTGGCTTGTATGCTGCAGCATCCGAGTTCAGACGCCTGCTTCGACGACGGCGTATCGTATGGTCAGTTGTGGTTTGCTTTGATGTTCCCGATATACTTTCTGGGTGGTCTATACCAGCAAGCTTCGTTAACTTCTTGCGACGCTTTGCTTCAGGAACTGCATCATCATCTGGGTCGGTCAAATTGCCATCCGAAGGAGAGTATATCGAAATAGAATCTCCCTCAGAGCCACGTGCACGAAGTCGAAATGATGCTGAAGTCGAAGTAGATCCAGCAGCGGATATTGGGGCACGAACCAGAGAAGCTGCCGGGGAGCGTCTTGAGGTTACAGGTACGAGAGGCGAACCAGGCGCGCTCCGCAAAACTGTAGAAGGTGCATCGCGCGAGGCAAGTCTCGAAACTGCCGAAGATCGCCTACTCTTCTTTGGTACATCTTCCCCAGGGTTGGCCAGATAGAAAACTTCATTCTCCCGTAGAAGATCGACTCCAACCAACTGACGCAAAATGCCGATTAGATACGAGCTAAATTCCAGAGATTCGATGTTTCCAATTAAGTACTTGTAATCCTCATAAGAGGCTGGACCATGATCCTGAATCTCTTGCTCGTGCATCAATTCCGCGCTACCGAGCGAACAGCCTGGGACAACGAAAGAGACTCGCGTTCCACCCTCCTCCTTGGGAAGACTTATTTTGTGGAAACGACAATTGGAACGAGTGACAGGAGAGCTGGATGATATTTTACTACGAGTAGTATTTGGAACTGCAGCAGCTGGAGTTGCCGGTAACGTTTCCTTGTCCTTGTCCTTGTCCTTGTCCTTGTCCTTGTCCTTGGGAGGGGCAGTGGTGGAAGAAAATGTGACATGCTCGGGTTGAGATGTGATCGAAGGTGGTTTAGGAGGGTGATGGTGACGTAAGCCACCATGTGTGTGGAAGATGGGAGGAGGGACTGCAGGGTGGAGCGTATGCATTGTAAAGCGGTCTACAGTCGGTGAAGGCTGTATTGACAAAGAGGACGTGCTAGGAGCACTGGAAATGACAGATGAGGCTCGAGAGCTATGCCTGCTGGAAGGACCAAGCATCCTAGATGCACTGGTAGCCCCTGAACTAGTCGATTCCATATCACTCGTGTTTCCTAGCCCGTTAACTGTGTCGTGACTTGTATGCTCTTTCTTTTTGATTTTTTTCGGTTGGTCATCAAAATGCGCACCAGCCATTAAATGTTTACTCGACATGGATCGAGTTAAGCGACTAGGTGTGCTTGTAGAGGACGCTCGCTTGCGCTTTATGCGTGGGGATTTAATCTCAGCCGACAATGATTCGTCTGAGCTGGCAGAAGAGCTGGCGGGAACAATATGAACAGAGGCTCCAGGGGCATGCTCGTTCATGCGTGCTTCAGATGAATCCTGTGTAGGTTGGTCTACCAGACCCCTGAAAAAATATGTCAACACAGCTTATTTTGAATCATGATCCGCAGCCTTACCCTTGCGAGGATTGATTCTCTGGATTTTCTTCAACGTCCACGGAATCTTCGTCTTCACCTTCACTAACAGCTCCTGGAGCCATTTGACTGTCATTGCCCATTAATTTAAAAGCATCTTCTACTGATGGGGAAGGCACTGGCGTCAAAGATTTTTGGGTAGAGTCCTGTTGCGAGGAGCGGTCCACGATATCGATGTCATTTTTGGCTGCGTTTTTGTCCTCGTCATCCACTGGACTCGAGGTGTCTCGCTGGTGAGTAGCGGGGTCGGGCTGCTCTTGTGGCTCTATGATATCCGCAGCGTGTTGTGGACTTTCTAATCCTTGAAGTTGTGCGCTATCTGAAGGCCAAACATCCTCAAGTGGTGGTTGATCATGACCATCTAGCAAAGTTTGTGAGAGCGATACGTTTGGTATCTCCGTGTTATCGGGGAGAGAAGTATCTATGCCCTCGACAGGACTTCGGGGGATATCCATAGGAAGATGAATTGTTTCATGAACAGAATCTCCAGAAACGTTGCTCGTTTGATCATCTTCGAGTGGCTCAATGTCAAAAGCACGATCTCGTCCTTGGCTATCAATCACCAGAAGTTCCTGATCTTTTGATTCGTCTTCCCGTTCGTCATCACCTTTGCTGTCATCATCACTATCATGAGCAGGCTCGGGGGTGTCCAGTCGCTGAGGACTGGGACCATCTTCTTCGTCGCGTGGAACAGTCAGACCATTGCTGTTTGTATCTGAGGAAGACAACCTCCGAGAGAGTTCTTGCAAGATCGAGGACGAAACAGGCACTGACACAGGCACTGGCCCACTTGGAGCATCACGAGGGCTCAAGACAAGATGCGGCGAGCCTGGGACGTTGACGAGAACAGGAGGCGATCGGAGAGGACTGAAACTAATGAAAGATGGTAGAGGTGACCTAATGGTATCAGGCGCTGGTATTCTTGCGGGTGAAGAAATGGGAATATCATCAGCCTGATTCACGCCACTTGTATGCTCTTGTGTCTCCAACTGGTCCTGTGCTTCACCACTTGAACTAATGCCCTCCTGTTCGGCCTGTTTCTCTACATTGGATGGTTCCTGGATGCCGTTGTCTACTCCTGACTGGAGCTGAGAATGGGAAGACTGGATTTCTGGAGGTTCATACGCAGACAACGAAGTCACCACTATATCAGTTTCCGGCATCACCCAGTGATCATGAAGCAGATCGACGGCCATCATAGTTATGGGGTTTATCACCTCAGGCTCCTGGTTTGACAACGGATAGTATTAGCATCACGTTGACTCAAAGGGTATGGACTTCCTACCTCTGCCTGCGGCACGGCATTTTCCAGAACCTGATGGATGTCTGAACCACCAGAGTCTCGCCCTTCCACCTCTGTAGTAGTGCTAGCTACAATGGCTTCTGCCTTTTCAGCTTCAGAAGTAAACTGATCAAGTGAGGAGGTATCGTAGAAGGGTACAAGTGTCGTTTCCTGTATATCTTGGTTTGACGTAACGTCTGAAGCCGTAGTTATATGCTCGCCTGAAGATACAGCATCTGAAGCTTGTTGGCCCGAGGTGTCATCAGTGTCGACATTGGAGATATGGGAAGGTGCTGTATGACGTAATTAGTGGAGGTTTACACGTTCTGGAGGTTTACACGTTCTGGAGGTTTACTTACTTGAACTAATAGGTACCACGTTTGGTTGATCGACTGGCCCAGATGCCTGGGGGGCGTCTGCTTCAGGATTCGCCAGGAAATCAAAAATACTATCATCAACAATCTCCTCGACATCTTCTGATATAGTCTCTGCAGTCGCTATGGTGTTTTCTGCATGACTGATTGCTCGATTTTCGAGTGAAACGTCATAGTTTTCGTTGATGCCCGCGCCATTTTGTTCACTTGTGGGAGCAAGTTCGTCCAGATCATCGTACAGTAAGTCACTTGTTCCAAGAGGTAAAGGGCCCTGGTGATCTTCGTCACTGTCCAAGGCTTCGTCATCGCTACCATCCTTAGCAGAAGATGACTCGATATGGCCAGCACGACTAGCAAATTTACCCTGTGGAAAGGCAGGGGGCCAATTCCAGTCAAGATGTTCGCTGTGATCACTGTGTGCTTCACGACTTGGAGAGACACTGTCTCGTGTATCTTGAGCAGCAGCAGGTGATAATGTTTCATGACGCGACGAGACTTCGGCGCCTCTTTCATGTTCATCTAAAGGTACGATATGAGCGTCTTTCCCAACTAAAAAAATTGTGCCAATGAGAATGAACGGAGCAAACGCACCATGCTTATGTACAGCGGAAGACACAATATGATGATCGGCTTCCATATACAGCTCATCGAGAGGATCTTCTTCAACATAATTGAATCCTAATGGCGCATTCATGCGACGTGACTTGTCTTCCACAGGGGATGAAACTGGTGGACTCGAGTTTGGTAGGATATCATTGTCCTCTGTCTCAACCGTAAGATTGAATATAGGACGTTGGCTTCTGTCTGGAGTAGGTGGATCTGAAGGCGTCGCGATGGGGGTAAGGATCATTCCGACAGGCTCAGAATCCTGTGGTAGATCATGGACCGGCGTTAGATGCGATGGCGATAGAGCTGCTGAATCGGATGTAGGTCCTCGCAGATCACCACCTGCATAAAAGTCCTCAGCATAGGTTCGTGGGCCTTCCCAAGGATCCGGCAGCTCGAATATTTGAGGCAACTCGTTAAAAGGAGGGAATTCTATACCGGGCGTCAAGATCAAATGCATACATCAGGGAAAAATGAAGCTGATAATAATCAGATAACCTCCAGATAACGATATTGATAAAAATTGTCCTACCTTTACCTTCGTCATCGAATGATTGTTTGGGGTCTACATTTTCATCATTTTCATTGTCATCCTTCTCATCATAATAACGCTTTCGCAGCATATCATGGTCAACTTTTGATGCTTGCATAGAATTAGCTGAGTGGGTGCCATTGGCATCCTGAGCGAAGAATTGGTTTTTGTCTACCCCAAGTGCTTCGGGTTCAACATCGGAGTCAATGTGTTCCTTGGATTCTTCCACATCATCATCAGAAATAAGCTCGATGATCTCTAGGGAAGGACCTTTGGCGGATAATTTGACGACACTGGAACCTTCTGAATCATAGCCTTCCACTTCGCCAGGTGCGTCTTCGTCTTCATCGGTAGCCTGCTCTTGATCCCCGGAGTCATAATCTCCTTGGTCACCATAGTCCTCTGATCCAGACTCCTCGCCACCTTTTTCCACATCCGCCTCCTCTTCTGTATTCTCCCCTTCGTCTTCTTCCGAATCAGACAACAGTTCAATAGGCTGGAATCTCCCACCAAGACCAGGCCCCTCTCTAGGGTCTCGAGACTTTCCTTTTGCGTGTCTACTTTTGAGTTCAGCAAATGAATCTTCAAACGAATTGTCGTCATCGCTAAGTTCCGAGCCTGATGGATCTGAGACAGGTGGTTGTGTTCCCTGCGGAGAATCGACGCCTCTATTCGGATCCTCGTCGTCGTCGACATGGCCCAATGCTTTCCTTAGAGCGCCTGTAATGCCGCCTATCCATACATCGAATTCTGGCTGTGTGAACTTGTCGTAGGGGTTGTATATCGGTGGCCTGGCGGGCCTCCTGACAAAGTTGGAAGAGGGTGTCGGATGTGGACCTGGAGGGAACAAGGGGGTGGAACGTATAGGCATTCCTTGGTGTATGTATCAGCGCCCTTCAATCAAGTTTGAGACGGGACTGGATAAGATGAAAACGAACAAGACAAAAACAAGAAACAGTTATTATACTCTGGACGCGCTCGCTGTGGCAAGTTTTGGGACGCGACGCAACGAGGATGCACTGAGCACGTGTGAAATTGGGGGTGGCCATTTTAAACTCAGCGACGGCTATCACCACGTGATCTGCACCATGGACTATAAACATGCGGCAAACGACTGAGGGCGTACAAATTTCTTTCTCTCTGTGTTTCGACTACTGTGCTATTATGGTACCAAAGGGCCATGTAAAGTCCTAAGGAACCTTGGGTCACAGCTCCGCTCAAGTTCGGACTACCCTAATTCCCGGTTGGGGGGATTTCGCTGGAAGCCAAACCAACTTGCCTACCATCAAGGTGGTAATGTGCTTCATGATAATTCCTTGTCTTTAGGTCCAGGTCGTCGATCTTCAAGAATAGAAAATTCGTTTACTTTCTCCATCGGTGACATTGTCATCTTGAGACTATCCCTTGGACATGGCGACCCCGGACAAATTCGTCACAGTATTATGGACAACCAATTCAAACAAATGGGGATACGATTTTCGCAAGGTATTCATCTTAGCTATCACTGCCAGTGCCATTATGCGTCATGATCGTTTTATGATCATTCTGGCAAGCCGCAGCGTCCAAGTCTCCCAAAGTAGGCTTAAGGCCGCCTCAGACTGGGCTGCTTGTTGTTGTTTGCTGGTCATTTCCACTCTGGGCGTTAAATTGCCTCAGAATGTTATTGATCAACAGTTCGATCTTGGCTTGAGATCGATTGCATTACCCTGGTAAATACTATGGTAGTGTCAAGAATTCACTAAGCGCGCAGGTTCAGATGTTTTCTTGATTACAGTAGGTGAATGACGATCATAATGTCTGATATGTTTAGTTTCTAACGTGACATGCTACCAGACTCTTAAATTAAATCAGTGGTGTGTAGTTCAGTTGAACAGCTCGCACAAGCGCATCACCAGATGCAAATCTACTTGAAGAAGATGGATGGCCCTGAGTTTCGGTCCCCAGCCTAGTGACCAGCGATCTATTTACAGATGAGTTGGCAGTGATTTGGTCTGGCCAAGGGAACTATAAATGATCTACCTCGATGGCGTCATGTTTTACCTCACTACTCTCTTACAAGCTAAGTGTGTGAATACGAGTCAAGTTGTTTGATGAGTCTAACATGACGTGCTGCAAGACTAGAAATCTATAAGTCGAAGACTTCACACAAGCTGCTCGTCAGCTCCGAACCTCCTTGCTATTCTCAAATAAACGAGTGGCCTGGTGACCAGCCAGGGAACCAACTTGATCTACCATGATGGCGTCATGCTTTGTGGCACTGGAGTCATTCCCCACAAGATAGTACGGCATTATGTACGATGTAGCTTATTAAGCAATGTGATCCATGTCGAGTTCCGGTTCACCTTCAAGTTGCCATCAGATAAACAATTGGCGAATTGGCAATGCTCAAACGCTTGAGCTGCGTATGCGAGGTTCTAAGTCGTATTAGTAAATCGGTCTGACACAAGACCACTACGGAAATATTTTAAGTCCATCGGGGACAACGATTGTCGTCGGCAAGTTGAGCGCTTGAGCTGGCGCGGCGTTGAACGTGAACTTCTGAGCGCTGTGCTGAACAGCGGGCGAGTTCGATGAGCGACATGCTGTTATGCTGCTTCAAATCTCCATTTATTAAGCATCGCATAAACTCAGCCATTCAATAATTTTCGGCATGGAGCGTGGTCCGAAGAAGTAAAGAGTTGGTGCTGACACTGAAACAGCCACAAAGGCCCCCTCTTGCCTTTTCCGTACAACTTCATGCGGCAATGCGGCAAGTGCGCCTTACGGCCCTGGTACGGGATCAAAAACTGGTCAGGCGGAATCACTGGTAAGCGTCCCTAGCACAACTGACCTTCCAGCGCTTCCCGTCGCCATCATGATTAACCTTCAAAACATCGGAAATGGACGCGGTGCTTGAATATCAAGGAACAGGTGTTTATTCTCTTCACTTCCTAAGCTCCCAAGGATCTACAGTATGATTGCATTGAACTCATCAAAGCAGAATTCTGTAGGCTGAAGATGACCCAGCACTAGTACTATCCCTCAAGAAGCGCTCGAGGCTCCTTTTCATTACTATGCCTTCCGCACACGGTCTTCCCACGACCTATTTGATTCCGGAGCCGATCTTTGACTTGTTCCTCTTCTCCCTTTTACGACCGTGATGGAAACAGCTACAGGACTTTGGCAGGACATGAAATTCGTCTACTATACTTGGTTTTCTTGAATAATTTACCCTGGGCATTTACGGTGAAAACAGCCGCTCAGTTACATGCGGTTTGTCTCGCGAAGGCTTCGGATGCGCGTAATGATTTGATGTGGACCTCGGAAATTCTTTGGATCGTTGCAGCGCCTTGACGCTTGGGGTTGAGCGTTTGCACCGAACTATTTTATTGCCTCCAAAAATGACGAACCATAGTCTCTGTATCCGCTGTTTTCGTCTGGCACTTCCAGCCTTTACACTGAGGGAACGCCATGTCTTCTCAGACGTCTGCTTGTGACATGGATCCTGAAAAGGGGACCATGGACTCGGTCCTTCCAAGCCCCGCTCCTAGCGTTATCTCTCCTCCTAGCGTGTACGAGCTCAAGCAGAGAGTCACGCCGCCCAGTCGATCAAAGTTCCACATAAAACTTTCTAGCGTCTCCCCCAACAAAGATGCAGAAAAGAAGTCCAAGAAAAATCAAGTGAGCCGATGGGTCCAATTTCAGCTATGGTTTAATACATATCGGTTTGTCTCGACGCATTGCTCATGGATCGGTCGCAATTAACTTCTTTATCGTGGGGGGCAGGAAGTTCTACTGTATAATCTTGATTATCAACCTCGTTGGCCTGGTGCTGGCTGCTACCGGTGTATGGGCGTATCCACACCAGTATTCTGGAGCTCTCCTCCTCGGGAATCTGCAGACAGCCATTCTGATGCGGAATGAGCTATTCCTTCGATTTTTGTATCTGTTGGTCAATTCATGCTTTGCTAAGGTTAGTGAATATCTGACCTTGGACCTGTCACAAACGACTATAATCTTGCCGCTTTAGTGGACTCCCCTTTGGTTTCGACTATCCTGCACCTCTGCATTGCAACACATCGGAGGCATACACTCTGGATGCGCAACTTCAGGGTGTATATGGCTTACATATCGGGTGGTAATCCTTTTCATCGAAGGTAGCAATGATGCTGTTTTAGCCACTGGCATAACTACAGACGTTGCGGTGGCCATTAGCATTGCGAGCGCCTTTCCTTGGGTGCGGAACAATCACCACAAGTAAGTATGCATCTTAATATAATTTGTCTAAAAACTCATTTTCTACAGCGTTTTTGAACGCCATCACCGTTTCATTGGGTGGTAGGTTTTTTGATAGTATAGTGCCGATCACTTCCTTATGTCTTCTCTTGCTCTCTGCAGGCTAGGCATCATTTCTAGTAAGTTTCGACAGCGTTGAATCATCTGCACGACACTAACGTCGATATCGACTTGAAATTGAAAACTTCTTATTGAAAATGATGTTATAGCATGGACCTTTGTTTTGCTGGGCGACAGCTACGACCTTGAAACGCGTTCAATGGATCCAAAGGGCACTTATATCCTTCGCCAGCAAGATTTCTGGTATATTTTCATTATGACAATACTGTGAGTATCTGCGATGCAAGCTACTTGATGTGATATTCAGGATGTATCAGCGTTATAATTCCTTGGGTCACTGTCCGCCAAGTGAAAGTGGACGTTGAAATCGTGCGTTTGCTTTGCTAGCTTCCTAACGACTTCTTAAAAATGACACGTCTTTCTTCTCAACTCAGCCTTCACCAAAGGTCGTAATTCTTCGCTTCGAGCGCGGTATGCAGCAGGGTCTGCTAGCAAGAATATCGAGAGGGTGCATTTGGGAGTACCATGCTTTTGGAATAATATCGTAAGCAAAAAAGCTGCGATTTTGTAACAATTTTTCTCACACAAATTTGCCATTAGCGAAGGGACTCATGCGAAATATCACTATCTGATCTGTGGAGTACAGGGTGATTTTACGCGTCGTCTTGTGGATGATCCACCCAAGTATCTCTGGACGCGACAGCTCAAGGTATGTGAGAGTCTTTATTAATTCATGTTAGCCTTCTTACAGTAAAATAGTTTGCTGGAGTCTCTAATACGTCGGCACTATACAAGAGAGGTATCCGAGTCTGCACTGGTACCGGTCTTGGTGCTGCTTTATCGACGTGTCTACAAGTATGTTCTTCCTGGAAATTCGCCTTGTGTATCCACTTACTGACTTATAAATATTAATGGTCACAAACAGAGCCCTCACTGGTGAGTTTTGCCTGACAATATTTAGCTGTTTATGCGGTTTTAACTCGTAATCAGGTACTTGATATGGATTGGCTCTGATCAAGAAAAGACGTTCGGCCCCACAATATCTGGTTTGATTCATCGGCACTTGGGGCCTGAACGCGTGACACTTTGGGATTCCAAGCAGCGAGGTACGCGTCATCTTGTTCTACTGTCTTCTGTCATACTCACTTCGGCATTTCCAGGTGGACGTCCAGACATAATGAAACTTCTCAAGGAGATTTATGACTCGTGGCAAGCGGAAGTCATATTTATAACGTCAAACTATCAAGGAAATAAGGAGATGATGGAAGGCTGCAAGCAGGCTGGCATGCCTGCCTTTGTAAGTTTGATAAATCTGCATTCGTCATTATTCGTGTCTGACGAGTATTATAGGGAACACTGTGGGATTTCTAGACAATCAACTTCGGATCACCCCAATCACTACTTTAAATTAACATATAGAAAACAGGAGTTCCTTGGACGTCCGCCCACGGTAACATGGAGACGGCATGACCAACTTATCAGCTGACTCTCCAATCGTTCCGAAAGTCAAGCGTACAAAGCTCGATATAATAAATCTAGGTCCCGATTTGAAACCGCTCCTTACTTCTCATATTTATCCGAAGCTCCTGTATTTTTCCACTGCAGTCGATCACGTCTCGCTACAGCCACAGAACCTCCCGAGATGGACACGATCGATATAACTGTATCATGATTTTTATATGTTTATATTGCTCTCACTGCAGACGATGATGACGGCCTGCGAGTCATATCGACCACCACCAAGGATTTATCCATCGGACTAGAATCACGCACACTTGCTTAATATTATAGAACTTGTTCACCTTCCTTTTTTGGAAGCGAGACATGGAACTGATTGCTTTGCATGTGTTTGTGTGAGTCTGGGCTTGATCCAATCCGAAATTTGAGTCAGATCACTATTTCCGAGTCGTCCTCATGATTCTTGCACGATGTCTGTGGTCGGTTTGTAGAGGATCCTCATTCACAAGAATTGTGTTTAAGCCTGTAGTGACGCGTCGCACTCTGCAAATGGCTGCTGCTAGACCTCTAGACTTTAATGCTGGTCCAATGGTATGGGTGGATTGCGAAATGACGGGATTGGACCCTCGGAAGGATAAAATCTTAGAAATTGCTGTACGTATCAGCGTTCTGGCAAATATTCAAAAAAAATATACTCATACCTTCGTGTTATTTACACTAATAAGGTTCTCATTACTGATGGGAACCTTGAATTGGTGGATGAAGGCATACAACTCGTGGTTCGCACAGAGAAATCGATTCTGGATGGGTAAGTGCATGTTATTACGATGTATCATGCTTGTATTCTGACTAACCTCAGAATGGATGAGTGGTGTATAAATCAACATGGCCGGGTAGGTGGTCTATTAATGACGTTTGACTGAACGTTGCCAAGTTTCTGAAGCCTTTCAGTCCGGCCTCACGAAAGCTTGTTTGACGTCGCCATATACCAAGGATTATGTATCTCAAGCAGTGCTTGCGTACATCAAGAAATGGATTCCTCAACAGAGGACCGGTGTATTAGCAGGCAACTCAGTTCACGCTGATCGTTCTTTTTTGGTCGAGGAAATGCCAGAAGTTGTGGACTGGCTTCATTATCGGTATTTTTTACTCATCACATTTGTGGGCATGCAGCTACGCACTAAATCATCGACTGTTCTTGGCGCAGGATCATTGGTGAGTTAGCTCGTCGACTTGATAATATATTGCTTGTCCTGATGAGTCATCTCTCGTAGATGTATCTTCAATAAAGGTATAGCGTGGTCCGTGCTTGTATTGACCATGAATTAACATGAGTATAGGAACTTTGCCGCAGGTGGTATCCCACGCGTTCGCCTCCTCGAGAAACATATTCGAGAAACAGTCACCGGTAAATCTTCATTTTTCGAATTGCTGAAGTGTGTCTTATCCGCTATCTGTCACTCAGAGCGCTCGATGATATCCAAGGCTCGATAAGAGGTTTGACACATAAGCTTTATCCCCGAAGCCCTGCTGATTTTTTCTTCCGTTTAGAACTCCAGTGGTACCGTAAAAACATTTTTATTGAGCAGGATCCTCCGAAGTTGTCGTCGTCGCCTCGTTCGTTGAGGGAGTGAGGCATGCGCCATCAGATCACATGTGGATTTATCCCTCAGTCTGATTTTTCCGGGATGAAGTCCTTCTTCCACTTTTATGTAGGGTATGTGATCGCGCGATGCAACGTATATGAGTACTGATATAATTAATAAATGCCAGATTTTCAGGATAGTACTAGTAACTACACTGAAATGTTACAACATGGGGAGCTTGTACACGGTATTCTAGGCTTCTAACGTATATCTATCTAGCCAGTGTCATAGATGGTAGCACATGCTATTCATATTTCATACCGTACGCGTCGATAGCTCACGATGATCATGAGTTTCGCGCAGTGAGGCAATAATTTGACTTAGAATGACTTCCGGGTATCGGAGTCGGAATCAACCGTGACCGTGCTCAGGCTCGCTCAGTCAGCTCCTGCTCTTTCTATCATAAAATCTGGGCTCTGTTTTACTCCATTCTCTATGGCAGACGCTGCATTGAGGTTTGATAGCCTTGCAACATATCTGAGCAGTCACCCGTGCGTATCCATCGAACGCTCGGAGTCCTCATCTCGACTTTTTACGAATCCGCAGGATCTCCATCGAAATCCTTCCTGGTGATGGATCCGCATGGCTGGTTGGTACTTCACCGGACAAACCAAGCTCTCCATTCCTTTTCGTGGATCAGAATCTTGGGGTACCACAGAAATTCTTGTACGAGGCCTATCTTTTCAGTTTGGAGGTTTTCAAGCCTGCGAGGAAACTCTTACAGAAATCGAAAGCACCATCACCCATATGCATTCAACAGCTCATAGCGTCCACAGCGGTGATTCTCCTTGCGAATCCAGCACATCAGACTGCTCTTAATACCAGAAAACGCCTGATCCAGAGCAACATTCTGGACATCGAAGAGGAATTAGCATACACTGCTGCGTTACTATCTTCTCAGCATTGTGCAAAAGAATCTACACTATGGCACCACAGACGGTGGCTGTTTTGTCGTCTTTACACTTTGGACGATGAACCGATACCCGTGGCGAGCGGTGAAGTGCTTTCCACGGAGACTCATCACCAAGCTATCATTCCTCTGGACAAACTCGAGTTTGATTTGAAACTCTGCAGTCGAGCATGTGAACTTTACTCCCGCAACTATTTTGCTTGGGCACATCGCCGCTTTTGCATAAATCAAGTTACTATAGTCTTAAATTCCGTACTGTCGAAGAATAACGTAGCCGCGTCTGAAAACCTGGAGATGGTTGCTGCTGAAATCTCAAACGTGAAGCGGTGGATCGATCAGCATATTTCGGACTATAGCGCTGTTCATTATCTTGCCACACTTACCCGTCACCTGCACTCTCTCATGGCCCGAATATCACCCCCCAGCGTCACATATATGCAGCAGGCTTTACCTCCTGAGCTACTTTCGCTGTCAAATCACGCGGTTTCATTGGTGAAGGCGTTCCCTGACCACGAAAGTCTCTGGCTTTACCTTCGTGCCGTTACACAACCGTTTACTGGCAACCCCGATGAAGAGACTATGATTGGGACATTAATCCGTGACTTCGTAAATCCGCTGGCACTTTCAACCTCAGATCTGGCATTGCATGCCACTTGTACACGAGCATCGTCTCAGTCTGCCTATCGCTATCTAGCCTGGTGCTCTTTTGTATGCATTTTCTTAGTGTTCCCAAGTGACGCCCTATGACAAGTATTTTTCAGCAGAAACGAGTCCCAAATGTAGATGACCATACACTGAAGTTGATGTTAGCTATTAAACCAGCGTACCAATTATTGATTAATAGTCCCTCTGTGTAGTGTAGCATTGTTAACAATGAGACGCCGTTACTTATCTGATAAGATAAACATGTCATTGAAGAGGTGGACGTGGCGAAACTGGTGGCGGTGCACTCTACTACCTGCATTGTTTGCTTTGCTCAGTCACTGGCACCGCACAAGCACGAAGCTCGCCGCAGGACGGGTGTAGATGCTTATTTCCTGGACCACACAAGCTTAACTTTTTGATAAATATCGGGTTTAATGGTATCACTTAAAGGGCCTCGTTCAAGAAAGGCTACCTGGCTTGCTTTTGGTCTTGTAACACTCGCTGTTTCAACTATATCTGCACAAGATTCATCGGTACTCTCAGGAACGTCCCTTAGTTTTGTGAGTACACAAAAGGCTACTATATTGTATCAGTTTTTGAACCATGCTTCTTCTCATGTAGGCGAGTGCAGATTCTACGACAGCGCAAGCGGTAACCGCATCTCCAACTCCCAGTGGGCAGGCCGACGATGTGGTGAGTGTCCAGGGACAAATAAACATCCCATCCGTTTTTCTACTTCATCTTCAATTCTCGTGATTCTGAACGTTGAATATCTTCAGTCGACGCCAGCTGTTTCAGTCGAGTTTGATCAACCAGCCGAAGGTGACCACTACTGGAACTGTCTGCTTCGTGCTTCGCGTGCTCATACATTTCCCTTTCTGTAGCTGCACGGGCATACAGAAGTGCCCTAGTAACACTGTCTACTCTCACAGCAATTCCGCCATCATACACCCATGACTCATCTCATATCTCTCCGTCCTCAAACACCAACTCTTTTCTGTCGGCTTTCCTACCTAACCCCCAAGGTCAGGGCCCTCTTGGGAGCGCCATTCGAATAGCTATCAAGCTCCGTCAACAATTCTGGCTATTCCGAGTCTTTACGTCGATAGGAACTGACAACGGAGGTAACAGCGGCGCAAAGAAGAAAGATGACGAAATGCGTGGCAAAGCAATAAAAGTGATCGACTTGCTTCAGCACTCCGCAGAGCTGGGCAGTCAGGATGCGTTGTATACTCTTGGGCAGATTTCACTGGTGCGTTATGTCTGCGTCATCTGGTGCGAAATAATACTGAGATATTCCAGTTCCCACCAAATTACTACTTCCCGTCTGATCCCGCCATGGCCTATGACTCTTTTTCTACACATGCTTCGCTATCGGGAAATGCTTCATCGCAAGCTCTCTTAGCTTTCTTCTATGCTACTGGGTACCATGATGTGGTCCCCATTAACCAAGCAAAAGCACAACTGTACTACACATTTGCCGCTCTTGGAGGACATAAAGGCGCACAAATGGCACTTGGTTATCGCTACTGGAGTGGTATCGGCACTTTGGAAGACTGCGGGCGAGCTGTGGATTACTACGAAATCGCTGCAGAACAAGGTAAGTGGCCTTGAAAAGATGTATAGGATGTGTCAATGACCTTGTTTATCTTTCAAGCCATGTCAGATTTCTTATCTGGCCCTCCTGGTGGAAAAACACTCCCGCAAACTGCTACGAGGTTGTCTGATCTGCATGGAGGCATTTATGGACCTGGTGCAAGTGTGGCATCGACTGGTTTAAATCTTGTGAGACCTGCTATCAAAGCCGGTATGGCACATGCCGCCGGTGAGACTTGGGATGATGTCCTCGAGTACTATCTCGTATGTACTCTTCAAGCCTCACAATTTTGTGGTAACTCGATACTGAAGCTCCCAATTAGTTCAACGCTGATCGTGGTGAAATCGATTTTGCATACAAGCTAGGAAAAATCTTTTATCAAGGTAGCATATATGCGTCGGCTGGTGGTATCGCTTCGGGGAGTGAAGGCGTCGGAAGTATCCCGCGCGACTACCAGCAAGCCCAGTACTACTTTCTCCAAATCGCGCGCCAGGTTTGGCCTCGCGATCCTCCAAACCCCCTGCATCATGCAACGTCGGCGTACAAGGCAGAGGGCGTCACTCAACCTGGTTTCGCGGCAAAAAGTGCAGGCTATCTTGGGCGCATGTATCTAAGGGGAGAGGGCGTGGAGGCTAATCCAGCAAAAGCGATGATGTGGTTTGAGCGTGGCGCCGAATACGATGACAGAGAATGCCACAATGGACTAGGGATATTGTGGCGAGATGGCCTCGTTCAAGGCAAGAAAGACTTGCAGAAGGCTTTGCAACATTTCAATGTTGCCGCTGGGCAGGAGCTACCCGAAGCACAGGTCAACGTCGGGAAATATCATTATTGTAAGATTCTTTCCTTGCAAATGCGGGTATCACATAATTCCACTCACAACCTTACCTTCTTAGACCGGGGTGAACTCAAACTTGCTGCAACGTACTTTGAAACAGCCGTTCGCCATGGATCCCAATTTGAAGCGCATTTTTACCTTGCATTGATCCACAATATGCAAACACAAACCTCTGCGATGTCGCCAGATTTATCTGCAGGATCTTGTGCCACAGCTGTCTCCTTCCATAAAATGGTCGCCGAACGTGGCGTTTGGGACGATGACCTACTACATGATGCAGAGGAAGCGTGGTTACGGGGTGCAGATAGGGATAAAGAAGTCGCAATACTCAAATGGTGGATAGCTGCTGAACGAGGTTTCGAAGTCGCTCAGAATAACCTTGCATTTGTGTTGGACCAAGGTCAGTGACATATAAAACCAATTGACGACAGTATCTAACGATATTGTCCCTTTAGACAAGAGTATCCTACGCCTCACTAGATTTTCTCCTATTATCCCTTCCAACGACACAGCAAGACTCGCTTTAACTCAGTGGACACGTTCGGCAGCCCAGCGAAATGTCGACGCCTTGGTTAAAGTCGGTGACTACTACTATCACGGTCTCGGTGTCCCCGAAGATTCAGAGGCGGCTCGCTGGGAGAAGGCTGCAAAATATTACCAATCCGCAGCTGATACGCAAGTCAGTGCTCTAGCAATGTGGAACTTGGGATGGATGTACGAGAATGGTGCTGGGGTGCCTCAGGTATGTTCACTCGTCACTTTTTTTGAACGTCAATAATCATCATTTTCTCTAGGATTACCATCTCGCGAAGCGTCACTACGACATGGCACTGGAAACTAATGGCGAGGCTTACCTGCCTGTAATGCTCTCCTTGGTCAAATTGTACATGCGAAGCTTTTGGCATACTCTCGGAGGAGGCAGCGATGGGCTAAGTCTTTGGAGTCCTGAAGAAGATGGTAGCAGTGAGAAGAATTCGTGATTCAGAAACATTGTAATCCATGCTGATCGTTTTTTAAAAGGTTCGTCTGTTCACGAAAACAGCGAAGAGCGAGAGGGGCGAGAACTTGATGGTTCCCCAGAAAACGACCAGCCTGGACAAGAGACTGAGTCTAACGAGAAAGCAGCTGATGAGCCAGAAGAAGACGGCCCTTGGTACTTTGGAAAGGCGAAGGAAGAGTTTCATCGACGAAGAAGGGGACAAGACGCCAGAGCAAATGAAGAAGAAGATCCAGTTCAGGTATGTAAGGACGAAGACCAATCCATACAGTATCTAACCCTTATTCTACTCAGTGGGCTCGCGATAGACGGAACTCTGAAAACGAGCGAGATGGTGACTTTGGTCCCGAAGATTATTTTGATGGCGCTCTCAGGGGTGGTCATCGTGGTGAAGAAGATGTGGATGATTTCGCGGAGACTATGTTGCTGGTCGCGCTTTGCCTCGCGGTGTCTATATTGCTATACGTCCGCACACGCTTCGTCGAGAGGGTCCGCAGAGAGGAGCGACAACAGGGCGAAGAGGGCAATGGCCAACAACCTGCCCAGCCCCCACCAGACTTGGGTGCTTTCCCTGGCCCTGATGATCCAGCTCGGAATGAGTGGAATATACTTCATTAGGTTGTGCGACATGTTCATAAAAAATAGATGCTCTTTGTACACCTCGGTGGCGCCTATCGCGTTTTGTGCAGCCGAGAGGATGACTAAGGGATGCACGTGGTCGGTCTGACGCGCTCGTTCTCAGGTTGATACACTGCGTAATTCGAGAGTTCTCGAGTCGAAAGTCTATTCATTTCTTCCTGATTCCTGTCCATTCGTTACACTCCCGGTTCTATTTTAACTCAGATCCCTTATAATGAGTTTTGATGTCACAGTTCTCGAGTCCTACATTGAGCAGATCCTATCCGCTCCTGGGACTGACTTGAACACCATCAGTGCAAAACGCGTTCGCAAGCAGCTGGTGGAATTCGATCCAGCATTGACACCGGAAACGCTGAAGGAGCACAGGGAAAGCGTTGACCAGATAATTTCGAGCGTGTTCGAGAAAGTAAGCCATGCTGCTGGAGGCGTGTCCGTGCAAAGTGCAGAGGGCTCGAAGCGGAAGCGAGAAGAAGAGGATGGCGGCATAGGCAGCGTAGAAGAAGACATAGGGGAGGAAGCTGAAGCTACTCCCGACCCTCCCAAGAAAAAGGGAAAGAAAACCACCGAGGAAGCCGATGCTGAGCTGGCAAGAAAGCTTTCGAGCGAAATAAATGGCCGTTCACGGAGAAGCGGTGGGTCGAGTGCTCCTGCTACTAAGGCGAAAAAGAATGCCAGTAGAAAGTCAAAAAAGAGTGCTGCGACTGTAGAATCTGGCAGCGATGATGATGGTGATGAACCTGGAAAGAAGAAGGCAAAACCCAAGAAGAAGGCTAGTGGAGGGGCAAAAGGTGGTTTTGCGAAGGAGTATATCTTAAGGTATGCATCTCACAGACATTCCTGTTTTGACACCCCTGTTTAAGCCTTCATAGCGAACCATTATCCGCTGTATTGCAGGTGGATAAGCTCTCGCGTCCACAGGTGGTCAAACAGCTGTGGGAATATATCAGAGGTAATGATCTTCAAAACCCCAGCAACAAACGCGAGATAATGTGTGACGGCGGCCTACGCGCTGTTTTCAATGTGGATAAAATTGATATGTTTAGAATGAATAAGGTATTAGGACAGTGAGTATCTGTAGCTTGGTCTTTGCTATCCTTTAAGACTAATTCATCATCATTAGGCACCTCCACGAGAACGAAGGGTGACCTTTGTTTATTTAACACAAGATTTCTTCCTGTGCGATGCATTTTTTCCAATTATTTTATTGAAACTTCCTATTCTCTCACATAGTTGTTTGATTTATTGGAAGAATGTTGTTATTCCGGCACACACGCAACAGTGTGGTTCGTTCGTCGTCCTATTATTTCCTGTTACCTGACTTTGACTCTCTTGTTGTCCTACTTTTCATGTGTTAAATCCTCGAGTTTGATGCAACGTGTTCTTTTACAACTATTATAAACAATAGGATATAAATGTTGACTATGAGAACTCTAGACAACGTGAAGTTGAAGTGACTAGTTGACTGAGGGTTTTTGAGCAAGGTGTGTATAGACTTCGAGTTTTCCTTGGTTGTTTGCAGTTTTGACGCATGTGATTTACTGCGCTCCCAATTTGGTTGCCAGCATAGGCTGATCCGAGTCTTTCGAGCGATTAGTTGTCCCGTTTCAAGTTGTGCATATCGTGAAAGTGGCTGTACTAGTACCAGCATATATCGCAAGGTTTGGCTAATTCAGAACTATGATGGTATCTCATCAATGGCTAGAGTGCTGAAACGATATAGTTCCGGACAGTGTTACACGGGTCACGGTGAGTATATCATCTTCAAGCTTCAACCATGAAGAATTTGATGATCATCATGATACAGGCAGAAACTGCATGCCAGCGTTCCTGGGATATTCGTAACTGAATGGCGGCGATTTCACTGTCGAGGGGAACAAAGTAAAAGCTCAACTTCGTCATATCATCGCACTCCTATTTCGTCAACTTCTTAAGTATTCCATTGCAAAAGCTGAATTTACGGTATTATTGTTTCCCCAAGCAGGCGGAAATGACGAGGGCGCAAGGAACAGTCTTGTCCCATGACCAGACGGATATTACTGGTGGGCATAACTTCGTGAACGTAGGTTTCATATCTGCAGTTTCTTTGGGTAGCGGCGATCTCTGTTTGGCGCCGTTCAACCTTTTGCTTCACTTCATGAGTCAATTCCGGGCAAGACGCCGCCATCTGTCAGTTCACACAATATTCCAGTACTGTGGATTCGGGCCTAGTTGAAGGAAGCCCAGCTGAGCTAGTATATGGAGGAAGTTCTAATCAATCAAGTTACAGGATTCCATTCATAGGTTTCTCCCGTCTTCTAGGATGTCGCACTTCCCCCCTTTGGATATATGTATTCTCCCGGCAGTACACTTTCTCCCCGAATGTTATCAAAAGTCCATGACAGGTACGTACCACCCGCCAAATTCTGACGCTAACAATTCATGAATTCATGAAGCGCGCGCCAGCTTGATATGATAACCACGCTCTAATAGGGTCTTCGCTGTAACAACAACGGTATTAATGCATTACTGTCACAAGGTCAGTATATATAGAAGCTATCTTTGAATTTTATCCTTCTTCTGCGATGTCATGCAACATTACAATGGCTTCATATGGGTGAAAGTAATACAAGATATGATAAAAATGTAAACAAAGCGAACCCAAGTGGTACAGAATACAATACCCAAATTTAAATAATGTATTCGTCACTGACAATGAAATAAACAAATTGGTAACTCGAAGCGAAGTCATGAGTTGTCGTTAATTAAGGTTGTGTAGTTTCATCCACTCTTTATCGTTCGCATTAAAATCGACTCCCTTTTCTCTCCACCACATTCTGGCAGCTTCTCCTCCACCAATAGCATCCTCCAGAGCCTCTTCAATGTCACACATCCTGTACTGAATTGGGAGTCCGCTTTTATCCCACCACTGCAGGACTTCTGGCCTATTGTGCCGCGTCGCACCTGTCAGCGCATCTTGGTCGAATACCACTTGCAACCCGCTTCCCAACCACCACTCCAAAACATCTACTTTGCCGTGACAACTCGCATGGTGCATCACATGCCGATCGTACTGATAATCGAGCTGGGAGGCAGCCCACCATTCAAGTACCTTGACATGTCCGGCGGTGCTAGCCATGTCCATAACACGACCTATTTTGAGGGGTAAACCGTGGTCCAAATGATGTTGTTTCCACCAGTCAAGCACGGAAATCTGATTTTTGGCACTTGCAAACTCAAGTGCAGCCTCGGTATACTCCAAAGGAATGCCAGACGAGAACCACCAATCAAGAGAGGTCACTTGCCCGTTTCGCGAAGCACCATCAACAGCATCTGCGATTGCTCCTGTTTTTGGGGGGTGAACCAAGTCAGGATGCTGTTCAAAGCCATGTTTCCACCAGGACAAGACATCAGTACGACCATTCCTAGAAGCCTGGATGGGGATTATGTCGTCTTTGAAGATGGAGAGAAAGATTGAACGATGTTGTGTAAGAAAATACTCTAGGACGTTAACATATCCAAAACGAACAGCTGCCACAGCTCCGATTTTTGTGGGGGGACCGCTAGCCGGGTCAGCAGCACGAATTAGGGGGAGAGAGCCAGTCAGCATTGTGAGGTCCGTAGAATTGGCATTGTTCCACGTAAGAGGTGTGGGTAGGGACGTGGGTACTCCAACAGCCCGTGAAAGCGTCCAATCGCCAACATGGTCTAATATTTCAGCCAAAATTTCAACTGGCAAGCCCGGTATGAGGGCACTGCGTCCTTTTTGTTGTGGTGTTGCGGTGGGTTGGATGTCGTTAGATACAGCAGGAAAATGATATGTATGGAGATCATGATGGGCCAAGCGGGATGCAAGTTCGCTGTCTGGGCCTGAAGTTGGGAGGTTACGGACTTTGAGGAAAAAAAGGAGTTGTGGATGTGTCATGCGGCGGTAAGCCTCGCAAACGAGTTCTAGTGAAGGGTCATAGTTCTGCGAAAGAAAAGCATACCAATGTCGATGTTTAGCTTCATCGTTGTGTGCTGCCAGAAGAGTATTCGTTTACACACCGCCATAAGCAGAAAATACCAGTACAGTCAATATAAGAGGGATTTTGCCACTGACTGGGAACGACTTTACCACAGGTGACGCTGTAAGTGGCGTGGCTTTCACTCCTTGCCGGCTATTCTATGGTGACTTTATGGCAAGCTTTCAGTCAAATCATGGTTGACTTGTTCGACTGCCAATCATACAAGCTCTAAATTACACTTGATCTCTCTACTCGTACCAGCTGTTATCGCAGTTCTAGTATTTATCTATTCGTATACGGCATCTGAATCCCCTCATAAGGACTAGCTGCAAATCATCGAGTTTCACGATGACACGTTCCTCCACTCCAGGATCATTTCGTGGACCTGGTTAGTCTATATTTTAACACTCCGAATCTTTCCTGCAGAGCCAGCATATCAGCTATCCACCTCGGACGTCCATATTAATAGTGGTATCGTATACTTTGTTATATCGAGCCCAACGGGTGCCGGTACAGGAATAAGCTGGAAACGAATACCTGTGTGATACATGTGAGTGCTCTTATCTCCAAAATCTAGACAGTTCTAGCCTTACCAATGTATGACATGAAGCGGTTCAAGTTTCTCTCTCGAACTTCGTCTTCTATCAGTTCGTAGTCCCTCAGGAGGGCCTTGACTTTTGGACCTGTAACATCGATTGTCTGGATTCTCTTTCAAGGCCTCGGACAAACGATGGACCTACCATCATACGAAAAAAGGGCCCTCAAACTTGTTGGATAAATATAACTCTTTCGACCGTTTGTCTTCAAGACGATAGCCAATGGTTCATCCAAGTTGTGTGTTCGCAGGTTCGAGTTCAATCGCCTGGCTTCCCTGCACACGTATCACGTATCACAGTCGTCAAGCATACCACAGGATCGAAACGCACCGAACTTACGAGTTCTCAACAGACTGTTGGATCGCTGTCAACTCCTTCTTGCTTTGCGCCATTTGCTGTTCCACTGGGACGGGAAAGTAATCCTTGATCTGTACATCGACTTCTTGTGCAACTTGCTTTGCTATGTCTGCTTTGATCTGTTCTTGAATTTTCGCCCTGGACGTATTGATTGAATGGGTAAGGTACAGGTTTTATAAAGTACATACTTCATATGCTCTATAATTTGGTCTTTGAGCTGCTCGCTTACCATCCGCTTCACTTCTTTAATTCGTGCCTCCTGTTTCTTGTCTTGAGCCCTGACTTGCCGACGCATGGCTTGGATCTGGGAAGCATTGTCTTGCTGGACTATTTGTCAATTATGCGCTTGGGGCTACGACTATGGTCATACCATCGTAGGTGCTGTTGCTGATATCTTCGCAGACTGCTCGTTCAAAGTGTCGAAAGTCTGACCACTGATATCAGAAGCCCATGTGAGTAAACCACATTGCCCATATGATTCTCACTACTCATGATATCCTATTGCCAATCTCACTGTTTGACAGTGGTGGTTCTCCGTGCAGAGTATGTGCGTCTGGAGGTGGATGGACTCACAGCGTGCCTAGAGTATCCTTCATTGCAGCTAGCAGGTCTCGAATTGACGTCGCTTCAGCCATCGATTCTTGGCTCGTCCTACTTTGAGCCCTAGGAGTCGCATCACCGCTGAAACTTATAGACATTTTTTTTTGTAAGTAGCTCAAGTGTAAGCACAACGCAAGGGGCGTAGGGTATGTCGGTATATTAAGTAAAGAGGACAACGTGACAGATGGTAGGCAAAATCTACATTTTGCTAATCCTCGTGCACTCTAGCCTTCCGACATGCCATAATTTGGGAGGCATAGACGAGCTGAATGTTTAGCTCAAGGCAGATCCCTCGAATTTGTTTGCTCATTCTTGTTCATCTAACTTACGTGCAAGTCCAGGCTTAAGAGTTATAGCGCCTGGTAGCCGGTTTGCCGGACCGTTACGAGAAGTCCACTTGTTTTTGTGGTCACGATGGACCATCGTGACTATTTCGCCGTCTTGCTTCTCTCCAATCCGTCGTGGTTTCCTGTCTGTCCTGTTCAACTTTTCCCAGTATACAACAGTTCATCGGAGAGCGGCCCGCATCGGCCGAGAGAAGTTGTACTTATAGCATGATCGTGTCTACTCACGAGACGAGTCGATCCCAAGGGGCATACCATCGCCCATTGTATATAGCTGATAACATTCTCCAGACTCCTTTTGCAATATTTTCTTCTTTTATAACTAACTTATCATCATCGTCATGTTGCCTCGTATCATGCTCTGCGGTAAGATTTGCGGTTGAAAGGTGTAAAACCTCGCGATAACCCTATCATGCAGGAAGAATCGTCTGGGCACATCAGGATGTCAAGGAGCTTTTCAATGGGATTGCTGAAGTGATAGTACGTTGCGAGTTGTTCGTTTTCATGTTCTTGCATCTAAATTTTGAATGCCAAACTTTCCATCAGCCTATGAATTCTCCTAACCGAGCCGACTTTCTTGCAGGATTCAAGCCTGGTGGTAAATATGAGGGAACCGTCGGGATATACAGACACAACACATCTGCAGATTCTATTGGTGTATTTGATAAGGAAATTATTGCTGCACTTGTGCCTCAAGTCAAATGGATAGCTCACAATGGAGCTGGATATGATCAAATTGATGTATTGGAATGTAAAGCGAAAGGTGACTAGCCTTTTCAGCCCTTTGAATTCACTTCACACTAACGCTTTATGGTAGGTATCTATGTGTCGAACACCCCCGGCGCAGTCGACGATGCTACAGCCACGACCGCCTTGTATCTTTTAATCGCCTGTCTTCGCCACTTCTCTTATGGAGAACGCAGCCTGCGTGAACTAAAGTGGAAAAAACCTATCTCGGCGGGGGCTACTCATGACCTGACCGGACGCACACTGGCCATTTTGGGCTTAGGCGGTATAGGTTTGCGGTTGGCGTACCTTGTGCATGCTTTCCCCATGCGTGTCATATATTACTCGAGACACCGCAATGACGATGCCCCTGAATGGTGCGAATATGTGGATAGCATGGAGGAACTACTTGCACAGGCCGACGTACTCAGCGTACACGTCCCACTCAGGAAGGAAACAGAGCACCTTGTCGGAGAAAAGGAGATACGTGCGATGAAGAAGGGGTCCATCATCGTCAACACTGCGCGGGGGAAAGTTATCGACGAAGAAGCTATGATTAGGGCCCTGGAGGATGGACATGTATGTGTTATCAGCTGGGCTGGGTTTATGCTGTTTGATCTGATATCTCTGTTAACGACACAGCTCTCGTCTGTGGGTCTGGATGTTTACGCAGACGAGCCTTCTGTGAACCCTCGTTTACTTGACTTCCCCCAAAATGCGCTTCTACCACACATGGGCACGGAGAACCAGGACTCTCAGAGGAAGATGGAAGTACGCGCTCTAACAAACCTAAGAGACTTCCTTATACAAGGGAAAGGAAACGATATTGTGCCCGAAATGAAAAGCAAGTTGTAAGGTGAAGGAAAGATGCGAGGGAGGGTTATGTGGTGGACCTGCCTAGACGTCGCTTGGCTAGGTTAGGGGGGATCGAAGTGTTAAGATATTCTAGTGTAGATATCTGTTTCTATCAATTAAATCAACAAATCGATGGTGTAAAGGCTAGCTTCCACACGAACGTCACGCCCACAAACGTAAGATTGCATCGCATTCGAACCACAAAGGTACACGCCAACCACTCGTGAAATGAGTCGTAATAATACATATCACATAACAGCCAAGAGGCAGTGACACTATTGTTTGTAATATCAGGGGTATCGTAGTACATCGAATAGTTCGAAGCGTAAGTAAACGCACGGTGGTTAATTTAAAACTAAACCAAAAAGTACACATGACCAAAAAAAATTAGAATGTTACTAAATTGTGAGGGTTCGATTGCTATCAATATCCCAGTTCCTGGTGACTAGGGCTATGTCGTCGTTACGGTCCATATCAATTTCGACTCGGATTTCACCTTCTTGATATCCCTTAGTCCAGTTAACGCGGCTGAGCTCGGCGTGATTCAACAGCCACGCAGGATCCACATGTCGTGTAGCTGCTAGTGAGCGTATGCTAAGCATTGCACGACAAACGGCTACAACAGTGGCAGCAACTGAAAACCTACAAGGTGTACTTCAGCCAGAAGTGATGTGGCAAACAAGTGGATGACTCACTCTCCCAGTAAAGCTGATAGGTAAGACTAATGGACCATGAGAGTCAATAAGACGCCTCATATAAGCGGGATTAAAAGACATACCCTTAATCCTGACGGTGAAGTCATCGAAAATGCAATTGTGGCATACAAGATAGAACCTACGATGCCTCAGATCACGGCACTAATATGACCCCGTAGGGACTCACCGGTAGCAAAGGCATACATCAATCCACCCCTAATTGAAACAGATATCGTTGACTTTAGTCATGCTCATAATATACGCACCGTGGAACCTACTCTTTCAAAAAACGTTGCAACAACGGCATGTTCCCCAAAGAGTCAGTGCAAACCATCACCCGGTAGATTTTGAGGGAGAATAGAAAAGAGTGTATGAAGAGTGATGGTATGTAGATTTGCCAGACGAGCGGTGGATGCATCGGGGACACCAAATCCAAGTCGACTGATAACGTATTGACGAAGGATTCAATAGCACCACAGTAATAGGCGGCGAGAATAATAGTTATTGAAGCACATGCCAGGTAAGCGGTAATGGCGATGCATCGAATGATCCTGCTCCTTGGGAAGAGATACCAGACACGAAGAGTTATTACAGCTTGATGATATAACAGAAAAACATTAGCGGTCCCGACTTAAACGCGCGGCAAATATAAGCACCTTGACACAGCACTATGATAATAAAATTCAGCGCAAAACTAGCTTTGAATATTCGGTTCGCGCTGCAAGTAACAACGTCAGCGGGAAAGCATGATATAGCATGGAGCCGAAGAACATACCCCTGATGCATATTTTGATCAGCATGACTGGAGTAAATTTTGGAAGAGTGCAGAACTCACGCTCTGATTCATAGCTGGAGCACTATGATCTGTAGGGGGAAGTAATTAAGAACCATCATGGCTAGACAAGATTCCTATTTACCATACAAATTCATGCTGTGGGAGGTATGTGAATGTGATGTTCTGAGGGCACGGTATAGTGAACTCACCATGCTTGAGAAAGTGTCAAATATCTTATCTAATAGGGTGTCATTTATATCTTGACCAAGTCGAGTGAACTGTCCTTACACTTAAATACAGAATCCTTGACAGCGACCAAGACCCTGACCAGAAATAAGTGACCTATAACAAAGAGAAAAGGTCATCATGATCTGTACACCGAGAGTAGTATTGATAACTTCACTTACTTCTTTGCTGAAAGTAATTATATGATCGTAAATTATGAGGCTAATAGAGGCATATGATAAGCACGAAGCTTGTAGCTCAGCAAGTAGATTTGTGTCGAGTGCTAATCCTACTGACATCGCATCCAGGTGGGAGGGTATTCACTGGTAGAACGTGAGACATACTAAAGTGCAGGCATATATAGAAGGGGCCGAGGTCTGCACACGTATATGGCAATGACATAAGTCTATCAGATGGCGACACTGCCCTCTGAAGCCTGTAGTTCATAGTTAAGAACATGATGACACTTGTCCGGCATCCCGGTAGTTCGGACATCTTGATAGTCAGATGAAACTGAAGGTTAACATTAGAACATCTTGCAAAAAGGTGTTTTGGTTACAATACGGGATTAGCATTGATTAAGGAAGCGTCGACTCGGATGTGGCCGCGGGGAATAGTAGGAAGAAGCGGCACGGGTTTGACCAAGCTGCTTTTATGTACGCTGTAACACATTCGTACAACGCGTCTGGCGTTAATGACACATGTTCGAGAATGCGCGCCGAAAAGAATGATGGGAACCAAGGCCAGCCACGGTCTGACAGGTGTTCTACTTCCATTATGAATGGCATAAGAAATCCAGGATTCTGAGTCGTTCCCTACTGATTGGAAGAAGAGCAAATCAGTCTGCGCTGCGAATAAGTGATTGTGATAGAACTTGGGGATACCTGTATGTTATAGTGAAACCATTTTTGAGATTTTGTATATCTCCATTCGCTGTCAAAACACGATCACTGAGCACTGAGCCCTAGTACGCTGTCATCGGACTTGGATGATAGCAACACTGGTACTAGTGGCGGCTGTTCATCTACCGGGTCAAGGCACGCACGTGACTCAGTAGAGGTAAGTCAGGTGCGTAGGTGACACTGGTGATTATATTCAAGTAAATTCATGCTAGTGGGTCCAATATGAAGGTTCAAAAGCAAATACTCTACGAGAAGAGTACCGGGCACCAAACACGCTATCACAGATCTTATCAAGGCAGACTTAGAAATTCTCCAAATACCATGTCCTCCCCGGAAAAGTATCGAACTGGCGGAAGATGGTATAATCAAGTTTGGGTGGCAAACAACAAGTGATAGCGTATGTACACGAATCATCCGCCCACTAAATCCTGACTATTTTCATTGGTTAAAATTTTAAAGGCGCTTCACAGAAGGATGCGACAGATAGTAGAACGACATGATAGCTCTTCCCAGAAGGTTCTCAGGAGTAAATGTTCCATGTAAGTTATAGTTCTCAGAAAGTCCGTGTTTCCCGTTTCCATCCATATCGGGGAACCTGTGACTAACTACAAATTGGTCTTACAGCCTGACCATGACATTATTCGAAGAGTTAGTTTACATATTCCTCGACGAGCTTAGGTCAAGCTTTAACGCAGTATCTCAGCCCGCTTCTTCCATCGGGTCGATCACTGAGTTCCAGGCTCCGGAACGTCTCGCGGAGATCACCCCCAACGCCATTGACATCCAGCCCGAAGACTCGGAAAACTTCTGACTCTGCCGATGATATTTCCAATGTGATTTCCCCAATGCAGCCCATATCTCATAGATCGCGGTTTTATCCTCCAGAGTCTCCAAAAAAAGACAGGCATGATACACAGGGGGTGTATCAACATAGCAGTCCGTTGGTCAAAATGAATGACCAAAGCTTGCGTCATTTAGATGATTCTCTGCAGCGTCTGCGCAGTCTCAGCGATAGTCTACAGGGTAGCGGTGATAAGGTATGCCTCTATGATACCCGATGGCTTTGCATTCTATAAAGCATGAACATGTTAGCTCAAGCGTGAAAGGACAAACTCTGGATCGGCCGAGTGTGATCAATATCAAGCGCAAGCCAATAATAAATTCACTGGTGAACGGGCAAAACCTAGCGGTGACAATGTTCCCTCCACAGGCTCGGTGACGAACAACAACAAAACAACTACCCGGCTTACTCGGGAACTGTGGAATATTCGGAGAAGGATACAAGTCGAGCGTGCAAGGGAAGCAGCTATTCTAGCTGAGCTTGGTGGCGCCAATACTCTACTCACAGGCCCCAAACTCCAAGCTGTCGCTACAGTGCCAGAAAGCTCGTATCAGACTTCTCGTACGTATCCTCCGATCATATACCAGCGCTTCGCCCACAGTATGCTTTATGCATGGAAGCCCTTCTTCGAACGGCCCAAGCTGAGACTCATCAGGAAAGAAGAAGGCGAATTTACGCAGAACATGCATTAAAGGAGGTCGAGAGGGAGTGTAGAACACCTTTTGTTGTGCCTGCATTGGTTGGGGCATTTCTCAGCATCTCTGAATTGACACGAACATAACTTTACAGAGCATCTGCGCTTTCCTGTACAACAATATTGCACATCATACTATTATCAGGTCAGCGAATTGAAAGAGCATCGGATGCTACACAGAATGTTTATAACCCTTGCACCACTACAATGTCTTCAACTATCCAGTATCACAGTCAATGAGAAAAAATAGCGATACATTAGGAGGAAGGCGAGGTTGGAAGTTGAAGTGCCTGGATAGCGGTAGGTATCATTGAATTCAAGGTATGACGCCGTGAGACTGCAGAGGCCTCTAACACGGGCGCTGGTATCGTTACAGCCGGCACTGATGAAGAAGCACACCACTCCAAGGTGAGAACATTTTGATCCAATGTTTGCTCCATATCTCCTTTGCTCTGAGAGACCGGGAATGATCCGCCATTCACATCGTGCACACGACTACTCCATAGCTCACTAGCAGATAAAGATGGCATGGAAGGTAGAGATAACGGCCGAAAACGCGATGATTGTGTGGTGGACGCCATCATTTGGCTGGACGACGCAGGAGGCATGAAACGAAGAGAGCCTCCAAATGTTTCAGGGTTGACACGGTTGCGCAAGGCATGGTGGGTAGGAGGATATGTTTTCCTTCAGAGCCAGTTAATCAGATCTGTTCTGAGTACAAGATATTGCAGCGTGCCACAAACCTGGTGGTCAAAACATCTGTATCTGGCGAACACATGCTTAAAGGTTGTATGATGAAAAGCCAAACACGACGATAGTCTTGTCTAGCTTCCTTCGTAAACGCAAAGAACGCAAAGAACATAAAAGCATTGAACACGGGGGACCAACGGGTAATCTCAAGGCTATACTCGCTCACGGCGTCGCTTGCCCAATAGTATGCAGGAGTCTCTCCTGCCTCAGAAAAGGTACTATGGAGAAGATCCCAGCTATATGGCTGAACAGGTGCAGCGACGATATTTTCAACAAGATTCAGCATTCCATATGGGAGGGTACATATGACGCCAATACCAGTAAGGGTTAGAAGGCGCCAGTAGTGGCCGAATTGCAAAGCTTGATTGCTTTCCATTATATCTCTTTTATACGCTTTCCGTTTGATCGTAGCGTATATGGTAAGTCCTATAATAAAACATCAGTACTCTGCGATATCTATAGTGTTTTAAGGATGCAAACCAGCATAGATAGCAGTCACTAGGCCAAAGACGGCAGGCCATATGAGGAAGATTGGGATAGCTGGTGCTGTCGCCAGTACAGCTGGATAGCATCCTACGTCTTCATAAATCTCAAAATCGTGGAATTCAACGATGTACTCTTCCGTCCCAGCGAAACATAAGTTAGTAGAACGCAATATAGTGTGAAAATTGAACATACGTAATGATAAAATCAGTACGGGAATGCCAATGCCAATACATAGATCCACGATCAGGTCACGTCGCACCTGCAGGATTATTGTGAGCTTTAGTCATGAGATGAACTGTAATCGTTACCTCACGGACACTCTGATTCACAGCCTTCATTGTAATAATGCGATACAAACGGCGGACAATGCATAGTAAAGCCACTTCATTTCCCCAGCCTGCAGTAATAATGACACGGGATGCTATGGTAGTGACAATTGGAAAATGTTCAGTGCTAGTACATAAAAGAGTCCTACACTCACATATATTACACCAAACTGGTGACCAGTTTACATAGTTACGATTCCATATAACTGAGTTCACGGCCGTGGTAAGACAAACTATGCTGGTCCACACTATGTACATGCACGTCCCAGCATTCCTCGCTGCGGATAAGATCAGAACCAAAAAAAACATGAGTAGCGTTACAACACAAACCTCGTAGATGCATTGGCAACAAGATACTGATTAGGAAAAATCCAATGAAGCCGAACACGCTAAACGCATAGTTTGAGGCTAGGCTTGGAACCGTCATGGGGACTCTGAAGTGAAAAGCAAAGGAATATATCAGATCCTACTCTTTATATGATTCCTACCATTCCAAGGCCCTGCACACGTGCAAGGGATAAACCCTGGTACCATGGCATTAGGTTATGAATGGAACAATGTAGAGACAAGGTCACATCACAGTGCATGGGTTGTTGATTGATATGCATTCCAGTGCTGTGAGTATGCTGTCAATAGAATTAGATGTGATTGGAACGTCGAACTTACAGCAATCAATATTGCAACATAAGTTGTCAGTATCTGGACATATCTACCACGAGCACCCGCTACGTGAAGACATAATTCATAATGGCAATGCAGCTCACTCGATTCAAACTCTTGAATACTTCAGAAAGGACTATATGCCAGTGAGAAGTCAATGGAGCGAGGTCCTGCTACTTTGGTATGCAGTGATCAGCGCTTAGCCCTATTAGCCAGACAGTGTACGGAAAGATAACTGATAATCACGTTAGGGCTTACCTGGTTTGAACCTTTCTGAGTACTGCGGACACCACTATCTGAGAAATCAACGGAGAGCTTTCTGATGATCACGAATACTCCTGATGGTTTCGATAGTTATACGATGCAATGCAACACTGAGCATCCCAAACACACAGTTGTGTCCCCTTACTGGCAAGTCACTTGACAGAACCCGCCAGCGTAGGCACCTAACGTACTCTGTTTTGAATATGTTGAACCAGTGAAAAACAGCATTCTTGGCGTGATGGAAGACGTCGTATCAGGTCAGCTCGGGGGAGAGAAATCCAGACTATACTGGTGCACAATAGTGTCAAAGGATCGTCGCACAATTGTGGTTTTAATAGTGTTTATCACTATGTTTGAACCAAGAGGGGTTGTCATTCAAAACACGAAAGAGCAGAATGATCATCAATATTGATATTAAGATTATCACCATCATCAAACAATAAAGACATCTACAAAACTGTAAGACAGGATCAATAGAACTCGGAAAGGCAGAAAACAGCTTAGTAAATACCCACAGTAGGGAAGAGAGCCGATATAGAGGTTGAAGCTTGAGTGCAAGAGCGGTTTTTGCACCGAGTATAAGTCGAGGATGAGATGGGAGATTGACGAGGAGGACAAGAGCGCCGGGAAATTTCAGAACTGCCACAGCTAATTTACAAGGAAACTTCAGAGTTATGATACAAGACGTGCTAGACTATACACGTGACCGCGTGACCTCGGTACTTTTGCAGACCCTGACGTGAGAGTCGGAGACCTCCGAGTCTTTCGTACTCTTTCGTGGCTGGAACAACTTGAATGCCAGTCCCAATGACAATCCTTACCACTCTCCCCAAATCCGTGTAGCCAATGACCCTCCAACTTGAACCAGAATCGCGTCTGCAGTAGCTGATCGTTTCGAATATGTCAATGATCCAGGCTTCTTGGAATGGGTGTACTGATGCTCTTGTCCCAGTTCATGCACAATCTCGGCGACTTATCTTTCCCTACAAAAAATAGGACGTCAGTGACAATTTTCGAAACGGCCAAGAAACCTCTCTTGAATTGGATCCCAGCTGTGTTATAACACTTAAAGACTCGGAAGTGATATTGTTGGTCTGCTTTCTGTATAACCGCACTTCACTTGTTTCAGATTGACCCTTATTTTAGGACTAGTGGCTGGAGGTAGTTGATGTTGGTGCCGGTGTAGATCGAAAGGCTCCTCAAATCAACCCGTTTAGCGCACCAAATTACAAGTCCGTGAGCCCACTACTCTTTTAGCAGATGGCTCGAGTTTTAGCTAGATAATTTCCGTCAATTTCAATTCGATTGTGCTCTAGTATGGCAGGTTCTAAGCTAACATCGACTCTGTCCTCGTCTTTCAAAATTCTTTTAGGGTGGACAAGTATGCCGCTTTCCCTTCGGTTTCACCCTGAAACTGCTTTGGAGTACTGATTGACTCACGACGAAGTGTATAGCGTGAATCAGAAGCAATGCAATGGAGTCGGACTTGATTCGCCGTAGGTAAAATACTCCACCGGCTAAAGATAGAGCGCTCATTTCCTTACACAGGCTACAGATCATCCTCCGAGGGTGTCGGTACTCACAGCTGAGAACGCCACCAAGGACAAGGCGCTTTGACCATCTAGTATCATGCTCTGCAAGCCCTCAATTTGAATGCATCATTCTTGTATGTATCGTTGCTCTAACCCAGGCATACACTCCCCGATACAAATAGTAGCTACGCCATCTGTTCAATCCTCAAAAATACGTCTGAGAGGGTTCCACTACTTTACCTAAAGCTTTAGATCACTTGTTGTAAGGACCACCGCCCTTCTCTGACTAATTTTCTCCGTGATTAACTAAAGGATCATTCGTGATGTCATTAGACTGATCACCTTCATTGTATACGGCACTCTCCATTGACACCTGTGCAGCAATTACAGGGTACTCTTCTCGTATTTGAGCAGCTCGGGAGCTAACGCACGATAGATTTTGCTTGTTTGCATGATAAGTACATTCAATTGAACCTTTTCTCTCAGTGTCCAAGGTGCTGTATTCGGTCGCATTCCAGAGATTTTCTACAAAATTTCTAACAAGACTATGAATATTTGCAGACTGGTTTTCTTTATTAGAATAGGCAGTCTAGTTGTCTGTCTCATCTCATGTCACAACGCACTTAGCACCCTTGGAGCTCAAGCGGTGACCGCTGGTGGAGCAAACCTATCCCGTACGACACGAATAATGATGAAGCGAGTCATTTGCAGGTAACGCTGACATCAGTGTTTCGTTGTAAACATACACAGGCGCATACAACGAAAAGCTATATAAACGCGGTCGTTCTGGCTAGCAAATGCATCCCAACTTCCTCCCAACATACAACACCATGTTCACCAACTTCAAATCTTTCGCTGTCATCGTCGCTGCTGCTGCTGCACTTGCTGGTGTCCAGGCCCAGGAATCGCACACAGTCACCTTCAACAACCAGTAACTTTTGTCTAACCATTATTGTTGCCACGTTCTGACATGTTCTTGTTCTTCAGGTGTAAGAAGGGAACTGTATGAGTCTTATCCTATTTCAAGGGACTTGACCAGCTGATGTATCGTTTATCAGCCTACCTTGGTTCAGGGCGGTAAGATTCTGTCCACCGGTCAACCGTACAAATCCAATGGGCCCCTTGTTTCTGCCATTGCGTGAGTACATTTTGCGCAAAACCCATACTTGGCCTCATCTAATCTATGACCTTCACTAGCTATCTTCAGACTGGTCAGTATCTCTTTCATCTGTTGCTCATATGCGTTGTGAAGACGATTAATTAGGGCCTTGTGGGCTTAACGGTGAATCTTGCACTTTGATTGAGACTACTCTTCAAAACCCGACCACTCCTGGTAGTGGATCGAGCTCGGACATCAGTTTGATTGTTCCGTGAGTATTATAATATCTCTAGATGAATGGCGATATCTAATATACCCTTTGTAGTCACACTTTCTCGGTCACCTCTGGCTTCCAGTAAGAACTCACGAACTATGCTCAGCCAGTGTACTAACTATATTGAATCAGGTACAACAACGGATGCACCGGGAAGGCCGATTGTGAGTTTAAAATATCATCTTCATAATTTACTTTAGACTCAAAGTTCTCGCACACAGGTAACAACGCGAACTGCCCTGAAGCATTCCACCAGCCCAATGACACGACTGTCCAGGTTGCTTGCCAAGCTCCCAACGTGAGTTGAAGTGAACCTTTTTATCTATATCCTCTGCTAACATGGTGTCTTAGGCTGGCTTGGTCATCAACTTCTGTGCTTGATTCCATTGCGCTCCGATTTTTATGACTTAATCGAACAATGTTTAAATTCTATACTTTACAAAGCTTCCAAGCCCGTGGTCCTATATAAGACAGTCCTCGGGGGAGCATCTTGTTATTGTCTTCGCTATTACTATGTCTATAACAGAAAATAAATATGTATTGTTGTGCTAGTGTTTGCAGTTGTGTGAAGCTCCACAGCGATTGCTCATACTTCTCCCACCACAGTTACTTGACGCGTAATTATAAGACATGTAAGAATCAATTCATAAAATCGGTATTCCTTGACAATTTTGTGAGAGATTGGCCACGGTTAAATATGCACGAAATCATGGTGATTTGATTGCAACCTTCATTAACAGATGGATGCTGATAAATATACAGGAACTTATATAAGTTGATCACGATGCCAGTAATGCCGTGACTGACGGATAGATCGAGCAGACTTTTCAGTTATCTGCTACTGTCATACAGGTACAAGGAATACCAGAAAGAATCTACAGCTGCGAGAGATTTTACCAACTATTCAAAATCGACGTAGCATAATGACATGATAAGATACACAGTAAATCATGTTTGTCAACGAATGTGAAGGTGTTTTGGGGAAGATGATCCAGTGGTGCTAGTTTTGGCGGGAGCCGAGGTTTGAAGTGAGTTTGAAAGGACTATTCAAGCCAGCTCCCGATTCGACAAGTTCTACTCCTTCGCCATCACCCGTATCCATATCCACTAGCAGTTCGCCATCGTTCGGACCTTGCTTATAACGCAGCCGGCTCATTTCGTTATAGCTCAATACCCAGGCTACATCACCATTGTATTTAGCGGCAAGCGTACGGATGCTGAGTAAGGCGTGGCTGGTTGCAACTATTACAGTAGCCTGAAGAAGGCTAGTCCACGATAAGATCAGAGAGTGCATGAAGATGAAAAGGGGTGTACTTGCTATGAGCTCAATATTGATATGTACATCTGTGGATCGTGTTTGATGAGAGACCGTGATCATGGAGAGAAAGTCACTCACTATTGGCACGTCGGATGAAAATAAGGAAATCTCTGTCAACAGAATAGCAACTATAATAACCTTCAGATGGACGCCGATATGTTCGCGTGGTACTTGCATACCTGTGGCTATGAAATACATAGGTCCACCCCTATGTGAGGGATTGCATAATTTAGTGCAGGGAACAGAAAGAACAACCATTTGAAACCTTACTCTTCCACGAACCGTCCAACGAATTTGTCGAAATCGTAAGAATGTGTAATGTTTACGAGTCGATAAAATGACAAGGCATACATTACCACATGGAGAACGACGGGGGGTACATAGGTGCACCAGTAGTATGGAGGCATGTATCCACAAGAAGGCAGTCCAGGGATGCCGGTACTTGACGACTGACTGAGATGAATAGCGCTAATTCTCCATCCCACCAGGATGAGCTGACACGTTATACATGCGACAAAGGTGAGTACGATAGTTAATCGGACAATCTTGCTGTGGGCGAAAAGGTACCAGACACGGATGACTATGACAGCTAACGATCATGTTACTATTTATTCGATATTGACGATAGATAATCATACCTTGTGTTAATACTAGCCCCACGTTCGAAGCGGTAACGAGTGTGCGCGAAACACCGTCACAACTACATACACGCAGTTATCAGCATTGACATTGCTGTGAAAAGACAGGAATAATGTACGTCTACGAGGTTAGGTTAGTAAGATGAAGGATACGTGCATCACGAGGTCTCACAGAAGCCGACAACTCAACGGAGTAGGCTATAAATGATGATAATGAGTGTTTTATATTATGAGCTCCAGATCATTAAGACAGACCAATCATAATAAGGCTGTCGGTGATATAGGACAAATACATCAGTAAGCAGTAAGAAAACACAAAACATCCGAGAAAACATACATCACCTCGAAAAGAGCGATATATCTTATCTGCAGTGTATCAAAGTAACAGACAATGAATAAGAATATCAACTTAAAATTCCGAGCCTGAATTCGTTATTTGCGCACACCAAAATATAGGATCTGCGACAAGTTCCATGCCGTAGTCCAGAAATATTCTATCTACATGAAATCATAAACCGAGAAGAAATGAGGCATTTAAAGAAAGACACACCTCTTGGCCAATAGTAATAAGATGGTCGTAAAACATAAGGGTAGCAGTACAAAAGAATAGACGTTTGCCTTGAAGTGTTGCAATGATGACCGAGGCTTCATAGGCGGGAATGAGGATTTCGGTTGAAGACGAGTTGAACGGCATCCTGTAATGGTTTTCCACTGGGTGGGATGCAGAAAATATATACTTAGTCTCGACTACAGCCGGAATTAATATACATGCGCATTGTATATCGTTGATCTCCATAGTACATTCTGAGCTTGAATCACCGAGTAAACAGTTTCATCGAACCAGGCCGATGCAAATATCCGGTAATCGAACAAAGCCTCTATGCATGGGAGAAGGCGTAAGATGAAAGGATTTATAAATAAGCATAGCATACCAAAATTGATCAACAACATGAATTATATCTTTGTTCCGATCGCCATTGTGAAGTCTATGCGGGATAATACCTCAAATGTGTGCAATACGACTAGAGGACTATAGATAACGTACGATTCACCTGCCTATCGAAGATCTGGAGAGGTATCATACTTACCGTACGATCAGTTTCTCCATCTCAGATGACTTTTGTCGTTAACAACCGCATTGACGCAGTTCTGTTAACGCCGGGGCAGGGCCTCACAATCTCTCACTGACGCTTAGATGCGGACTATAGGAGGTGATGGAGCCGATGTTAGGTACTTGGCACTGGCAAACAAGAGTGAAAAATGTACCAGAGGGAAGTTTCAAGGATTTAAAATGTTTTTTCATTGTAATGTCATACCGATGATTGATTGATTTCTGAAGGAGATCTTGACAGATGTGATCATGGATTGTTGGTTGATGTGGATGATGCTTGATGGGGACCTTGTAACTAGCCCTGGCAGTGGAAGGGCCGACATATACAATCTATGCAAGACAATTTTCATTAATCATAAGCGGCACGGGAAAACCACGTTGTGAGTTTCCTGTAGAGATAAAGATAGCCCGTCTAAACGCTCGAGAACTAGAAAAGTATGCTGCTCTACAGCAAGAACGGGATGACAGCCTTCCTCTCCTTAGGATACTCCGGGAATCGTCCATGATACCACTCATGTCCCCTGTATGCGCGCGGAAGCATGACGAATACTTCTAAGAACACGAATAACCAAGGCGGATGGACAGTGCGCGCCAAGGCTGAGACTGCATCATTAGATGGAGCCTTGATCAACGCCACGAACAATGCGAGCGATGGCAAAGGTGCAGATGCCAGCGCGAACCCTGTCCACTCAACCCACTCGCACAGGTAGTTCGGATACGAGATATACTGGTAGAGATAACCTTGCGGGATGGCGTAATGTTCACCTTTGCTCTTGGACTCGTCTTCAGAGCGACCTTTGCCCTTGGCTTTAGCCTTGCGTCTGATATTGAGCAAAATTTCATCGTGTAAGATGTTTCCTGCTAGACCAGTGACACAGAGCGTGACATAACTCCAGAATTCAGGTTTGTAAAATGCTTGATCGAGGAATTGCTGGGCAAAAGGTGAAGACAAGTATGCACCGAGAAGAAAGCCGTTGACGACGTTGACTGAGATACCCGACATGGGCACTGAAATATGTGACTTCGAGCGGGAAGACGTGCGAAGAGGTGAAATGATGGCACGATTCATGTAATGAATGAGGAAGAGGGCAGCCAACAGAATCTGGGGACCACCGAGAGAGCTACTGGAGTTTTGCAATGGCGCACAGTAGAGCGTGTAGGCGAATGTAAGCGGTGATACTATCTCCATGATAATCCATGACTTGAGTCCATCCACAATAAATATGCTGCTCTTGGCAACATTGGGGGCAAATCGACCAAAAGGCGCGTTGATAATGAAATTTATGGGGCTGATCAACGGAGGCACCACAAAGAACCATTTCTGCAGAGCTGCAAGTTACTTGAGATTAAGAAACAAGAACACTGAGCATAAATAACGCTAACTTTCATATAAAGACGAGTACGACATGACAGCACAAACTGAGGAGATTTTGAAGAACAACCCTTGTCTTAGAACGAAAGGTTCTGTCACACGCTCACCCCAGGCAACGTGACTTATTGACCATGCGGTGTTTCATTGGATGCAGAAATATAACCTCGTTGGATTTTTACATATTTCAGTGATAACTCTCACAAACCAAACTATTGCTCGACTACAATTGACTACATACGACCCTAGACTAAACATTATAACTGGGAGTCACGGCCATTAGTTTTAAATTACTACCTGCAGTCCATCCCAAAAACCCAAGTGTCTGAACAACAAATAACAATCCAACAACAGCCCTTTCATGTCGTGCTACCACCAGGGATGACAGTCTCCACCATCCCACCAAGACACGCGTGCCGCATCGCCAACAACCATCATAGCCTTCTGCATCCACGCTCCATCATACTTCTTCTCAATCCACCATCTCAAAAGACGGTGCCTCATAAACCACTTGAAATACAAATAAAACCTACGCAGTACTGCCATCAGTATTTCGCTTAAAATGGCGCGAGTTGGGGTAGCACGTACCTCCATTGATACCCCGTAATTACGCGAGGATTGACGTATATGCGCTGCATGTTGAACTGCCTGCGTAGGTCGTATGGTAACAGGAATGACTCGGACGAGAAACACTCGTCGGGTGCGGACGAACGGAAGCGTATGGGTGGAGTAAGCGCGGGACTTGGGCCGCGCATCGAGGCATTGTGCGCAGCGGGATGCGTAGCTGGGAGCTCATATGGCAACGCGTCAGTGGAAAGCGTACGATTAGAGCGTAGATGGATCGGAAGTAAAGGGTCCGCGGCAAAAACGACGATGCCGTTCCAGCAGGTGAAAACAGGGACTGGTTCTTCTTTTACAATGGCTTGATAGTCGGCCTGTTCGAAGAAATAGGGCCAGCTGATCATATAAATATTGTGAGTAATGTGCAAGACCTGTGAGAATTATGTGGGCGTACATTGTGCTAGGGAGCTTTCCTAGTCGATCACGAATCACCCAATCATCGTAAAGCCTAGCAAAGCATGTTAAGTATCAGACCACACCTCATGACAGTAAACATACCCGTAATGCCCAAAGTCCAACCCACAGGCCATATCATAATCGCCATTCATAGTATCGATAAGATCGATAAAGCTCTCTGGCTCGATAAAAATATCGTTTGAGAAAACAACCTTATCATAACCTCCCATCTCTATGAGAGGTTCAAGTGCGCGATTTCGGATGGCCGATAAGAAGTCTATGCGGTTGTTCCCGCCCATATCTTCTGGCTTTTTCACGACATCATCTTCCGTGAGAATACGTCGCTCAACATGCAAACGAGCAAGCATGCCATCAAGCTCGCGCAGTAACAAGGGAGATTGATCCGAGCTTCCACTTTCAAGAATAGAGACATAAACGTTGCGTGTACCGAGGTAATGAATGACTTTAATGAGCGAGGCTGACCAATAAGGCAAGACGTCCTGGTTGTTGGAGAAAGCAGCAGCAATGAATATCTTCTCTGTGAAACCATGATGAGCGCATATAGTTGAACAAACGTGAAAGCAACTCACCCTGCCTCCCGTATCCCGTATATTTCGGGTGTTCGATAGCAGTATTGATGATATCTCGATAGCGAACCTCCTCCGGTTGCTCAAAGTCCAGTGCTGATCGAAGACTCACGCAGAATAGAACGAGATATGCGAAAAATTTCAGCCACCAGCCTCGAGTCAAACTACGCAGGAAAGTGGGACGTCCGACGGGCGACATCGTGCCCGGTGTCGATAGCTGGGAGCTTCGTCCTTCGCTGCTATCGTGATATGTCCCTGGAGCATCCTCTGAAACTCGCTGAACCCCCTCCTCTGCACTCACTAAGCTCATCTGCTCCTCCATGTTATTTCGTTGCAACACCGCATAGCCATTGAGCCTATTGCTCAAGCGGTGCTGTTCCCACTTTCTGTAGAAAAAGGACGACAATATCCCTCTTAACAAGAGCCACAATAGTTGGACCATTGCGAAGGCTGGTGTTACAAATAAAACCAAAAGGAAAAAACGCCAGCTATATGGGTATGCAGGTCTCCATATCACATCGTTTGAAGGAAAGTACCGCCGAGAGAACTCGACATCAGCGAGATTGTAAAGGACGAAAAAGACGAAGAGAGGGACGATGCCAGGCAGTCGTAGGAAGGTGGTGACAGCTCGGAAGATGGCTTGGACTGGTTTAACCTGGACCAGGGAGGCCACGAATGCTGCAAGACGCCTTGCAGTATACGCGGCGGATTTGAGGGATGGTAGGGGGGACATACAGAAAACGCATGTTATCGCCCGTACCCTAGCGTACAAGTAAAAAACCGACACAGCCAATGACGATTGAGCGTTAATCTGTCAGTTCTCGGCATCGCAGCCCGAATGTCACTTCTCGCCAAAAATGGAGCTACAGGACGCATTGAGATTGACTAGAATCCCCGCAGGGAAAGAGCGCAGCTAATCTGGGCATCGATGAGAGATTTCACAGGACTCCCTGTGCATTTTTGGTGGAGAACTTTCCGTTTCATGGGCACATTCTGTGATAAAGAAACGCGGTGAGTACAGCCCGCAAGATGAATCATCAAAATCTGACCTGTCCTTTGGTCGAATGTAACGTGAAGAAAATGCCAAAAATATAATAGCAGTGCCTGTGCGTTGCCGGCACGGTCTCGGTATAGTGGCCGCTGACTTTTTGACAACGTAACGTTGGATGTCCGCAAACTCCGACTTGGTTCATAGTATCACAGAGACTTATCTAACCCTCCGTTTATCCAGCTAGTCTCACTTTCTTAATTCCTGACCGAAATATTTATCGTGAGCTGCTTGCTGAGCGGAAGTTTCAAGAAGCACCTGTTTCCAAACACACATGGCCCCCAAGTCTGGGTCAACCTTTTCTCACCGCTTGATACACGACTACTGGCTGCGCAGCTTTCTTAAAGATGCGATACCTCTGCCAAGCAACTTGATGGTACACGTGTTACAGCTTTATGTGGAGAACCTGCGCAGATATTGAGGTGATGTAGCAGTGTTGCGGGATAGGTTTTGTGACCACTTTGCTCCATGATTGCCATAATATTCATCTATCGCTTGCCTATGCAGGTTATGATGAAGCAGGCGGTACGCTCCCTTACAATAACGCGTCTGTTCGTTGTTACTATGATCCTATACTATTGATATGCAGAAACTTGGTTCGCAGCTCGAAATCATAACTTCATGCTCAGGTTTGTTAATCTGCGTTAGAGCAACGGTATTTGATTACATGCCACAAAGGTATGTGCTTTTCGTCTTTCATCACTGGCACAAGTAGAGCAGTTGGAACGGGAAGTATGTATAAACCAATAAATAGCACTCAACTGGAGAATATTGTCAGTACATGCAACACAGAATGTTAGATCTACGAAGATCTGAACAGGCCAACGTTGTACGGAGTGTCTGAAGTATAGTCTCACAATAACAGCAGGACTGCAATTACAGAATGGCAATAACTTCCTTGAGCATAACCCACATATAAAATAATCGGATCACTTAGCACTGTGGTCTGGTATAGAGAAGACTAAACAATAAATACCCTACACGAATGTCAACAAATTCGTTCTAACCATCATCTTGGCACCAGCGGTGGTTAGAGACACTTTATGAAAGTGTACAAATAAAACTGACCCATTATAACCTAAAAAAGTGAACTATACAGAGAAAGACATACAGATAAACAATACCACAGGCATCATCATCTCCCACCTTTAATCAGTTCTACTCCCGTCTTTTCATCTTTCGAAGGGTCCCATTCCAAATCCATCGGATCTGCTGTAGCTGTTGTTGATCCTGGTTCATCACCGCATCCACAGTCATAGTTCTCATCGAGGTGGGCGCAGTCAAATACTTCCTTCCCCAGTCGGATGTTCACCTCATTGTGAACTGAACACAGCCTGCAATAACGATCAGTCCATCAGTATCAGGATTTGAGAAGAAAGGGATACCATTGGCTTGCAGCGCGTCGACCCGAGGTCTATATCATATGATGAGCTTGTAACCAAGATAAAATTTTTGGAAAGGAATATACCTGTGGAGGGAAGGTCTGGAGCAGAGCTTGGAACTCAGTGGCGCAGTCTCCACAGGGGTAGAGTCGCGATGTAAGATAGATGTAAGATGCAAACGCTTCTTTTTCATCCTGTGTCGGTTTCTGCAGGACATTCGTTACCACATTTAGCGATAAGAAGTGGTAAAAGTGATAAATATCTTACCTCGGGATACCTTAGCGTCATCGTGTGACTACCTTCACAAAGTAGGTATTAACAAAATGGCGACAAACTCGGAAAGAAGGAATTGGTGACACACAGCAATTTCCATGTCGCACGTCCCAATTCTGCTCTACAATGGTGAAACAAGGGTCAGAAAGACATATCAAGATAAAATGGAGATGAAACGACATACTTTGCTGTTGCATTGCTGAGTTTCGACATGATGACGCCACCGTCTACGGCAGCATTTTTCGCGGTGGTTTGAGATGCCGGGGGAGCACCATGGTAGAGATATTGCTCCACGCCCCCTTCGCCAAAGAGATCGCCTGTCCAAGGGTCTATATATGCTCTGGATGGTGGGTGGAGGAGGGCGACGGTTGTAACGAGAAACTGTAAAGTGTGTCAGCACTCTGCGATTTAAACTTTGTGAAAAGTTGAATTACTAGAGCTAAGATTATAGCTAGAAATGACTTTGCAAATCGCGAAATCATACCGTCAATATGAAAATGTAAGTCAGTGGTACAAAGTGGTCACTATAAGACCAAAGCTGAGGCTGTTGGTTGGAGCAAAATCGGGCAGGCCGTGGGAAAATAGAGCAGCGATAAGATTTTTCCAAATCCGGGTGATCTAAGAAAGAACGAAACGAGTCACTGGAGAGTCATTTAGATTTCAGCTATCGTACTTAAACCAACATTTCAAGGTCGCGGGTACAAGAATACCTTTATCACTAGCAAGACTCACATTCAAAGCTTGCAATGGCTCAAGTCTACATTGACGAATCTGCCGGGTCAGATACCACGGGCACGGGCACCATCGATCTGCCATATCAATCCCTCGCACAGGCCATCTTCTCCACCCAGAGCACAGAATACCTTATCCGAAAAGATCCTAACACTGAATACGACGCCCCAACACAATCGGCACTCAAGAAGGCTAAGAAAGGTGCAGAGGGACTCGAGAAAAAGAAGAAGAAAGCGGAGGAGGCTGCTGAACGAGAAGCTGGTGAGGAGAAGGAAAAGAGAGAGAAGAGAGAGAAACTGCTAGAGGAGAGCAAGCAAATCGTTCTAGTGGAAGACGAGGCTCTTCCAAAGGCTACGAAGGTTCGTTCGTTCTACTTTCTTCTTTGCCTGCTTCAAACTACCCCATGTTTTAACTGTCCACAACTGATATCGGAAATCACAGGCTAAGATCGTTAGCCTAACACCATTGCGGGGGAGCCGCGTACGTGTATCAGGTTGGGTACATCGACTTCGTGATCAAAAGGATCTGATCTTCGTCGTCCTACGCGATGGTACTGGATACCTGCAAACTATACTCTCTAGTCGTGTTGTACGTCAAACGTTACATTATATCGCACACCCTCATTTATATTTGTCATACTTCCTAGGCAAAAACATTCAACGCGCTCACACTTACTCTTGAATCCTCAATCGAGGTCTTTGGTACTCTCCAGGCCGTACCTGAGGGTAAAACTGCCCCTGGCGGGCACGAACTCATCGTAGACTACTGGCAAGTTCTCGGAAGTGCTCCTGGAAACGAAGACGCGTTCACTAACAGATTGAACGAGGTAAACCTTCCCGAAACGCTCCTTGCCCTATCCCCATCATACTCACAACCCTTAACCACAGAAATCCGACCCCTCGATCCTTGCCGATCTCCGCCACCTCGTATTGCGTGGAGAGACATCTTCGTCTGTCCTCCGTCTCCGTGCGGCACTCCTCTCTGCATTCCGCGCATCCTATGGTGCACACGACATACTCGAAGTGACTCCCCCGTGTATGGTTCAGACCCAAGTCGAGGGTGGTGCAACGCTGTTCAAGTTCGACTATTACGGCCAACCTGCTTTCCTCACTCAGAGTTCCCAGCTATATCTTGAGACATGTCTTCCCGCACTGGGTGATGTATTCTGCGTGCAGGAAAGTTTCAGAGCAGAGAACAGGTGAACAGGTTATGTTGTCTGATGTCGATTATATACTGATCTACCGGTTCAACAGCCATACACGCCGTCATCTGAGCGAGTACACGCATCTCGAAGCCGAGCTGGCTTTCGTCACATTTGACGATCTCATGACCCACATCGAAGCCATCGTTAGTTTCCCTCTTGCCCATCATCCTATTAACCTAACAGAATCTCGCTCCAGATATGCGAAACCGTTGACAAGCTCCTCGCCGACCCAGCCTCTGCAGCGCTGATCAAACAGCTCAACCCAAACTTCACACCGCCTTCCCGGCCCTTCCTCCGTATCTCTTATGTCGATGCGATCGACTGGCTCAACGAGCATGGGATTCAGCACGAGAAGGAAGATGCAGAAGGAAACGCCGTGCGCGATGCAGACGGGCGTCCTATCATGGTTGACCATGCAGTAGGTGATGATATCGCCGAGGCAGCGGAGAGACAGATGACGGATATCATTGGCAAACCGGTGTTCTTGCATGGATTCCCTGCTGAGCTCAAAGCATTCTACATGAAAAAGATAAAGGGGGAAGGCCCAGCATACACCGAGAGTTGTGATCTGTTGATGCCTAACGTGGGTGAGATCGTGGGTGAGTCTTGAATCGCATATTATCAAACAACAGGTTTAAGGTATCGCTTTTGTGTCAGGTGGGTCCATGAGGATATCAGATATGGAAGAATTACTTGCTGCATATAAACGCGAAGGTATCGACCCCACCCCGTACTACTGGTTTACTGATCAGCGGAAATATGGTACCTGCGAGCATGGCGGGTATGGGCTTGGAGTGGAGGTAGGCCAGAATACATGATTGTCACGCTCTGTCAATGGCTGATATTCCTTGTTAATTAATAGCGATTCCTGGCATGGTTGGCCAACAGATACACAGTCAGGTACGGACATTTTCTTTAGCGTCGAGTTTCCTGGCTTTGCTAATCAAGCTTCTTCCGGCTGGTAACAGGGAGTGCACACTGTACCCTAGGTGAGACTTGACTCTCCTCGAAATAGTTTATATTTCCTGACCTTATCTTCATAGATGGCCGAACCGTGCTACACCTTAGAGGTTCTCTCTCATATTTCGGTTTGTAAAGGTGGTAATATTTCTCACTAAAATCTTCTCGTCACTTCTTCATCAATTTGTTTCATTAGATTAGTTGTTCACTACTGTAGGCTTGGATGTGTGTGCGTGAATTTGTTGCCTGATGTTTGGTGATTATATATACTCCATCAGCTGGTTTGAGACTACAGTTTTGAGAATCATCGACGAAGAGAATAGCAATAAATAAGTCGTCACTACAGCATTCCCATCCCATCCTCGTCCCCGTCGGTACCCCATCCACTAGCTACAACCTCTTCCTCCTGGGCGTGAGGGAACGACGTAAACGAAGAAGCCTCTGGTGAAGGTACAGATGTTTCCTGTGTTGGATTCGGTTCTTTCTCGCGTGATATTGGCACTGGCGAATCAGACTTCGATGTGGCGGTCGATGGCTGTCCCTTGTGCCACGTTACCTGCACTCGCCCAGCTGATGGTATATCCTGCCCTTTGGCCAAACCCTGCAATTCACATCATCAGATATCATCCACATCACGCAACACAGCAGAGTGACAAAGTGCATTACCTGTTCCGCTGCCAACCTCGTTTTGAATGCAACTACGAGGCCACCACTATCTGCAGTATTTATTGATTCAACTTGCCCTGTGGACTATAAAGGAAGGATTAATCTGGGACTACAATATGATGCATTGGACTTACTTGATACCAGTCTCGTACAGCTTGAATGTCCCCCTCCCCGACACCACTCAAGAAAAGCTTCTTAGGCCGATTGTCTAATTTCATACTGGCTCGTGGCGGGCCTCCTCTCATGTTCCCAGAGTGGAAGTGGCCTCTACCACGAGCTCGTCCTCTGTAAGGGCGATAAGAAGAACTGTGCGGAGAGTCGGACGCAGCAGCAGGAAGACCCAGTCTAGCAGCCTGAAATTATATATCAGAAAAAAGATATTAATACCACATCACTTGTCAATGACACACCTCTGCTCTCAGTTTTTCTAGTTCTGCTTTTAGTGAATCAGTGTTCTCTCCTGAACCATTCTCCGCTGTAGCAGCATGCATCTCGAGTTCCTTGTCTAGTCTTTCTCTTTCTCTCCGCTGCTCGTCTGTTAAAGGTGTGGAGGTTTTACGTTCGTGGGATGGTCGAATAGGAGAAGATGGTACAGGTACTGGTGTAGCAGATGGTGATGCAGACGGAGGTTTCATTTCATCTCCTAACTGCCGAAGACGACTCATTATCTGCTTTTTCTCATCTACAGATGCTGTCTGCAACGAGGCCATCAAAGTTTTTTGTTCCAAGATTTGCTGTTCAAGCAACTTCTGTTTTGCAACTAGAGCAACCGTTGCAGCGGAAGGCGCGGAAGCTTTGCGTTCGTGCAAGGGTTTTGACGCTGCGACTGGAGGTACAGCAGGAGTTTCCTGGCCTTTTGTGGAAAGATGCGCAACGACAGGTGCTGAAGCTGCCAACATACGTGCACCAGTCTGCCCATGACCTTCCATCGGCCGATGCCAAAATAGCTTGACGAAACGATTGTTGAATACTGCATCTTCAGACTTCCAGGCGGCGTGGGCCTCGTCGTGTGTGGAGAAACTAACCAATGCTTTTGCAGTATGGGAATCTATAGCAACGTTCGTCACAGTACCAAATCGCTTGAACCAATTATTGACGTTTTCGAGAGTGAGCTTGTCTTCAGGAATCTTTTCTACTACCAGTGTTTTGTCGCTCCTCCGTTCTGGACGGAAACTTTGAGCGTCACTGGGGAAGGTGCCTCGGCCTCTCCCCCCTCTCATACCCCTCATACCCCCACGCGAGCTTGTAGACGACGAAGGAGTAGGGTCGGGACCACTCATCTTAACATCAGTCAGAGTATCCAATGGCAGTTGTGCTCCCGCGGGTCCTGTGGCATCACCAGGCATGTTGTTTTGCAAATTCGTTCCGGGGTCGACTGAAGATGATGGTTCTGAAGGAGGCTTGGGTGTCAAATCTTGAATGACAGGCAGTTCACCGGAAGCGTGTATAGTCTGGGCATCTTGCATCGTTTCGTCTTTCTGGGCCATATGTAGAAGCGGAGGTCTCTGTCCCCGTCCAGCATGACCACTAGGTGGTGGTCGCATGTCCATGCGAGCCTGATGTGGATCATAAGCAGCACCCTGACCACCCATGCCAAAAGGCATCACGCCGGGAAACATTGGCATGAAAGGCATCGAGCCGCCAGGTATTGGTGAGCCATTCATCGGAAACAGCTGAGAAGGCACAACGGCATCCTCCCCGTGGCTATATTTACATAACGCACCGCGAGCACAATAGCCATTGTCTAACAGTATGCTTGAATAACTTTGAGACGAGAAATAAAGAATGGACGAACTGTAGTAATCCCGGCATACACCCTTCCGCTGATCAGGTGGTTGATAGCTCTGCTGCCATCGTCCATTCATGTTATTCAGGGGTTGACTGCCCTCCATGCTCGCACCGTAATTCATACTCTGCCTCTCAGTCTCCCGCCAGGATTAAACCTATTGTTTTGTCCTGGAGCGCGACCATTGGAATATCTTGAAAAATGGCTATCGGTGCTTAATCGTGGCCCTTTCGTGGGAGGACGACCATCACGGTCGTCATGTTCAAGATTCCGCTTCTGTCCACGTTCTGGAGACGAAGCCAAGGCATGCGATAATAGGCCATCCAATGGTATGGGAATCCCAGTATCTAACCGGCGAGGACTAGAGGGATGTGGATAGGAACTCGGGGAAGAGGCGGATGCGTAAGGAAGGTATGACTTCGTCCGTAGCACAGTGAATAATGTATCTATGAATGAGGGCCCCTCTGTGGAACGGATATCAGAGAAACAAAAGACATCAACCAGAAACAAGACATACCTCTTTCCAAGAACTCCTCAAGCTGAGAGCTTAGCTCTTTCCTCATTTCACTCTCAGGGATGTTGTGCTTTAAGAGTGCCAAGATATAATCTGCGAGAGCGCCAGGTTCGGCGTCACATCTATATGAAGTTATGAATGTCAGTCGAGCAAAGGTGTCTGAATACGGTGACATACATAGGTTCCAGCGTCTTGACCAACCATGGTTTAAGATGAGGGGCTGTTGCCGCGTCGTAAATCATGCCTTGGTGACGGTTCTAAGCAAGATGTTTGCAGCAAGTTTTGGTTTGGATGGTGGAGCGTACAGCTTATGGCTGTCTTTTACAGGACTCGATGGGTGGCAGGCCACTTTCACGCTAAGTACTACCGCTCGAGTCCCAATCGCCTAAAAAAACTGTCCCCCGCGTGGCTGACTAACGGGGAGGGCAAGCGTGGGAATATAGACTCCCTTTCAGGTCTCTTTGGTATCTTAGGTCTCGTCTTCAAGTTTGATTCCCTGAAACCAGTCTATTACGATCAGGAATGCATATCTACGTAGATAAATAATACTAGTAGGGTTTATATATACAAAACGAGAATGGTTTGTTCAACTTCAATCCCAGTCTTCCAGCGATCAGACATTTCATTCTGAGTTGTCCGAGTCCTCGGCATCGTCCAACCCCTCATGCTTTACTAACAAACTCGTCAAGAATATCACGCCTGCAAAGACTACGCAGACGCGGAAAGTGAGGAGGAGGCTTCCGACGAACTCATTTATCACGAGCTCCCGCGTGTATTCATTGAGTATTCCTGGCGTGTGTACCAATCTGGGATTACGATTGATAGCTGCAAGAGTTTCAGGGTTCTACAAATATGTGTAAGCCGTAATGAAACCTGAAAGGAGGTGACTGGTACTTACAATGAGCGTCGAGGGAATTTTACTGAATCTTTTGGTAAGTTCAACGCGGTTGACCGCGCCCGATATACTCAGTCCAAACGATCCACCCAGGGTTTCCCAAAAGACAGCAAGGGCATTTGCTACCGCACAATCTGCGAATATTCGGTTCAGAATGCATAGATGTTAAATAAACCAATAAACGTTATACCTTCCGGGGAAACGGATGCTTGCGCCAGAAGGAATCCAGTCTGCGCTACGAGTCCTCCACCAACACCTAAGAGGAGTAAATAAAAGGAGCCTAGGATTTTCGGGGTGAGTCGGGTGACGACTGTCCTTAGAATGACTCCAGAAATCATAATGAAGCATCCAGAGTAGAGTAGTATGCATGTTGGGGCTACTCCCTTGAACCTTGCGGCGGCATTAATCAGAGGTGACAAAAATATGCCGATTAAAACCATGCCGACAAGTAAAGGAGAGCCCGATCAACTCGGGCTAAAAGAGCGTGTCAGAGACTAGTATCAGTTGCACATAAATGGAAGTATTCCAACCGTATTTCCATCCACTACTTCGAACCAAACAGGCCTGGGGAAAGTCGAATTTAGTTAGCGAGTATATGCGTAAAGTTATCAACTTACAGATAGTACATCATAGAGAAAAACACCATGCCATAAAAGAAGAGAGTTAACCAAGCGCCAACAAGACTCCGGTTCTTAAGGAGTCTCAAAGGGACAATAGGGTCAACTGCAACATATTTCTCAATGAGAAAGAATGAGACTAGACTGATAACAGCGGTGCTAAGCATAGCGTAAATGGCCGGTGAATTCCATGCAAAGTAGTCACCACCTAGAGTCTAGAGAGAACGCGAATCTTTATAAATATCTGTTACGAACGTTGTTACTGACTTACTTACCATAGGAATCATGAATCCAACTACACTGGCAACGAGGGTAAATGCTCCAGCAAAGTCAACGTGTCTGATGCTGGCATTCAGCTGACCTTCAGGTCGAGGAAGACGCAAAAATATGCCAACGGCAAGAAACGTGACAAGGCAAATCGGAATGTTGATAATAAAGCACCAGCGCCAGCCCATCATTTTTGTGATTACTATGAAGTGAAGTAAAATAATGAGACATGAATGCGCAGTGTGCCACATCGATGACTTTACCTCCTCCCAGCACTGGGCCACAGACATTGGCAGCCCCGAAGGAGCTCATCAAGATACTCTATCATGTTTTATCGGTAAGTCACAGACCCGATTTTGCATAATATATCAATTACCTGGTATTTTGGGCGTTCCTCTCGAAAGCAAGGCAACATGTGAAAACAGTTTAGATAGAAAAAACTTTGAGACCTTACTGAGTGGAAAGATATCAGAGACAATAATGAAGGCCATATTGGTCATCCCACCAGCACCAACGCCAGCGGCACACCGTGAAACGAGGAACAACTGGATATTTGGCGCCCAAGCGCATCCGACGCTACCAGCAAGAAAAACGGTCAAGCCAAAAAGGACAGCAGCTATAAACAATTATAGTCAAAGAAAGGCTTCTTCCAATATTAAACATTAGCCTACGTCTTCGCCCAAATACAGTGGAGAGTTTGCCTTGATGATAACATAGGTATCAGCCACATGGCATACAGTAAATCAAGCGTAGTAAAGAAGCTACTGGTACATACCATACAGCGGTTGAGCGGCGTTCAAACATACGAGATAAGAGACTGAAATCCACGAGTAGAGGTGAAATGCCTTGTATTGGGAGACAATGCTGACGGCAGCGGTTGCAACCTTAACATTACATTTAATACTTGAATGGCACAGAACTCTCAATTTGACATACTATAGTCTCATCGAGACTGGCGACGAAAACAGCGAGAGCCAGACCCACAAATATCAAAACGATACTTTTGTGGTCGAGTTTCTTCGACTTGCCCAATAAGGGTTCTATAATATAAATGGCAAGACGTCGTAGATCAGTTTTCATGCTCTTAGAGAAGAAGAAAAAAATAGAACACACAATTTTCGTCGATCTGGCTGGGGACAGACATGGATGATTGTGTTGAGAGAAATACCAAACTCGACGGGTACCGAATAACAAAGTTATTCGCTATATATCTAATGCTATAGTAAATAATTTACCCCGCGATCCTAGGCTCGAGTCCAGCCACTTCACATTCACACTCCGCAGAGAGAGGTTCTGTGAACCGGCTGGGAAACTTGGACCTCTTTTTGGCAGGAGGCGTGACATTCCCCCAAAGGAGACAAGGGACTTGGTCAAAATTTCGGTGATTTGCTATGACTTAGAGACCGCGCCGCAGACTCATCAGGATCGAGCGGAAGCAAATCCTACTTATACATATGAGTATACTAGTTTGTAGGCATCTAATTAATATGAATATTCTAGCTAGTGTCTTTTACTTGAGTAGTAAGAGGAATGAGGAAAGGATTGATGATTTGAGTGTAAGGAGACCATGACACCGAATTTTTCGTGTAGGGAACTCTGGGAATGAAATGTGTGGTTTGCATTGGGCTGACCACCATGCGCATTTCATTTCCGTTGTCGGTGGTTACACAAACATCCGAATCGGTTGAAGCGGGCAGTGTGGGAGTCCTAGTGGCCATGCTAGCCTGAGTGTCTGATTGACGACTGCTGGTTTTGGTGAGTACTCAACATCTTTTATCCTGATCCTCTTGCATTCATAATTATGTCTCCTTCAACAGCTTTTTTTCTCTTCTCGCCCCGTGGTTTTCTCGGCAATGGCTTGAAGACTGGAATATCAAGACTCGACAACAACTCAGCCAATTCACCACCATATTCGGGCCACCACTGCCATTGCATCCCCACCAACTTTTTGAGCTCCTCTGTTGGTTGGATAGGACCTACCGATGCCAGCAAATCCACGGTGTCATCCCTCAAAATTGCTGGTGAGGCAAACATGGCACCTGCAAAGTCGCGCTTGTAGACTTTCTTCCGCCATTCCTGTAAGCATTTTCGAACAATCTCGCTAATTACCCCTTTCTTTACAGTTGCTTGTTGTATTTGCACCGGTGGGCTACTAGGTTGGGTCCGGTTCAACAACAAAGGGTCACAGATGTTGCAGCAAACGACAAAAGCGAGGGCGCAATGCAATGTGTAGCCAGTGGCGACGCGAAAATTTGCCGAAATGCCGAAACACGGAAAGTACCGAATGGAAAAGCAAAGGTGAGTGTGACTGGATTGCCTAATAGAGGTGTTGCTGATCAGCCACAAGTTTGAAAAAGGCAATATTAATTACTATTCCATGCCTGTGTGGCGCAAAGGCGAGTCTTTTTTGAATATTCGCTTCGTTATTGACACCTGTCCATGCTACCAATCAACTTTGGTGCATGACAGCAATTATTTTTGATTTTTGAATCATTTTTATGGACACATATTTTTTAGAATGCCTGACTAACAATAAAGGAACTGTTGTAACGACCAAGATAAACTCTGGCGCACACAGGAACACACTATAAAGAATATGAAGAGGGAGTGGTTACCCCTTAAGATGCAGTGAGTTAGTTGCTATACAACAGGAGGACTTGCTGAGGAGTCTCCTGGATCTATTGGGGTATATATACTACTACAGGGTTATTTGTACATGTGTACTATACAGTTGATAGCGACAGTGGCTGATAATGTCATGGGGCCTAGCCCGCATGGCCAGCTCCACTGTGTGAGAGAGTTGTGTCGATAATAAGAAGAAAGGCAACACGGCGCGAGAACGAGGAGTTTAGACAAAAGGGAAAATGCCGTGTGGCACCATGTGTGAAAGCTAAAGTACAAGGTTAAAGCGGAGAAATAAAAGTAAAGGGAAAGTCCAAAAATTGTGTTATCGTAACAACTGTGTTGATACTGATAGTGTTTTGCCTTGCCTTTTTTTTTACTGCATCTTCCCATGACATCATGATTTTCCTGCTCTCTTTTTGCTATTGGACTTTATTTTATGGCTGTACAAACCTGTGACATTACTCACATCATTCATTGTTCTATCCCTTTCTTTTCCTTTTTTTGACAATCTTATCCTGTACTACCTACGCAGGATTTGTTAGCGTACATTCCTTCCTTCATGTTTTTTCTCATTCTTTTGCACAGCTATACTGTGCATAGTCTACTTTTCTTTTACTATATAAACCCCTGTATTTTACCTTGTAAAAAAAACAAGAAATCCAATCCAGACTTCTTCTCTACTCTCAAGTTCACTACTCTGCTACTTGTGTGATCCAGTGTAGTCACAATACTTCCCACTGCTACCACTGCTATCTGCTGTCATCATCACTCGTTATTTTTGAAAGTCACTGTCATCCCTTTTGATTAGAGTCCTTCTGAGCACTACAGTTTGTGCGTTGTCGATGATGAGAACTGTTGTTAGAAAACCACACACAAAACAAACTAACACACAATCCTCCCAGATTCCACGGAACTTGTTTATGGGCTTTGCCTCCTAGAACAGTGGAGTGGTCTGGTTGTTCGTGGGGTGGTACGTATAAAGATCCTTCAAAGTAAAACCCAGAGGTGTATGAGTGTGGGTTTTGAGGAGGAGGGATAGTTGAATTTATAGGAAGATAGGGGCTTTGTAACGAGTATAGATGAGCACTACCTTGCTAATTGTAGCACAAGGTAGGTTTGAGAATGACAATATGACGAGGTTCCCAGTGATAGCAGGCTCCTGACACACAAACTGTAGTGCTCAGAAGGACTCTAATCGAAAGGGATGACAATGACTTCAAAAGTGGGAAGTGACGATGACTGCAGTTGACAGTGGTAGAAGTGGGAAGTGTTGTGACCACACTGGATCACAAGTAGCAGAGTAGTGAACTTGAGAGTAGAGAAGAAGTCTGGATTGGATTTCTTGTTTTTTTTACAAGGTAAAATACAGGGGTTTATATAGTAAAAGAAAAGTAGACTATGCACAGTATAGCTGGGCAAAAAGAATGAGAAAGAACATGAAGGAAGGAATGTATGCTGACAAATCCTGCGTAGGTAGTACAGGATAAGATTGTAAAAAAAGGAAAAGAAAGAGATAGAACAATGAATGCTGTGAGTCATGTCACAGGTTTGTACAGCCATAAAATAAAGTCCAATAGCAAAAAGAGAGCAGGAAAATCATGATGTCATGGGAAGATGCAGTAAAAAAAAAGGCAAGGCAAAACACTATCAGTATCAACACAGTTCCTTTATTGTCAGTCAGGCATTCTAAAAAATATGTGTCCATAAAAATGATTCAAAATTCAAAAATAATTGCACTGTAAATGAATGTTCTGCTGAAGAAAAAGAAACTGGAGCCACCGGTCCACCACCTAGTCCAAATCCAACAGTTCCATGGCCTTACCAATGGACTGGTTGTGTTGGACCACCTGATCAAACGAGGGAGGGAGAGGAGTAGTTCCAATTTGGAACAAGTGAGTCACAGGCAGCGTGTGGTAGGTGTAGCTGTAGCGAAGACGATGGACAAAAGATAAGTGTACCCAAGTGAATGGGACAGCGATGAACATGGGCGACGCAAGGGGATGAACCTTCTCCAGCTCAAAAACTACCCACCCACGCTCCAACCAGCCAAGACGAGCGACCGATGTTTTGATAGTATATGATGGCAGATCGACGTCATGAAGATGGACCTGTTGCCCTATTTGGACCGGCCGCCGGGGCTTTGCTGATATCAGCAGTGGCACGTGGTAGTCAACGGATCGGCGACGGAAGCGGATAGGAAGTGGTGACATCAGAAATGGTGGGGGTGCAAATAAGATGAGGAGGAGGAGGGTGGAGGTGACGAACAAGTGGATTAGAATGGGGATCCAGAAACGACCATCAGGTGAGAATAAAAAGGAGAGGAAGGGGCCCATGGTGGGGCTAGGCAAAGGAAGGGGAGTAAGGGAAACGACAAAAGCAAGGGCGCAATGCAATGTGTAGCCAGTGGCGACGCAAAAATTTGCCGAAATGCCGAAATGCGGAAAGTACCGGATGGAAAAGCAAAGGTGAGCGTGACTGGATTGCCTAATAGAGGTGATGCTGATCAGCCACAAGTTCGAAAAAGGCAATATTAATTACTATTCCACGTGGCACTGTGCCTGTGTGGCGCAAAGGCGAGTCTTTTGAATATTTGCTTCATTATTGACACCTGTCCATGCTACCAATCAACTTTGGTGCATGACAACAGAGTGTTGCCTCCACTGGATTATTTGCAGTAGTCTATGACAACATCAATATGATGTTGCACGTTGCAGAGCAAGCTGTAGGCAGGAATGGTAAACACTAATGCATGTCATATGTACGAGTCCACTAAATGTTTTCAGATTCACAGGAAAATGAAACATGTGCCACTGTTTGGCCTCTTTGGAATGCCTCAGAAGATGATATGAAACTTACTGACTTTGAAAAATTGTTCAATAACGCAAGACAATTATCATTCAAAGATGTCATCCTCAACCAATCAGAAAGGACACATTTCCGACGGTGTCTAATCCATTGTGTCCTTCACATAATTGTGCTTCACGGTGGTGAGCACTTCCATCAGTTTCGCCGACAACTTGAAGACTCACAGCCAATGACCTATAATAAAATTGAGGTGCACAAAACATCGCTTCACCCTTTTCCAGCGATGAACATTGATGAATCCACTATTGTTGGCAATGGTGAGGTCGTTGAGGCAATCATGTCCGAACTAAGGATTGAGCCTAAGGATCCCATTCACAATAGCAAAGTCAAGATCTTTGCAGGCGACCAATTATCTATTGCACGCTTATGGACACTTGCAAACATTCGAGCTGGTCAAGAAGGAGGCTTTGCAAGTTTTGGTTGGGGCGTGTGGATGCCTGGGCTATTCCATGCAAAAATGGCTGATATGCATGGCCTTCTTGTTACGCACTAGGGTAAGCCAAATTCTGGCACAAGAAATCCCGAATCTCTATGGTTCCATAACACTCGTGTCCACTACCATCCCATAACACTCACCTCTTTGTCCATTCTGAACGTGCAGGGATTTGGTATTTGTGTCTTTATATGCATGTGTTCTACATTGCCTACTCCTGGTCAGTTCAGTAACCTCACTCGAAGATTGTTCCAAGGCCATTACATCATGGGAGACGCTCAAGGTTCATGCAGGAACAATTGTGGACAAGTATACTGATAATGAGCTGGTTGCAGTTTTGCGAGAGCAACAAGAACATGCCCAGGGCAACAACATACGAGCAGGTGATATGGTATTTGAAAATGCTGTGCTTTTCTTGTGATGGTATTATTTCAAGGGAGCTGACAGACGCAGTCAAGGATGGAGATTCAGGTCACAGTTACCGAGGCACAGGCCGCTCAAAATATGCATATGAGATGCTGTATCTAATACACAACTTGTCGTGTGTTTGGCCAGACAGCGATACTTCTTCATGGGAAACTTGTTTGTTTAACCTTGGCAGGAAACTGGTTCTCAGTAACTGGCTGGTGAATCCAACAGGGAAACAGAATAGCTTCGTTGAAGTGGACCTGATGCAAGAGCATATGGACTATTGGATAAAGGTATGTCATTTTACAGTGTAACTCAGAACAACAGTAAACTAAAGAAATTTTTTGCGAAGAACTTTTACCGAGCCCATGGCAGCTCTGCATCATGGGAGTGGTTAGAAATGGTGGCACCATGTGTTAATATCCTTCAGCATCTGTCACAAACAATGAGTTCACTCCTTGGAACAAAACAAGGACTAACACATGAGCCGTTGGACTTAACTAGAGACATCCCAGTACTCATGTCAAGTCTCATGGACCATGAAGTATATTCCATCAAACATGGACGACAGCTTGATGAGGGTGATTTACCAGTGCCGGATGTCATAACCATTGGTCTTCAGCAACTCACAGACGCAACAAACAACCCAATTGAGGAGTACAATAAAGTCATTAAAAGACTTCAGGCTCGTCGGCAATTACAGCCAGTCATAGGACCTGGAAGCGCACAGCCTATGTCTGCACAAGTTGCGGATACTGAAGCAACAACGACACCAGTTATGAATGACTTACCAGGAGAATCCAGTACAGTGGTTACCGAGGGAATTGCAGGAGATGAGGACACAGATATGGAGGAAGAGGAGGAAGAGGAGGAAGAGGGAGATTTTGAGCACTCAGCCAGGGAAGATGAGAGAGAAGAGACACTCACACTTGAAGGGCCAGAGGATATTTTGCTTGATATGGATACAGAGGATATGGGTGGTGTCAACATGTATGAGGAAAGCGAAGAAGAAAATGAGACAGATATTGATAATGACACAGATACCAGTTCCAGTGATTGTGAAATGTAATACTCAAAAGAATATCTGTTTTACCAAAAATGAACTTATTATTGTTGGATAAAAAGCTATAATACATGGCCTGAAGTGTATCTAGATTCACTCAAGCAAACATAGATTATTTCACCGAATGTTGGCCAAGTCCCTTGTCACGCTTGGCAGTGAACAACTGTGACCTGCCATTGTGACGTCCACGTTTCCCAGTCCGTTCGCAAGCTCACGAAATTGTTAATGAGTTGAGCTTACGTACGCAACTGGTCACGAGCCTACCGCGATCCTACCAGAAGGTATTTACATAAGAAACCTGACATATCTGTGCTCCGCCGTGGGGCAGCGCTGTGAATTGGAGCATTTGCAGAGGCATGTCATGCACGGAAGTTGGAGTTCGAGCGTGGTGCACGTTCCAGTTGTATGATAAACAAGATAACCTCGACTCGGACGCGCCCAGACGTTGCCACAGTCGCGTCTGCATTAAGCGAGAAAAGCCTAGTGGTGATCATGGTGTAGCTAGAATTACCAGCGAGCAGAACGAGATTCATGCTGCTCGACGAATTTATTCTTTTTTATTTATTTATTTAATGGAAAAAGGGAGAAGGTACTTCTTCGAATGGGGTTGACGCACGCTCAATGTACAATATAGCGTATCCTAATAATTGCTGGTTACTGTATGAGAAACAATGACCCAGACAGTCTACATGATTATGCATCTGCCATCACCACATCTCCTGCATTGTTGTTGTCAGCCAGCAGAGCCTCTGCAGCACGTCGGATGTTTGCAATCTTGCCCCGCATGACACTGATAGATTCGGGCAGTAGACGTTCGGGAGGATAGAACCCCTCTGATTCAATGCTGACTGTAAATAATTATCTCATTGAGACCGACACTTGAAAGCAATAAAAAGACGATACTGACAGAGGAAGTGGTCTCGCACTCGAGCGAGCTGAGTACATCCTTCAAATTCTGGATGTCGGTACACCTCCCGGCTCATACTCTCTTTTCGCATATTTTGTTCATCTAAGCTGATAGCCTTAGTTTGTGGGTCTACACGAATGACACCAGGCGAAAAACATTTCTGGAATTTTTCGGCAAGATGTGGTGGGACTGGTTTTTCTGGATTCAAGATGACAAGAGGTAACAGACGATACGAAGCCGTTGCTGTTTATAAGTCCTCGTATCAGCTATATATTGCGTATAAAAAGTAAATCGGTCGTACCAACGGGACAGAACTTAGCATGGTCCTTCCCAACACCTTTCACAGCATGCATCTCAATATCAATCTCTTGCCCAGGTCTCAATTTACCAAGCACGATATTGGGATTCGTGGGTGCCGGGGGACTACTGGCAAAAACAGTCGCTTGCTCGCCTTGAGGCTCCCACTCTAGATGGGAGGACAGTACGTCTGAGTTAATATACATTTCTCTTGGGTCTGTTGAGCCTTTTGGGGCATTTTTATTGCGTTCACAAGCAACTTTGAGGCGAAAAACAAGGGTGTTGCGGTCAGTTGCCTGGTCATTAGTAGCTATTTGAAGTTAAGCAAAGGTGACCACAAATGAAAGCATATCGTCACAAACTTTCTTTCGTGTCCATCCAAGCAGGATCGACATTCAATGGGACCAATCCGATACGCTGTGCCAAGATTTCATCGACAACGACGGATGTATTATCCCAAACATATACTCGTTCAACGCTTATTGTCGGAACCTGTACGGCGTGTCAGATACGAGGATAGGAACCAGAATAGATGAGACCTACCTCTGCGATCAATATTCGTCGAAATGCGTTTGCGATGGATGCATCCGTTCCGACGAGATCAAACTCAATAGACCGACCAGACAGACGCTGCACCTTAACTTTCAATCTCTACCCTTGCATAGCAAGGAGATCGACCAAATTTTGTCTCAAAATGGTTTGATATATCAGTCGAACACTACGCACCTGGTTGAATTGATCTAGATCCCAAGAGTGGTCCTCGTCTGGATAGTAACCGGGGAAATCTGTGCTCGATACGTTTGAAACACGTTCCGCATGGACACCAACATGGTGCCGAGGATCAAATGTAGAATGTGAAGTCGAAGCTGTTGGCATCCCCGACTCTGAACGTTAGTGAAGGAGGGTTCTGTGGAGCGCAAAACGGCATTCTCTCCCTGCAATAAGTACCGAGATCACGTGCCTTCCAGTCCTTGCGCCAATTCTAGCTATATCATCAAACCTTAACCTTAATAAATCAGTTGTATGTAATTCCCAGCAGCTTTCCTTGGCACAAATGGTTGTGTGTGTCCACAATTAAAATTGTCTCTCTTTCTCTTCTGAATGGTTGTGTCTACCCAAGGCACCATACAGGTCAGGCTCCTCCACAGCCACTGTTTTGAGAGAGGAGGACTTAATCCCTAGAGCAAAAAATCATAGTGAGATTAGATATGATTAGATAGGGTATGGCCAGCTGGTGATACATGACAGATTGGGGGAGGTAGAGCACATCCTGAGGGGTCTGGTCCAAGAGCAGGGCTGGCACAAAGTCCACCAGGCACTGCTGGAGCATATTGTAGGGCCTCTCAGTGCCTTGTATGGTAGATGTCAGGAGTTAATCCTGCTCCAGAAGCAAAGTAGCTGCCCTTGTTTACAGACTTGTTCTCTCTTACTTTGCACTATGCTTTTTGCTATTCATCCTAAACATTTTCCTAGTAATTTAACATTTACAACTGCTAGATTGCAATGATTTTTCCTCTGGGCAGAATGCTTTAATGCACAATCTAAATGTCCATTTGGTATCACAGGTTAGTCATTATGTGTATTTTCCTTCATGTCATCTTGCTTGGGTTTGGGCAGCTGTGGTGGGTATTGCTGGGAGAAGTTGGTATTGAAGGAGTGAGGGAGTATCTGAGTAAGGTGGCTTTTCCTTGACAATTATTTTCTTGTGAAAGGGCAGGGATTCATCTTTGGCTGTCAGTCAGGCAATGAATACAAAGCTATATAACAACACTCAATGCTTGGCTAAGTCCTTGATAAAAAGCGGTGGATCAGAGTATGAGAGCTGAATAGTATCTGTATAGGCGCAAATCCAAACTAATATTGAACCAAGGAATAATACATCAAGTATGTACTCCTTATATAGTGAACAGTGTGGGTCAGACCAAAAAAGGGAAAGAGTAAGAAAGTGGTCTGACCAAACAACTAACCAATAAGAAAAGAAAGGGAAAGTTGTCAGGCAACAAATACGAAGCTGTAACAACCAAGAGTTAGTTACTCTGGCGCACACTGAACACACTGTAGAGAAGATGATGAGGGAGTGGTTACCCTTTGAGCTGCAGAGAGTTTGTTGGTATACAACAGGAGGACTCGCTGAGGAGTCTCCTGGATCTATTGGAGTTTATATACTACTACAGGGTTGTTTGTACATGTGTACTATACAGTTGATAGAGACAGTGGCTGATGATGTTATGGGGCCTAGCCCACATGGCCAGCTCTACTGTGTGAGAGAGTTGTGTCCAAAATAAGAAGAAAGGCAACGCGGCGCGAGAAAGGGGAAGTGCCGCGTCATGTGTGAAAGCTATAGTACAAGGTTAAAGCGGAGAATAAAAGTAAAGGGAAAGTCCGAAAATTGTGTTATCGTAACAGAAGCTATATAACAACAACAAATGTCTGGCCAAGTCCCTGAAGAGGGCAGGATCAGAGTATTAAGATTGAAGAGTATTGGTATTAGACCGAATCCAAACTAATATTGAACTAAGGAATAATACATCGAGTATGTACTTCCTTATATAGTGAACAGCAATGGTCAGACTGAAAAGGGGAAGAGTTAAGAAAGTGGTCTGACCAACCAACTAACCAATAAGAAAAGAAAGAGAGAGTGGTCCGATCTATTGTATTTACTAATCATATGAGAGAGAGTATTGGTAAGAAGTGTATGATTGGCTGTATCAGTAAGCCCATGAGAAGGTGCTGATTCATAGCCTACCTTGCTTATCAATATTCCTCCAAAGTATTCCCAGACATAGCATTGGATTATTGCTATGTTATCTGGATATCTTCTCGGGGGTCTACAACAGTTCTCCCTCATTGTAAGTACAATAGAATGTGAGTATGTGACAACACCAACAAGACACAGTCTTGGGGCACTGGAGCACAATGAAAACAACACTCAGAAGTAGAGGAAGAGGTGGGAGTGGTTACCCATTTGGTAGGAACAAGTTAGTTGTTGGTACCTGTATAGTGTGTACAAACTATACAAGTGGATTATTATGGTTTAGAGAAACTATACCTACTTGTTGGTTATGATATGGTTTTATACCACTATATTATTTTTTACCAATATGGTTTGTAGAAACTATATCTGAAATAGTATCTGACAACTATACGATAATATGGTTTTAGGTGACTATATTGTGTGAAATGGTTTTTGTGCACTATTTTATTATTATGGTTTTGAGAAACCATATAAGTAGTATGGTGCTATAATACTGTTTGGATATGGTGCGGGGAAACTATATCACTGCACTTTTTCACAAAATTATTTTAAGTCCATTAAAACTAGACATCTTTATAGGCTTATAGTGTATAATGTTCAGACAATATATATAGTGGTCATAGTGCAGTGGTTAATCTAGTTGTCTTGCTCTTACAATACTATGAGGCCTTAAGTTCAAATCCTGTGTTTGTATTTTTATATATTTTTATTTTAGTTTACTTTTCTGCAACTGTGAACATATTTGGCTTTAGTCTGTATACCATTTACAGTGTGGGAACATGAGTGATTGAACGACATGCCATGTGTAGGCTATCCAAAGTAGAGATGAAAGAAAATGGTGTATGGAAATGAAGAAATAAAAGGATAGGATGTGAGTGTATCATAAACAGGATATGCCAACAGGGAGCTCTATATACGACACAAAAATAGCCACTATCCCAATCAGGATCTGGGTGTAATCTCTCAGATGCATTCTCTCCTACAGAGAAACTGTTAGAATATACTCTGACATACCAATACTCCATAGGATAATACCTCTGATTTGTAAGCCAGCCCAGTATGCAGCAGCTATTCTGTGTAAGACGTCCGTGGTTGCATGTCATGTTTAAGATCCTACGTTGTATAACCTTGGCCATATAGCTCAATTGGTAGAGCAGCTGACATGTATCCAGAAGGTTCCAGGTTCAATCCCTGGTCTGGTCATTATCCAATTTTATCAGAAACCTCATCTGACAATGTGTAGGAACCCTCGCGAGAGTGCTGCTAAGGGTGCCATGTGTAGGCTATCTGGGTGCGGTTTATTATCCACTCTCAACAGCGTCCTGATGGAGTGGAAATGGACTTTATGCACAGGCAAAACTAACATCGTTGTATATCAGCTTGAGCTAGTGGCGGAAAAGGATGCCATACATACAAGTGTCCTTTTAAATATCCAAAGAAGAATCAACCACAAACTCTGAACCCAACAGTAAGGCAGGTAGACCCTTTGGTGAACAAAGGAGGTTATCTAGTTCCTTGGCTGTGAGATATGGACAGCTCTTTGGGGCAAACTTGATAGAGCATGTGATTGTTACAGCTTTACCCTCTGTACATATGAATAATCAAAAAATCAAACAGAAAAAGTGTATTTGCTTACTGTCGGCTTCCACGTTTGGTTCAGTGATCATGTCTACAGCCTTCGTCTCCTCTTTCTCCTCCTCACTGCTGTCCTTTACTCCCAATTCACACTTCTCTGGGAGAGTAAGCTTGCACAATTCGAGATACCGTGCATCCAGCTCAGCCTCCACAAAACTCAGATTACCCTGGATTGATGATGCTGTTGATGATACTGTCAACTAAGTCAGTACCAACACGGTGGGAAATGAGCTAATTCAAATACCTGTTATATCAGCAATGGAAGACAAGCATGCCATTGACGAGGCTTTTTTGTGGGCTATGAAGACATACTATGATGAGCAATGCTGATGGGAATAAATAAAGAACACTTGCCTATTCTCTTTTCTAGTACCTCCTTCAGCATAGCAGACACCTATTCTTCTTCCACTGTGTTGTTAATGATAGGAGTAGAGGGCAAAGAAGGAATGTCATCAGATGAATATGAAGGAGAGGACCAATCATCTCCGGATAATGATTGGCCCGAACTTGATATAGGAGTTTCATTGCCCTTGCCTGACATTACAGCTACTTCCTCTTCCTCTGTGTAATTGCCAATCGGGACTGAAGGTAGTGGAGGGAGGCCCCCAGAAGAACATGGTGGTGTAGTCTCATTGGCTCTAGATATATATTTGTTTGAGCTTGAATCAAGAACACCAACTACACTTTGGTATTAGCCTCCATCCGGCAGAATAGTAAAAATAAAAATCACTCACCGAAGTTTCCTTGTTCATTGTTGCTCGAGAAACCTATGTCGCACATGAGACCTATCCATAGACATAAATATCACACATACCTTAAAGCATGATTGACACCTCATCCATCTCCTCTGCATTGGATGACCATGGAGCACAATGTGACTTGGTATCTATGACCAACATATTACTTAGATTGGTACAGTTAGGTTGATTAAATGAATTAAACACTATATTCACAGCGGTAAGTTGACTAAAGGTAAACGAGGAATATATTTACTTACATGGTGGAAGGGAAGGTCTTAAAGGCTTTCAAGGTGAGGACTGAGTCCCAAGTTCCCCAAAGGCTAATTCTTGGCTCTTGAATGAAGATTGAGAGGGAAGCGGCATTATGCACCTCGTAACTGCTTCCCTAAACACATCTTTTATCTCCCTTTCTAAATTTGAACATGTGTGTTTGGTCACAGTAGCTACTGGTGGCTGTTGTTTCAGATTATCTACTTCTGATAGTGGATCAGTAATGCAAGTGGTTGGAGCATCCCTATTTTTCCAGATCTGACTTTCCTGGTTGCTGGCTGAACATTGAAAAATGTTGATTGACAACTGGGTGGGTTCCTTTCTGAGCTGTATTCTGAAGTTCACATGGGTTCAGTCGGGCTGAGAATCATGTTTGATATCACTTGAATAGTCTATAAATATATTATGAGTACAATGTCCGAAGTCTATAGCCATCACATACATCAAAGTTGCTGTGGTACTTCATTTAAGTCTATCCCCTCCAAATCTGACAGCACAGGAGCACAGGAAGTTTGAACATCTACGATAGTCTCATAATTTGTGTTATCAATGAGTTGACCTATGGATTATTAGAATCACGGTGAGAATTGGTGAGCAACAAAGAATCTGCTTACTCTGAGACAAAGCCTCTGCTGAACAAGGATGAGCTGAACCTGAAGGCAGGCGACCAGGTTTTGCCCCACTATTGGCTGGTATATCCTCCCAAATGTCAGTGATTCCTTGCAAGATCCCTGCTGACTGCTGTTCACACAGCAATTTCAGATCTCTGATCTCCAAGAGCAAGTCATTGATTTGAGAGGCTGCTGCGTCTCAAGTGATAATGGATGACTGGAGAGCAATTAATGACAGTTGAGTGCAGCAAAGCTCCGTTCTAAGTTGGTCCACTTGACGCTTGTAGTCTGTCGCCAAGTTGAAAGATGCAAGAACTGCCTTGATTTGGTCGTTGTAGTGAGCTTTCTGCTGTTCCCAAGTCTCCTCACTGTTGGCCAATTTGTCGGATATGTCCTTGATAGTGTGCTCGTGAGAAGCGAGGGTTAAATGATAGGAAGCAGTGATCTTGGCATATTCATCCTCCATCGCTCTCCTTGTGCGTTCTTTGATCTTGGCTTCTATTGCCTGAGATTCTTGCCTACGCTAGTCCAGCCAGTGTTGGCATTGAGTTTTGCGCTCCTCACCTAACTTCTCTAGTCGAGCATGGTAGCACCTGTGATCAAGGTGGTTCTGTTCCTTCAATACCGCCTTCTGAACCCGGAGAGTATGAATTGTTGATGTGGTCACCTTTTGATATTCGCATGCTTGACAATGTTGTTCCTTAAGTGCCATGTTCTCGGCCTCGAAAGGATTAACATGGGTATTGTCTGCTTTGCCCAGTGAGGGGCTGTGCTGGCCGAGAGGGTAGACATTGAGCAAGGCAGCAGAGATAAGAAAGATTCCACAGAGACCGCCAATGATCATAATCATGGCAGACGCAGGAAAGGCCTCCACAGTGGAGATAAAATGTGTTGGCCAGTCAAGTTAAATGAGCCAGCATGTGACTAACAGAAACTTGAGCCATGGTGATTGATGGTGATGATGATATTATTGATGAGATATGAGTGTTTGAAGATATAAAATGGGGCAAGTTATGATGATGGATGGAGAGCTTCCCTTGCTGTACTTTATACGCGGACGGATGTCAGCCTCCCCGCCACTCTCAATACGTGCAAGCAGCTGACTGCTACACGTCAATGTCATAAACAATGTTGTCCGCCAGTTGAGTTTGCAGGAGACTCATCATGTACAGGATGATTGCCTGAGAGAACCAGCGAGCTATCTGATGTGATCAACAACCACGGACACTGATACTACAGTGGAACACTGGTGTTATAATGAATGTGAATGACCAAACTGGTCAGTGGCCAGTATTCCATTACAGTTTTGCAATTCCGGCTCAGCGTCACTGGCAGCACATTTCAAAATTCCTACACTAGACTCAGCAAGAATCACGTCCATGTAGGCAAACACTACTTACTTTGACAGGTGAGCACTGACAGTACTACTAGTATCTTTTTCCGAGTCCCTCAAGTCCGGACTAGGTATAATGAGTGATTAGGTTTTATCACAGTGATATTAATCCTACACTTTCCCACAATTAGCACACTGTGAATGAAGAGATCGCAGGACTTACCAGTGCTTTTTGATGGATTTCTCCCGGTCATCATTGTCGGAGTTTTCAAGTTATGAGTATTCTAGTCTTATCCAAATGACAGGCCTTTTGGGGGAGCCTGCTTTCTGTGTTAATAAGCAATAGGTGGTGCCACAGCTGAGCTTTGGCATCAGGTGGCATTGATGGATGATCGGCATGGGGTAGGACTCAAAAGAAAAAAGTAGTAGAGCTGACTCAATAGCGACTAAGCCATGCACAATTATGCTCTCAAAATACAATACATGCCTTCTACAGCTAAACCTCGTCATTCATCACCAATGAGCAGCAGCTTTCAATATGGTGTATAGTAAATTGTGGCATCACAGAAGAGCAAATGCCTCAGTGGGCCAATGGCCTACCCCCATGGCCTTTTAAAATCAATAGCTAGGCTTATTTGCTTGCTGGAATATCACAACTACTAATGCCAGGCCTTGATAGACGTGGCCTTGAGGCCTTGCCAGCGTGATAGACAACAATTTACTTACCATTTTCACCTCAGTAGCTCATTCGCGGAGCAGGCCCACCTGAAGGCTGGTCTGAGTTTTGCGGAGTGCTTTCGGAAGCTCATGCCGTGCTCTCGAAAGTGTCGATGATGTGGCTATTGACACCGAAGGCGAGCTCCCACCAAAAGGCCTTTCATTCGGAGCAGACCTTAATTAGCAAGATATATCGACTGTCATATTTCTTGAATTAGGTCAGCAACTGGAGACTATGACGATGGTGCTGGAAGTACCCGGATTATACTTCCGCGGCCACACTGCCGCCGGACGTGGCGGTGCTCTTTCATGTCAATTTGCACTACGATCTTTGTTTTCTATATACAACACAGACGACAGCGTACATCGCTATTCAGAAATGAGGATGGAAGAGTTACAAGGACCAGTCGAATACACAGCTAAATGTATATCATTGTAGCCAATCTAACTTTTGTGAGTAGCCTCTGGATAGTCTGTATATCCCTTCCTCAGCTCCTCCAGACTCGCCTGAGGTCCAGGCCCATACAACGTTGCAAAATCAATCTGCGTGTCTAGCGGAATGCCCATCGCTATCCTCTTTGGCACGTCAGGATGGCTGATGAATGGCATCCCAAAGACCGCAGCGTCGATTTGCTTCGACGAGATCAGAGCCTCTGCCTCATCGGGTGTCACACCACAATTCAAAAACAAAGGTGACCTTTGGATGATTGGGCGGTATGATGTGAGAGTGTCATGTTGAATCGCACGAGGTACACCTAGCATAGCACAGGAACTCAAAGTCAGAACTGGGTTAGTGAAGAGAAGCAGTGATCTCACCATCATATATCACGTCCAGAAAAGGTAGGTATCTCATCATACAAATATAGGCCAAGTCAAGTTTGTCGGCTTCAGATATGAAGTAGTTGTAGGTGTTCAGCGTTTCTTCAATTGGCATCCTGGATTATCATAATCGTTAGCCTTCAACTAATGTCAAGTGATTTGACTGTGAATTACCCCATGTCATTGTACCCGCCAATGGGGCTAAGTTTAATTGAGACTCTCTTATTCCCGAAGATGGAGATGAGTTCCTTCAGTGTATCAAGAACGAAACGGGAGCGATTTTCAACCGAACCGCCCCATGAGTCCGTACGAACGTTAGAGGTAGAGTCAAGGAATTGGTGGACAAGATACCCGCTCCCTCCATGTACTGCCCATAGCCATAGCATTATTTCACGCTCGAATTGTAAGTAGCACAAGCACTATGAAAGGACTCACATTCCACTCCGTCAAAACCAGCCTCCTTGGCATTAATTGCTGACTGCTTGAACTGTTCGATCAAAACACGAGGATCATCTATGGCAGTAGGCTAAATAAGTGCAGGAGTCCATGAGATAACGCCAGAAATTTTATCAGTGTAGAGCACACTCACTGTCACATATCCAGGCATACCAGGGATAAATCTAAACTTTCCGCCTCTTGCAGAAATAGCTGATGGAGCAAACACAGGCTTTGAAAGAAGTAAGTATCATCAACAACCAATGAGCTCAAAAACACACCTCTCCCGAAGCTTTCTGTTCAGGGGCATCTGGATGAGAGGTTCTGCCAACTGACCATGAAATTACGTTGAGCTCATCCACAACCTAATACAGACAACTTACGGTGCCAGAGCTACCAATGAAGTAGCCATATCATTACTTACAGCAAAGTGCGGAATTAAGAGCAAAACACACCTGAGCAAAAATCAGACAACCCTCAGCATGAACTGCAGAAGTGATCTTCTTCCATGCTTCCACTTGTTCTTTGTTCCATATTCCTGGAGCGTTCTGCCACTCAGTTCTATGCAAATAAATCGTGAGATATGTGAGTCGAACGGGTAATGAAAAACCCACCCTTGTTGTACAATCAGAATACCCTCCGAGATGATCAGACCAGGACCTCCTCGCGCACGCTGAACATAATATTCCAGGTTGAGATCATTGGGAACATTAGTGGGGACACAGCGAGAGCGGGTAAGTGCAGACATGACGACCCTATTTGGCATCTTAAGAGGACCAATGGCGAGGGGGCTCAAAAGAGCAGAATGGTTGGCGGTGGTGGTGTTGGCCATCGTTAAACAGTACCCAGTTAAATCGAGGACTCACGTCAGTGAATTTGTTGAACATAAACCAGCTGGAAGGGCCTATTTATATGGATTTTCGAACCCGCTGGGGAAGGTGTGCTGCGGTAACGACTAGCGATTCGTGATCATTGGGGATAACCTAGCCCCAGCAAAATGCCAGACAATAATCAACGCCAACAATCGAGTCATTTTCATTTCAGCCTAGTGTATATTCCCGAGCCAATCACGATATAACTCGCAGTCATTGTTACGGTGGTGATTTGTTAGTGTAGGGTCCAATCGCAGTATGCTTACCTCCGATTGATCACTGACTCGGGAATATGTCCTCTCCTCTGGTCATCTTCACACCTTCTCTTCTTCTTACGAAGCGAGCAAGCTGCGGCGCCAAGGAAACCCAGTTCTGGGTGAAGGCCGGGCATCTCTTTCTCGAAACTGACTCAAATGATATTCATCCTCACCAACAAGACAGTTTGAACACTGGGGTATAACATCCCAAAAAACAAAATATCAATTCAGAGTCATTACAGATCCAACAAACTCATCTTAACAAGACCCTAGTTATTATAAGTAGCCTCCGGGTAATCGTTATATCCTTTCCTCAACTCCTCTAAAGTAGCCTGAGGTCCACCACTATACAACGTCGTGAAATCAACCTGATTATCAAGAGGGATGCCGTGGGCGATTCGCTTCGGTAAATCAGGGTGGCTGATAAACAGCATTCCAAAGACAGCTGCGTCGATTTGCTTGGACGAGATGAGAGCTTCTGCCTCGTCGGGAGTGAGGCCAGCATTCAGAATCAAAAGTGACTTCTTGATGGATTGGCGGTAGGACGCGAGTACGTCGTGTTGAGTAGCACGAGTCTTACCTGAAAGGACAAATGAGTGAAATCGTGAAAACGTAGAAAACGAGGTACGCGACTTACCATCGAACGTCGGGTCCAGCATAGCGAGGTATCTCGCCAGGCAGAAGTACGCCAGATCCAGTTTATCGGCTTCAGAGATGAAATAGTTGAAAGTATCGAGGGTATCTTGCAACGGCATACTAAATAAATAGACATACAATCAGCACCTAATGAGCTCCAACCGAAGAGAGTTTTATTACCCCACATCATTATATCCACCAGCAGGGCTCAACTTAATGCCAACTCTCTTATTTCCAAAGACGGATACGAGTTCTTTGAGGATTTCGAGACCGAAACGAGAGCGGTTTTCAACAGAACCACCCCACGAGTCCGTGCGAAGGTTAGAGGTAGAGTCAAGGAACTGATGGACGAGATAACCGTTGGCGCCGTGCACTGTCCCCAAATATAATGTCAGCAACGAACCCAGAAAAGAAAACACTTTCTTGAAGTGCTTACATTCAACGCCGTCAAAGCCGGCTTCCTTGGCATTAATAGCTGCTTTCTTGTACTGTTCAATCAGAACTCGGGGATCATCGATAGCGGTGGGCTGGTGAATAAGAAAAAGGTGAACAAGGTGATTAGAGAAACTGCAGCGTTAGGGTATAATAAAGACACTTACTGTAACATATCCAGGTTCACCAGGGATGAATCGGAACTTGCCACCTCGAGCAGAAATGGCGGATGGAGCATACACAGGCTTTCCCGCAGCTTTCTGCTCAGGAGCATCAGGGTGCGAGATACGTCCCACTAACCAAAAAAAAAGACTCAGATAAGAAGGGGGGGGAAAAAAACAAGGACTAGCTTACGATGCCACAACTATTATAAGGGAAACCGTATAAAAACAAGAATGATAAAAAAAAGCGAGTGGGACGCAAAGTGACATACCTGAGCGAAAATCAAACCGCCCTCAGCATGAACTGCAGAGGTGATCTTCTTCCAGGCGGCTACTTGTTCTTGACTCCAGATACCAGGCGCGTTCTGCCACTCCGTGCTGTCAAAATACAATGAGACTTTGCAGACGAAAGAAGAAAGAGACCAGAACTCACCCTTGTTGTTCGATAAGCACACCCTCGGTGACGATCAATCCTGCACCTCCACGTGCACGCTGAACGTAGTGTTCGAGGTTGACTTCGTTGGGAACGTTAGTAGGAGCTGAGCGGGAGCGGGTGAGTGCAGACATGATAACCCTGTTGCGAAGGGTCAGAGGCCCGATCGCAAGAGGGCTCAAAAGAGCAGAGTGAGAGGTGGTGGTCGACATTGTACTTTGTTGGGCTTTCTGAATCGATGCTGGGGTATTTGGTTTGGCTGACCGAGCTCTGGTGAGCCGCCTAAATACGTTTTTGAGCCCACTTAGCGGGGACGGGGAGGGCATGGTGAGAGATGCTGCGAATGGGGGAATGCTTCCTTTTGGTGACTAAACTGCTGAGCAGAAGGATGGTATACTGCAGAAGCTGCTGACCGAGCAGCACGTAGCAGGACACGAGGATGGCGAGCAAGACAAAGTAGGGACTTTCTTCCCTAACCCAGGGTCTCGTAGGTATCTCTTCCCTTGTTAGGAAAAAAGCTCACGGTACAAGTCATGCCAGGACTGGTCCAGTTAATCAAGTTTGATAATAAAATGTAATCGCCATGACAGACGCTGACTACGAGCAATGGCGAGGCGAGCAAACGATGGATTCGAGTACTGTAATGCATTGGTCAGCCATACTCTGCGCGGGAAAGCTTTTCCAAAAACATGACAGGCGCGTAGATAGGGTGCCTGCGGTACTCAGCAGCTTGAACTTCCTCAGAATAAGTAGTCCCTATATCCTCTACAAGCCATGCTTAGATGAAGATGCGGTCCCTGACCATAAAACTCTCTTGTTTTCTTTTTATGGGACTGAACCACATTTGAAACCAGAGAAATAGAAACGGACTTGCGACATGATAGATTGCACCTGTGTCACCCATATCGTTGGCGGCACTGAAGAAACATTTTCGTTCCTTTCATACGGTCTTCATGTCATAGACACAAATGTACAACCTCAACAGATGAAGCTCTTTGGATGATATCCAAAAAAGAATCGCGGGTCAGATGACGCTAGAGCTGGCTTCAACCTGCAAAAACGATGTATGCAACTTGTTATGGTGGGCCTGCGGTAAGTCATCACATCCCGCAGCTTGGCTCGTTTACAATTGTGACTACAATTCAATGCCTGTTTCATAGAGTATATACTCGACACGCTACCCCTATGCAAGGCTTGTGGCACGTGCATTTAGGTTAATGTTCACTCAACTTCAGCATATCTAAGACATTTGTTACTACGCTTATCACGTTCGATCTGTCTTTCACATATGATGCTCATGCCCAACGATTCATCCCCACCTCCTATGGCGGAGATTTTTATTTTTCCAGCTCTATTTAGCGAGAGACGAGACAGCAATTTCTTCTTCGTGCTCTCATTGTCTCCCCCGCACGTCCAAAACCGACACGCGGTCGCCACGGCTCAGGGCCTGGCCCGCACGTCGTTCATTACGCTCGATGCGTTTTGACAGCATGGCGCTCATGCTCACCCATTCCCCACCTCCTATGGTGGGGAATCTTCTGGCCTCTATCTAGCGAGACACAGAGACAGTGGTTCCCCCTAACTGCTCTCATCGTCTCCTAGGCACGCTTAACAAATCATAGACGCGGTCGTCACGGCTCTGCGCTCAGGGCCTGGCCTGCACGTCTTCAAACACGCTCAATGCGTTATACCACAGCATGACGCTCATGCTGTTTAATCTCCACCTCCAATGGTGGTGATTCTCCAGCCTATACCTAGGGAGACGATGGGGCTCTGTTTGCTTTCCATCCACCCTCATCTTCTCCTTAGGTACGCTTAAATCAAAGCGCTATCCCGCGGTTCGCGCTTCTGCACAAGCCTCATAGGCTGCGCTTCATGCGCTACTCGGCATGTCCAACATGCTCGGGCCCCGATCTCTTCCCTTGGAGGAGGTCGCCACCTCTATCAAGGCGACAATGAGAGTGGTTCCGTACCTTTTTTCACTGATTCTATCGTCTTGCCAGGTACGTTACACTTACACTCACATTTGTTATTGTAGATATTGAGTTGAGTTTGATATAATTCCTTCTTAAATCGAATTAAAGTCATATGCGCCCCGCCCCCTATCCTGAAGTGCTAGCTTCTCGGTGCGGCTGACTTAATTTAATTTTCACATTATGGGATCCTGGCTCCAGAGAGGACTGCGATATTTCATTCCCGGGCTTCTCTGGACCGTGATTAGCCGTATTTGGATGAAAGATGATGGCAACGACGAGAAGGACCGTAAACCGTTTCGTGTTGCTGCGATCAACACTGAAGGCAGTGTAGGCACAGGTTTACAGCTATACACACTCGAGTTAGGTTCGCTAGGGTCTGCTGTGAGTTCTCACCTTCCAAGTCACCCCGTCGACTTCTCCTATGTAACTTCCTTCAGCCTCGCTTTTATGTGACAGGAGAAATTTCACCTGGAGTGAAGTTCTGCCTGAGCCACTCGGATGCGCAGCAGGGTGACTCATTATTGTTAAATGACTGGTGATAGCGGTGTCAAATGCTGCAGATCGTCGGGCTGTTCCCTTGTGGTTCTATCGTACGATGTCAGCTCTGCCTGGGCTTTCCAATTCCTATGATGAGCAATCCGAGCTCGTCGTTTCAAATTCGTTGCGACGACCGTTGGAGCGTTATCGGTGAGAAGTAATTTGCGCATTGGTGGTGTGGTTAATGAAATAGGAGCTGGGGATGCCTAGTAGAGTATGAATGTCACTTGATGCGAGATGATTAATTGCGGTCAGGGATCCGTTATTACGAGAAGACTGGATAGGTCAGAGCGTCGTAGCGTTTCCGTCGGATGAAGATAAGATAACTTTACGCACTATTATTACTTGGAGGCGGAAAACTGTTTCGGTCGATCGTTCGTCGGTGAAGCGTACTACACTCCAAATGTCACGGTTCAGTCAGGTATGCTTGATTCACTGGATGACCGAAGTACAATATGTTCTTCATAATCTCGTTTTTGGTGGTCTCGGGCCCCGGCGAGGTCATAGTGAAGTAGTAGAGGAGCACCTGGATGAGCTTATCGGGGGAAGCTGATGAAAGCCTTGTTTAGGCTACGGCCCACGGGGCGTGTCTAAGAAGGTATGAGAGTCCTGGCGTGACACTCAAATACGCACCTCGACGTTTCTATTTTAGCAATAGATTCTTTTGTCTGCAGATTCCGATGTCTTGCCAAATTAGACTCAGGTCCGCGTTCCCAGTGCAATTCCCTGTCCCATCGGGATTCTTACGGTACACGATGTTGAGCTGAATACGAATTAGTCAAAGCCACGTCCCGAAGAATGGAGAGGCAGGGTACTGGCGCTGGAAAGTCTCAGATAGGGATGATGACAAGATAACGTCCATGAATTCGTACTGATACATGTGATTCCGAGGTTTTGCACTACTGCCCCACATCCGAATATTATTACATCTTTACTAATCCGTACTTATAACTTAGTCCTGCTTGACTGCCTTCTCGGTAGGGGGAACCTGGAAATGGATGGGGGGTGTTCTATCGAGGGTGGTGTACAGGAAGCTGATGATGCGACGACGGTCGCCTGTTTCGTCTGCTGCGACAGCGTCGTCTTGTTCGACCCTGTGATAGGGTGGGGTTAGCTTAGAGGGGATATGTAGATGTAAAAGGTACGAACTTTGCGCTGAAGTGAAGCAATGTCTGCCTTTGGGCGGGAGCGGCGCGGATGCGAAATTTCATTGATGTTTGTACGACGAACGATCCGGCGACTATGCCAGCCTATCGCAAGATATCATAAGTAACCGTCGACCGTCCGATCAAAACGGATGTGTGATGCACACGTACCTCATTAGAATTTTTCTCTGCTGCAGCTGTTATGACGTTATCGTCCCATTTGACTTGTGCACCGATGCTGGCTGCCCGACGGGAGAAGAGCGCGTCTTTGAGAGCGTCACGAGAGATGGAGGCGTGGTTGTGGGTGACTTGGCAGGATGGGGAGAATACGGCGTCGAATGCTTTGTAAAAGGCGTCATCTTCGGCGGCTTCGTAGACTGCAGACAAGCGGGACTGGACCCATGAGGAGAGGGTGGACGCGGACATGACTAGCGGGGTGCGTTGGGAATGCAAGAAAGTACAGGTGGTGAATAAGTTTATAGGCTGAGAGATAGAATGGCTGCGGGGAATGGGAATAGTAGGCAGACGAGGTGACTCGAATACGCGTGCGAGAGGATAGTAGGGACTGCGGCGCAGGAGAGTGACGCACATGAACGCATCGGTCGCGACGAACCACCGTCTCTATATGGTAGGTCACGTCATTCACGACCCCGTCTTTATCACTCTAACCACCACCACCACCACCACCACCGTCGACGTCGACATCCATCGTGATCGTTGTATGATTAGACCTGCGCACAGGCATTGGGAAACGAAAGATAGCCTAGGCGACGTTCGACAGGCTGAATTGGATTATCCACTCTACAGAAATCGAAGAGATTGCATGATAGAAACATGGAGTACGAGAAAGAGATGATGCGATGGGAGTCTCTCAGTAAGCATAGCATATACCTCGTCCCAGCACACAACTTTGAAAATGCAACAAAGCAACAATCGCTAGAGAAACTCATGTCGTAATTGCACCAAATACTATCAAAGAAGAGTGCGTCGTGTCCAATCCTCACCAACCAGCACTTGTACCACAAACATAGCATTGACTAGCGTGGTTGTTCTGAACGACCCGTCAGAGCCCAATTCTGCCGCTGCTACTCAAGTGTGTACAGCTTACTTCTAACGGACGCACCATCAACAATGGCAGTGCAAGTCCAGCCTTACCAACACCATCCAAATGCCACCGTATGAGAGCCCTTTGAGGTATCCTAAAACGCCAAGGGAGGTGCAATGCAAATCGAAATACGCCATCCTATCATTCAAACTCGATCACGGTTTCCACGTTTGTTCCTGCTGAAACCACCCAATCCACGGAAATGACGATACAAATTGGGACTAGCCTTTGAAAAGGGTATGCTCATTACCAGGAGTCATCTGTACTCACTGTTGTCATGGATGATGTGGGGTAATTCCGAGGCGGGGTCACAGAGGTTCTTATCACTTTTATTATGATTAAGACATGTTAATTCAATGGTCCAATCTTGAACTGCGCAATCGATAATCAACCCCGATGACCAATCAGACACAAATGTGCCTATCCAATGCACATATTGTGCCTCTTTCCATTGTCACCATTTTCATATCATAGGCGAGACTACGTCAGCCAGTCAAAGCTTGAGCGCTATCGGAAGCGTTGTGTCCCGAAAGTCAGTATATCACTTCTTTCTTTTTTATTTGCCGGTCCAGTCCTTTGACGCATGGTGTATCAGCTCTGTAGTATATTCAAGGTTACCGATGCACGGCTTGTTGGCTATTGTCGAAGTATTATATTGGACGTCGTCGGGCTACGTGAATCGAGGTCAATACTTAACACCCATGGTCCGACGCAGGGGCCAGGGCATGTTTTCGAAATTGGGCGAGCAGCTTTATGCTCGGGACGCTGTCTTCAGAAGCTACATGGGTAAAATATGTGGAGGTGTGGAGTATCTCTGGTAATCAGGCTTCTTTGATGGAGAGCTACGCCGCCTGTTGCTCTTTATCAACGTTTATGCAAACGCCTCGACGACAGGTATTGGCAAGATACTACGGGCCGCGGCTCTTTGGATCAGTTCCTGGATTTCAGCGTCTATCACTGTGCTACAAATGGGTCGAATTAGGACACGGTACAAAATAGCGATGGGCGCGATGACGAGACTTTAGAAAATCATAGCTAATAGCCGGGTTACTAGAACCCAACGTGGCACTGCTGTTGCATTGCTGCTTGACAGGTCAGTCTGTTCATTTGCGGGAAATCGGGAAATCGGGAAAAGCAGGAAGACAGACTGAAAGAATAACATCGATGGCTGACGCACGTGTAGGGATACTGGATACGTAGATAACATTAAGATGACATTGCAGAAAGACAAGCGCGACCTTGATTCAGTCGTATTAGGAGGGGACAATCTTTTGATGAGTCATAGCAGCATGGTCATCTAAAGTACGTGACGTTCCTTCGATATCCCGATAGACCAGGCAAACGCGGCAACGCGGAATGCGCTGCGGCCGCTATGGCTCCGTTATGTCAGGACATGACGTCCTCAAGGCTCACGTCGCTGATGCCGCACTGACACTCATTGGCTACTAGCTTTTTTTGACTAAAGCAGGCCAGTGTCATGTATTAAGTCCACACGCCTATAGCTATATCTGAATTTGTAGGTATCCAATCCGATTGTTCCAGTGCCAAACCCGTCGGATCCATCAAATGCGTCGCTTTCCCTCTCGGCATATCCAAGTATGCGACTCTACACCGGTATTGCAGCACACGCATATTATACGTGGAGTGCCATATATATACCTCTCACCTAAAACGTGAACCCACAAACTGCAAGCATTCTCGACCGCTGATATGTCTGCTGAAGGTCATTACGAGTCCAGACGATCTTCCGCTGGGAGTCAACGTCCCCAGTCTTATTATGCACAGGTAAATCACTCCTTCGCGAGCACTGCCATCTCACTAACCATCTATTCAATTCTTGAAGTCAACGGCCACTCATGAAAGATCAAGACCACTCTCTCAGTCGAGCCCGGCATTCGCCTTCCAAGACAGAGACACGAGCGAGCTTGCCAACGCTCTCAGAGGGCATTTCGCAGGTAGCCCACCACTCCAAGAAGTAGCTATTTCTATACATCCAATCTCTCCTTCCCTCGAATCCGTAAACACTGTCGTAGACCCAAATAAGTTCAATCTCGAAAACACCCTCAAAGACATCGTGAAAAGGTGTGTTTGTCGGTTGTATTCCGTTGCAGCAGAAAATGTTAACATGTATCAGACGCGATGCGCAGGCCATCAAAGGTCGTGAGCTTGGTGTCTTGTTCCAGAACTTACGGGTAGTGGGCACCGGTTCATCAGCCTCATATCAACCCACAATGGGCTCAATCTTCAATCCAGTGGAGATATTCAAGAGTATTTCGAATATGCGCCACCCGCCCACTCGCGATATCCTCTCGGGTTTTGAGGGCGTTGTTGCACCAGGAGAAATGCTACGTAAGTGTTTTGCTTAACCTATACTCTTGCTCCATTCTCACACTGCGCAGTCGTCCTCGGACGCCCAGGCTCGGGGTGCAGTACCCTTCTGAAAACGCTCGCAAACCAGCGGGGAGAGTACCATGCCGTAACCGGTGAAGTCTGTTACGACGCTTTCACCCCCGATGACATCAGCGCTCGCTACCGAGGCGATGTGATTTACTGCCCGGAGGACGACGTACACTTCCCCACACTCACCGTTGAGCAGACGCTCACCTTTGCCGTCAAAACTCGCACCCCACAGGTGCGCATTGGGGATCAGACGCGTAAGACTTTCGGAGAAGAAGTGTCTAGTGTGCTTACGAAGATTTTTGGCTTGGGACATACAAAGAATACCTTTGTAGGCGATGCGAGCGTAAGAGGTGTATCGGGTGGCGAGAAGAAGCGTGTTTCAATTGCAGAGGCGATGGCGTGTAGGAGTCTCATAGGCGCTTGGGATAAGTGAGTTAATACCATTCCCATTCTCTCTCTCTTTGTATATGGTTATGTCATTTTACTCATTGCTATACTTGTAGTTCCACCCGTGGCCTCGATTCTTCCACCGCCATGGAGTTCGGCCGCGCCTTGCGCACAGCGACGGATATTGCACGTGCAACTACCATTGTATCCATCTACCAGGCTGGAGAGTCGCTCTACGAATTATTCGACAAGGTCTGTGTCATTTCAGAGGGCAAGATGGTGTACTTTGGTCCTGCCAACCAGGCGCGTGAGTACTTCATCGGGATGGGGTATGAGCCGCAGAACAGGCAAACTACCGCAGATTTCCTCGTTTCAGGTGAGTACCATTGACAAAATCGAGATTTACAATTCTGAATATTATCTGATTTTAACATCAGTCACCGATCCTATTGGTCGCAGAGTTGCCTTAGGCTTCGAGTCCCGTGTCCCTCGCACACCCACTGAGATGGCCGCCCACTTCGTCAACTCGCGTCTTGGCCGCGAAAATAAGGATGCGATTGAGGATTACCGGCACACGCACGTCGACAAGAACCGCAAAGCAGACTATGAACTCAGTGCGTTGCAGGAGCATTCTCGACACACGCCGAAGGATAGTCCATATACAATTTCGATCCCCATGCAAGTCCGCGCTGTGATGCTTCGAAGAGTCCAGATTTTGAGGGGCGATATTACCACGCAGGTGGTCCAGCTGCTGTGAGTATCCTTACTGGTAGTGTGTTTGAATGAGGCTGTTGACTGGGATGGCCTATGATTATAGTGCGCAGGTTTTCCAGGCTACTATCATGGGTACAGTGTTCTTGCAGCTTAATGATGCAACGTCTGCATACTTCTCTAGAGGCGGTATTCTCTTCTTGTACGTTTCGCCCTTCTATCCAGCCTTTTCATATGGCTCAAACTGTTATTTTCTGTACTGTACAGTGCTCTACTTTTCGGTGCCCTCTCCTCCATGGCTGAAATCCCTGCCCTGTACGCCCAACGGCCGATTGTACTGCGCCACCAGAAGGCAGCAATGTACCATCCATTCGTCGAGAGTCTTGCGCGTACGATCGTAGACATTCCAATGACTTTTATAATCCAAGTCGTGTTTTCAGTCCTGCTCTACTTCCTAGTGGGTTTGCAGAGGACGGCATCGCAGTTCTTGTACGTTGGTTTCTTCCTCATTTTCATTCATTGCTGCTCCTGTTTTGCTCACTCGAACATCACGCAGCATTTTCTTTCTTGTCACGTTTACAATGACGATCACTATGAAGTCGTTTTTCCGTATGATAGCTGCGAGCTTCAAGACAGAGTCGGGCGCAATCGCGTTGGCTGGGGTGCTGGTTCTCGTCCTGACGCTCTACACTGGCTACACGATTCCGAGAGACAGCATTGTGGCCGCGCTGAGGTGGCTGACATATTTGAACGTAAGTTGTTCTTCATGGAATTTTTAAACTAGTGCAAGACTTATAATTTACTTTCATTGGCGACCCAGCCCCTCCGATTTGGCTTTGAATCGATCATGGTCAACGAATTTCATACTCTAAACGGCACCTGCTCCACCCTCGTCCCACAAGGAGCAGGATACGAAGGTGTCCAACTGGTAAACCAAGTCTGCACCACTGTAGGCTCCCTGGCCGGAGTCCCGACTGTCGACGGAAACACGTTCGTAGCTGATTCATACGGCTACTACTTCAGCAATTTGTGGCGGGTATGTCTAATTCAAAGATTTTGCTATCTATTTCAATAGACTAAATGTCCTGGTTTGTAGAACTACGGTATTATCTGTGCTTTTGGAATCGGCTTCATCGCAATCCTCCTGATCATGACAGAGATCAACACCGGATCCGCATTCGATACCACCGTCACGCTATTTAAGCGCGGTTCGTCAGTCGCTTTGACCGAGCAGGCTAGTGCGAACAATGATGAAGAAAAAGTTGCACCCGCCGCTCCCCTCGCCGACAATTCCCGCATGACACGCCCAGTCACACGAGCAGTAGACGCGGAGAAATTTTCTCCAACACCTGACACCTTCTCGTGGCAGCATCTGAATTATGTTGTACCTCTTTCTGGGGGGGAACGTAAGTTATTAGATGATGTGGCAGGCTATGTCGCGCCTGGGAAGCTGACGGCGCTTATGGGTGAATCGGGTGCTGGCAAGGTACGTGAAATGATGATGGTCATTTTAATATAGAACTGAAACGTGGTGATATGAAGACTACCCTGTTAAATGTCCTCGCTCAGCGTGTTGGTACTGGTGTCGTCACTGGCGATCGTCTGGTCAATGGCCAGACTGTTCCTGCTGATTTCCAAGCTCAAACGTAAGTCCATCGTTTGATTTATGCATTTTAGTGGGCTCCGCTGAACTTATTCTTATTGGATTTCTGCAGTGGTTACGTGCAGCAGATGGACACACATCTGCCACAGACGACAGTCCGTGAGGCCCTCATGTTCTCAGCTACCCTTCGTCAACCGCAATCGGTGCCTGTGGCCGAGAAAGAGGCTTAGTACGCTCCCTTCTCGTCTCTTATCAATAGTAAACTAAATGTAACGAACCCCTAGCGTGGAAACATGTCTCGAGATGTGTGGCTTGGAAGCACATGCTGATGCGATAGTGGGGTCTTTAAGCGTCGAACATCGTAAACGCACGACGATTGGGGTAGAACTTGCTGCCAAGGTGAGTTTCATACGGAAGATTCCTAGTTTTGCACTGTATATTAATGGTGGCCATGTCTCAGCCGAAACTCCTGTTATTCCTGGATGAGCCTACGTCTGGACTTGACTCGCAATCTGCGTGGGCAATTCTAAAATTCCTACGCGACCTAGCTGACAGAGGACAAGCCATCCTCTGCACGTAAGCACTTTCAAATTCGACGTGAAATAACCAAAATCTAACCTCCTCGTTGACAGCATCCATCAGCCGTCCGCAGAGCTCTTCCAGGTCTTCGACAGACTCCTTCTCCTCCGCAAAGGTGGTCAGGTTGTATACTTCGGTGATATTGGTGAATCATCCGGTACATTGATCGAGTACTTTGAACGGAATGGTGCTGAACATTGTGGACCTGATGATAACCCGTGAGTTCTCGCTTAATAAAAGCTCCTTTGTTACCACGACTAACCTTGGTGACATTTTCTACTTCAGAGCTGAGTACATGTTGGACGTCATTGGTGCCGGAGCCTCTGCAACTAGCTCGATCGACTGGCACGGTGTCTGGAAGCAATCCCCAGAATATCTCAACCTGCAAGATGAACTCGAGCGTATCAACTCGGAGGGACGTCTCCGTCCCGTTGAGCAGGGTGGCCGTCAATCGGAGTTCATTACCTCTTGGCTGCACCAGTTCTGGGCGCTAACCAAACGCGCGTTTTCAAGCTATTGGCGCAACCCGGGATACGTGATGGCTAAGCTGGTGCTCAACGTCGCAGCAGGGCTCTTAAATGGTTTCACGTTCTGGAATTCAGCGAGCAGCGTGCAAGGGTCACAGAACAAGCTCTTCGTACGCTTCTTTTCTTCATATTCGTTGTTGTCATTGTGCTAAACTCGAGCCCCCACGCAGTCTATCTTTATGGCTACAATTGTCAGTGTCCCACTGGCTCAACAGCTCCAAGCCGTGTTCATCGATGTACGGACGATTTATGAGGTGCGAGAAAGGCCTAGCCGGATGTACAGCTGGACTGCACTGGTGATGTCTCAAATTCTCGTCGAGATTCCCTGGAATATCCTTGGCTCGTCACTCTTCTTCTTCTGCTGGTACTGGACCGTAGGCTATGAGACGGATCGCGCGGGATATTCCTTCCTCATGTACGCCGTCATATTCCCGGTGTACTACATGTCGGTTGGCCAGGCGATCGCCTCGATGGCACCGAGTGCAATTATCGCGTCCTTGCTGTTCAGTACACTGTTCTCGTTTGTTATCACCTTGTGAGTGTCTTTGTTTCTTCCGAGGCAGTTGTAAACTGTTTGGATCGAATTTTTTGCTGATGATTGTTGGGAATAGTAATGGTGTTCTGCAACCGTTCTCGCAGCTTGGATGGTGGCAGTGGATGTACCGAGTGTCGCCGTTCACCTACCTCGTCGAGGGTCTCTTGGGCCAAGGTAAGCCTTTGCCTCGTTTCACCATCACATCACAGCATACTGACGACAATCTTCGCATAGCCATCGGAAACCAAGAGATGTTCTGCACCTCCTCTGAGTTCGTCCCGCTGACGCCCCCAAGCGGACAAACGTGCGAGTCGTATATGCAGCCGTATATCAACCGCGTGGGCGGGTACCTCGATGATTCTTCTTCGTGTTTGTACTGCCCTTATCAGAGCACCGATGTGTGGTTGTCACAGTGAGTTTTAGTTTACGATTTGGGGTTTCCCCCTTCCCCTTTTTTTGTTTTGGATTCATATCATATGTGGTGTCGAACTTGCGTTTCTGACTACCTCTTGTTTTCTAGGAGCTTTAACATCGAGTACTCCCATCGATGGAGGAACGTGGGTATTTTGTGTGGTGTCATCGTGTTTAATGTGAGTCTACTCTTTTCCTACCGTTCCTTCTTCACCGAGCTCAATTCTTTCACTTTTCCGTTTCTCAGATCTTCGCCACCTTCGCTCTCACCTACCTCTTCCGCATCCGCCAAGGCAACATTTTCCGATCGCTCAAGAGCAGACTCGGGCGATCGCGATCGTAGATTTCGGATTCCTTCGACATGCGTCTACTCACAGACGAATAGACGACCAGCCATAAAATCCATACGCCCTAATTAACCCACAACGAAATTCAAGCATACATATATAAACGATACAACGGAATGTCCGAGTGACGATGCGATGCGACGGCAGACACGGCAGATTTGCGTGCCCGTGGACGTTGATGGACATTCTCGCATCGTCGATTAATTTATGTTCCCCCCCCCAAGTTTTTTTCCCTTTCTCCTTCGCCTTTCTTAATTTGTGTTTTTCTTTCGCATTCTTGTACTATATTTACTTCTTATACTAACGTTAACGCGGTTTCATTATACGCTACAACACCCACTGGCATTACGTCCCCTCACGATCGCTTTCACGGTACCATATCACATCACATCCTAGCATATTATAGCATAGCATAGCGTCTCAAGCTCCTAGCTCCTAATCACCCGGAACCCGCACCTCCCTCATGCGTCGTCGAGTATTAGCAGACGTACTGCTGATACTCGTAGTGTACTATATTTGCATTGGATTATAACCTAGTATTTAAAAACGTGTTTCTGCATATGACTGGCTGTTCGCTCAGGCTGGTTGGGCAATTATTATTATTATACATGATTGATGATCTTAACGCTTGCGCTGTCTGGAAGTCGATCCTTGAGCTTGTCAATGGAAATCAAAAAACAAGCAGGGCGTCAGAAGGATGTGAAATGAAAAACAAAAAAAAGAAGTGTGCATTTGCTTATTAGTAGGTAGTACGACCGTCTTCCTCCTTCCTCCTGAATGGTATGCCTGGGGGGGGACTAGCCTTTGCTTTGCTTCGCGCTTCAAGCCGTTCGGATGGGGTCTATACCGTGAACTCATCATCAGAAACGCCTCCTGAGGTATTCAAACGGGCAAAAAAAAAAAAAGAGGGTGCGGGGGGGGGGCGGAAGGAAAGACCTCACCTCAGGCCTCAAAAACCCGCAGCAGCCCGAGAGTCTGAGGCGTTCATGTTGCATCGCAGCCCCAGGGCCCATGCCGTCTTCCAACCAGGCCACTGAACGGAATCAGCCAAAAAGAGGCGGGTCTTCAAGTGACTGCGGTCGCGGTATGCATGCGCAGTGGCAGCAGCAGCGGCCAAGTTGCTCTCTAGCCCGAGGGCGCTTCATGACGGTACTAGTAATATATATATATATATATATGTTTATGTTTATGTTTATGTTTATGTTTATCCATTTCCTTGCCATGAAGACGGGAAAACATGTGAGTCGATCAACTTGAAAGTTCACGGGTGCCAAGAATGCAAGAAAAGACGATCGCGAGCATGGTGGAGAGCGTACATGGCGAGAACGCGGCACAATCACAACGCCAACGCGAATGACTAGATAGAACACAGATGGGAGAGATCGTACGATTTGGGATGACAAGAGCAAGAGCAAGAGCGAGAGCGAGAACAACGCAAGGACAGGTGGGGGGTATGTAGCAGGTAGCGGGTAGCAAGTATCAGGTAGCGGGTAGCAGGTGGCACTGGTGGCAGCGAGTACGACGGTGCGTAGGATATAGTAAAGAGTCGTCAACGTCACGTAGGCCTCCTTCACCACAGCCAGTCCTACGAGAAAGAAAAAAAGAAATAAAGAGATGCTTGAGTGAATAAATGGATCGCCAAAAAGATCGCCAAGAGATCGCCGAAAAAAAATTAAAACCGTCAGTAAATCAGGACACCCTCCACCACGACTGGCTCGGGAGTCGGAGGCTCACACCTCCCTCACACTCCCCTCCTTCTCACCCACGCTCGGACTCCCCACCGAGCCCGAGCTGCCACCCTGCGAATAGTGTCTGGCGACAAACAGACCCTCCCCCCCTCCCTTCTTCTCCTTCTCGTCGTTGTCGTCGTCGCTGGCATCATGGTGCGCATACTCGGGCTTGAGATCGCCACCGCCGGGGCCCTTGTAGCGCCTAAACTCGCTGCGCCTCGGCAGGCCGGGCCCCTCGAGGTCGATGTCGACGTCGAGGCCTGTGCCGGTGGTGGTGGTGGCCCCTGCGCCGATGGCGACGCCGGAGGTGAAGATGAGCTTGGAGGAGGTGGCTTGGGCTACCGTGTCGCGTCCCCATGCGCGGTGGGTGACGACGCGGAGGACGATGAGCTGGGGGGAGAGGCACTGGGGAGGGGGGGGTCAGCGTTTGTATCGCAGAGGCAGAGTGGGGGAGACACGCACGGTGATCTTAGCCCAGACCTGGCCAAAGGCGATGGCAGTCTCGGAGCCACGAGCGTAGGGGACTAGGAACATGATGCCCATGATGGTGTAAGGCGCCGCGCTCTCGATCATGATAGCCACCACGCTCGTGTACAGGCTGGTATTGACGCCACTCGAGTTGAGGTTATCGGCCCTGACGGCGTGCATGGCCTCGCCCCTGGCGCTGAGGCCTGTTGCGCCGGTGGAGTGGGAGATGGAGGAGGGGGAGGGGGAGAGGGCGTGGCGGAGGATGCGGGAGAGGTAGAGGAGGCGGAAGCAGATGAGGGCTGTGACGATGATGTTGAGGGAGATGGTGAGTGCGTAGTAGGGGACGCCAAAGTTGACAGATTTTCCTGCGAAGAAGTCGCCGCCTGGGACGCCTGCGGAGACGAGTTCGATGATGGCTAGGGCTGGAGGGGGGTAAGTGGGGTGAATAAACGAAGAGACGAGGGGACTGACCAAAGGCACCAAAGTAGACGAGGACGGGGAAGATGACGACGAGGTAGCTGGATTCCCAGAGGATGAAGAGTCTGTATATCTGATAAGGGGGTATTAATGAGAGGATCGAGGGAGAAAGGAAGACGAGTTACGAGGAGGGCATCGCCGAGGAAGATGAGGGCGACGACGGAGGTGGAGGAGAGGGTCTCGTACCACACGGAGACCTCCTCTGCGATGAAGGCAGGGACACCGCCCACCCTGTCCTGCCCGTTGATCCACATCATCTCGCCCCAGACGGCATTTGTGGCGATGTCGATGGAGACGAGGACGAGGAGTGCGGTGGAGTAGAGGAGGAAGAAGTGGTCTGAGCGGGTGCGGAAAGGCTTTTTGAAGAGGGTGTGTACGATGGTGAAGTACATGACGAGTTCTACGCCATAGAGGATGCCGCTCATGTAGTTTCCGATGTAGTAGGCATGCTCGAACACGGCTGTGGACATGGCTGATCAGACGAATGCACAGGCGAGGGCAGACTCGACTCGACATGGGCTGACTCTTTCAAGGCCACACGTGTGCGGAGAGAGCCGTGGAGTGAATGATCTCTCCCACAGCGCTCACTTCGACGCCTCCATTTCCGTTCTCGTGCCTGTCATCGCGTTAATGAACTACCTCCGCTTCATTCAGGGCAGACGCTGTTCCTGACCCGACCATACTCAATTCTCTTCTCACTGACCTCCTCCTCCATGACATCACTTCCCTCCCGCCCCATCCTCGTCCTCTCCCTCGCCCTCTTCCTCGCCAGCCTCCTTCTCAAAATAGGGGGCACCCTCTACCTCTCCCGCCTCTCCAGGTCCTACAGTGAGCCTTCAACTTGACGCGTACATGACCACCACTCACCACAGCTAACCGCAGCCTACCTCGGTTCCGACTACCCACAGACATGGCCCATCCATACTCGCAAGCCCGTCCTCATGTCCTCTGACAACTCCCTTCGCTTCCGCCTCGACTCTCCAGACGGCGCCAACGAATGGGCCGCCATCGTACCCCCAAACAACGCCCTCATCCACCTCGGCCCCCACCGCCAGCCCTTCTCCCTCTCCCTCTTCCACCAGCTGCGCTGCCTCGACGTCATCCGCGCCGACATGACCCGCGATCGCAATCGCAACGATACCACTCGCCAGGAAGGCGATCTCGCGAGGCATTGTCTCAACTATATCAAGCAGATGGTGCTCTGCCGCGGCGATCTCCAGCTCGAGCCCTTCCAATACGCCTCTCACAAATCTCCCATTGACCTGTATGGCGTGTATCACTGCAACGACTGGGGCGCTGTCTATGACCAGGTCCACGAGAACCAGCGCGAGTATGCTGCATGGAAGGAGGACCAGACTGAGAGCGCGTAGGTCTCGCACAGTTGGAGGATGAGGTGGTGGTTTATTGAAATGTAATTTATCGCTACTGTATTTATCATAGTCCTGCATACAACGTTCCTAGCTATCAGGTCGACCCTGATCACCTAACCACATCCCACTGGCACCAAGTAGTGTCCATTACCAAATCTCGCGCTTGGCACCCCTGACAGCCAGCAACCTCGAAACTGCATAGTCCCCTCCCCAACTCAAACGTTGGTTGAGGAGTTGCCGAACATAGGTCACTTTTCAGCAATTTGAACTCGCGAGCCACTCAGTAATAGTAGTCCAGTACTATACTAGGCTCGTCCCCAATCGGCTCAACTAGCTTGTCATACTTGCCGATATGGGTGCTCAAAGACCATTTCGGCTAGTACAGCTAACTTATTACGAAGCGCCCGTTCGGCAGTAGTCTCCCTTGCTGACCTCATTCAATATATTGATGATAGTCAATCAATATCTTGTAAATAAGGTCTGCTTCAAAATAACGGTGCCCCCCTTCAGTGTCAATACAGCAAAAGCACAAACACTATTCAAGCTCCGTTGATTGTCAGCAAGCTCAGCACTCAGCAAAAGCTCTATGCTAATCACTATGCCTGCCTCATGTTGGGTCAGATGAGTCTTTGTAGTTTCTTATCAGTCCAAATCCATCAGAGCAAGACTGTACTGTAAATATATTATCAATATAATCATAATATACTTCCACCTCCAAAACATGTCTCAGACTCCTGCAAGAACAACCCGCAAACCCCCTCAAATGAACGAGCAAAAGTTGGATACTATCCTAGATGCTATGGGGGAAGTAGAATGGAGCCTTTCGCAGTTCTTATATCAGCTAATGCAGGATGAAAGCGAGTTGGATACTCACAGGAAGGGGCTGTCATGACGTAAAAGGAAAGTCCGGGCATTTCTTGATGGCACATCTTCCCCCACAGTTGGAGCTCTTCTCAAGCTGATATATGATCGTGCTGAGGAAACACCTTTCTGTTCAGATGATATTCATGTTGGTCAACCACTGTTCATGAATGATGTCAGCCTGCAAGACGTCAAACATGCCGGACGAGGCCTTACCATTTGGGCTGTACAACACACAGCCTGCCTCACTAGGCTTGAATCCAGTGCTATGATATCCCGAGATGCAGGTCTTCACATGCAAGCCCGAGCCCCATCTGAGAACACTCAGAGAAAGCATGGCCCCTCGGTAACACAAGAAGCAATCATGGATTTCAGCTATCACAAACTACAGGACACTGCAGAACAACACGCACCTATCATGTGGCTTCTAGTGTCAGAATACAGCCGAGAGACACCACCTAAACGCATGCTGTCAGGAACTGTTCGAGTTTCCAGGAAATATCGTCCAACACACTTGGTGAGTGGATATAAACCTGAACGTGGAGCAATATTGAGTTATCACAGGGAACTATTGATGCGCTCGTAACACTTACTTTCATCCGGTCGTATCAAGCAAATACCCTTGCGCTGGCTTGAAGTCTCTATCTCTTTGCTACAAAAGCACACAGGTCTATTTTCCGTGTTGAAAGTCGTCTACAACACAGCCTATGAGGTTCTTAGGACAATGGCCCATGCTATGCATGGGATGCTGAGAGAAGCGACTCATTGTCGATGATGAGAACTGTTGTTAGAAAAACCACACACAAAACAAACTAACACACAATCCTCCCAGATTCCACAGAACTTGTTTATGGGCTTTGCCTCCTAGAACAGTGGAGTGGTCTGGTTGTTCGTGGGGTGGTACGTATAAAGATCCTTCAAAGTAAAACCCAGAGGTGTATGAGTGTGGGTTTTGAGGAGGAGGGATAGTTGAATTTATAGAAGATAGGGGCTTAGTGACGAGTATAGATGAGCACTACCTTGCTAATCATAGCACAAGGTAGGTTTGATATTGACAATGCGACAAGGTGACAAATCCTGCATAAGTAGTACAGGATAAGATTGTCAAAATAAGGAAAAGAAAGAGATAGAACAATGAGTGCTGTGAGTAATGTCACAGGTTTGTACAGCCATAAAATAAAGTCCAATAGCAAAAAGAGAGCAGGAAAAATCATGATGTTGTGGGAAGATGCAGTAAAAGAGGGAAAGGCAAAACACTATCAGTATCAACACAGTTCCTTTATTGTCAGTCAGGCATTCTAAAAAATATGTGTCCATAAAAATGATTCAAAAATCAAAAATAATTGCACTGTAAATGAATGTTCTGCTGAAAAAAAAGAAACTGGAGCCACCGGTTCACCACCTGGTCCAAATCCGACGGTTCCATGGCCTTACCAATGGACTGGTTGTATTGGACCACCTGGTCAAACGAGGGAGGGAGTGGAGTAGTTCTAATTTGGAACAAGTGAGTCCCAGGCAGCGTGTGGTAGGCATAGCTGTAGCAAAGACGATAGATGAAAGATAAATGTACCCAAGTGAATGGGACAGCAATGTACATAGGCAACGCAAGGGGATGAACCTTCTCCAGCTCAAAAACTACCCACCCACGCTCTAACCAGGCAAGACGAGCGACTGATGTTTTGATAGTATATGATGGCAGATCGACGTCATGAAGATGGAACTGTTGCCCAACTTGGACTGGCCATTGGGGCTTTGCTGATATCAGCAGTGGCACATGGTGGTCCACAAATTGGCAACGGAAGCGGATAGAGAGTGATGACATCAGAAATGGTGGGGGTGCAAATAAGATGAGGAGGAGGAGGGTGGAGGTGACAAAAAAGTGGATTAGAATGGGGATCCAGAAATGACCGTCAGGTGAGAATAAAAAGGAGAGGAAGGGGCCCATGGTGGGGCTGAGTAAAGAAAAAAGTAAGGGAGAACGACAAAAGCGAGGGCGCAATGTGTAGCCAGTGGCAACGCAAACATTTGCTGAATTGCCGAAACGCGGAAAGTACCAAATGGAAAAGCAAAGGTGAGCGCAACTGAATTGCCTAATAGAGGTGGTGCCGATCAGCCACAAGTTCAAAAAAGGCAATATTAATTACTATTCCACGTGGCACTGTGCCTGTGTGGTGCAAAGGCGAATCTTTCTGAATATTCACTTCATAATTGACACCTGTCCATGCTACCAATCAACTTTGGTGCATGACAGCGGTCCAAGGTGGACAGATGCGCAGATTCAAGGGAAACTGCTACAATTGCGGCCATGAGGGACACATGTCCCAAGATTGCAGAAACAGGGTGCAGACCACCTAACAAAAAAATAACCGAGGGCGCCAGGTGCGCCAGCTAGAAACTGAAAAGTCGGACAATTGGCTCAATACTCTGGCTGGTTGTCCGTACAACAAAATTTGAGCCTTCTTCTATGACCAACAGGTCGCTGAAATGTAGGCTCAGGGAAAAGAGTTCAGAGCTTAGGTCACTTGGGTGCCTTTGCTCCTCTTAACTATGAAGTAAAAACCACAACAAGGCGGCCCCTGCTCCGAGGTGTTGCACAAGCAATAAAGGAAAAGGGGTGGCTCCCCAAATTGTAAATAAATTTCTAAGTTTACTATCTGAAGTATGTACTTGTATGAAAAATGGTGACTGTAATATTTATAACACTATTGCTGCACCAGCGTCTCCCCAGGAGTGTGGCCCCAGCAAGACAAACACTAGGGTGCCCGATTCTGGTAAAAATGTCATGTGTTGATGCACACATATTTATTCCAAAGAGAGATCTATTTAGATATTGGTGTGGAAGACCCCGGGGCATAGTACCCCCAACCAGTGCACTGCTTGATTCAGGTGCTAACAGCATCTTCATAGATCAGGTCTGGGCTGAGCAAGTCAGACTCCCCCTTGTAAATTAGATGTATCTATTCCCATCTATCATGTTGACGGTACACTTAATGTGGGTGGCTGCATTACACACAAATGTTTTTTTGTTGTCGAGTATCAAGGACACAGGGAACGAGTCACTGCCGAAGCTACCCAACTAGTCCAGATTCATTTAATCGTAGGCTGGACCTAGCTATTTAAACACAATCCTGAGATCAACTGGCAGACAGGGATTGTCACACTGTTATGTTGCCCTCAGGAGTGTGATGGCTTGGGTAAGCCGGGTCACGTCCGTCAAACTGAGCTTGACAAAAGAATAAATGTTGGTCACGTTTATGCCAAACTCAGATCTTTGGATAATATTGATGATGACAATGATGGGGTAAAACCCGAGGAAGAGATTAAGAGGCTGGTACCTCCAGAGTACCATGACTTCTGGAAAGTCTTTTCAAAACACAAATCAGAACGCTTCCCAGAGGCTAAACCTTGGGACCATGCTATAGATTTGAAGGACACGTTCAAACCTAGAAAGGGACACATTTGTCAAATCCAAGAAATGTAATTTTAAAGTAAAGGAAGTAGACTTCCTCGGTATGATAATTGGCCAGAACAGAATCAGGATGGATCCTGAAGAAGTTCAAGCTATATTGGATTGGCCTGAACCTACTTGCGTCAAAGGAGTTAGGGCCTTTCTTGGCTTAGGCAACTTCTACCAAAAGTTTGTTGAAAACTTTGTAAAGATAACGAGACCGTTGAACAATCTCACTAAAGAGGATATTGTTTGGCACTGGGGTGCCAAAGAACAAGAAGCTTTTGATAAGCTTAAACAAACATTTACAACAGAGCCTATATGAGCATTTCCACAATTAGACAAAGAGTTCCGGCTAGAAACAAACTCTTCTGATTTTGCTACTGTGGCTGTTTTGTCAATTAAATGCCCTGACGATCTTTGGAGGCCTTGTGCCTATTTATCACATAGTTTGTTGCCTACAGAGCGCAACTATCAAATTTATGACAAGGAGATGCTAGCCATCATTAGAGCACTAGAGCACTGGCAGCATTACGTAGAAGGTGCTAGGCACCAGTTTGAAGTCTGGAGTATTTTATGACAACCTGAGACTTGAACTGAAGACAGGCCCACTATGCGGTATACCTGTCAAGGTTTAATTATGAATTCATTGATAAGCCTAGCACTTCTATGGGAAAAGCAGATGCTTTATCCAGAAGAGAGGATCATGCCAACGGCATCAAAGATGACAAAACAAAGGTGTCACCCTGATAGATCAATCCAGTGTTGCCAATGTTCAAATTGAGCAGGACTCCAATCTTCTAGAAGTCTTCAAGAAGGACATCTAATCAGAAGAGAAGGTGTGCCTTAATGGCAATGAACATTATTTATGGGAAGACGGGCTCTTCCATTACAAAGACAAAATCAATGTGCCTGAATCTGCAAGGATCAAGGCAATAGATAGACATCATGACATTCTACTGGCTGGGCACCCTGGATGGCAACGAACGATGGAGTTGATCTCCAGATACTACATGTGGCCTGGCATGGTCAGAGATGTACAGGAATACATAAAATCCTGTCTGAGGTGTGCCATGGCAAAGGACTCACATCAACCACCAGCTGGTAAACTTATGCCAAATCCAATACCAACTGGGCCCTGGCAAGATATATCAGTTGATTTCACAACGGATCTACCCAAGTCAAATGGGTATGATTCAGTAATGGTGGTAGTAGATCGTTTCTCAAAGGAAGTGGTATTTATTCCCACAAATAAAACTATTACAGCCGCAGGTACAGCAGACTTATTTAAAGATTTTGTATGGTCTATCCACGGGTTATCAGAAACAGTTATCTCCAGTAGGGGGCCTCAAATTGCTAGCAAATTTACAAAAAAACTATGCTGGATGCTGGGCATCAAACCTAAACTATAAACAGTGTTCCATCCGCAAACAGATGGACAAATGGAGAGGCTCAATCAGGAATTGAAGCAATACCTCCGTATATTTATCAACAACAGACAGACAGATTGGGCCAAGTGGCTAAAGATAGCCCAGTTCTCATATAATATCAAACAGTCATCGGCTACAGGGAAAGCACCATTTTAGGTTACAAGGTTGTACCTCCCCAGAATGGGTGTAGAACCTGGCCAAAGGAAGAACAAGGCTGCTGGGAGCATGGTCAAGGACATAAATGTTCTTCTTCAATAATACGTGCCCTTAACTCCGGGTCTTTGGGTACGTAGATGTTGTTTTTGAATGACCCTAGCGTCAATTCATCTTCTTCCTTGTTCCCTATCCAGATGATTCCGTTGTGTTTCTTCCAAACCTTTGGATCATCTTTTAACTTCTTCACAATATAATCATCCAACTTATGCTGCGAAGCTAGCAGCTCATCTAGATAGTGTTCTTCTAACACGTCATCCATGGTGTAGATATTTGCTTCTGCAAGCTGAGGTAGAAGGACCTGTCCTTCATTATCTCTCTCGCCTCTCGGATGGTCTATTCTTTGACTAAGTAGGTCCGCTTTCGTGTTTGCTGAGCCTTTTACATGTTCTAATCTGAAATCGTATCTGGCCAGCGTGTCCATCACCTAGCCTGTCATCTGTTTACTTTCTGGGGGTCTCAGAAGTAGGTGAGGTTCTGATGGTCTGTGAAGATGGTGAAGTGGTTTTTAGCTCCCATAAGGAGGTGTTGCCATTCTTCTAACACATGCATTACTGCTAACATTTCTTTATCCCAGATGGCGTAATTTCTCTCTGCAGGGTTCATTGATTTTGACAGGAATGCAACTGGTCTCCACTTTCCCTCTTGCTGTTGGGATAGTACTGCTCCTGTGGCATAGTTGAAAGTGTTACATTCTACCTTGAATGGATCTTTGTCATTAGGGATTGCAAGTGTCGGCGAGGTTGTGATTGTTTTCTTGAGAATGTCAAATGCTTGTTGCTGGTCATCAGCCCATTTCCAATCTACTTCGTGGGTGAGGATTGTCAGGGGTTTTGCAATCTTTCCATAGTCTCGGATAAATCCTCTGTAAAAGTTTGAGAATCCTAAGAACAATTGTAACTCCTTTTTGGTGCGTGGTACCGGCCATTCTGCAACTGCTTGTACTTTTAGAGGGTCCATACAAATCGTGTCATGAGAGATGATCATTCCTAGATGTTCGACCTCTTTCTTCTCAAACTCGCATTTCTCTGGTTTGAGATATAGCTGATTGTCTGCAAGGATTTGAAGAACTTTGGATATGATCTCCTATGTTCTTCCAAAGAATCGGTGAATATCACGATATCGTCAAGGTATACAATGTCAGATCCTTCGTTGATCAGGTCTTGGAGAAGTTGATCCATCATTGTTTGAAATGTGGCTGGGGAGTTTGTGAGTCCAAAGAACATAACTAGGGGTTCAAACAATCCTCTGTTAGCTCTGAAGGCAGCTTTATGCTTGTCTCCTTCTTTGATTCAAACATTATTGTATCCCCAACGGACATCTAACTTGGTGAAGAATCTAGTGCCTTTGAGTCGATTTATTAATTCAGAAATGAGAGGTAGTGTATGTCGGTTTTTGATCGTGAGGGCATTGAGTTTCCAATAATCTTGTACAGGTCTAAGGGATTCATCCTTTTTCTTGATCAAGAAGAACGGGGAGGCGTAAGGGGATTTTGATACTCTAATCCTTCCTGTCTCCAGGTTTTCTTTTTAGAACTCATCAAGATGGACTTGTTCATCGCAATTGAGTGGATACATTTTACAGTCTAGACCTTTGGCTTCCAGTAGAAGTTCAATTGCATGATCCCAAACTCATCGTGGGGGTAGTTTGTTGAATGATGCTTTTGTGAATACTGGTTCAAAGTGGTGTCATGCACCAAAGTTGATTGGTAGCATGGACAGGTGTCAATAACGAAGCAAATATTCAAAAAGACTCGCCTTTGCGCCACACAGGCACAGTGCCACGTGGAATAGTAATTAATATTGCCTTTTTTGAACTTGTGGCTGATCAGCACCACCTCTATTAGGCAATCCAGTCACGCTCACCTTTGCTTTTCCATTCGGTACTTTCTGCATTTCGGCATTTCGGCAAATTTTCGCGTCGCCACTGGCTACACATTGCATTGCGCCCTCACTTTTGTCGTTTCCCTTACTCCCCTTCCTTTGCCTAGCCCCACCATGGGCCCCTTCCTCTCCTTTTTATTCTCACCTGACGGTCGTTTCTGGATCCCCATTCTAATCCACTTTTTTGTCACCTCCACCCTCCTCCTCCTCATCTTATTTGCACCCCCGCCATTTCTGATGTCACCACTTCCTATCCGCTTCCGTTGCCGATCCGTCGACTACCACGTGCCACTGCTGATATCAGCAAAGCCCCGGCGGCTGGTTCAAATAGGGCAACAGGTCCATCTTCATGACGTCGATCTGCCATCATATACTATCAAAACATCGGTCGCTCGTCTTGCCTGGTTGGAGCGTGGGTGGGTAGTTTTTGAGCTGGAGAAGGTTCATCCCCTTGCGTCGCCCATGTTCATTGCTGTCCCATTCACTTGGGTACACTTATCTTTTGTCCATCGTCTTCGCTACAGCTACACCTACCACACGCTGCCTGGGACTCACTTGTTCCAAATTGGAACTACTCCTCTCCCTCCCTTGTTTGATCAGGTGGTCCAACACAACCAGTCCATTGGTAAGGCCATGGAACTGTCGGATTTGGACTAGGTGGTGGACCGGTGGCTCCAGTTTCTTTTTTTTCAGCAGAACATTCATTTACAGTGCAATTATTTGTGATTTTTGAATCATTTTTATGGACACATATTTTTTAGAATGCCTGACTGACAATAAAGGAACTGTGTTGATACTGATAGTGTTTTGCCTTGCCTTTTTTTTTACTGCATCTTCCCATGACATCATGATTTTCCTGCTCTCTTTTTGCTATTGGACTTTACTTTATGGCTATACAAACCTGTGACATTACTCACAGCATTCATTGTTCTATCCCTTTCTTTTCCTTTTTTGACAATCTTATCCTGTACTACTTACGCAGGATTTGTCAGCGTACATTCCTTCCTTCATGTTCATTCTCGTTCTTTTTGCATAGCTATACTGTGCATAGCCTACTTTTCTTTTACTATATAAACCCCTGTATTTTACCTTGTAAAAAAAACAAGAACTCGAATCCAGACTTCTTCTCTAATCTCAAGTTCACTACTCTCTGCTACTTGTGATCCAGTGTGGTCACAACACTTCCCACTGCTACCACTGTTAATTGCTGTCATCGTCACTTCCCACTTTTGAAGTCATTATTATCCCTTTCAATTAGAGTCCTTCTGAGCACTACAGTTTGTGTGTCAGGAGCCTGCTATCACTGGGAACCTCATTATCTTGTCATTCTCAAACCTACCTTGTGCTACGATTAGCAAGGTAGTGCTCATCTATACTCGTCACTAAGCCCCTATCTTCTATAAATTCAACTATCCCTCCTCCTCAAAACCCACACCCATACACCTCTGGGTTTTACTTTGAAGGATCTTTATATGTACCACCCCACGAACAACCAGACCACTCCACTGTTCTAGGAGGCAAAGCCCATAAACAAGTTCCGTGGAATCTGGGAGGATTGTGTGTTAGTTTGTTTTTGTGTGTGGTTTTCTAACAGCAGTTCTCATCATCGACATCGCTGATTTTGGATAGGAGATAGATGAGCTTCGTTCTTTCGTCGGGAAAGTAGGATGTATAGGCAGTCAAGTACAGCTGAAGTGCTTGGCGCCATGCTATGAATTGTTCCTTTTCTCCTTTGAATTTGAATGGCTCTGCTGCAAGAGTTACCTTGCCATGTAACTGCGTGGGATTAGACATGGACGAGGGTTTTGGAGGAATAGAAGGTGGAGGTGGGCGTGTAGGTGGTAGCGGTTGTGTTTGTCTAGGGGGAGTTTCTGGTTCTATAGACGGCTTGGGGTTTCGGTACTCAGAAAACACTTTGGAAGATAAAAATGGGGTTTATTTAATCAGAATTATAATCAAACTCGTCGCTCCAATCTGTAGAAGTGAGACAAAAGATATTCTCTTCTTCGTCTAGATCTCTTTCTACTTGCAAACTGGTGGTGGAGTTGCTGTCCAAGTTTGAGACTGATGCGTCTGGAGAGGGAGATCTTTCGATGAGAACATTTCCTTCAATCAAAGATGAAACAGAAGGAATATAAGAAAAGTTTCCTCTTGTCAGATGATACTCTGGTCTGTATTGCGAGTAGAATCTGTTATTGTCTTGAATAAGTACTCCCCAGAATTCGGTGTTGATTTCTGTGACGATAAAACAATCTGTGGGGTGGCGGATGACTAGGTTGAATACTTCCTTTTCATAGTTCTGGTATTCCCTGAACAGTCTACAGACGTTCCTGATCTGTCTTTGTTCACATTCCCAGTTTCTTCCTTCAAGGATTCCGTGTCTGATTCTAAACACTAGTCTGCAAAATTGCAAAATGCAGGCGACTATTCTTTGTATCGCGTCACAACAGAAAGGGGTAACAACTAGTACGTGGACTCCTGTTTTGAGATAGTTCTGTTTGGGTGTGATAGGAAGGTCAAAAAAGAAGGGTATTTCCCTGTAGAACTTGATAAGGTTGGTCTCATAGATTCTAATCCTGGTAAAGAGTCTTTTGAGAGGAACGGGATCAAAAGATGCTGGGTTCAAGCAAGATGGTGGGCTGTGAACAGATTGTAGAGTGAGCTTTCTATTTTGCGAGGCAACAATAAACCACAACAAAAATAATACCTGTCTTCTTCTGCACTTGCAGGGAGTAAGAGGTACAGTAAGTCTTTGTGATCAACAGATGCTAGTGAATATAGCAGGTAGAGGATATTGTAAGGACCATTTATTATTTTCTTATCTTCTCTATGTCTTGGTTCACGAACACTTTTCCCATTACACCTCTGGCTTTAGGGCTGGAGGTATCATTTGCTATTTTACTTCTCATAGCCCTTACAGGCTTTCTTAACCATCACCACCACTTTATATCACAGATCAGAGACTGGGTATCACTCCCAGCTAGCCAGCACAATGGGTAGGGGCTGGTAGTAGGCATCTCGCCAACCAGCTCCAAGCCCCATCAGTGCCTGGATATACTAATAGACACTTTAGTCAGGATTGTACCTCATCATGAGGATATGGTTCCTGAATATGTGTGACAATACTTATTATTAGTACAATTTCTCATTTGCTGATTAATTGTCAAAGTTGTATGATAGTTATCCTTTTTCTTATTGGTTGATTTTCCCCTCAGACCACTTTCCTTTTATTCCTCTTTCGGTCTAAGGGATAGATGGTTAGCTATATAAAGCCTTACCTATTCATGTATAGTTCCTTAGCTTTCTATTACTTGAATTATCCGCTTTACTCCTCACCAGAAACCTCTGAGTTTACTCCCAAGTCCTCTACCTGCTATATTTACTAGCATCTGTCGACCTCAAGCTCACTATACCTTTTACTCCCTGCAGGTGCGGTTGGAGATGGGTATTGTTTTTTTTATAGTTTATTGTTGCCTCACAGATATAAGAGTAGACTCAGAGGTTTCTGATGAGGAGTAAAGCGGATAATTCAAGTTGATTTGGCAATTTTAGCTTGCAGAAAGAAGGATTTGGATATTGCAGATTATTACAGGCAGAGCGTGTACATAAAGGAGAAAGCTAACAAAAGGGACAAGATGCTACAAAAGGTAGAAGATGTACAGGAATTTTAGGAGAGCAACAAAAGAGAGAATGATTAGCAGGAATGATACTCCTTGAGGAGCATCAGCAATATTTTGCAAGGAAGGCACCCAAGACGTTGTGAACCAGAGTTGGTAATCCTGGGAATAGAGGAGGGGGGAGGGGGTGCAAGGATGGATATGCTGTTACGATCAAGGCTTCAACATGATTGTGGGTATTTGCCACAATTGATCCCTATCTCCTATCATTTCCAGGGATTATAGATAGAAGATCCTTCCCTACAACTGAGGATTGTTGTCAGGGTCAAAGATGTAGTTGCTCAGATGAGAGGGCTGAGCACTCCCTTCATGATGGTAGCAATATAGAGTAGATACAACTTGTCCTATCCTATTATCATACAGGGGTTTATATACTAAATAGGTAGTGAATCTAGGCTCCTCTCCATAGAAGTTCCTGGCTTATGAATTAATTTATAATTAAACCTAGACAAGTACACCACATAGTGGGCCTGTCTTCGGTTCAAGTCTCGGGTCGTCATAAAATACTCCAGACTTCAAACTGGTCTCTAGCACCTTCTAAGTAATGCTACCAGTGCTCTAGTGCTCTAATGATGGCTAGCATCTCCTTATCATAAATTTGATAGTTGCGCTCTGTAGGCAACAAACTATGTGATAAATAAGCACAAGGCCTCCAAAGATCGTCAGGGCATTTGATTGACAAAACAGCCACAGTAGCAAAATCAGAAGAGTCGGTTTCTAGCCGGAACTCTTTGTCTAATTCTGGAAATGCTCATATGGGCGCTGTTGTAAATGCCTGTTTAAGCTTATCAAAAGCTTCTTGTTCCTTGGCGCCCCAATGCCAAACCATGTTCTTTTCAGTGAGATTGTTCAACGGTCTCGTGATTTTTGCAAAGTTTTCAATAAACCTTCGGTAGAAATTACCTAAGCCAAGGAAGGCCCTAACTCCTTTGATGCGAGTAGGTTCTGGCTAATCCAATATAGCTTGGACTTTCTCAGGATCCATCCCGATTCCGTTCTGGGCTATGATCATACCAAGGAAGTCTACTTCCTTCACTTTAAAATTACATTTTTCAGGTTTGACAAATAGGTCCCGTTCCTGCAAGCGTCAAAGGACTTCTTGCACAATCCTGTCATGCTTAGCCTCATTGTCCAACTTTGTAATTTTTTACAAATTGTCAATGTAAATGATGACACAGTTTTCCATATCCGCAAAGATCTCATTCATCATGCTCTGGAAGTTTGCCGGTGAATTGGTCAACCCAAAGAACATAACGAGGGGCTTGAAGGATCCTCGGCGGCACGTAAACGCGGCCTTCCAAGCATTTTTTTCTTTGATACGTACATTATTGTACCCCCATCTAAGATCCATCTTTGTTAAGACCTTGGCGCCAGCCAGTTTGTCTACTAGCTGACTGATCAAAGGCAGCGGATATGCATTTTTAATCGTGTACTCATTCAAGTAACAATAGTCCATAATCATACGCTTCTTACCATCCTTTTTAGGAATGAAGAACACCAGGGACGTCACAGGGCTTTTGGAAGGTCTGATGTAACCCTTAGTAAGCTGTTCATCTATTCAACTAGAAACCTCATCTCTGTCTGGAGCAGAGAGAAGAATCATGTGTCCCTTTCTAGGTTTGAACGTGTCCTTCAAATCTATAGCATGGTCCCAAGGCTTAGCCTCTGGGAAGCACTCTGATTTATGTTTTGAAAAGGCTTTCCAGAAGTCATGGTACTCGGGAGGTACCAGCCTCTTAATCTCTTCCTCGGGTTTTACCTCGTCATCGTCATCGTCAATCTTATCTAAAAATCTAAGCTTGGCATAAACGTGACCAGCGTTTATCCTTTCATCAAGCTCAGTTTGACGGACATGACTCGGCTTACCCAAGCCATCACACTCCTGAGGACAATGTGACAATGTGACAACCCCTGTCTGCCAGTCAATCTCAGGATTGTGTTTAAATAGCCAGGTCCAGCCTAAGATTAAATTAATCTTCCCTAGTTGGGTAGCTTCAGCAGTGACTCATTCTCTGTGTCCTTGGTACTCGACAACAAAGGAACATTTGTGCATGATACAGCCACCCACATTAAGCGTACCATCAACGTTATAGACGGGAATAGATACATCTAATTTTACAAGGGGGAGTCCAATTTGCTCCACCCAGACCTGATCTATGAAGATTCTGTTAGCGCCTGAATCAAGCAGTGCGTTGGTTGGGTGTACTATGCCCCGGGCAAGGTTTTCCACACCAACGTCTAAACGGATCTCCTTTTGGAATAAATATGTGCGCATCAACACACACCTTGGGATTTCTGTGGGAAGTGGCTCCAAAGAAGAAGAATTATCAAAAGAAACATGTTTTTCTACTTTAGGATTTTCTATATTTTTATTTTTATTTTTACCAGAATCAAGCACCCTAGTGTTTGTCTCGCCAGGGCCACACTCCAAAGGAGATGCTGGTACAGTGGTGGTATTATAAGTATTTTCAGTGTTAACTCCTTCATCATCTTGTCCCACTGAATCAGCGCTCAAAGCAGCTATATCATCAGGAGGGTCCAAGACAAATCCACAGTCACAGCATCGCATAAAAGTACATACTTCAGATAATAAATTCAAAAATCTATTTACAAATTGGGGAGCCACCCCCTTCCTTCCGTTATTGCTCGTGCAACACCCCGGAGCAGGGGCCACCTTGTTGTGGTTTACTTTATTGTTACGGGGAGCAAAGGCACCCAAGTGACCTACGCTCCGAATTCTTTTCCCTGAGCCTTCATCTCAGCGACCTGCTGGTTGTAAAAGAAGGCCTGGATCTCGTCGTAAGAACGACCAGCCAGAGTATTGAGCTGATTGTCCGGCTTCTCGGGGCGCGCCTGGCGCCCTTGGTTATTTTTTTGTTGGGCAGCCTGCACCCTATTTCTGCAATCTCGGGACATATATCCTTCTTGGCTGCAATTGTAGCAGTTCCCTTTGAATCTGCGCATCTGTCCGCCTTGGACCGCACCGATATCCATAGGGGCTCCCTGCCCTGGTTGCAGCCTGAACGGCTTGAACCCGTGAGAATGATTTTTGTTTTGGTTTGATGACCCAGGGCTCCTCTGGGAAAAGTTATTTTTGGTGGTGGTCCTGCCACCTTGGTGCATAGTGTAGAGCTCCATGGCCCTACCAACTTGTCGTACTTCCTCAGCCGCTAGGGCCAAGTTCTCGTTTTGTGTATCCTGCAGGTAGATCTGTTCTGCAATGCGGGGGTTCACATTGCATTCCAGCAGTTCTACTGCATATTCATTACCAAGCCCTCCTTGGATGGAAAGGGCTAGGAACCGGGTAACATAATTGTCCATCCTCATATTTCCTTGTTTGAAGGAACAGATTTGCTGACATGCCCAGTCACGCTCAGCCTGTGGTTTGAAGTATTTTTTGATCTCCACTTTGAGATCATCCCAGGCAGGCCACACACCCGCGGTGTAGCACTCCTGTAATCTAACTTGGGCGTATTGACCCGCCACAGGTCCCTTTAGTTGAGATAGCACCGCAGTTGCTACCTCAAAGTCATCAGCAAACGCATCCCAGTTTGCCTTGACCCAAATTTGGAGCTTGATCCACCATTTGGCGAATTGTGCCCTGTCTCCTTCGAAGGTGCCGGGGTCAGCAACGACTTCAACTTTCTTATTAAACTTTTTCTCGGCCGCGGGGGCTGCCGCAGGGGGGTTTTCCTGAAGCTTGGCGAGTTGCATTGTCAACGCCAAAATCTGTGCACGCATGTTGTGCAACAGAGTGTTGACATCGGGTTGGTTTTGCGATGACATGTTGATTTGTTCTCTGGGTAAAGTAAAAAAAAATGTAACTGAGGGTCCCTGCTTGCTATCTGCGGATCTACCTCTTTCCAGCTGAGTATCGGATCTCAATCTCCGACTACCCACACTATAGTATTTGAAAATGTATATAAAAGGTATTCATAATAAACCCTGGTGTGAATGGTTGTCAGGGGGTGGTCCGGTTGTTAAGCTGTCAACCCTTCTCCAACTGGTGGAGGCAAGTGCCCGGCCTGGTCAGAGGTATTCGAAGAAGAAGTTTTGTATATAATTTCTAATCAACAGTGGTTCCACACCAGCTGCTGGGCTAAGTACTCCCCTTAACAATGGGGGCCGTGTATCAAGTAATTGTCTCTTCTCCCAGAGCACTACAGGGCCGTCGCTAGGAGCGCACCCTTTACGGGATATTCCCAAACAATAACCCCTTAACCTGTAAGGACCATTTTATTATTTTTTTATCTTCTCTATGTCTTGGTTCTCGAACGCTTTTCCAATTACACCTCTGGCTCTAGGGCTAGAGGTATCATTTGCCATCTTACTTCTCATAGCCCTCACAGGCTTTCTTAACCACTGTTACCACTTTATATCACAGATCAGAGACTGGGTATCACTCCCAGCCAGCCAGCACAATGGGTAGGGACTGGTAGTAGGCATCTTGCCAACCAGCTCCAAGCCCCATCAGTGCCTGGAGATATTAATAGACACTTTAGTCAGGATCATACCTCATCATGAGGATGCGGTTCCTGAACATGTGTGACAATACTTATTATTAGTACATTCTCAAACCTACTGATTAATCCCTGAAATAGTATGATAGTTATTCTTTTTCTTATTGGATAATTTCATCCTCAGACCACTTTTCTTCTATTCTACTTCCGGTCTGAGAGATAGACAATTAGCTATAAAAACCCTACATATTCATGTATTGTTCTTTAGCTTTCTATTACTTGAATTATCTGCTTTACTCCTCACCAGAAACCCTTGAGTTTACTCCCAAGTCCTCTACTTGCTATATTTTCTAGCATCTGTCAACCTCAAGCTCATTGTACCTCTTACTTGCTGCAAGTGCAGTCGGAGACGGGTATTGTTTTTGTTATAGTTTAATGTTGCCTCACAAACAAGAGGACTCGCTGAGGAGTTTCCTTGATCTATTAGGGTATTTATACTAATACAGACTATTTGTACATGTGTACTATACAGTTGATGAAGGCAGTGGCTGATGATGTCATAGGGCACAGCCTGTTTGACCAGCTCCACTGCGTGAGAGACTTGTAGCTAAGAATAAAGAAAAGGCAGTGTAGCGTGAGAAAGAGGAGTTTGAACAAAATGGAAAGTGCCGCATAGCACAGTGTGTAAAAACTATGAAAGAAAATTAAAGTGGAGAATGAAATTTAAAGGTCCAAAAATTGTATATCATAACATGTGTATCTGTTGAGCGTGATCCTGAAGTTATTGGGATGCAAGGGCTTGATGTTGTTCGAGTCCTGCGTTTTTCTCATTTACATTTAATGGAGTACACTATCCATGTGCTCTTATTCATTGGTTCTTGCACATAAATGATCACCCAGATGACTTGACCGGTATGTGGATGGTTTGGCCAGGCACCAACAAGAACAACTCACTGTTACACACGAAGTGCTTAACAAAGTCTGAGGGTTCATCGAGGTTTGTAAAGAGACTTATCCGAAGACAAGTTCGAGAACATAGTTCTGAGTGGAGGTTTTCCAATGGAAGTTGGTCTTCTTCTGAGTAGAAGTCTGATCTTAGGAGTCTAGCTTTGTAAGCGTAAACTGCGTAGAATCGTATTAGAGAATACTACTGCTATTACATGGTATTTATAATGGAGAGGAATCGGTGATAGGAGTTAGGTCCTATCTAGGGCAGGTCCGTCCGTTGAGGACTAAGTACTATAATAGGTACTGCAAATGCGAGAGGAACGGAAGTGTACGTGAAGGAAATGAGTCATCGGTCCGATGGTATAACCGATGAGTAAAAAGAAATGAGCAGTCCTTAAATGTCCAATAGAGATTGTAACACTCACCAGCAATTGAAGTGATACATGTTGACTGTGCGTTGCGAGGAGCTCATTACATTCCAGTATATGGTGGATATTTCTTGCCAAAAGATGTATTATTCCCAAATTCTCTTGATGCTTTTGATTCCTATTATGTTAATAGATACATTCATCACCACTCTTTCAAGCTTAGTACTTGAGACTTCATAGCTTCATTTTACAGTTCAACTTTCTTCAAGTTCTTGGTTTTATCTTTATATCATGATAGCTGCTTGCTATCTTTGTAGAAATTATATTATGTAAGCAAACTTCGGGGCTTCGCCTGAAGATTTACTCTGTGATTACAACCGGCCTTTTGTGGCTATCATTGTCTTTCACATGATATTTACATATGTTTGTTATATAAGAAGCATGTATTTACATTATTACGGCATTCGTTTGCCAAAGGAATCCTTCTCCCGTGCCTGTTCCCGCACCCTGAGGGACCAAATATCCAGCAATCTTGTCTTAATTGTACTTTAACATTTTCACCAATGCTTGTGAAGCTTGTCCACTCTTCAAAGGACTTTGACTTTCTGCTGCCGCTTGAGCTAGACTTGGGGCTGAAAATCCTGACTTTACCTCAGCTTATTCTCCTTATGCTTCTTAATTCACCTTGGTGAGATCATTAAGGCAGCTAATTCAATCCAAGAAACTCTGAGGTTTACTGATGCATGTTTCCAGTGATCATTTCAGCCAAATTAAGGTTAAATATAAGATTGAATTTGGTTAAGTGCTATCGTAGTTACTGTACTTAGTTTACTTCACTTGTAAAAAGATTCTAAGGCAAACCCAGAGTGTATAATATCTTGTATATAGCCTTAACATTCCAAAACAACCTTGCGCTAACTCAAGTTGTGATATCTGCCAGTCTTTCGCTGCTTTCCTCTACAGGTGGTGACAACAACTCTCCTCTAGCCACACACCAATCATTCCCCGAAGATAGAATAGACAGAGGTAATGCATCAGAATGCATATGTGCATCACTTTCACGAAGATTAAATAAGATGCGAGATGCCAATATGCTTTGCAGGACAACCTGCAAACTGCCAGGAAAATGAGATAACCAATAATTATGTTCTGAACATGAAATGAACTCACCCAGCAAGAGATTCGGAATATTGGATCTAAGCCAGGCAAGTTAAAAGCCTTGCTAACATTTGTCTCTGATGGGACTCACAGCAACAGAGAGATTGACAATCAAATTAACTAGGGTGAGCACTGTAGATTATCAACCTTGAATGTTGAGACAACATGATAAGGGACAATGAACGCACAGATGACAGAGCTGATATACAATAAGCCGTCCTGATATAGTGTATTAATCACATCAGCCCTAGCAAAACGATAGGTTTTATATCTCTGAAAAACAGTCAAACATAACAAGACTAATGTGAAGTGTAAGCCCGAAACTAGTTTAATACAATGCAAAACCCACCTATCTCAAAAACTATCAAAAACACATAATCAAGCGCAATTGACCTACCATTGATAAATGAGCATGATCCTGAGTTTGCTTAGCAATACTCGGAATCAGTTATTGAAGCTGATAAAAGACCAATTATAACCTACAGTAAGCCATGTTCACTTCAGATGATATTACAGATCCGACTGCAATCATAAGCTAGGAAACCTACTGTTCAGCAATCTCAATGTGAATTATGTTTCAAAAATGCATACAATACCAAACAATACCACCACTATCAGGAATTTCTTACTCCCTTTCCAAAATGCATAAGTTCGCATAACAAGAAGCCCTGTGTTATAAGAGTTAGACCGAGTGTGAAAGAATAGAAAATGATAACCTTCTGTGGATAAAATGATGATTATATAGATGGCTTGATTGTCGATGTCAATATATCGTACAGCTTCAAGGTCAAAGTATACATACCAGTCAAAAAATCTTGAAATGTTTGGCACTACACAGTGGTATTCTTAATATCCCATGTACGAAATATAAACATAAAATGATACTAACTCCACCCGACCCAGTTTGTAGAGCACCTTTATATTCAATAGAAAAATAAGAGCAGAATTAGAGACCAGAAACGTCACTCACTATACGTGATCAAGACCACACATACAAATGTCAAATAACGTGATATCGCAAACATAATGCGAGTCAAATCCCACTTCTTGCCCCAAACCCAGAAGACCTGTGGCTTTCCGACTCTGAATGAGTAACAGGAAAGGAAAATCGCAAAATTACCTCGGTTTGAAGTGTGATACAATAATCAAATACCTAAGTATGCGCTAAGTCAGTTATAAGCATACACATACGATGTACTCTTTTACCCAAAGCGCCAGTGCCGAGACTGTTAGAGAAAATGATATGATAACAAAGTTCCTTGCAGATGAGCAGAATACTCACCAGTGAAATACTGCAAAATATGGCATGTAAGTCAAATATATAACTGACGAGAAGGTAGTGCAAACCTGAGACGTCTGTAAACCAGAACGAAAGGAGGCAGATAATAACGACATCTTAACTCTGTGGGGTTCCTCCATGTTTGCAGCTGTCCTTAAATGTAGCGCAGAATGATGAAGGTATGATGGGCTGGGTCATTGTGGGTGCGAAACTAGTCGATGATAAATGTTGCTTGCAGCAAAGGATTATATATATAACTTGTAGACCGAGCGCCGATCACGGTGAGGAGTATCCATACTATTACCATCGTAAAATCGGTGTTCCCCGATGATATAACAGAGCAGCAGGCTCAAGCATGGACGAATATGTAGGGCTAGACTGCCAGTCGTGCAGCGCTCATAGAGACTAGCAATACACACCGTATAATGTTTCCCTACTTTAAGTGTATGACGTCAAATTTTGCTTATGTTTGAGGAAACTTGGTACTTACTTATTGCACGACTGACAATGCCACTGTGACACTATCAGCAAACACCCAGGACCTCATAACGCATTCGCAGTACTATGTTCAATAAAAACTGCCACGCCCAAAATACCCATTTTAGTTATCTAACATCCACTATGTCTTTATGTCTGGGCAACGATCCGTACAGATGCCAACGCCTGGATATAGAGGGCTATCCTGTATATTATATGCTGATCATTAGGCTCTTTCTGCCAGGCCCTTTGTGGATCGTCATTCCATCGCGACCTTCCCAGCTGATACGTCCATCCTCATTGCTTTTCTTACTTATAAGACAATGGATATTAAACATCTTCAAGATTCCTTAACCTGAGCTGTAGTAGCTGGCGCACAAAGGTTCCGAGTCTTCGTGGGATTACAGTAGGTATATATCTCTTCTTGCCCATCCATATACCACTGGGTGATGCCTTGGATGATGCTTCCACGCTCGGACCCCTGTCTGGAGACTGTGCAACATCTGAGCTGATGAATGAGCGTAATAATAGCATAGATGGTAGTAAAAGCTACAAATGATTATGAGAAACCAGTTCCACAAAGTCCTCGGAGATTTCTTGTTGACTCGGACAGACCTGTGCGATTATTCATGTCAATGTAGAATAACGAATGATAGCAACTCACGTAGATATCCCCACTAGTGAAAACACTAGTGAAAATACTGCAGTCTCGCATCATACCCGCGCCCGCCCATACCAGTGACAGGCCCGATGGGCGTATCACGAGAAGCTCGCACCAGACGAACTGGTCCTACAAGAGTCCAGCTGATTGCCGCATTGGCATCACCTTTTTATGACATTATGATGCGAACTCGGATGGCACTGCAAAAAGAATTCTTCGCAGAGTCTTTCATAGGCCTACCCACCCATGGACAAGTTCAGATACCCACGTTAGTTCTAACTGAAGCCATTCCTGAAGTATATAGCAAGTTAATGGCTAAATGAATCAGATCAATACGGAATAGCAAGCGATATCAATTCACGCAGTCCACTGGAACAAATGCCATCCCGGACCGTTGTCCACGTCGGAGGGATGGGGGCCCGGATTAGCACCGAGCACAAGGTCTCTGTACCATACGTGACCCATTACGATACTGAGACTCCGTTCAGGATGCACGATGCACCAATAAGTATCCGTGAGGGGATGTATCGAGCATACTTGACCTAATCATAGAGGCGACCCAGAGTTTGGACAACAGTGTCCGCGTAGTCCGCGTGGGTATTCATAGACTTGTTCACGTTCGAAGTCCAGATAATCCGAATTCCAGCCCTATTATAGTAGCACATAGCAACCTGATGGCTTTAGGAGATTGTAATAGAAAACTTGAAGCTTCTGCACATCCATATCTAGAATCGATAAGGCAGATAGGCTGTGATTAGGCTTATTGGAGTAAAAAGGACAGCTTACTAGTGATCTGTATAGTGAGCCACAGAACCAAACGGGCTTCCTAATAAGGCGACTCGAGTGCTTTCCCTCCATCATGCATCATGGTCTTCAATCAAACTTGTTGTTGAATGATGCGGCATGTTCATGAATTCTTTGATGGAAGTGAAAGCTACAGCATGCGGGCCATAATCGAAGACAAGTGAGATTAGGAAGCTGTCCAAGTTATACTGGAGTAAAATATTGCGTTTTTCCGTCGAAATTTTGCCAGCGATGACGATTCATACCTGTGAACTGCATCGTATCAATGAAGGCGGGCGGAGAGAACTAGATGCATGGAGAGAATGGTAACTCACCCGTACTACGACAAAAAAAGTCTAGTAAGGAGGCTGTTCAAGTAGTGCTGAACTGATGAACTCTCACCAGTTTAGCACAACTTGGACTATGAGCACTTGGGCCGAGTCAAACTACTAAGGATATAGTGTTTATCCATGAGTGGTGTGCACCTGTGCTGGTCAATCCGTGATGAGATCGTTGGGTGTGGAGAATAAAATATGCGAACTGTAACACTACTACACCCGTGCCATCGCAGTTACGCAGGCGAAAAAGTGAAAGGCAGTGCTTGTTGCAGCTTGATGTTTTTGGAGAAGAAGGCTTGAGGGAGTTTGTAGGGCGATGCAATGCCTGATTCGGGATAACATTGACATTTAATGACTTCGCATGCACAGCTCATATATGTCATTATAGCAAACGGCATGATAACTCCGATCCTTTATCCATATATCGTTCTTTGCTCAAACCTATATAATCTATCACTGAGGAATCACAGACCACAAGAGATTTTGGAAAGCAAAAAATTCCCCTACTCACAAAAATTCGAACTATGGCTCGTGTCTCCATCCTCATCGTCACCCTCTTTTTCTTGACCTGTGGAGTCTCCGCGAAACCTATCCCCACATTCGATAGAGGTGAGTTATCGTCAAATACTGCGAGCGTGTGCTAGATTTTCTGATGTTTTTTGTTTATTTGTTATTCTCCACTGAATCTCCAGCGGTATCAGAGTCTACTCGCGAAGACGCATCATATTTGGGTCCCCAAGTGCGAGCGGTATCAGAGTATATTCGCGAAGACGCATCGTTTTTGAGTCCCCAAGTCGACGGTGTGCGAGAGGATTCGGTATGGCTAACACCACCGCCACTTGAATCGGAGCCAGCCAACTGAGCCCAGGAGGCTGATGTGACATCTAGCGACAATGCTTTGTTGATAAATGGTATGTCGGATCTTAGGTTGGAATCTCTTGGATTGTAGCCTTCCAAAGCTAGAGTCGTCTTTGATGAAACCTTACTGAGAACCTTTTTAGGATGATATGGGCTGGTTAACGAACGACGGATAAAATAACTAAACAGATGGTAGATGGATAGCAAGGATCAAGAGATGGAGAGGTCCCATCACGTGGCTGGTATGGACCGGGTTTGAACTCAAAAGTCACTGCCATGGCCATGAAACAACTGGAACACTAGTACTAGCCCAGTTGACTTCAATCACACACATCAGTGGTATCTCCACATCTCCGTTACTAATAAGTTACAGCTGATGGCTTCGCTACCGATACTACGTATTCCATGTAACAGCTTGCGGATATTTGTAGAAGGATATTTGAAATTTGACTCAAGTGGTTGAACTGGTCTGTTGAACTGGTCTGAGCTCGAGGAAACCTGAGAGACTGTTTGCAATTCAGCTTTACATCATGCAAGGATGATTACCCACTGACGAAACGGTTATAAAATAGGTGTGTATGTACGAAGGAAAGAATTTGAATTTGATATAGAAGCACTGTACAGCACCTCATCATATCGAGACGCTCGGTGAAATGCGCCATGATTTGCCTGTGCTAAAGAAGCCCGAACCACGAGAAGGAACAACTGGAACAGAGACATGGTGAGAGAGCTCATCTGTGGCAGTCAAGCACATCACGCTCAGCGTCGGAAACCCAGAGGCCGATATCGAGGCTCCAATTCTCGCTTGCGTTGAGATCTGATCACGATAAAAATCTTTCGATGCATTCGAAATGCCGTGTGGGGATGGTGCACAGCCACGGAGTGGCTGTACCGGTACCGACAAGCACTTTGACATGCAATGCTCAAGGCCCTCTCTGGATGAAAATTCAGGGGACCCAGGTGTAACTATTGGCGGTACCGTGTCAAAGACAGTAGTTGCCTGATGGTGCATGATGGGTGACACCTTACTGCCAACCTGAAGATACATTTCGAGTTCATCGTAGGAACCCGCGCGGGGAAATACTAGCATGTAGTAAATGAAATCAAGATTGCGGTAGCGATACCGTGCACTTCCGTCGAGATGATGAAGTCTAGAACGTGATACGACAACCTATGCGCACCTTAATATACACTGACGGAGATGATGGGGCGCACGCTGTGTGGCTTAACCTGTAAGCCGCCAATCAAGTCACGGCGGTGGGTGTATTCCCCTCGACCTTTCCACTGTTCATCACAGGCGCACAGGCGTAGGAAAAGGAAGCCTGGATCCGCTTTCATTCCGTAGCTGTAGACGCCACTCAGATCGAAACACCTAGGTATGATAACGGTTATGCCAAGGGTTTCACCCAAGTTAGCCAGAAACGGTGAATAAACAGACTACAGGCATATGAAACAGATATTCACCGGAAAAGGAAGGCCACCAGAGTGCAGTGGTGTATTTTGAAAGAGTCATTTCACAGTTACCACAGCTTGGATGATGAACAGGTTGACTTGAAAGTGGATCATGTAACGGAGGCTGAGTACTCATTGCAATCATGGAATGCATTGACTCGACTTTTGACCGAGATACCAACGGAACTAGCACCCCGGGAGCGCCAGCGTACAGATATATAAACCCTGATATCTGCACGGTGTCACCAGTCATCTTGATTTCTGAAATATCAATACCACCCACCAAACATACCCACCACACAATGGTTCGAGTCCTGACTTTTATTGTTGCTTCCTTCTGTGCTGCGTCTGCGGTTATGGCTTCTCCATTACCTCAGATACACACCATCTCATATGGTACGTGATATGATGTTTTAGTACACGGACAATCTGATTTTGACCCGGCCTTCGCAGAACCTACCAACACCCGATTAGACGCATTATTCCTCAGGCCTGAGCCAGGTTGGGAGAAGCGCTCCGAGGCTGCTACTTCCTCCACTTCACGCCTGGATTCGTTGTTCCTGAGACCCGAACCAGGGTGGGAGAGACGCTCTGTGGCTTATGGCGATGCATCTCCCACAAGGGAAACAACACTTCGCATTCCCCCTATGCCTACTACCGCACCTTGACGAGCCAGGGTAATCGTATTGTCCAGGTGAGCCCTAATGGCGGAGTCGTTTCATTAACGGAAAATAACCTCTTCTTGATAGGCGGGTCCTTGAGCGCCGCGCGCAGACCGTTCCCTCAACTATCAACTATACAAGAATATAGCGATATAATCAGCAATAGAACACTTAGACTGACAACCACTTACTATACTATACCATACCATACCATACCATACTGTGTAGCATATATTTATTATTGTACTTACGCATAGCAGTTTCGGCGCACTTGCGAGACAGGAGGCGATTTAACTGGTAAAGGGCAATAGTTTATACACTATATTATCATTAAATTAAATTAATCATTGAAAGATAACACTTAGCGTGATATTTGTATTCCATTGCAACCGCAGTTGAGGGGTATGTGGTCGAACAGTCTCCCTTGTCAGACCAATTACTGATATGACAGTCGATAATGGTCGAATACAAAGCCTCGAGCATTCAAGAATACCTTCGTGCTCCCAACTACTTTGAAGAAACCACAATATTGCTCCGCATGGTGCAAATTAGAATCAGATCCGAAAAACAAACATCATGATAGCGATCGAAACGAGGTTTTTTTTTCAATGAACGTACCCGAACCCAGTGCGCACTTCCACTGTACAACATCAGCTGAAGTTCTTGTTTACGCTGCACGTAGCCACAGTCAACGATGTCCGACTCAGAGTCTGGTTTAAGCCTGAGGACCTATGTGCAGTTCACCGACCCATCCATTCGGGAACAATATGCCGCGACATTGCCGTCGCGAGAAGAGAGGCGTGAGAATATGAACATCATCCCTCTGCAATGCTCAAATTTCAAGGAATGCGGTAAAACTGTGGCAAGAGTGCAGCTTAAGGTCTGCTCAAGATGCAAACAGGCGTGTAGCATTTCCATGCTAGTGTTATTCTCTTACCTTTATTATTTAATTTTCAGGCAAGGTATTGCTCACCTCAGTGTCAGAAAGCTCACTGGTAAGTTTGAGTGTGCCTCCATGATCTCATAAACAACGCTAGAACACCGACAAACAGGCGCACAGAACATAAAAAGGAGTGCGAGGTTGTGGGCTTGGCTCCAGCCAAAGACATCGCACTCAAACTTGTAGAGCGCCTTCTCGCTGCTCCCAATTTAACGAGATACTTCTATTTCCATTCCATTCTTACCCTCGATCTTATCCAAAACCGTTTAAATGCCAGTCACTACGCTGTCAAAGTAGAATGCGACACGCAGGTCGCCGATTTAGCAGCTCACTTGCGCCGGATGATGGCCGGTCAAGCAAGGGATCCCACCGCTCAAGTACTATTGTGCGTGACCGAGATATCACGCGTTCCTATGGACGAGGCTCCCGAGCGTACGCGTATCGCTGCCGCAGACGCAACAAAAAGATTTGAAGTTGCTAAGGAAGAAGATACTACGCTCGTAATTCTCTATTTCACAACCAAGGCGGGTGGCGGAACTGATGGGTCATATACTGCGCCGCTGCTCTTGCCACACGGGGCTATATCGTATATGGCTACTAACCCGAAAGAGACTCTTCGCTCAGCTATGTTTGGAGAATCTCAAATTCCCTTAAACGAGAGAAACTTGAGAGAGTGAGTCCCTTACCTGTTGGCGTAGTGACTTGAATTTTGATGTCTCATGTAGGTGTCTGAACAACGAAATTCGAATGGATAATCAAAATAAGTTGCGTCTCCGTGCGGTGAGAAAATTTATTTTCGTCGTGTTCTGGTTTGTGAAAGCTTACCCCCGTGCAGTATCCTACGGTGGAGTGATTACCATAAATGCAATCAGACTGGATAGTAGCAATATAGGTGTCGAGATTATCTGTATGCATGTCTATACCCACGAATGGAGGAATCCCCTGTTCAACGCAATGTTTCAGGTTCTCAACATCAGGCCCAATACATCCATGTGTCCGAGGGAGCAGCGACTGGCTAAAATAATTGTCATCACAGCATTTTGAATTTGCACTCGATGTCCTTTTACAAACTGTCTTCATCATTCCACGTTCGTTATTTCAGTCGTTCAAGCGCAGGAGTTTGAGTCTATTTCCATCTTTCCCTATGAGCCCGGTACAACGAGTCACAACTCGAGCAGATCGGCAAGAATAGCACTAAATGAAAGACTCTACACAGACCCTTCGTAAGCCCTTCGCTACCCGTTACCTATTACCCTGAAAACTACTTATGTGATACCCTTGAGGTTCGCAGTTGCTGACGCCGTCACTTCAAACAGTACTGCATCTACGAGCTTGGAGAGCCTAGAAATTTCCATATTTACTACATGTAAGATTGACAGCTCAGTATGCCATGAGACGAGAAGAACAAGCAGGACTATGCCCGCCGTACAGCCGCGGCGGATGCCACAAGTGCTGTAAAATCTTGCCGTGAACATAGTAGATAGCAAGAAAACAGTAGAACGTATGGCAGGTGAGGACGACCATCAACAAAAAAACTAGGCGGAACTTCCACGAACATTGTGACGAGACTGTGTCGTGCAGTCACTGTCTGTCAAAGTGTCGGATTGTCCTACCCCCCGGGCGTCTAGATACCATGAATACTTGTTAGCACACGCATGCCTAAAGCATAAGTTTCTATGATAATTATATACTTATATTTTCACGCACCAATATTTCGCGTGAAACTGACTGTAACGACATGATCGGTGAGCCACAAGTACTGCACTACGAAGCCCGAACCTGAAATCAATCATGAAAAACAAATAGAATGATCATCAGTCAGAGAGTATGCAACCTGGGAAATGTATATATGTATATATAGCACATGCAATGCCTCACATTCAAAACGGAGGTAGACACGAAAGCGGAGAGGTTGCGGAGATACGTCCTCGTTGATTGTAAAGGCAAGTTGCGAGTGGCCAAACCTACGGCAGTAGTAATGTTTCCGTGTGCACTAAGGCAGTATTGTGTAGGTGCTATCTTCTGGAGACACAAGGTTTCTCCCTGAGCTTTCTGAGCGTTACCGTTTTCTAAGATACTAGTGACATCAGTAGATTCGATGTTCCGTAAATCAAACAACACCGACTGAATAAGTTACAAAGGTGATACAACAGAATGACATCGGAATGTCTCTGGATGATAACTTACCTTTGGTAGATATAGCTCATCAAGGCCCACAGGTTCACAGGTTCACCAAGGCTGTGCTGATGTCAAGTCGTTGGGCAGGCGGGTGAAATTCTCCTGGAGCCTGATTTTTCGGGCCTGGCCTTTACCACGAAGATAGTCGACCCATACGCCTTCCCATAATGCGACGATAAACGAGGTGTCAATTCCAACGATCAATCAAAGGAAAGGGGCGCCTCTTTGCAGGTATATAATGGCCAATGTCGACACATGACCTACAAGTCATAAAAACATCACAAAATATCGTCAACCAGACAAGCACACATAATGAACAGACACTTGTTTGCGTCACTTGCCATTATTTGCGCCATCGTATCTGTATATGCTGCAGCGCTTCCGGAATCTACGATTGGTAACTCGATTATGCTCGTTTTCTTGTGTGCAGATCCTAACTGAGGAATATTATACCCTTCTTCAGCTCAACGACAAGACTTGCCCGAGTTGGAGACCCGCCTTGATGCTGTATTTCTGGCTCCTGCTACATAAGTAAGTTCATAGGTGCTTATGGAGTTATAAACGTACCCCTGAGATGAAGTTCCAGGACGGTGACGAGGGATTGGCAGAGGTGAAAGGATACTTAGTGATATTGTAATTCTGGAAAATTCAACCTCCAGTATCCCACCTTCACGCCTTTGAGCGCTGCATTGACTAAGGCTGGATAAGATATCCATTTGTCTATCATTGTTGGGAATCAGACATTCAAACGCTATTCCAATGAAAAAGATGACCCATATCGTGCCATCCTGGGCCTACCGGGCCCTACCCATGAAGACGCTTCAAAATGTATTAGTGTCCACCGAGACGGATCACAACGGAAACATATGACCCTGATGACAGCGTTAACGAAATTGGCATATTTTCATTTCATCGGCAATAGCTTGACAGAATATCTCATTCAGTATGGCTTGCGATAAGGGGAAGAACGACGGTTCAGGACATAACTTGTCCACGGAAGGAGAGGAAATAATCCTGCCTTTGAGTCCAACTGAGCAAATGATACGTTCCAAAACTAACCGACCTCACCTCATAACAGCGTGAAGATATATCGCAACAAATAAATTAGCAAGTTGCAAAAGTACAGTCACAAACAATGCAGCTACATTGAATCTTGACATTATCTCTATATTACGTTAAAAGGGGTATTCGTTGAGGTTCCCGTATCCCGTAATCATCTGGTCTGATATTGATACATGAATATACCTGTAACACCAGTCAAAAGATATCGGAATTCATTTTATGCGTTGGACATACCCCACGTCGCGTTCTGATTAGACCACACGTCAAGCTCGCAGTCGGACGACTCGGAAGCGCACGCAATTTCATAAGTATGAAGTGAGGCCCAATCGCACGAGAACTCCGGCAATTTGACCTCTTCTCCTGGGCGGGCAATCAAGGTCCCAACTTGCTTTTGACATCGAGGACGACTTGACCATGAAAGCGTTCGCGGGTTCAACGAACTCGACACGTCAAGTGCACACACGGATAGTTGGACAGGATCATCCATTACTACTGGATCAATTCGTGTTCCAATCCTGTCGAAATCGAAAGCAGGAAGCCGCAAAGTGAGAGCACATCGTTCCATACCATAATCGACTGCTCTGAATTGCATAATCGTATGAATCTGCATCGTGTAGAATTAGTATACAGCTCGGCCTTTGAACAATGAACCCGACCCTACTTCACTGGATACTTGTAAATGACGATCAGGGGGCAACAATGTACCATAATCGCTAAGCCATTGATGTTCACCTTCCGGGAAATTTTTGTGAGTCTCGATATTGCTGACTTGCGTGGCTATACGTGGAATGTTGATAATAGGGTCATGATGAGACGCATTAACATTTCCTGACCGATATAGCTCTTCGAGACCAATGTACGAGTTGCGAAATTCGAGATTTTCGAATGCAGTGTCAGATGAACTAGCTAGTAGTCGCGCAACATAGAGGAACACCAAGACGTCTAGGAGGGAGAATGCCAAGAGTGCAATAGTCACATATCGTTGCGCTTTGAGCTTCCGGAGCACCACAGCCGATGATTGTATGGCTGTTGGATAGAACCCGCTTATTACAGTTCAGCCTATACCAACGTGATACCACACTAACCTCCATCGTCCTCACTCACACGAAAGTTGTCGTGCTCGTCAAGCAGCGCTATGGACTCTTCTCTGGGATTATGCATCGAAGCGTTGTGGGTGGTGCTGAAGGTAATAAGTGAATGCCCACTTTCTGTGAGCGAATGATACGGAACTTCGCAGCCTGAGATAGGAATGACTCCCACCCGTCCTGTCTCTCGGAGACCAGATGGCTATGTTAATCGATGACTTCGACGCATGGCAATGCGAGTCATCTCCTCGGATATTTATCATCATACACCCGATAGAGAATTTTTGATTCCATTGCAGTCATCGGTTACCGTACTAGTTTGAGTAGACCGATAAGCTGTGCCTTCCCAGAATCTTTTGAAACTACCACTGCCAGTGCTTCCATCCAACTTGCCTTATTAACATTTTTGATTAGATACACCCAATCTCCACGTAATATCCCAGGGCTTTATCCCTCAGTCGAATCTGTGTTTGAGCCACGGTGTGGGACTGGATCGGGATGGATTCGACAGGTTGACCAAGAGGCGCATGATACTCAATGGTCCGCAGGGTACCTGTTTGAGAAAAACTGATGGATATGCTGTTCATGGCTGATTGCTTGACGGTGGTAATTGGATGCTGTACAACGTTCAGCACATTGAGGTCACGGTCATTGGCATGCGGCGATGTTACATTCCAGTCTCAGACGGCTATAGCCGGGATGCCTGCGAGTGACTTTACCAAGTTGGTTGTCGCTTATACATGATAGCATGGTATGCTGAACCTTATGTTTCAAATGCCTGCCAATGCTTATTGAGCTACAATGAGGTTAGACATTATATAAATAAATGAGTCTGACAAGCAAGATTGTATAGGACCGTTGGTCATTTATCGCATCAGAATATCACGAACAGCCTGCCAGTGCCCCAAAATTAGACCTTGGGACGACGGCGAGATATCAATCAGGGGGTTCTGGTGTCAAGGGAAAACACATGTAGCGGCCATTCTCCCAATGGCGACGGAACTGTCCGCCCGCCCATCTCCTTGAATCCCATAGCCGTATAGATCGGAACCTGACGTGAATGATTTCGTGCGATGAGTAGGATCCAATTCAGTTGGGTCGTCAGGCTCACATTGGTGTGCGTTGTAGTGCTGAGTGCAAGCACTTCCCCTTTCTGCGTTGCCTGTAGGATACCGGGTTGGGCCTCGTTAGCAGTCGAATTGGACGGGGACAAAGCTCTCCGCACCTTCTCAAGAACCGGTCCAACCAAAGCCCTCCCTATCCCCTGCCTTTGCCTTTCTGGATGAACCATAAGCATATGTAACCACCATGCATCACGCTTCCCCTTGAGTGATGATCAGTGAGAAGTTACTGATTCACATCAGATTCACGCTTCACGTACTGTTGGGCCCAGGCAACTGGAAACAAAATCAAGGAACACAGCCGAGTACTGAAAAACTGAGTAATGAATCAAAGAAGATAGGGAGAGTCAGGCAGGCAGACCGTATTCTTGTAGTAATCTCGGCCTACTTCAGGTAACCGTGCCATAAAGTCGTTCAGTCCTAGCTCTCGTTGTTCCGGTCTACGCAGATTAGATGGCACAATCTCATGTATCAAACATGTAACCTACTTGCTGAACATTTCCTCGCCGGGAGGCATCCACAATGCAAAGCCCACCACGTCCCCACTTTCATCTGTTGCATTGTAATATTCGCCAGCAAGTATGCCAGCCATCAAAGTGGAGCGGGCCATGGGGTCTAATAAAGTAGCATCGCATCCACTGAGGCTCAATGCTGCAATATCTGAAGATGGTGGATTTAGGACAACCGGTGTACATTAAGGTAAATGCATACTGTCTTTCATGCACGAAACAAACAGCGCAACTGATGCTTCAATTTGCGTCTCTAAAATTGTGTTAGTAAACCACTTTTCAATTATCTAAGTTAGGTCCCACCTGATGGACGTTCGACACGCTGTACAGTGACTTGAGGCATCTCTGGTTTCGTACAAGAATTACAATTCTGGGCAAATGGAAGAATGAATGAAATAGTATTGTGACCTCGAGCCGTGCCCACATTATTAAATGAATCACTTTCGTTGATAAGATAAGCCGGTGGTAACGGCAGAAGGCCTCATCGATCAAGCTTCGATCAAGACTGAGAGAGCTTTGCACTCTGAACACTCATGTACCTTTGCCGACCAAGTACACCGAGTTCCCGTGGGCCTGTAAAGCGGGCGTCAATCAGCCAGCGGTCATCTGACGGGAACATCAATCAAAACCTGTCCGCCGCACAGCTCAGGAGTAGCATATACCCTCTTTCTTTCCCCAAAGGCTTGGTTTGCTACGAAGACCGCCTAACTATCATAAGTCATGCACTTTCAGAGGGAAACTTACACAAACGTCATATGTCTTTCTCTACTACTCGCGACTTCACTCTACTTCAATGTCATGCTCATAAACACTGCCAGACATGTGAGGGAGGCATTGCAACTGCATAGGTCAACCGCCTCGCCTTTACATTTGAGGCCAATCGAACCTTATTGTGAGTTACATCGCAGACACAATTGACTTCCGGCTGATATCGCGATATAGCATTCGTCGGCAACGACTTCCCGGAACTGCTCTCTATAGAGAGTCGATTAGTTAGGATGTCCGTAGAGGAAAGTGTCCACTACTCCTTGGCAGACCCTGAGGCCAGCGACGAATGGTTATGGACAGCTCCTCTAGGGGACAATCACATTCGCCTCGGGCCTGACATGCGCATGTTCGCTATTCCAATGTTCCATCAGCTACACTGTCTGCGAGGAATACGTGAAGCAATGGAGAATGGGCTCAGCAGTCTCCATCACGCACAGCAGGAACACATCCACCACTGCTTCAACTACATCCGACAATGGACACTTTGCTCAGCAGACGTGACACTCGAGCCAGGCGATTTTATGAGTCGAAATTTCACGACGGAACGTGTTGGAGCTACGCATACCTGTCGTGATTGGGAGCCAGCATATACTGTGGTGAACGACAGATGGTTCGAGTGGAAAAAATTCAAGCAGGAGCACGATGCGTTACAAAAACGTACAGAAGAAGTAACCGACATTTGAAATTATTTTCCAACGAGGAAGGCGCTAAGTGTTTGGCAGTTGGTGAATGGGTAACAGGAACAACTTGAAGCGGAGGAGCCTCAATACAATCGTGTATAGTTTACCACGGCCATTTGAAGGTATGCCTCTGGGAAACTGGGCAGCGTCGTTGGGAGGCTAGAGTTCTATGCCTAACGGTTTATGGGACAACTAGAGAACGATGTCTGTCTTGAGTAAACGCCACGGTAATTGTGGCGGATAGGCGAATAGTGTTCATGATGGTTCAGATGGTGTCGAGTTGATACATAGCAAGTAGACCATATGATAGCTCCAAAAGCCTAAATGTGACTTGTCTTAATATCCGTGCTATGAAAAGGTGTGAACACGTGCTATCTGTGCTAGGTTATGTCCTTAAGACCGCTTAAACACGAACATATCTGTGAGCGACGTACCTGTGAGTTGAAGGCGAGTGCTCGTTTTGACATGTACACCGTACAGCAAAAGACAATGCGGATGCAACAAATGCGATGATCACCATGTACTAGCAGCTCCGACGACGTCGTAGGTATTTTCAGGTGATCCTTTGATTGATGGTTATACCAAATTGTCCGAATGCTGGCGATGCAATGGTCCCGTCGAGCGCTTTTCCATGTTTGCGGTAAAGAAGCAGATAGAGAAAATATAGGCACCTTGTGCCGGGTCAAATCTGCATACCGTTTTTTATTATATAAAAACTGTATTTTTTTGGTCGCATACCTTCAGTGGCCACCGATCGATTCTGGCTCGTCTTTCTCTTTGCCTGTACCAAGACTGCACTGGCACATAAAATTCTACATATCTGAGTTCAGCTGGCCCTATAACTGGTATATCTTTCCAAACCAAATATAACCTTGTCGCCTTCACCTCAAATTCCTCAGCAGGCATGGAGGCTGTTGTACCACCAGAGATCACCGCTGAGCTGACCCAGATCCTTTCAAATCTCGTCCTAGGCGATAATAAGATTAGAGCAAGGTACTGCCGAGTTCCACATATATTTCATATCGCTCAAATCTCATTCCAAACAGCGCAGAAAAGGCTGTCAATGATCGTCTTTCTCAAACACCAGAGCTTTACCTGCTCGCCCTCGCGCAATTCGCGATAGCAGCTGATACAGAAGTAGTAAGTTATTGCCCTCTCTGTTCTGCACAGAAATAATCCTAAGGTTATGTGCCACTGGAGATGAGGACTTTCTCGCTTGTGTTACTTCGTCGCTTGTTATTTCGTACGGCACCACAACAATCACCACAGACTCCTCGCTTGACGCTATACGACCATCTCTCTGTGCAATCACTGACCACACTAGAGCGTCTTCTCTTGCATTCGCTATCTCATGAGCCTCTGGACAAAGTGCGCCGCCAAGCGGTTGATACCATCTGTGATCTCGCGAACAACTCCATGTCTCGCGGTCGGCCATGGCACGCTTTACAGGCGCAAACTTTCAGTATGACACAGACTGGCGAGACGGGTTTTCGAGAATGTGCTTATCGTGTATTCGCTGGGTGCCCAAACCTCGTCATGGATCTACAAACCGATGCTGTTCTCAGTGTATTCCAGAAAGGCCTGCAGGACTCTCAGAGTGTAGAGGCAAGTGTTATTACTTCGATGGTGACCCTCAGGTTTAAGCGTGGTTCACGTTCTAGGTTCGACATGCTGCTCTCCGTGCTTCTGTCTCCTACTTGACTGCTTCTGACGCACATCAACTGTCACAATCGCTCTCATTGCTCTATCCAATGCTCGATACCCTCCCTACACTCCCAAACGTGCATCTCAAACTATTCCTTGGCACGCTCACACCTTTGTGTAGCACTCATCCTACTCTATTCCAACCTCACTTGGGCGCTTTGTTGGCCTTCTTACCAGGCCTTATCATGCCGACTGCTGATCCTGGTCCGACGCCAACAGTTGCCAAGCCCTTCCCCAACACACAATCTACGTTTACTTTCCCTCCTGGAGAAGATCAAAAGCCCGCCGATACTGAAGCGACAGAAGCGAAAGAAGACGAAGACCGAGACCTAGTCAGGAAAGCTGCTCTCGAATTAATGATCAGTCTGAGCGAATCCAAACCGGCCATGGTTAAGCGAGTCGATGGATGGACTGCTGCAATCGTGAGAGCGTGCCTCGAAGGGATGGGAGAACTTCCTGAAGATAACTTGGATGTTTGGCTGGATACGGATGTACGTGAAATAGCTGTCTGTGACTCATCTGGTACTTCATCACTGTACAGCCATCCGAGGATCCCTTGGACGAAAATTACCCTCAAGTGTACGAGCACTCCATTGATCGGTTGGCATGTGCTCTTGGGGGTAAAGCTGTACTACCTCCAGCTTTCCAACTCATACCATCTATGTTAGCAAGCTATGACTGGAGGTTGCGACATGCTGGTCTGATGGCAATTGCCGCCATCGCTGAAGGAACAAGCAAGGTCAACACTGTTCCTTGAATGCTTTTTCATCTCGGGGGGCTTCTTAGCTGACTGTGGCTTTACAGTTAATGCAAGCTGAACTAGGAAAGGTTATCGAGTGAGCGAATTTGTTTATTCTCATGCATAGACCATAACCCAAAATTTTTCTTTATTCCCAAGCTTGATAACGCCGTTGTTCAAAGATGGACATCCGCGCGTTCGATATGCAGCTTGTCAATGCGTGTAAGGCGCACATTTTTCTATTTCAATAGCCTTACTGATATCTTGCTTAGCGGGCAACTCTGTACTGACATGGAAGTATGTTCAATATCATATCACTCCCCCTCGCTATCTCATAACAAGTTGGTTTCCTTTGTAGGAAATCATACAAGAACGATACAGCTCACAGCTGTTCGCTGCCCTCATACCTGCTTTAGAATCTCCAGAACCTCGGTATGCAATCACTCCTTTCGACATTCTCGCCCTATCTTCATTGATAATTATGCCGTCTAAAGGGTCGCTACGCATTCTGCTGCTGCACTCATCAACTTCTGTGAAGGCGTGGCTCGTGATACTTTGATTCCGTACCTTGATCCCATTGTAGAGCGTCTTCTCAAAATGCTTAATCCAGAGGCAACCGATGCAAAACGTTATGTCCAGGAACAAGCTATCACAACACTAGCTATGGTCGCAGACGCTAGCGAAGCCACATTTGCCAAGGTAAAAACCCACACTCACCTCCGTGTATTTCGATAGCAACTCATTCCATCCAAATAGCACTATGCCTCAATCATGCCGTTGCTCCTTAACGTCTTGAGAAATGCGAACAGCCCCAATTACCGCAAGATAAGGGTCAAAGCCATGGAATGTGCCGGACTAATAGGTGTGCAATTTGTCTTAGCTATCTCAACGGTGATTGCCAGTGCTGAAGGAAAGGGACGATATGTAGCTATCGCCGTTGGCCGTGAAGTTTTCCGTCCAGATGCCAATACACTTGTTGAGATCCTTATACAAATACAAAGTACCTATCCATTAGTTCCACGTGTATTTCCTCGTGCTCAACCCTATCATCCAGATAGTCCTATCGATCCCCAAGACACCCTGCTGGCTAACTATCTAATCGCGACATGGGCAAAGGTGTGCCAGGCTCTAGGACCCGATTTCGAGCCCTATCTCCCAGTCGTCATGCCACCTTTAATCAATGCCGCAGGCGCGAAAGCGGACGTTGCTATATATGGTATGTTCACCCTTTTTCCGGATGAAGCGCCCTAATCTCAGATACTATCGCCCAAAGATGAAGTAGAAGGTCGACCAGAGCATAGGGACGGATGGGAGACATTGTCAATGGACGGTCAGGTCGTCGGCATCAGGACTTCGACCATTGACGAGAAGTGTTCAGCGTTTGAGACCCTCATCATATACTGCTCAACGCTCGGCCCTCGATTCGCACCGTATCTCTCTCAATGTCTCGAGCTCACGCTGCCTTCTCTGCGGTTCTACTTCCACGAAGGTGTGCGAGAAGCAGCTTGCATGTGCGTATCCCCCATCTTCATATCAGTTTACCCCTGGCCTCTCCGCTCCGTCCCTCTTTTTCCTTTTCTTCTTTATCAGATAAATCTAACGCTTCTACCCCAGCCTCATCCCAATGCTCTTCTCCTGCGGCAAGCACAGCGGAACCCTCACCGCACAAATGGTCTCCGCAACCCTCGCCCAGCTCACCAACTGCATCACCATCGAAACCGACGTCTCCTTCGTCGCCTCCTACTACCGCTCCTACGGCGATGCCCTCCGCGTCTTGGGCGGAGGCGCAGCTATCACGCCCGAGATCCTGAATCCCATTGTCGAGGCGACAAAGGTACAGCTCCAAGTCCTCGCCGAGCGTCGAAAGACCCGCTCACAGCGCCCCGCGTCCGACCTAGAGGACGAGAAGCACGAGCTGGCGCTGATCGAGGAGATGGAGGATTTCGCGCTGGAGGATATGGGTAAGATGGTGAAGCAGCTTGATCAGAAGCACCCTTTGCTCGTTGCGATCTCGAGCGTCCGAGAGTTGGGCTGTAGCAAGTGGGATAGTGACGAGGACGACAGGGACAGCGATACTTGACGACTATGCTATCATGATGAAAGAAATGACTTGGTTTTTGTTTGATTTCTCTGTAACGATGTAAAAGATTTAGTGCTTTGATTTCAGTACATGTCACGGCGAGTTGTTTATAGATTCTATGGTTTTAATTCCATAAACGCTGTAACACTTTCACTTTGCGCATCCAGAACACTAAAGAAGCACATCCCATAACAACACTCTTCTTGCGTCTATCATGTCCTAGCTGAAGGACAGGCGGGTAAATACTGTACATCTTCCTTATATTACGTCCAAAGATATCAAAGCGGAAAAAAAGAAAAGAAGGAAGGAAGGAGAAGGAGAGAAGAAAGATTGAGAGCAACAACCAGTTGACACATCACCCCTCTGCGCCAAGTCGGTATCGTAACAACGCCAACAAATAGGGGAGTGAGAAACACCAACATGTTCATAAACTCATGAAAGCGGCCAGGGGAGGGATGAAAAAGCAACGAGTAGAAAGAAAACAAGGAGGAACAGTGTGTGATGAGCAGCTTAATGGGGGAGTGTACATGATGAAACAATGCATATAGACAGATATGTGCAGATACGAACGAGAAGAATACGCATATATAGACGACGACATGATCGAGGATAATCGAGCTTGGAAAACCGATATTGACACACTTTGAAAGTGTCCCGGTTAGATTGCAGAGCCGAATGAGAAATTGGACAACAAAAGTCTTATTTCCTGACTGCGATCCAAGGCCATAGGGTCAAGTTAGGTTTCCCAATCCTGGTTCGAAATATTGACCAGATATAAAGCTGCGGGTTCCTTTGCGACGGCGGGTATGTCGCCATAGTGTTCGTGCTGCCAAGTACCATCGCGATTTCTGGTAGTCGATAAAGTAGAGAGGGGATGGAAAGGGTTCGAGAGGGAGTGTGATTATGGCCACAGCCCTCGCGGTGACTTCTGAGGGAGCTGTGGGGGCTGAAACCAGGAATAGTTTGTATGTAAAGTAATGCTGTGAGATGATGATTGGCTTGTGAGGCCTGAGATATGCAACTAGAAGATTCTCATCAGCCAAGTAATTGATGGACACTGCGAGGATACGCCTACCAACAGATATATGAAAAAGATGAAGAAAAAAAACGAGGAGACGATCACAAGATGCCCGAGTCCTTTAGAGCATTTTGTAATATAGTCTCCTTGACTGCTGCAAATACTAGACGAACATTTGTCGTATCTGTTGCCTGCGTCAAACTTTACGGCACTTCATCAGCTGACCGAAAAGGTAACAGAAGGAGTCGTTACGCACTGAGGATATACACTTAGTCGTGCCCGGTTGGCTTGCATAAATCTCCACAGGATATATTTCGCCGCTTTATTGATGTCTGAGCCTCCTGTATACTCTGGGAAATATCGCTCTAGAGGAACCTAGCGGGGCAAATAAATTGCATAAGCTAATAGATCAGATTCATAAAATGAGATGAAAACGTACCTTTGGTAACTTGTTTTTAAACACATCGATCTTGTTAAGAAACAAGATTATTGACGTTCGCAGGAACCAGCGTGAGTTGATTACAGATTCGAAGAGGACTAGCGATTCGGCCATTCGGTTCTAAGTGGCAACGATGTGAGCTCAAATATCTTATAGTCGGAACAAAGAATACTCACCTGATTTTTCTCTTCGAGAAGTACCTGGTCATACTCGCTCAACGCAGTGCAGAATATGATGCTCGTTACACTTTCAAAACAATGTATCCACTTTTTCCGTTCTGAACGTTGACCACCTACGTCAAACATGTGTATTCTGGACGAGTATTAGTAAAAAGACAATAATCAAGCGATGCCATCTTACGAAAGCGTGCCCATATTGAATCGAGTTTCGGTGATACCGGTTGTCTTTGCTCTCGCACGCAGAACGTCAGTCTCGGTAGGTGTGTAATCATATGAGCCTATCCGTATAACCTCCGTAAAGAAGCTAGAGAAAAGACGGTTAGCGTGGATAAACGGTGGGATCGATGTAACATACTAGCTAGCACTGTCCATGAGATAGAATTCACTACAGCGGTCCATGACCTTCGGTATAACAGGATCCTGCCATAGTTCATGTATGGCTTTAGCGATTTCTTCTGAGAATATAAAGGAAGGCGACGACTCGACCCGATAGTCGAGTATACGATCAGCGTTTGGCTGTAGATATACAATATGAGAATTTGACATGCATATATGCGCAGGTGGCACTCACTCGATTTGTAGGGATGACACAGTCGAGTGTGAATTTGCTCATAGCAAAGATGATTGCTTGAGCACTGTCGAGAAGATTGCGATAGATGATAGGTTTGTAAGTAAGTAGCTCCTCTTTTGAAAAACCACTTTGGTGGATGATCTTCATCTGCTTTACGATGGTTGATTTCCCAGACTCGCCTGAGCCTATAAACGAAACCAAGGTTAGCTGAAGACCAGTGGAACGACAAGATATGAAGCAACAGAAAGGCAGATGGCGGGAAGAACAGGATGCAATGCTATGCAACTGTTGGTATCGATTGAAGAGGTAGATGGGAAGGGGGAAGAGAAAGAAAGATAGTGAAAGGGAGAGTATGAAAGAAGGCAAACATACCAAGTAGCAATATTTTACACTCTTTCCTGAACCGTTTCGAATCCTCATCAATCTGTTTGTCTATTGCATCTGAGCGGGCTTTCTCCACTCGATCCTGAGAGGAAACACAGTTGCCCATGGTGTGGGACGATAAAGCGGGGACGAGCGATAACAGACGGGGAAGAAGGAGGAAAGAGGAGAAAAGCCTTGGAGGCTTATAGGACGACGGCTATGAGTGGCGACCCGCAGCGAGGATCGTTAGGAACGGAGAGAACAAGGGCGGGAAGTAGGGAAAAGCGGCTGTGAGGGTTGGCTCACTTGCACGGTCAGCGGCGGGCCTTTGTTCTTTGCTTACGTACGTACACATCCTCGTGACCGTCACACAGTCACACAGATCTCAAAATACACCGGTCCATTAAAACCGACTCGCACAGGAACCACTGCATCTCATGCCACTCTCGACTACCAGCACACGTTCAAATCATCGACATCACTTCAGATTCCCTGTCCTCCGCTGCTGCATAACACTGGCAGCCTGGTCGTGTGGTGCTCTCTGCGAGTCTGTCCTTGGATAATTGTCGGGCTGGTGGTCTCCTACCTCACAACCTTGTTCCATATCCGACCATCACACTACGGCACTTGTCGTCGGCATCCGCAATAGCAATATATTTCAAACTCCGTCTCCCAGTTAATCAATCTATATTAGACTCTGCCAGATCCCAGATTGCCTCCGGTTGCGCGAGTCGACTCTGCCATCGCGAAGCTAGCTAGTAACTAGTACAGGTACGCAGTGTAGTTGCTACTAGTAGTATTCGCAGTTCGTGTCCTGGTCACTAAGTGCTAGCCTACACGTTTGCCATATAAATTACAAAGAACTCGTAGTACCCCACCCGGCGATAAATAAATCCATTTAAACTCGGCAATCTCGCTGGATCGCTAGTGCGCTCACGCTAAAGCTTGATTCTCTCTGTGTCACAGCCCCAACGGCATCATTCATTCTCTCGCGTACTCACCTCACTCAGTCCTGCCACATATGTGGTATGTATACTGCCTTTGTGCTCTCCAGCTCAGTCGTCGCCATTCTCTTACTCAGTTCCTCACGCAATTCACATTGACACCCGCCGTTCGAACCGACGTCAAAGCATCATATTAATATATGCCAACCACACAGGCCTCGCACCGCGCACGTCGCACCGTAGCTGTCACCAATGCCGCCACACATCATGCGTGCAATGGATCTAAATCATTCTCGTCAGTCACGCTCGCACAGCAGCGCAGAAAACATGACCGGCGAACATGACAACATTGCACCCATACTCGGTTCACACATGTGCACACACTCTGCATGATGCCGCAATCATTCGTACATTTGCACCAAAAGGATTGGCACGTAAACACAAGTCTGATTCGATATATCTAAAAGGGTCAGTCTGCATCTCTCCTCTTTCAGTCTTCCGTCTCTCCGCCGGTCTATCCGACTACCGCGGTTCTTCAAATGACATGATCGAAAAAGCAATAGTACTGCTACAGCCAAGCTAAACCCGATTTTTCCGAGACTGCAATGACCTTACACGACTGTTTTATTCCCCGGTATGTACTTATAAAACGCCAGCGCTACCCAACGTACACCACTCTATCTAACATATTCCGCACAAAATCCATCCTGTCCCCAAACAATTACACACCCACCATAAGATAGTCCATATTCCTTCCAACTTCATCGTCATGAATTACGTCACAGAACCAGAACACCGACTGCAGCAATCAGCAATCCCTCCACGAACCGCACAGCGGTAGCCATAGCACCATTTGTCGCCGTCGACGTCGGCGTTTGCGTCTCAAGCACCACAGTTGTGCTCACTCCAGTCGAAGTAGTCAATGAGGAAGGGGCAGTCAACGTCGTCGCAGGTGTCACACTAGTTGACGATGAAGTTGTCAACGGTATTGTACTTGAGGACGAAGGCGCCGAAGTAACCGGACTGGACGCCGTGCTAACTGGTGACGTTTCGGACACGATTGATGTCACTATCGTCGTTACTCCTGAGGTGCTTGGTATAACTGTCGATACGACGGTGGTCGTTTCACCACCACTGCTGGTAGCTGAGCTACCTGAGACGCTGCTTGCACTGCTTGAGCTGCTTGTCGTTGCTGTAGGCGTGCCTTCGTCTTTATTTAGTATCACGTGAATTATAACTATTTGAATATCCTCACCTGACGAATCTGGTGCGCTGCTGCTGGAGACCGCAGTGCTCGCACTCGTACTGAACCCAACAGAGGTACTCACTAGCAGTGCGGTAAGTTCAGAACAAACGTCAGGCGCAGATCAGATGTATGAAACCAAATAATCAGCATCTGATTGTAGCAAATCATGGCCAAACTTACATCCACAAAGACTCGAGTAGTACTCGCTTGCTGCAACCTGGTCAGCCGAAGAACAAGTATTAAAGCAGGTGTTTGCAGATGACAGGAAAGCGTTTGACGTGCAAACGCATGAAGAGTCAGTGCTATAGTTACCCAAATAGTACGAATGCAAGTGATTAGTTGGATCTTTCGGGTAGTTCTGGCTCAGTTCGTTCGAAACACTTACCTGGATGAGCATCCTGAGGCGGTCGCAGCGGCCGAAGCACAGTTGCTAGCGCATTGTGGGAGTTGGTTTGTTGTTTGTGTGTACAATCCTGAGACTGCGAGTACGCATGAAAGAGTGCACAAAAGCTTGAACATTTTGCGTCGTCGTCAGGTAAGAGTGATCGTATAGAGATGGAAGATGCGTCTGTGAGAGCCTAGAGTCTAATTCACCAACGAGCTAAGTGCAGCGCAACAATAGCTTTAACACACAGGAAGAACAAAAGGGGGAAAATGCCTAAAGAGCTCAAAGCCGCGCAAAGTGGAGGTGGAGCGGAATCTGCGTGTTTTTTTTTTTATCAACTCCACGCTTCTTATGGCTACAAAAGGCGTGGTTGGGTCTAGAAAAATGTAAAGACGGCCAGACTGTGCCGGATCAAGCTCTTGATTCCTGGAGGTTTTAGATCTGGGTAACACTTGGGTAACATGGTAGCACGAGACAGCTGATCAAGATAATTGATTCCATGCATCGCTCTTTTCGGGGTAACTGCCAGGTAAGCCCGCGGTGAGAGAGATATATTTAGTAACACTCTCATGATTTTCTTGCGACCGTTTTGAGCTTTAGTGGTGGCGCTGGCCCGTGGTGGAGGTAGGCCGAACTGAGGAAGCTGGCTGTCAGTGGGGGTTTCTTGTAGAAGCTACGCCTAGGAGAAGGCGACGAAACGCCTGGTTTGATAGGTGTTGTCAAGGAGTAAGAGAGAGCCATGTGTGCTGGTGGTCTTGGGCCCCCTAGCGAAGGTGCGGATGGCCCGTGAAACGTCCCATATGCATCCGCAAACTCTACTCACGAAGGTTCCGATTGAGAATCGTCGATGCGGCGTGGGCTTTTGGGTCACATACGTACGTGGGCGTTGATATTATTGTTCAGGCTATTGTAGGAAGAAAATGCCCAGGGGTCGAAGTCAGCAGGCGCTCAAAGGGAGTTCAGGCTTAGGCTCAAGCTTCGAATTCTAGTCAGACGAAGAGCTGAGGGGGTTCGACATCATGATGGGCGTGAGGCGCTGGGGGGTCAGGAGGGGATGTACGAGAGACATGCGTATGTGGTGCACAGCGTCAAGTATAGAACTTGTGCATGGCGAAGGGCTTTGTCATGTCGAGCCATCTACGGAGACATTGTGGGAGGTCTAGGGCAGGGGGTGCACGTGTAAGCAGGTTCGAATTGTCAAAGCAGCTGAACCCCATTTGTCTCTTCCACGTTCATTTAATTTCAAGAATCGTGTACCATAAAGGGTTGTTCAGGTGGTAGCATTATAGTAGTACGTACGTACAGGACTCGTTACCAAGTTCAGATCCTCATATTCACTATATTTTAATTCATATCGAGTGCCAGCCCTGGTTGTGTATGTTTCCTCTCGTTACTTTGTTCTATGTTTCTGCGCGGAACATTGAAGCCGTTCGTAAGACTACTAGTCACTTCAAGTTATGATACTTGTCGGCGATATCTTCTGAGCCAGAAATCAGGGAAACGTGCAAGAATCCTAGAATGGTTACCGTTGAACAGACATACAATGTGTCCAAATAGGAAGACAACATAACTCTTGGACATAGAGTGCGCGTGTTGTCTGGAGACGGTACGCGTTAGTGGCGTAAAAATGTAAATTACTACTAGTATAATGTTAAAGAAGAAGAAAGCCTTGGTGTAGTTCGTAACGTTTGGTATTGCAACAATCCAGTCACAACCTACCGGGACGGTACTCCAACCACCCAGACACAATCATCATCGGGGTGACGAGAGAACTCGGGTCTTTAAGGGTTTTTGGGGAAAAACTATCTATCGACGTGAGTGTTCGATCGACCCCCATATATGATAGGATGATAGCGGATTCCAAATTCTGCTCGTCCTTCTCTACTATGCATGAGGGTCATTTGAACCTTCGGTACGGTTCAAAATTCAGTTTCGATCTTTGGTTGCATGGATGTAGTACGTTACCAGACATGTAAAGATCAGAAAACCTGACAGAAATCCCATCAACTGAGTGTTGATTCGGCAGGTGGAGCTTGCAATTGTCCACGAGGCGAACAAACCTTGGAGCAACCTGACAGTTATATCGACCGGGAAAGACCAAAGAATCCCAGTATTATTATGTTAACACAAATCCTGGAATGATGACAGGTAGGATATGGTGATGGTACAGGACACCAGCTGATAATACACAAGAAGCTTACAAAGTTCATAATGCTACAGGCTTGCGCGAGAAGAGAAGAGAAAGAGACGAATCACCAAACAAGGCCGTGACGTAATTTTTTTTTTTGAGTTTCGTGCCAGAGTCATTCCAAGAAAAGTAAAAGGCCAGTTCTAGTAGTGTGAGAGCGACGAAGGACCCTCGTGTTTGATGTCTTGCTCCAGGCTCCACCAGTCCTCTAGAGAATAAAAGCTGCGCCGACCAACGCACCGGCACAGGTGACCAAAATCCCAACGACGCCCTCGATGGCAAGAGGAGCCATGCCTATCGCAGCATTGGAAGCCTTGGTTGAGGGAGAGCTTGCGAGTTTAGCGGTACCGGAAGCAGAAGCAGAGCTAGACGAGCTAGAAACTACAAAAAAGGGAGCCCACATAAGCCAATGAGACATTTCGAATGACATTACAATGTCGTGTCACTTGCCTTTGGCGCATTCAGTCTGCTGGAGCTGAGTTGCAGCTTGTACTTCCGCTGAGGAACAATTCGCTTTCAAACAGGATAGAGCTGCAGATTGGAACGCAGTTGAAGTGCAGATGCAAGAGACGTTCGTGCTGCAGCATTCACGTTTAGAGCATTCTGTGAGTGACATCGTATACTTTCTTACAAGCTAGAACAACCCCCTGTAGAAGCGGCAGATTTTACGCAAGAAACCACGCAAGGGGTAAGACCAGTTGGGAGAGAGCCTGGAGCGGTGGAACTGGTGCTCTGCGCGTTTACTGCGAGCGCAGCAACGGAAGCGATGAGAAGAGACTTGATGCTGAATAACATACCAAATTTACGCGTGTAAAAGTCGTGAATGGGGAAGCGAGATTACTTGGACAGAACTCAAGGAAATCTGGGGCAAGTATGGTGGGCGTCTACTTATATGAGCCAGAGCGTGGGAACGTCTCTCAGAAGTCACGGGATCTGGGCGGGAGTCCAGAACATTGTCGAGAACAGGAACAGGGACAAACACTTGGACCTCGTCGCTGTCACAAACGTGCTCGAGCTGTCGTTCCTCGCTGTCGGAGACGATGAGCAACGAGGTACATCTTGTGCGAGGGTCGTATTCTCGGGCGTTTGCCGTGGTCTTTTACCGTGATTGGCTTGAACTGATCGCACCCTTTCATGTCCGTTATTGCAGCTGCTTAAAATGTGCAGTTTGTTTCTCTAACTGACACCAATTTTCCATGAAGCCTAAATGCGCTAAAGGCAAGCCAATGTTATTCATGGGCGTGTGTTGGACAACGTTACCGTGGCCCCTTCTTTCCAGGTACTCGTTCAAACGGCAGTCTTGTCTTCTGATATGCACTCCTAAACGTGTTGCAATCTGCTTACTTCTGGCACATAGTTCTAGAACTGACGAGCTCCTTTGATCGATAGACTGCATTGGATGGATACCTTCAGTCCGAAATGAAATCATCCCATGTTCTAGCCTATGGGCCTCGAGTACCTCTGTCCCATTGCGGTTCAGACCATCAATTTGAACCGCTATCTACCCGAAACTGAATCTTCCACATCGCATCCTTGAAAAAGGGCCTGAACCAGCGGTCTGAGCCCGAACACTCTAAGGCTCTTCTTCGCCACGTTGTCGACATCTTAATCTTCTATCTATTTCTCTCCCATCCCGCTTTAGATTAATCTCACAAACCATCCTGCTGGTTCCAGGATGCCGCTCTCCTCGTTATACCATCGTTCTTCCGATCCTCAACCAATTTCAAGTCGCCATACTCTTGACTCTCCCCACAGTTCTCCTCGACCATCGTCTCAGCCAGTCAGCTCTAGTAAATTTGACTGTCCTAGGCCTCCGCCTCGCAGTATACTTCGTCAGCCTAACCACGAAATCCCACCTGCACCTTACTTCTACGAAAGTTCGCCCTTGAACGGCAATCCACGTGTAACTTCCTCTCAGGCTCCCCCAGGCGCTGAAGCTGCCCATAAACGGAATTCTTTGCCTGCCGACTTTCAGTCCTTAACTACGAATCGTGATCGTCATCTATCACTCCCTGCAGGCCTACTCTCGCCTCGAGTGTCAGAAGCGGACATGGAGAAGGACAGGCTTGCTCGGGCCTGTGGTCAGACTGCAATGCCCCTATTCTACGATCAGAGGAGAGGACCCTATATAGAGGGTCTTGCATCTTCCAGCAGGCCATCCTCTCGTTTCCACGAGCACATTGAGGAGGACCCAGATTCTCATATGTCATCAGGACAACAGCTACCGTATGTTCCCAAACTCAACCCTCATAAGTATTATCGAAAGCTAGACGGTTTACTTCGTCGTGATAAACATCGAGCAATGGACTATCTACTCTACGAGGACGTCTTAACCTTGTACAAAAGAGATGGCGCAATGCGGGAGCAGTGTGAGAACGAAAAACAGCGACCTTCTCAATGTGATAAAGACTTTAGTATGTCTAACCTCTCACGTTCTGTTTAGTATTTCTAACATATTGAGCAGGTGTTATCGGTGCCCCACTGCATCAGGCACTACTGCATTCCTCATCTGCAGTTGTAGTTGGGGAATATCGACACGATGTACCCATCGTTGTCATTGCATGCATAGAGGAACTCTATCGAACAGGTTTGTGACTTGACCCAAGTTGTGAAGAACAGACTAATGTATCAATAGGTATCTATCAAAATGGACTTTTCCGAGCTCTCCCGAATCGTGAACGCCATCTTCAGCTGATGGATATCTATGATCATAGTCCTGATTTCGGGGCCAAGTACAGCTTGCGCGGACAGGCTATGCCCGACGTCTGTGCACTCCTTTCTACCTACCTCTCTAACCTTCCAGGTCCTATCATTGATCCTATCCTTTACGATGGCTTCTGGCACTGGTGTGTCAAACCAAGTGTGAAACGACAGGAGCAAAGAGAGCAGGCGGAATCTGAAGACGACGAAGAAATGAATGCCCGTCGCCGTCGCCGACCTTCACATAGACGGATATACAGCCGAGATGTCCTTTTACGTTCCAACGTTGACGACGAAGTCGAGGTCTACCAGATCAGTATCGCGCAAATACTCTTACGGTTCCTCCCCGCTGGAAATCTTTCCCTACTCCTTTACCTCTTTGGTTTCTTCACACAAATCCCGCTGTGCCCTGATAACGGTATTCATTTTGAGGATATTTCACGGATCTTTGCACACCGCATGATCGGAGGAACATCGAAGGCGAATGCACAGAGGATGATGGTCTGGTTACTGTCTAGGTGGAGTAAAATATCTGAAGATTTGTGCGGAGATGGGAAGTCTGTAGTCGCTTCACCCGCTATTGGGACTGGACATATAGGTTCGAGTCCTCAGCGGCAGGAAAGTGGTCCTTGTCGGGTTTCCAAAGACGGAGATGACCTCCCAGAATCATCAAAATTGCATCGTACTCGATCGCAGTTAGCCGCCGAAGATTCTCATGCATCTATGGAGCCTTCTGCCAACAACCCTTTACATTATATAGCGGGGTCATTCTCGAAATTATCTCCATCGAATTTCAAAAAAAACAATGGGGTCGGCGAAGAAAGGGTCGTGGCACCCACTGCGCATTCAGATGGAGACTTGATGCAGAGAACTCCTTCGGCGAAACGAAGTTATTCCGGTCAGTTGTTTCCCATTCGTTACCTAGGTGAAACGTACTGATATCAATCCAGGGCGCAATAATGCCCAGTTGCGACCAGGTCTTCCGATGGAGAATGATAGAACAGGTTACTACCGTGAGCAATTTCATTCAGATAATTCAGTAGGTGTGTTTAGCATTGGCTCTATATCGACACAAGTTCTCAACTTTGCTTATATCTCTAACAGGGTCTGATTTCTCTCCCGACATTCTTTGTTCCATAAACACAACCTCGATAACAGCTAATGTCCAAGAACTCGACCAACCAGATGACCAGAAGCGGTTAATATATTCACGTATCGCGGAGTTAGAGAAGGAGTTCAAACGTAACAACGATGTCGTCGCGGACGCAATCAAGCAGACGTACAAAGCGCAGGACGAAACTCGATTTTTGACGGAGAGGGTAGGATTAATGGAAAAAGATATGAAAGAGCGGATTGTTATGGTGGCGGAAATACAGGAAGCGCTTGAGAATGATAAGAGCACTCTCAAGTCGCGGATTAGAAATGCTGAAAAAGAGAGAGATAGAGTTTTAAAGATGGTGGATGGTATCAAGGGTTTATTGAAAGTTACATAGTTTCAGGAATTTATCACTGCATGGAGTGTACCATAGCATCAAATAGATCAGGTTTATCGATATATCTTATATAATGTTATTGCGTGAGACAGTTTTCTTCCATATTTCTTCGATCTCGTTCAGATGCAGTCAAAATCTGCGGCGGTTTACTCGAATTATTGTCTGCCGGACATCGGGGCGAGCATGCAAGGCCGCATCTTAGCGGCACTTGGGTGGGTCCTATGCACTGCTGGTGTTTGACGGTAGATGGTCTCCACAGAACATACGCTTCGCGAGTAAACGCGTAAAAACTGTGCATAGTATACACCTAGCGGTAAAGCTCAATGCGAAAGGGGAAAATACATGCCCAGGCGCTAACAGGTCGAAACAAGATAGGGTAAAAGATAGTTGAGGCATAATAAAGACGGACCTATTGAGAATGCGAATGCGAATGCGTCGTGACTTTACTGTAGAAAAATGTCCAAGTTTTAGTTTAGAGTGATTGAGAAAGTCCACGAAAGCCAAGTTTGTGGTTAGAATACTGGAGTAAGCGACGTTCAGAATGAAATTGAGGAATATTCGCTGCTGCTTACATCGTAGATTCCATCAGAGATTCTATAGAACGTCACGGTGCATTGGTCACACTATTTTCCAGTGTGTGTGATACGGTTGAGTTGCAGACTTATAAGTCATCTTGTCAGCCTCAGAGTTTCTTCAGTGTTGATGGTTGGCCGTAGTGAGTTATGGAAGTCGCTGGCAGAGTTAGCGACGCGGCCACATGCGTCGAATGTACGACGACTGTAGTAGGAGCCTAATAGACTTGGCAAGGCCGCGGCTGATTTAAGTTCTAGTTCAAGTTCAACGGGCTTGTCTAATGTTTATCATAACTAACACTTCTATGCACCCATCACCCAACAGCATAACCTACGGCTTACTTATGGGTAAGACTGGTATGCAGCAAGCTGAGAATATCTGCATGCACAATCACAATCAAGGATAAGAAGCTCACGGTATAAGGATATAAGCTACATATCGTATATCAACTTGAAATCGTAGCCCAGAAAATGAGACAAGCGGCGATGACGACTGTGAGTCCGGCTCAAATTGCTTCTCTTTCCAGAAAACCTCTAGCTGAAGCTCATGCACTTGATTTCAGCTACGGTTCGCCTTTACCTCGTCACGCACCGGGTTGCACGCTGGGCGTCGCTAGCCTGCAGATGTGATTTAACAGTAAAGTCAGCCAGGACTCAGAAATATCACGATAACTAGTCTGAGTCACTCTGGGAGAGCAAGTCTCTGTGTACTGTGGATCGGGATTTTCGACTCGTGCCCTTTTGCATACATCAGACGTTCTCTTGACCTCTGGTGTATCAGATCGGAGAGGTGAGATATCAGTACTTCATTCATCTATTCAAAATTCACCTGTCTCTTTCGCACTAACTTGTCGTCATCTTAGCAGTTGAATGTACGAGATCCTCTGACCTGAGTCGAAAGGGTTCAGCAGCTAACAACACATTCGTCAAGTCTCCGATGATACAGTAAGATTGTGGTATAATCCGATGAGCTTCAGCTTTTAAGGACAAATGTTTGAATGTGTTTGCTTTGCTGAAGAAAACAAGTTTTCTGGAAGTTATATCGTCTAAAAGAAAGTGCGTTATCCCTCTACTCACAGAAATAACACAAGCTCAAGGAATTACATAGCGATCTCCACAGATGTCCGATACGATAACTACACACAATCCAAACTATGGAGTTGGGAGGCAGAGTATGAGCTGTTTCTACGCTGCTAATAATGAGGGTTGGTCAAAGCTGTTCAAAGTCAATGCGTACCTGATTATAATATCAGGAAACGACCATTGACGGTGCCAGGAAAGAAGCTTGCTCTCGTTCCTACGTTGTTCAGTGGTCGTTTCATGGAACCCTGATCTTAGACTATGAGCCCAAGTAATCACTAGTGTTCCACAAGAGGCTGCCAGCTTGGGATACCGTGTTTCTGGTCATTTATCATCAGCTATTATGAAGTGTTCCACAAGTCGGGAACAAGAGTTTGTGCGTATTTTTTTGTGGCTTGATCGGTGGACGAGCAGAAGTCCAAGACGCGTCCACAACTATATTTATCGCGCGACACGGTCAAAGCGCGTCCCCATGTCCACCTTCCCTTTCTTCCTCGTCCACTCGTCCACCGGATTCTTTTGTTTGTCCTCGCTTATTCGTTATTTTTCCAAGGTATAAAATCCTCCCATTTCTCTCCTCTTCCCCTTCCTCACAAACCATCTCCCTCTCTCGTTCGAAGCTTCCACAGCTTTCCTCCTCATAGTTTGCCAGGTGCAAGTCTATCCTGTCGTCTTTAATACCCACCCGCTTTCTATTCTTCCACCTCCAAGCTCCTCGTATTCTTCCTGCTATGTCGTACTTACCGAACCACGATGCGAACCAATTCACCGGCCCCTTCTGGGACACTGTCTGGGACAGCGTGACCGAGTTACTTCGCTACAATTACGGTGTTGTTCCACTTGGCTCTGTGAGCTCACATCAGGGCATCCAAGTGCCTCCTCCGTTGACATTTGGCGAGGCGATGGATACTACCGGTGGGGCGTCGCATAGTATGCACTCTGGAGTGTACAGCGGCCAGGTCGGCTACAGTCTCGCAGGCGAGAACTCAGTTAAACCTTCGTCGACAACTGGGTAAGTACTTCTCATTTCACTTCTCTCTCTCTCTTTTGCTGCTATCAACGAGCGACTTGCTGACCCAACTCTTCTTTTCAGGTTATGGACTGACGTCCCACATTTGAAAACACCGTTCGACACTCGTAATGGACGGACAGATTACATGCCGGTTTCACCTGGTTTAAACATGGTGTACGGCAAGCCGATGAAGAAAGATATTTCATGGTACGTTGTTTCTTTCGTCCATAAAATTGCATTACTAACTTTTTTTGTTTTCAGGTATGGGCGCAATTACAATCTCCCAATCTTACCTATGCCTCGCAGCCCCACGCCAGACATTTGTATGAAGGACAGCGATAGTACCAAATCGAAGGAAAATGATAGCCCTTCCAAACGAACTTCTCTGCCACGTCGCGCGTAAGTATCCTTTTCTTTCCTTTTCATATACACATACTAACTTTTTCTCTTTTGACAGGAAACATCCACGGGACCAGCAGACCAAGTTATTTTCTTCCGCTTCATATTCTCCGAGGCAAGTATCTTTCTCCTCTTATTCTGTTTCAAACATAACTAACTGTATTCTTTTCCTTACAGGAAATCGCCATCTAAGATGACTTCTTTACCCCTTTCGAAGACTGCTGCCAGTGCCCCCAAGCTGCGCTCATTCAACCCTCCTGTAGCGGATTTACCAGTGTATCCTGGGAAAGTACCTGAAAGCGCGGTTTACAGTCATGTTGACTACCCTCCGTCGCTCTCCCCTCAATCTTATGTCGAACAGCCGTTGGCGTCAAATGTACTTCCTAGTGTCTCTACAATTTCTAAGCCAACGTCGTACCCCATGAACCAGCGTTCCCCATGTGTCACTGCAGGCCCCCTCATGACGAAGGGGCCTCCTCGGCCTTTCGCCCTTGTTCCCGCTAGGTTCGATCTTCCGCCCTACAAAACTTCATCTTCCTCCTCCCTTCCTGCGACTACTCTTGCTAAACCACAAAACTACCCAACAACCTCTTCTCCCAGTGACGAGTTAGAAGCCAGTGACATGGCCAATGTTGCTATCTATGACACTCACGGTCATCACCTTGCTGGGCCTCGGTCCTCAGACATCGAGTACTCCACTGGCTGGAAACGTCCACGCACAACGCCTGTCATCATACTTGATCAATGCAGCGCTTGTGTATCACGAGAGGAGGATGAAGACGCGCATACACTTGTACCTCCCAACGAGAAGATGTACATCCGTCCATGCGAATGGGAGGACAAGCCCTGCGGCATGTGGGTAGGCGCTACCCAGGCTCGGGTCAAAGCCCATTTCGAGGTTCATCACGGCGTTGTTTCCAGCATTAAACCTAACGCAGATGAGCAGCGCCAGAAGTGTCGGTGGAAGGGTTGCGAATGTGGTAAACCGATGCTTTCCAGAAACCTTGTAAGACACATCATCAACGTCGCTCACTTCGGGATGAAGTACAAATGCAGCAAGTGTCCGACAGAAGTAGTACGCTTGGATGATTTCATGGAGCATAAAATGCGGTGTCCTGACGCTGAGCCTGTTCTTGCCACCAACGCACCTCGTGTTCCCAAGAAACCTGTGTTCGCTAACAAGAGAATGCGCACGATCTGATTATCCGCTGCTACTGTCGATTATGGTCGGTGGGCTGCTTCTCTTTGATTTCATACTCTATCCCTAACTCTCGCCTTTAGAATTTCGTTCATTTATGCTCTGCATCTACGTGTCCTCATTATCAAAATTTCTTTCTTTCTTTCTTTCCTTGTCTTTATCTCCTGCTGCTGCGATTGCAATCCATAGCTCAACACATTGTATCCATTAGTTGCATATTTTGGCATCTTTCCACACTCTTTTGCATATTCATGAACCCACTCGCTTATTGCTTATCTGAAGTCTATTACTCACTCATTACTACGCCTGTCTTTACTGTACTTGTCTAGTGTATCAGTTTTCTCGCTGTCTCGTTTTCCCGTTGAATACCCTCATGGGTCTTCACCGTTCAGCTCATAACCAGTCAGTAACTTCTTGTCCTTTTTCATACTCTAGTCCTGATTCATATTTTTAGAACATTGTTGACTGACGCTGTGCGTCTCTACATCACATACTTTCATATCCCTTATTGGTTTTACTCTCGTTGCATTACTGTATCCATTACTCTCGTTCACATACGGTCTCACTCTCACTCTCCTTTACGTCGCTCATTACTTTCCTCGACTCATTCTATTCTGCTTCACTTTACTTATTTGTTGTATTAATACTTCTTCATCATATCATTCTAATGATTCGTACTATCTTCACGTAATTACCTTGTGTTTCATATGCTGTGGTCGCATCAGCACCTTTTGAAGCAACTACTGGTACATCATTTTCACTATTCTTTACTGCTATTCTGGTACTGGTGTGGAATCAATGGAATCAATGGAATCAATGGAATTTCTGGATGGTCCTGCAATACAGTTGGATGTCATCGTGCGTGAGTAAGTACTGTATATGGGTGAGTTTGAGTGCCCGGATCTGCCAATAAGTCTCCAGCATAATCCATGATGATATGAGTGTTCCTTCAATAATTCTCGCGACCCTTCCGCTATCACGCATGTATCTCTTGAACTTTTCGAACGTGTATGACACTTGCCCAAATGAATCGGCAATGATAGGTGTATTTGACACCGTAATCCCCGAATGCCGGTCTTTCCATGCACATCGCAGTAGTCTCAAATCCAGACTGGTGGAGGCGGAGGTCTCAACGCTAGCTCTGGGTTTGAGACTAATGCTAACGCTGCAGTGGCGTTTTCAAACCAATCCATTTTTTTGTTTTTGATTATCAGTCTGAATCACATCAACAGATTTTGAAGTATTACGCAGCGTCTTTCCATGTTATAATTATGTGATTGTTCAAAAACTTGCTATAGCAAGAGTGATGAATTCCAAAACTATTATAGTGGAGTTTTATATGGCCCAGAGGCCTGATCGATCAAGCTTGTGTCAAGCGTCAAATGTAGCAGGAGGCTCGCCAATATTAACTGTTGCACATAGTGAGTCCTAGCTATACAATCCCCACAGATGAAATTATCCGGTACCGTGGTTTTTAATGCGCCCCAAGTTCGGAGAAAATAGATTCTCCTGAAATTACACGAAAATAATTCCGATGAGACTGTAACACTTTAATGCGTGGCTCAGCGCTCAACCCCGGACCAACGGGGGGTAAGTGACGCAGTTTTTGGACCACCGTGTTCTTATGAACTGATAATTCAAGCCAGTCCGATATCAGCGAGCCGCTGTAATGTGCAGTTGGCGCCTTGGATTGGCGCCAGATGACCCCTAAGTCGCACACTTCGATAAAGTGGAGCGGTGTCAGAGTATCGAATGAGACTGCACTGGGTCAAATATATTCAATTGCGAATGAGACGTCGCACCTGATTCAAGTTGTTATCGGCGTTTCCCGTACCAGGCTATTGCCCTGAGAGGCCTTCAGTCTTTCTTCAAGTCTTTTCATGTCCAACGGTCTTGTTACTCCTCATTACCAGCTACATATTCGTTACCTTATCCCAACCTGCACTTAAATATGAAATGGATCACTTTCAGCTGCAATTTGTACGAACCAGCCCAGTGAACATTCGAAGATCTTCACATAAGGATCACGGTCGCATCACAGTACTGTCAGGCGAATCCTGTGTTCATAGCCAAATCAACGGCTCTTATTCTCTCGCAGAGGGCTTCTTGACCTGCGCAGTCAGTAAGGTCACATGGGACTGTCAAACGTTAAACCGAGTCATTTTTTCACTCGACCAACGATGTATGTTCAAGAGCCTACTTCATTTGTCCAGAACGCTATCAACCTCAAAGCATCCGAAATAAATATGGCCGCACATTCAAAAGAGTCTCTCCAGAAAATACTCTCGTCTCCTCCCTTCGTGGTCGTTGACGGCGTCATCAACATCCGTGATATTGGCGGTTGTGCAACCTCTACTACTCCTGGTCATGTTGTCAAATCAGGACTTATATTCCGTTCAGGTGAACCATCTAGAATCACAGAAGAAGGAAAGAATCAGCTGCGAGCTCTAGGGATTCACAAGATATATGATATGCGCTCGGACCACGAGATCAAAAACTACAAAGCAGCTTCTCTCGATATTGAAGGCATTGAGTGTATTAGAGTCCCGATCGTACCTAAGGAATTGAATGATCCAGTTTTACTAGTACAAGGGTAAGGATTTCTCTGCTCTTTATTCGTCTTTCTATTAAGTTGTCATAGACTCCAGTCATATGCTACCGACGAGTTGAAGGTACTTGGTTTTCACTTTATTATAAATTCTTGCTGACTGAAATTTATTTTTATTGAAATATTACTATTAGACATTCCTTTCTTCTTATGACGAAGGTCTCGAGAAAGGGTGCTCCGCATTTGAGCAGATTGTAATACACCTGCGAGATGAGCCTGCCAAGGCTTGTCTATTCCACTGCACAGGTTCGCTCAAATATATGTTATCATTTAAAATGAATGACCCGACTTGACAAATGTATATAGCTGGGAAGGATCGAACAGGAGTTCTTGCTGCTCTCATTCTCATGGTATGCTGTTATTCATTTCGCAACGTGTGTTCACCACGTTTAACGGCTCCTGTAGATTCTAGGGGTCAGCGATGAAGATATATCTACTGACTATTCTTTGACTACCACCGGTCTCGAACCTGCTCTTCCCATGCTGGCAGCTCGGTTCGAGAATTTACCCATTTTTCGTGATAATTGGCAGGGTACACTGAACATGGGGAGTTCCAGGCGAGTCCAAGTTGGTTTGCATGCTTCGTTTGATGGCTAATGTCAGGTCGATCGAATTTGATTACCATTGTCTGTCGCTACTTAGATATGAGACGATGATGGCGTTTGTTGATCTGGTTCGCAAGAAGTATGGCAGCGCCGAGGGATACTTCAAGAGATATACAACTTTAGTAGATGAAGATTTTGAAACGCTCCGTCGCAACCTTATCGTACCCAAGGCAGACTAAATAGTACCACCATCTTTCATCAGAAGGGGTAGCAGCAAGTTGCTATCTGACTGTGGAACTACATGAGTATTTTGGGATTGATTTATTCGAAGGCGATAAATTTTGTTCGGTTCGCTGCATATACGTAAATACCTCATCTTTCTTTATTTTATCACTTGTTATCGTCGATTATGCCTGTTTGACAAGATTCCGTTTGCTGTGTAAGACTTATCCAGGTAAATTTCTCTTTTGACATTTTTGTACTGAAGGCTGTGAGTACATGTGATTACTAGCGCTGGAGTGTAGTTTGTAAGCTTCAGTCAAGCAAGCGCACGCTCATCTTTTAGACTCGGACTCACACATAGATCAGAGATCGATCGATAATCCAAACTTCGCAGCAAAGCAAAGACTTCTCAGCGCTCCCACATATATCCTCCAGAATCCTCGAGGACTATCATAAGTTATAATGTGAAGTTCACTTTTCCTTGCATCAACGGTGGCTGACATTCGTTATCATTGTTTAGTACTAAGTCTAAGCTTATCGATTCCTCGTGCGCCGATCATGCAAGCACCCGAGTTCCATGATTGTAAGATCTTCTGCATTCCCTGTCTGCAATGATAAATAAAGTGTGCCATTGCATATCCACAATCTCATACCTTTGTTATGTTCAGCACCTACAAGTGCCATACAGCCTATCTACGACTGCCTTCAGTCCATACTCGACCGTTTCGATAAACTCGAAGATCGTCTGGATAAGTTAGAACAGCGTTTTGACAAAGTCGAAGCTCGTACTGCTCGTTTCCAGTGGATCACTGCAAAGGTATGCAGTCATATCCATCAAGGCGGTGCTATCTCATGTATTGAAAACAAATGCTCTCTCAGTCCCACAACATACTCTGCGACAGTAACGTCAATGGACAGCCAAAGTACGAAGAAGTTCCATTTCCCGACGGAAGTTTGCCGACAGATGGACAGGTATCGTCCTTCTGTTACATCCATATGAGGGCTTGACTTACTACTCGAAAACTAGCATAAGCTTCCACTTCTCTCTACCTCCGAGGCAGTGGACGAGTTGTCGTCTGCCGAAGCCACTGCCTACCATGAAGGCTATTATCCGGGCGTGACCCCTCCCTACTCCCTTGGCAGTCGAAAGTCTGCCATCAAGCAAGCCATCGGGTGCCGTGCAGGTTGATGCAGATGATTTCTCGTGTCATATTAGCCCAAAATGACCCAGTTGTTATTGTTGAAACGTCAAGAATTGTTCTTATTTAAATTTTATCTTGCTCACTGTACGATGTCTTTGTAGATGTCTATAACATGATGTATATGTTAATTTTTACATGGAAGTTCTTACTAGTGCGTTGCCAATTGTTTTAAAATTTCATTCCACCTTCCAGTTCACTTCCGTAGAGATATTACATCAGACTTCCTCGACATAACTAGGTGTACTAAGTAAACTGTATATATAAACGAGAAGCGTATTCATAGTAGAACGACCATTCACATAAGTAAAACAAGATCCTTATAAAACACGATTTCCTCTATTAGCTACCGCTACCAACAGCCATGCCATCACTTTGAGCCTGTCCATCTAGTACCAATGGCAGCTCCATGATCCTTCCAAATATCTCAAAATTGATCTTTCCTTTAATCGTCTCCTCATCAAATCTAGCATCCTCGATGTACGGCGAGAGAAACGCATGGCTAAAAGCAATTTCCAGCTTTGCCATCCATCGCGCAAACGGCTCCCCCCACTTTGTTAGATGATAAGCCACCCTGGGGCCCATAGTCAACAAGAAATTTTGGAAGTGGTCCTCCGCCGCAATCCAGGTCCGCAGACGTTCGGAGAAACATGCGAGCCAAATCATGACGTAGAACATAGACTCGAGATCGTGCCTGTACATGTACTTGAACTTCCTACCACGCTTCCAAGATAATGGTAGCGACATTTCGCGTGCCATGAATGGACTCGTCCCGAGCTGGTACCATGCCGTGAATTTCCCAGCACAGGGAGGTTTGGTACTCGCCGAGTCCAAGTCGAGTAACAAGCCTTGTACGACACCGTCATTTTTGCTGCGGTACTTGATATTCGCAGGGCAGATATCGCGATGAGGAGATTGGGTGTTCTTGTAGGACGTTTCGTAGCCTGATCGCGATTATGACTGAATGAACAGCAAATAAACTAGATGGTGGAGAATACTGACAATAAAATATATCACGAAGAGTTTTGGCTACATCTGATGTGTCCTTGAGCTCATATATTGGTCTAGATTCCCCTATCACCTCGATCGTCCAGACTCTTTTCGAATATTTGTCTCCGAGGAGTAAATAACTATCCTGCGGTGGAGAGCTGTTCAGGGTTTCGATGTGCAGGACTCTCGGGAGACGATCATCTCCTTCTGGTTTCTCAAAGAATGTCCCATTACTATGTTTGCCGTGGTGTAATCGAGCACTGAGCTTGACAAAAATCCTCTCCATACGCCAAGCATCATAAAGTGCACGCACTTCAGATGAACAATCGGCAGGAGGTTCGCCTACACTTGCACGCAACACGATAGTTCCGGCACCAAAGAGGCGTTTCTCTCTGAAAATCTCCCTTCCAAGCTGAAGTGTTAGGCCAATGCTTAGGGGTGAAGTTGTTACAGAGCCATACTCCTCTGCCTTGACATGGTACGTGTGAGTTAATGTCGTGCCAAAGGGCATTATATAGGGAGACTTCTGACTCGGAATGAGTCGGTCGCTGCCCCTTAGACTGTCGAGAACAAAGAGCATCGACAGAAAGCGTTCTGTTTCATGTGCGAAATTGATGAGCTCGGAGTTGACAATGATGGAGCGGTCATAATACACGATTCTGAGCTGATTATCTTCTACCACGACGCCGATAACGAATTTCCGCCATGTACCTCGCGAGAAGCAATCGAGTGCCTGCTTGGCACACCGAACCTTCCAGCTCCCGGCGTCCTCATCCCTGCCCCCGTTCATCGCGTCAACAAGGCGTGCGCAGCATTTAGACTGGGCGTTCTCGTCAAAGGGAGTACCAGTGGCGATATCTATTTTCGTGGTTGACGGCGCGCGTGAGTCGTCTGATTCAGGGGAATGTTTGTACCGTTTGGGTGAGTGGATGGTGTGTATCGTGGCCGACTCAGAGCGAGGTCTTTTTTGGGAATGTGCAGAATGTTGGAGTACCGAAGATGAACCTGTCTCTTTCGCGCCAGTACTTGTGCCGTTCCCTCGATTAGCCAACGTGATGGGGGCTTCCTCTCCAGCGTTGGCAGAACACGACACTCTGGACAGCCCGGCAGGCGCGCCATCTACGTCGTAAAACGCAGCTATATCACTTGATACAGAGGGATGGGGCAGAAACTCCGCCTTGTAGAGCATATTCAGCGCACAGTCGACCAGTCTCGCAAATGCGCCCGAGTCATTCCTGCCAGTACCTATGCTTTCTTGTTTTTCTAGAGATAAAACGTATAGAGCAATGCATTCTTTGAAAGCAAGTGTTTCTGCGACAGCACGTAGGGCGCTTGATGTATCATGATCCTTGGACGATGACTGATCGTGGAGGACGTACTGAAGGAACTGGTCGAAGGAAAGTGTCTTTTCGTGCCTAAGGGCCTCCCGAATGCCCATAGCGTCTTGATCATCTCCGTCTTTCTCGATAACCTCCTTCTTAAGAACCTCTTGCAATCCCCGCATCCACAAACGGGACTGCGAGGCACTATCTCGACCACTAGAAGCCGTCATGATGCAGAACTTGTATAAAGGAGTAGGCCGTAAAATGATAACACCTAGATGTTCGAACAAAAGTCAGATAACAGCAAACTATAGAATATCAGAATAGTAGACTAGAACCTGCAATCGAAGAACCTTCATGATAAGGGGGGACTAGGTTCTTCCAGATGGCCGCATGGTAAAGCGCGAGTCAATTTCGCCTTCCTTTCCAGGTAAACCCAAGTCCCACTTGGCTGAAAGCCTTACAGGCCTTATATCTTATAATACTACGATGTCAGGAAATCTACTGACGAGACCGAGATTGCTCAAAATGAATAAGATAAAACGCACTGCGGAACAGAAAACATATATCATTGCAATGTTCAGATATTCAAACACAGGACATGACGAAATTCAAGTTACAAGAGTTCGCGGCCAGTTGAATGACCCAAGTGCAGTCCATAACACATGGCTGTTGAAAACCGCATTCATATCTTAGCAGGCGAGCTATTTACCAGATCCTGGTCTCGAGAAGCAAGTCGCTGCTACCCTCCAAGCCGATACATGCCTTCAAGAAGCTCTCAAGAGCATTACGCTGCCTTCCGAGACTGTTGACAACATCGGTGCCTAGGACAGAGATCAATCAATAAGTTTGAATGAGTAACTCAAAGTGTAAAGTACATACCAGGCTTGACCAGGGGGGCCTTGCACATGTAAGACAGGAGCGAGAGCACAGGGTACAAAGGCGCAAAGTCCTTCTGCTCCCCAGTCTCAGCAGCCGCACGGTACTTGACACGCGTGAGCAGCTCCGTCAAGATCGTCAAATCAAGGATCAAAGGCGTAGCCAACAAAGAATCCTGCACGCCATAGTCAGCATCACACACGTAAATAAGTATTACCCTTCTACTCACCTCACACTCGTTGAAGATATTGATGGTTTGCCTCCCACCACAGAAGATCTCTGAATAATACTCGTCGATGGCCCGCTTAGAGTCACCCACCGCCGGCACATACTTGATCACCACAATATGGTCGGGGTGCTCGCCCTTGGCTGCCTTACCCTTGGCACCAGGCTGCGGGGGCTTGTACAGCAGACGGTTCGCATCCACCATGTCGTCCACGACACTGCTCTTACTGATCTCCTTGCTCTTGAACTGCGGCTCAGCGCTCAAATTGTGCCCGTCATTGTTCCCGAGATGGTTGTACGATGCAATAGACAAAGGCTTGATACCCGCGTTCACAAGGAATTCGGCGAGAACGGACTTGAGCTTGGTCTGACCCGACTTGAGATCATCACCACCAATGAAAGACTTTTCGCGCTCTGACAAGGCAATGACACCAGGAACGAACGTGTTCTGAGGAGCACCGTTCACGAAAGGCTCTCCCTCGAGAATGGCAGCAACTGCGAAGAGCGTCGAAGGTGACACTTCCGAGTGGGAGTTCTTAATCGCAGCGAGGACGTTGTCTGCGGTGTCGTTAACACCAGGAATGATGTCGCTGTACCTCTCCGTGTTAGCTGTCCAGAACACAATGACTCGGTCAAGCGCATTGTCCTTCTTGAAACGGCGGATATCAGCGCGAATGTGCTCGAGATGCGCCTGCTTATCAGCACCGGGCACGACATTGTCAGCACGTGCTTCCTGGTTAGCTGCGATGAAGTCGGGGTAGTAGATCGAGGGAAGGGGACTGCCAAGCGCGGCCATGTGAGGTGCAACTTGACGCTGAAGGTCATACTCGAGAACACGAGCGCGCTTCATTGCCTGGTCCATGGGTATACCGGAGATATCCCAACCACCGAGAACGAGATCATCGGGGTGTACCATGGGCAGCACATCAGAGATGGGGACGTGTACTTCCTTGCCAGTAGCGGGGTCAGATCCAAGACGCACGGTGGAGGCACGAAGGACAGAGCCAATGTAGTTGGGCTGCTGGATGCCGTCCTTAGTGTGCCAAGAGATCTGGTGCTTGTTGGCAAGAATGGTAGCGCAGAGCGTGGAGCCGTTGTTACCACCCAATCCAATCATCATCAGTCTGCGAATAGTCATTAGAAAACCATCTGATAGCATTGTATGTAGCGAACTTACCCAGTCTTGCCAACCTTGCGGGTTGTCTGGAACTCATAAGGCTTGGAAGTGGGCGTGACCGTGAACTGACCGTCTGAGACGATGACATCAGCGCCGCGGTTAAAGAACTTGGAGGTGATATGGTCGGGGGTGTAGACGGTGTTTTCAGACTGAACGGTGATGTAGTCGGGGCGACGAGCAGAGGTCGGGTGAACGGGGACGATGGACTCGAGCTGCGAGTCTGGGGTGTTGTAGCCCGACGAGGTGGGAGGCTGAGGGGCCATGATTCAATATAATATATGTATAGGTTTTTTGGAGTTTGTTAGGACTGGTTCTGGTGAGATTGATTGAAAAAAGTGGGGCGATGGCGAAACTCAATGAGCTGCTAAGAAACCTGCGGACGAGTGCTTGGATCCTCTATGGGGGTTGTGACTGCTCCCCAACTGGTTCGAGTACATACAAAGAGTTGATGAAAACTCTTAGAAAATGCGACGGTGCACACGAAAAAGTAAGATGAGAGCTGAAAAACGCTGGGGAATTGAAGGCTTTCTGCGCGGGTTCTTATAGGCAAAATTGGGGCGGTTTAGTCAACGTTAATGATACCTCGAGGCTTTGGAAAGAAGGAAACTTCGGTACAGTATCGATGGAAAGAAAAAGAGGGTAAAGATGTGGAACGACACAAGGAACAACCTTTTTTTTGAAGTCCGGCTTGATTATCGGCGTGTAAGCGACTAAGGCACTAAACCGAAAATATCTTATTACACTCGTTCCATATATTGCAGCAATACAACATCGAATCAGCAAATGATGCATGATATCCTGCTTGTTACGAAGAGACATGTGCAGTGGAGCCATTAGCAACGGGCACGAAAGGACGGTGCAAGCGGTTGGTTTTCATCGTTCGGAAAGATCGATTGTAGTTTCAAATTACACAAGGATGGTATAGCGGTATTCCTGGCCGACTAATCAGAAAACATATCATTCTGCGTAGATGGTCATATGATTCGCTATCAAATGCTTTCAGAAAACAATAACCAGAGATGTAAGAAGTGCATGATGGGAAATATAAACAGGGAGAATACTTCTGGCGATTCAAACGGAAAGCACGAGGCAGAACATGACGAGAATATGACAATTAGTCTGGCGAACCACTGGCGAACCTGTGAAACTCTCAGAATTAGTAAGATATAAGATATTGCTCTTAGGGCACAAGATACATTGGCGTGCTTGCAACCAGGAGACAGATAACGCAGTTTCTTCGAAGCGCAGACACGTTCCCGTTACGACATGAACACGGGCTGCAGGGACGCTCGTAGGATGAATCAGACCGCGGTGTCTTTGAAATAGGCAATGTCTAATTCGAACCACTCACCTGTAAACATTTACCCCCGCATCAGACCCTTTGGGAACATGGACACTTAAGTTGAGGAGCCACTCAAACGCTCATCCGATGATCACTACTGAGCAATGAAAAAGAATTGTAGCAAAACAAGTAGCCTGTAACTCTAGAAGCAAGCAAACACGTTCTTGAGGACGCGATTTCGAGTTGGAAGGGTCGAACAGAACAAGCCTGCAACTCCAGAAGCGAACACGTTCTTGAGAAAATGTTCTCATGTGCGAAGGGTGGTAATTTGGACTGATGTCAGTTTCTCCGAGGATAAGAAAGTTGACATAAAGGAAAACGTTCCAGATTATGTTAACCAAATCGAAGAACGTACCGACACACCAGGGTGAATACCAGTTCGGTCGCGATAACCGTGTTACGAACTCACATCTTAGCCATTTCGTTTCGAAATGAAATTTGGGCGCCATATCTGCATCAACATGCTCTATATCGAATTCAAGCCAAGACGCCTCATTCTCTTATGAGATATAATTTGTATCATTATATGGCAATCGGAAAATTCACAAAATATCTGATATGCGAAGGTGAACTGCGTGTTCTGTTAACAAGGTTGTAAAAGGACGTACCGCCGATCGACAGTGAATAGCATCCTCGTCAGATGCAATGCATATATCTGGAGAGCTGACGCCCCAGGTTGCTTTGTGAGCATGTGCGCTTTTACCAGTGAAGGTTCAGCTCTGAACATGCTGTTCAGGAATAGTCCGTACTCCGTAAGTGTTCTGTGATGGCATCTTCTGGTCTTGAAATATCGTAGCACCTGTATAATGTCTATACAGACGTCCTAAAAACTCGGATGTAGAATGAGCTCGTCGCTGAAAGATCCGTGCTCGCCGCCATGAACGTTGAGGTCCAGCGTGGCGCCGCACGCTAAAGCCCGAAGATATCCAAAGAGCCAAACACACCACAACCAAAAACTTCACTGCGCGGTCGACATCCGTATCCGACCAGGACCATTTGACATTCGCAAAGATGTACACGTCGATGCTACTCAGAGGCGCTCCCCGCCGGGCATTCGCGCCCACACTGAGATACATGGCGTCCTCACCGTCGTCGCAGCCCCCGCCGACGTCGCCTAATTCCAAGTCCAAACCGCCATTGCCACCGGGTCCGACGTCGACGCTGCCCTCTGCGAGTACCTCTGTCTTGCCTAGCCTCGACTTTCAGCCTGCAGAACCTGGTGCGGACGAGGGAAGGACAGGCGCAAAGTCGTCGAAAGACTCGCTGTCGTCTATTGAGCGGAAACGGCGGTTTATGGGTCGATTGACTGCTGGGATGATTCTGATTGGGTTCGGTGTTCAAGCTGCGTACATGGGCCGGGATTGGAGTGAGGAGGAGATGCAGACTCGGAAGGTGGTGCGTATGTATGCGTTGCAACCAAAGTAGTTGGCTGAGACTATTGCGCTGTTGAGCAGAAAATCGAGGACGCCCCTTCGACGCGATGGACACGCACAAAGACTAGGTTTGTTGAGATATTTGATGTTAGTTTTCCCTTACTCTTATATTTCACTTGATACTCAAATGGATGAAATACACAGTATTTCAATAAGCCTATCTGGACCGAGCTCTTACCCCCGCCTCTCCCCGCACCTCATCAGAAGCCATACACACTTCTCCTTTCCATGGATGACCTCCTGATAACTTCAACTTGGGATGTATGTCTTTATTTTTCTTCCATGCAAATACCAGGTCACCAGACTCTGACTATACGCGTGGTTCACAGCGTCAACACGGGTGGCGGACCGCAAAACGACCAGGGGTCGACTATTTCCTCGCATATCTATCTCAGTTTTATGAAGTCGTCATTTTCACCACACAACATCACTACGTACGACGTCTCCTCCGTCTTATCTTCTATTCAGTTACTCATTCGTGGAATCTATATGGTTAACAGACTGCACTCCCCATAATTGAAAAACTCGACCCTTACAATTTCTTTATCAACTACAAGCTCTTCCGTGAGGCTACGCGGTCCGTAAATGGAAAGATCGTAAAGGTACATATTATTGCCTTCCATCTTGAAATCTTAGCCCTTACCACTTGACATGCGATCGCAAATAATAAAATAGGACCTTTCTTACCTAAACCGTGACCTCTCAAAAGTCATCCTGCTAGATACGCATGAAGAGCATGTATCATCTCATCCCGAAAATGCCATCATACTTCCCAAGTGGATAGGTGACCACCGAGATCGAGGTCTCGTAGCTATGATTCCGTTCCTTGAATGTTCGTCCTTCTATCCCACGTAACACTGATACTTATGACTGATGCTCTATCTTACCTTTTTTGTCTAGCTATCGGCATTTATAAACCCCAGGACGTGCGCCCCATACTCGAGGCATATCATGGGAAGGACATCCCGATCGAGTATGCCAAGAAGGAGGTTGAGGCAAAGCAGAAACATATAGACGAGTGGAAAGGCAGGGCGACAGGCTTATCAAGCGGTGGATTCAGGCTCAGCGCACTTTTGGGTGGGGGCTCAGATGGAGTCAGTCTCCTTCCCGTCTCTTCTTTTGCTTGGTTACTTATCATACCACTCATCCCCTTTAGGCTTCCTCGTCGCCTATACCTCCCACCTACCTCGAACAGAAGCGTAAAGAGGCACAAGCTCTGTACAGGGAAGAGCAGGCGTACATTGAAAAGAACAAGGGCGAGTTTGAGCGACTGCTGGAGCTGGACAGAGAGGCGATGGCAAAGGAGATGTCAGGATCGCTTTGGACTATGATTGACTCGATGGCAGGGAATAAGCCGGAAGGAGGTGCAACAACTGTTGCTGCTCCTACAGGATACACCGCTACGGAACAGCCGAAGGCAGCGTCGGCTTAGGAGCTATGTTAATACTTAATGCACTCGTCATCATGAGAAATGTTTATATACTAATGCATGGTTATTACTCCACTCAGTTAGCACTGCTCTGGGCGTCAAGTCTATGTTTTGATATGGAGGAGACCTTCAGCTTGGAAGGTCTCGACCCAACGGGTGGTCAAGAGGATGGAATGACCGTCGTTTGCCCACCGGGGATGAGGAGTACAAGGTCAGTCGAATATGAGATACCTTGCATGTCAGTGCAACGATGTTCTCGCCTTAGCGCGAAACTCAAGAATGCATGAGTTGCTTAAGGACCTGGGTAGAGAATGATTCCATGTGGGCTCGTGTGCTGCAAGTACATCTCATTGCATCGTCAGTCAGGGCCTTACTGTAGTACAAATTTGCTGAGACACTGCAGATAGCATTATGTATTCAGAACATAGCAGTAGCGTCCAAACAGAAGCTATCCCTAAGCCAAAACAAAGACAGCAAGACAGATTATACAAATGTACAGTACTATAAAACACCTTCAGAAGATACAATTCCCCCATGTGCCAAGACATCATTGGCAACGAGTTCTGTCACCAGGCTCTCTTGAAGTCGGCACCCATGCTTGGGTGGAGGGGACTACAAGGATTGATATAGACGCAAAACCATTCTTGCACGAGGGATTAACTAACAGTCCTAGAATGCAGAATTGCAGCTTTGAGAGAAGAGTCAGGTCCAAGAGAACCCGCATCGCATTGCCCTAGCGTTTCGCTCGGGATAGTCTCGTCTGCGTTTGTAAGTTGACCCAAATCGATAGTCGTGAATATCGGCTGGGACGTCTGTCGTGAAGTGTGGTTGACCCTACTGTTATTACTCTCTTCTATAACTTCGGAACTATCCGAATCGTCCTCTTCCTCCTTATGAAAAAGGCGGTAGACAAACGTAACGATTACGAGCAAATTGCATACAACCAGGGATATCGCAACCTAAACAAAAAATCCAAAACGTCAGCACAGCCTGAGATTTCGGTTACTATCCCATTCGGGAATTTAATGAGTTTAACTTGGACAGACCTCAATATTGATGGCGGGGGCTATCAAAGGGTGGATTTCAGCTAGCTGCATGGCGAAGTTGAATGACGACCCCATGGAAATTGAAATGCTAGAGGAAAAAAGGCATGCGATCATTCTGCGCTGCTTTCTGGGAAGCTTAATGTCCCGTAGCAAATGAAGAGGTGCTGCCAACAAAATGGTATCGGTGATGCAGGAGCCTATAATGTTTGCGGGAATGAAATCGCGTTAGGCGTGGTAAGTAGTGGCAGGCGTCAGAATGGTGAACCTTGAGGACTCACAGCAAGCTTCGAATATCACCATGGACCTCATTAGATAGCAATGAGTCCCCCAACCTAGGATTACACCGCATACATAGGTTTTTTGTATCAGGAGCCCGGTGAACATCATGGTGAAAAGACTGCCAATAGCGATACTCAGGCGGCGGCGAGTTGGGGTTGGCGGTATGAGGCGCACAATGGAAGATACTAGGCTCATTCGAACCGCCCTGAAATCCACACCTTAATCCATGAATATTATATCAGTCATGTTTCATACAGCAGCAGACGCACCATGTGATACACGTGAACAGATATGTGTATAGCCAGTAGTTTGCAATGAAGAAAATAGAATGTGAACCTGAAGCAGCATGGTTATAATGGAAATATCGACATTGATGAGGCCCAAAACGACACTTACTAATTGAGGAATATAATACTATGAGGCCAGAAGATACATACACTATGGCAAAAAGAAGAGCCAGCCCAGCCCATGCGTCCTCCCACCAAAATCGCTGTACAGACAACCGGTGCCAGATTCTAAAGATGGCCAGAAGTATGGCATGACATATAAACACAAAAGATAAAACTGTGCCAATTTGAGCCAACTGTGCTTCCGAGGGGTCAGTGAACAGACTTACTGGTTAAGAGTTTTGTGGTTTTGAGCGAGACAGGCATTCAAAGACTGTTAGAAACCTAGTTGGCTTACAGTCACCTGCGAGGTAAATCTCTGACAATTGTCGTGTGCGGCGATACAAGTTACTGACACAAAGAATCCCCGCCAAGATACCAGAAGTGTAGAAAGACCCTTGAGTTGGGTCAATAGAAATGTATGTTTCACGTCAGATGGATGATCTCATGAATCTGACAATCGATGTAGAAAGAGCATTTCTCCGAATAAAAAGGATATTTGCTCTATATATTTGAAGGGTTCAGCGTGGAGTTTGGACTCGGAGTCTGCACGAAGATCTCACGGACTGGAAACCTCTGTCAGGGACACGTCTCTCACGTTGTTAAGCGTAGATTCTTCAACCTCCAAGTTCGATATAGCATGGTTTATAGTTGATCACAGAGCCACACTCACTTGAGGTTCGAGTTCAACGCTGGATGAATCATTGTGAATTTGGCCGGACATTCAATACAATACAGTACTACAATTATTAGATAACATTGTCACAATTGCCCCGTTGCAGCAGCGCTTGCAGACCGTGGATGCGACACAATCTACTGTCTATAGGGATTATCAGGGGTCCTATGTTGGGTTGCTCAGACTGATCCAAATACGATAGCACGAGGCACACGGGCCCATCCCCGTAACTTGGCTCATATGACATGTTACCGAAGACTCGGCGAAGAGCTTAGTACCATTCCCTTGGCTTTAGTGGATCTTTGAAAATGAAGCAGCCCCAATAACGAAAACACAGTAATCATAGATTTGCAAGTTGTCGAATGAAGCAAAAATCGAATGTCACGTGCTTCAGGAAAACTGTATAGCACCGGATAACTCCCGCGGAGTTTCATTCTGGACATTCTTAAGGTTTTTTCTTTAGACTGACGATGTCCATGATGTTCTGAAAAGCTGTCTTTGCCATCCTTTCTTTCTTGCGTGGTCTCGTCGGCTTTCACTCTTATTGTCTTTTGACAATTGTCGTGTTCTCCTAATGGTGTCACTTCCTTGTGAGTATCCCTCTTTTCACGTTCGTATATAAAGATGAAATGTATCATCAGACCTGTTCTGACTCTTCTGGAGATAACACGATATTGCCTTTTATTTCTGATCTTCCCCGTTTTACTGCCTGCATTCTTCAATGATTTGCTAATCGTCATTTTTCTAATCTCTTTTAGGATTGAATTCAACCACTATATGCGGTTATGCTCATTGCAATTTGCCAACGAAGTTTATCTTCCATCCCAAATGGTTGTGTGCCGTCGTCAACCGTCCTCTACCTCATACGATGATAACGCTATGGAGTTCAGAGGTGTGTCCCTAAAGCAGATATTCACTTGGTATCGGCTCTCTGGGTGAATATACTTAATGTAAGTTAAGGTATTATATTTTCTCGGAGATTATATCACACTCGATGTAAATACATTTGGTGTGAAATCAAACGCTGTCTTTGTGTGACGGTCTATAGACAATCGTCAATGGTGTACCACCAACTTGGAATACATTTCCTTAAGTTGTCGAAACCGAACCCTGTTAAGACTCTGCAAGAATAAGCATTCAACGGTTCTAGCGCTCGTAATGAGAACTGACTGGGAGGAATCCTCGCAAGATTCTGTGAGGAGCATACGGTATGTCAATGCGGATCTTCCTCTGTTGTACGCAGGTCATACGCGTTGAGAATCGAGGCCAAAAAGAATTGATCCATGGAGATCAGCAAAAGAAGTGCCCGCTGGCTGGATTGAACAACCGACCTCATCATGTCCAATACGAGTGACGCGCTCTACCACTGAGCTAAGCGGGCATGACAATCCGAAGTCCGGAGCAATCAAGAGCTGCATGGATAGCCTCCTCCCAAAGATAGCAGGTCTTCAAGTTCAAGGTGTTGCTTCTATAAGGAAGTCTATTAGAAGAGGACCCTGTATATCCCCATGCTGCGTAAATACATTTCGTAGCGGGACACTGATCTGAGATTTTGGTAATTCAACGAATATCTGTTTATTATTAGGGTTCGATAAGCCCCTGGTTAATTACATAGAAGAGCTGCGGAGCGTGAATATCTCACTCAGTGGCAGTAACTAGCTTGTGCGCATTTTGGTTACCCTTGAAATGTATTGAGAATGGTGTGAACTGGGTCCCACAGAGAAAAATCCATTCTCCATTATGAAATCATTCGCTCTATTTCACAACTTTACAATTTGATTTGCCACTCAGCGTTTCGTACTTAGGTTGTTGAGGGATGGTTACCCTTTTTTCCTCCCCTGACGAGTCCCACTTTCTCTCTCTGGTGTTCGCAGGGTGATGCAACAAAATTCTATTGGGTGACAGTGCGGTGATTTCTGTTTCTTATTGTGCGTGAAAGCGTAAGGTCGTTTAATATCATCAAAAAATTCCTGCCAAGCTCTCCTCTCCATCTGCCGCCATGGCTTTTAATATTTCTCTCGCCTCTCGTGCTGGGCGTGCGATCACAGGCCGCTCGTTCGAGGCACTTTCTTTCACTTTAGCAGCAATACTACGCAAGACCCCGAGTTTTGCAAATATGGTGTCTTTCGGATCAACGTAATCTTCGGATTCAGTTGATGTTAGAGCAGCGAGTATTGTTTGTGATGATATTGCAGATGCCGGGGTGCCCGAAACGAGGTATGCGCTGCAAAGGAACGTTTACTCATAGCCTCGAACTCAATAAAATGGACCATACTTTACTAATGGTTTGAGAGCATCTGGATATGCGGATAGAGATGCGATAAACGTCGCAGTGGCCTGTATATAGTGGTCTATAGTTGCTTTGATTTAACAAGATTCAATGCACAGTAGATGAGACAACTTACCATCGTGACTCTCTCTAAATGCTTCACCGACGAGCTCAATACACAAGTCTCTTGCCTTTTCTCCGATCCCGGCATGTAATGATGCACTTCGCGCCACATGCGACAGTGCCAGGATAAAGCTCGCTGCTACTTCCTCTTCATTTGCTCTCGCGCCACTCACTAGTTCCACAACCACGGGGTCTACCCTTGGCTGACTGCGCATTAACATTCCTAAAGCTTCCGCTGCACGTGTCCGCACAACAGCGCTGGATGGGTCACCAACAGATTTCACGAACGTCCTCTGTAATTGAGGAAAGAATGGTTTAACGTGGCCTGGGATACGTTCAAGCATAGACGACAGTGCACTCAAGATGGCAGTCTTTACGCCAGGGGGGTACGTCGTTGCTTGCGTCGCAACACGAATGAGTGGACCAGTGAATGGAACAACGAAAGGCTTGATAGCAGACTCTTCCGTACGCTCGACCAGGTCGCCAATTGCATAGGCAGCATTTTCACGTTGCTCGTTGCTTCCTGTCGTGAGACCGGCAATGATGATAGGTACAGTTGGCGCGACACCCTTAGGAAGACTGAAGCCAGGCACATGATGCCCAGGAGCGCCTGTCCCTTCGATGGTGCGCCGAAGAGGCACGACGAGCGGCTCGAGTTCGTCCTTTGGTAACGACTTCACGAAAATATCGAATGAACGCCAAGCTGCCGTGTGGACAGGAACTTGGGAATCTTCGAAAAGAGACACGAGTTGCCGTATCCAATCAATGCGGTAAATTGATGAATCGAGCTCAGTTTCTTCGCAGAAGATAGAAAATAGGTCACAGGCACTGATGCGCCGCTTGGGCAAGTCATGTTTGGCCCTGAGCAATGGATCAATAATATTTTCAACGTCATTTAGTTAAGGCGCTTACCATCCAAGAAGAAGAAGCATTAGTGTATTCAAGCCTTCGGGATCACTGATAGACGCAAGTAAAGCACGCAATGCTTCATCTACGGCATCTTTCACTTCTTCGTCTTGCCCATCTTCGAGGACCTTAACTAGAGCGCTAAGAATGATTGTCAAACGTTTGCTCAGTGCGTTTCCAGCAACCGTGACAAGGGATGCCAGTGCACGAGCATTGAAGACCGTCATGGGTGTAGCGATTAGTGTTGGGATCAAAACTGGGAACACAGTTGATGCGCGGACCTACAAAAACAAGTCAGATTTTATTTGCTGGTAACGTTTGCAGAATACTTACCGACATAACTTCCTTGAGTGCTTGCAGAGCCGTACCCGAACTCTCTCCAGGTTGACGGAGTGCCTCCAACAATGTCGGAATAGTTTGGTCAATAGCTTTAGCACCCAGATGTTCTTGCAAAACATCAAATGCCTTGGCCGCTGCTGAACGAACGACCGCTTCGTCATCTACGAGACAATTGCGGACTATAGTGATGATATCTTCCTCGTACCCCTCGCGTTGAACATCAGATGAGCTCTCCCTATTGTAGCGTGAATTTTCAGTGGAGGATGATTGTGCTATGGCTCTTACATGACATCGCAAAGCACCAAGCAAACTCCTTCCCGGGTTCTTGAATCTGATGAAGGCGCCTTGGATCGCAATATAGGGACAATATCGCCCAGTATTTTCTCTCCAAACTTGCGACAGAGCTCGGTCGTTGTACGTCCTGCAGTCTATTAGAAATATGAGCATCATACTTAACATAGATAGTGGGTTATTGACCTCCTGTTGTTCGAATTCGGGACTGGAGCTCAGTTTCACTATCTGACCCACCAACTCGGGAAGGATTTCGCGCACTGTTTCATAGCATTTAGCACAGCTACGGAGAACAAAAAATATACCCTCACCTGTTCGAGGAGTATTGTGTACGAGGGCCTTCCAGATATGTATCGAAGATTGTCGAACGACATTGACGGAATCTTGTCTAGCTAGGTAGAGTGCAGAAAGGATTCTGTCGCGACGTTCGGCTCCAAGTACATCTGTGAGTGCACGACGGGATGATTCCGCTGTGTGGGCTTCAACAGCCTCTTCATCCTCTTCTATCTCTGCTTTTCCACTTATTCCAGATACCTTGAAAAGTAGCTCTCCAACAAGTGTAATAGATGATTGCTGGTATCACATGTGAGCATTATTTCATCAGACAAAAGAAGACATACCCTGATTCGCCAACCTGGATCAAACATGCCTAGCTCAAGCTCGGGCAAAAGAAGATCAATTGCTTTGCTCGAGTAATTCGTCACAACCATCCTTCCTGCTCTCATGGCAGCATCTCGCACATATTCTTCCGTATCGGACAGGCCACTCAGGATAGGAGATATAATTTTCGGCAAGTGAGGCTGGAATCGAGAACCAAAGGTTGATGGAAGGTATACAAGCAGAGACATAAATCCTTCTCTGACAGTACTGCGAGGCGACTGAGCGTTTGCAATAATATCGGGTAGCAGTCCTTCGAGCCTCTCCATCCCAAGACCTGATAAAACTTCGCTGAGACCCTGAGCTGCACCCTGGCGATCAACACCAGATGTATCCGTCTTGAGTGTCCTGAGAAGTCCTGGCACTAAATCGGGGAAGTGAACTTCACCGAGCCGCTCTACAAGTGTACCCAAAGCTTTAGCTGCTGTTGCTCTCGCTTCAGGGACTGGATCGACGAGTACAGTGTGGACCATGGGCAACAGGCTAGATAAGTAAGGGACAAAATCTTTCGAGTCCGTTAGGGACGCGAGGTTGCCTACAATTTGTGCAGCCTTCTTCTTTGTATCTGCACCTCGTTCCCGTAATCCTCTTTCCAATATTGGAACAACCTAGTGAAGGTCATAAGCATACCAGAATCCAAATAGTGTAAAAGCCTGAGCCTACCAATGCTAAGGATGAATGATCTATGTAATGCATAAATGACGTCTTTAATAAAGACGAGAGGGCATTTGGCGTTTTGGCCGGATCAACCAGTGCTTTGAGTAATATAGGGACCAATGACTGAATCTCGGGATTGCTGATCACTTCGCCGAACTGTTTAAGACTCCGGTTAGCAGATGTCTTGACTTGAGCGTGAGTATCAGTCAGGACCCCAGTGAGGCGAGGGATGACGATCGGCAGCGATAGGGAGAGCTGCCTAGGTGAACAATATGCCATCATGCCCAGAAGCTCGATTGAGCCTTTCTTCGAACGCCATTGTTTTTCGTCGAGACCAGAAAGCAAGGATGGGAGGATCAATTTGACTCCATAGCCAGACATATTACCCATGATAATTCGAGCAGTATCTTGAGCGGCTTCTCGAACATCGGCTACCGCATCGCCAAATGCAGTGAGCAACAGAGGGAGGATGGTTGTAATGTAGGGCTCGAAAAGCCTTCCAAGAGTACTGGATAAGGTCTCAAAAGCAAACATAGCACCCTGGCGGGGTTCGTAGTTTTTTTTGTCTTCTGTGGCAGCATGTAGGCGGTCAAGAACATTGAACTCCTTCATACTATTTATTCCCATTCCCTTGACCACACCTGCTATCCCATAAGCAGCACCCCGGCGCGAGGCATATTTAGGACCATCAAAGAGTTCTTCGAAGAGGCGATCGACTAGCTGAGACAGGCGTGGCTTCATCAAACGAACCAGAGGAATTAGGCAATCAGATACCGCCATCTGCACTTGCTCTGCAGGTGTTTTCAAAGCTTCGACCAGCCTGTCCACAATGCTTGGTATACGGGCATCAGACGAGTCGAGATGTCTTGCAACACGGCCAAAGAGGATCACGACCGCCTCCTTGATCTGATCACCGGCCTCCGTAGCTGGACTCGGATGGGACAAATGCTCCTCGAACATTGAAATCAAACCAGCCAGTCGAGTGGAACCATGAAGATCAATTACAGCAGTACCTGCATTTAGCATACCACGCCGAACTTCCGCTGTTCGATCGCCTAAAGCTTCTTGCTTGATCAAGAACGTGAAGAATGGCTCAATCACATCTTCGGTGAAAGACGGCGCAACATTCTCAAAGGTAAGAGCAATCGCAAGGCGGGCTGTCCAAGGATCTGTGCGATCGAGGCTTTGTGCAATTACCATTCCCTGCGTGCGACATGTGAGGAATATTCGTGAAGAAGTGTAATTGTAGTCTCACATATTCGTCAAATTCGGGTGCAAGGATTTTGGCCTATACTGAGACTGAGCATATCGATCGTTACAGTTGACTGGGGCCACTTGCCTTTTCACGATAGAGTTCTTGCAAGGCATCTACTGTATGCTTAATTGTATGTGGCCAATGTTCGACGGCCTCTGCGATAGCTGAAGCAGTACTGGTGCGAACATATACATTTTCATGATCTAAGGAAAAACGTTAAGAAGTGCAACACTCTCTCACCAAGTATAATACTTACCTAAGTAAACCAAGAGTTGCGTAAGGAAGGACTCAGGAACATCTAATCCGTTGTCATCGAATACATGCCGAGCTAGTCTGGCGTTTTGTTCGTCGTTATCATAGCTAGCAACCCAAAGTTCTGGAGACCAATCAAGGTCCGTCAAGTCGAAAGGCTTGTCGAGGTTGTATGAGTACACTGAAAAGCTCGAATATCAGGAAATGCCATCACCTGCAAAGCCTGAAGACACGAGTTTCGAGCATACACTTCTTGCAGTAAAACCCCATCTATCAAAACAGATATCTCCTCTCGGCTAGAGTTAGCATGGATAGCCTCACCAATGCCGACGAGAATGGACGACGCTTCTTTGCTGAGTCTTGGTTGTTGTCTAATGGTATGTAGAAGAAGCTTCATTGTCTCATTCCGGGGGAAAGACTGGTCGGAAACTTGAACGAAACATCAATAGGCGACCTTGCAATAGATGAAAGCCAAATAAGCATACATTCGCTACAATGAAACCTGATAATATCCAGCACCAGGGTAACTTGCTCAAGAGCTTCCTCTTCTTCGGTTGCGCTTACGCCTCCCTTCGATAATATTCGAGCCAATAAAGGAAACATGTAAGCAAAGGTTGGTGCATCAAATGCGGTTTGCTCAGAAAGTGAGCGCAGCCGGTATAGAACTCGAATAATCAAAACTGTTGAAGTTGATGAGCTTTGACCTGCCTTTAGCAATTTAGGAACGCACGATCGAGGGATTCGGCTTGCAACTCTTCCGCTACCGCATCGATGTCCAAACTTCGTAGAGTGGCGACACCAATCCATTTCCGGAACGTCTCGAGGCGGTCTGAGCTACATTTCCCCAAATCCTGTAGTCCAGGGTCAAAACCGTGGTCCTTCTCTCAATAAAGATGTGCAAGTACCAGATATGTCTGAAATGCCTCCGAACCTAACAACCTCTGGCCTTTCTTCAAAGCTCCTTCCAGTAATAACGAAATGATGCTTGAAATATAGTGACGGAACTCTGGGACCAAGCTGGAAATGAGGCTTCCGATGAAAGCCAATCCACGCTGTAAATTAGCTTTGATACTGGTGACTCGCTGACGGACAGCAGCTTCTCTAGTCAATTGGGCTTGAACGAGAGCCTGTTCTTGTTTCGACAAAGTTGCCGCCGAGGTCTTCTTGCTGGCCAAAGACTTTCGAAGTTCAGCCTCCCATTTGGCAATATCCGCATCTTTACCCTTTTTGGGCCCTTCATTTACTTTCTTCGACGACAAAACTTGAGAAGTGAATCAGATGAAAGGAAAGGAAAGAGACTAGGACGAAACATACCATCAACATAAGTGGTGCCTTCTGGTGTTGTCCAGATACCAAAGTCAGATTCCGTTAGCCCGTTGATCGTTTCCGCATCAATATCCACTCGCAATTGCTCCACGAGTCGAGGGAGTGCTTTTCCAGGGTTAACGAACGCAAGAGTACTCACGGCTCGATAGCTTGCCTCTGTGAAACCGTACTAAGCGGCATAGGAAAGTAAGATAATGTTGATACTGTAAAATGGCTCATCTCACCCTCGGTTCTACTGTGGACGCAGTAAGAATAATCTTGAAAATGTTATCTATATTCCTGCCGACAAGGTCATAAGGATCAACATGGGCTTTCTGGCATAGCTCAATCCATAACTGTCGAGACTGTCCGCCTAGAACGGTATAATCACGTGAATTAATGCAAGCAATAAAGGGAGCTGAAAACGTACTTATTAATGGATGATGACCTAAAGCGATCAATTCCACCAATAAGGTCTCCCTTACAGCAAGGTCAACCTGTTCATTCAGGGAGGCACAACAAAGGAGAAGACTAGCAAATTGTCGCTGGTTGGGAGCGATAGGCTGATCTTGCTCTTCGGTAGTGCTGATAGTGCTCTTTGAAGGAAGTAGCTTATCTCGGGTAAAAGATGCGGAGAGAGCTTCCCGAAGGATAAGATTGACAAGCTGAGGTTGGCGTGTCACTGCCGCCTCTAAAACGCCCAGGGTATCCCTCCTGACCTGAAGAGATTGACTCTCGACAGCAAGATGAAGATATACAGAACCGATTTGAGTGCTAAAACAGTGATCAGTTTATACCTCTCATGATTAAGATAGTGCTAACAAACCGCGATTGTTCGTTCTTGGATAGGTCGGCTTTCAAGGAAAATAGCGCTACGTTTGCAGCTCGTAATAGCCAGTTTTCGTCTTCAGGATCGTTGACCTTCTGATAAACCTTATCCCATAGGAGGAAGGATGGCTTCGTAGGGGTACCAGTCAGTGACTGAGCGCTGGTATTGCGTGAGACGATATCATCTATTTAAACGCACGATAGCGCGGAAGAAACCATAGTTTGCATCGATCAAAACGTTGATAGTGATAATATTCAGAAAGTATGATACTCACCAAAACTTCCAGAACGCTTGAAAGGACCAAGTAGGGCAAATATAGCAATGTATCCCTCTAATGGTCCTACAGTAGAATTCAATGGATTTGTAGCAACGTTCTTGAGATTGATCTCGAAAGATGCGGAGAGGGCCTTGGCGAATACAATGGAGGCATCTGTACTCAGTTCACCCATTTCCCAAAGTGTCGCACCTGCGAGTAAACAAAAAGCGCGGCGGATTACGGGTTTTGTATTATTCATCTCCTTAGCAATGATACTTGATACATCGGAGGGTACCGCGATATCGGAACGAAGGAGGAATACAAGATGAGAGGGTAGTGTGGATGCTAAGATAGCCATAGCACCATCTTGTGATTCTTTCAGCACCAGCGTAGGAACAATTTGTACTATATTGGAGGAAATCGCATTCGAGGGTGAGAGTGCATGTAGCATGGAATATAACGCGACACGATGGTCTGGACCAGTTGTTTTTCCAGCTTTGGGTAACGCCAATAGTTCTGTTGCTGTAAACTCCGAGTATGACTCCGATGATTGATGTGTCATTGCAACCTTGAAAAGTTCTATCGCATTACCACGGACCACTGCGTTATTGGACTTCGCAGCATTTAAAGCAAATGAGACGACTTTTTTGAAAGTATCGATTTCCAGAGGGTGGGTGTATGCAATGAAAAAGTCCCTAACAACTGGAGTAGATGTCAGTTTCATTCATGCAAACCATAGAATACACAGACCACTGAGGGAATTTTCTGGAGAGCGCAGCAAAGCCTTTTCCATCGCAGGAAGAACGGTTTGCACTAAGTCTTCTGGTCCGATTGATGTCCGTATGAAATCATGCAATGCAATCTGGATGAACGATTGATAAGCTAATGCAGACGATAACGCGTGTAACGCACAGAAGAATGCGATGGCACTGGAGACTTAGACATGAGCACGGAAGAAGTATAAATATTTACTATATCATCCTAAGTGCTTGTTTGTCATTATCACCATTAAAAATAGTGCAAACGCCAACCTTTGCTTGAGAAGATATTCGAGTCAAAGAATCATCTTTCACGTTTTTTAGACGAATTGTTACGTCAATTGCAGTACTGAGTAAAGCGACCTGTACGAGTGGTGTTTGACTAGACTTTGCCTCTGCGATCACCGTCGATATTAGCGAAGGTAAACTGTCAGGTGTTGAACGAAGAGCTCGACGTAAGCGTACAAGACCACTCTTCTGCATCGTGGGTTTTGTCCGAGTCGATTTGTTCATTAGCATATCTACGAGGGCAGCCATTATAGCGACGAGTACCCTCCAGGTACCGATATGTGTAAAGTCAGGGTTAGATTGGAGACATGTGGTATAGAGTCCACAAGTCCAGCTGAGCAGCACAAATATATCGGCAGGAGCATACGAACTAGCAAGAGATTTAGTGGGTAAACATGCAGAATATAAAGAAAACTGACCTGGGAGACCCGCGTTTGGACATTCTCCCTACCTCATTTGATAACCAGCCTAGAACCTGCTCAGCCACTCCCATCTTGCACTCGTCTGGAGAAGTATGGGGGTCGCCGCGGAGCTCATCTCGCTTGATTATATCCATTCCAATGGCCTCAACGGCTTCTCTAGATGCTGCGTCAACATACCGTGGATACGTTTGTGTTAATAGTTTGAATATGTCCATTGTCTGGCTTAGACTCAAGTCTGAAACGATGAATCAAAATCGGCACGGGGGACGTGTCATTCGGATCACATACTCCCATGCTTGGCCAATGGTAGCAACTCTTCTTGTAAAAATTGTATGCGTGTCCTTGTACTACTGGTTAAGAGTCTGCTCTGCGCGATCTCCATAGCTTTTGGCCATTCATCAAGCACACGATCTCTTCTCCACTCCAGATCGCGTTCGGAATCTCCATTTTCCATGTCGTCCAAAGTTGATGTTCCGGCCAACCAGGACTGGATTTCAGATTTTCCTAGGGTCTCTGGTGGTCCCTCTTTCGATTTTATCCTTGCAAAAGTGGTTTGTCGAGGCAGTTTGGAAAACAGAAAAGTAGGATGTTATGCACGAGGCTGATGCTATCCCAGAGTCACAGAAATTGTGAATAGCCAAACATGGACGGCACCGAAAAGTAAATATGAAATTACGTAATTTACGTGAATGCGAAGTGAGCATTCCCACACTAGCACATTTGGACCCTAGATTCTAAGCTTCGTTGGAGCGACTTGAGTGAAGAACTAAGGAGAACAGCGCTAAGTGTTCCGACGTCTGTTGACTTGAACCACATCCTGCTCCAAGTCTTTGCTCTCTCATTCACGCTGGAGACTGTCCTCGACCAGGATTTCTGCGACTTCGCTGCTCCACGGTAGTGCAGATATCGGTTCTCGTACAACTACCTTCCTTATTAGGAATAGTAAGTTATTCAGCGGTTTCAGTCGTACTATTTATTCATGGAAAAGGTGGGGCTCTCGCTCTTCCTCGCAGAAATCTTCGCAATATCTTTGGATCTGTTGTACCTTCACACTCTTTTTTCTCCAGTTGCAAAACTTAGATTTACTGGTGCGTATTGGACGAGACTGGCATTCTGTTCATTTTATCATTTATTGTATCTGAATGTTTAAATCCACAACAGCCCCAAAAAATGCCGTTCACCGACACAATAGATGATCCAGCGTCTCCGACTTCTACCTCAAGTACCTCGTTGTCTCCGCCACGAAATGGGCGCGTTGCAGCCTTGGCTATCACCGTTGCCATTGTCGGCATCCTCATGTTCACTCTCATCACCTGCTTGACTCTCCGATTACGCCGAGCGCCTACTAGTCCCTCGCAAGAATATGGCCAGATCTCCAATCCAAAGCGTAACTTGACCTTGAATCTAAATACACCGCTCTTCACACCATCAGGCTCTTCAAAACTTACCTCGGAAACCCCCAAATTTGGCTTCAGTAAGTTCAATTCCCGTAATTTGACCAACTTCTTTTTTTGTCTGATGTGCCGTCATTGCATAGAGACCACACCAGCTTCTCAGCTTCGTGTTGCACATCAGCGTGACAATGGAGCTTGGGACTTTTCTGATCCTGATCCAATTGATCAATACGGTCCTTCTGGTGCTCTAAAGTTGGATAAACACCTATCGCCACCATATCCCTCACCTTCGCTACCGCCCAATCACCCAACGTCGTTGCATGAAGAACGTGGTACGATACGAGGGAGTTTCACACCAATCTCTGGCAGCTTCGAGCTTGATGCCCCTCCACCAGCATACTGTCGACACAGTGGTGGTGGGTATATCGTGCGCTCAAAGGAATGAGACTGTTCACAGTTTTATTCATCGTACTGGTATTTTAGCGATTAAAACTTTCCAGACGTTCTCGCGTAACTCCATTTGTCATCCCTTCATTTGTCAATCAGGCTTTCGTTTTCTACTTCTGGTGTATTCGCTGCACATTGGTTGCAGTATGCGATGTTAATGTCAGACTTCCGTATTTTCATTGTGCAATATCATACTGTAGCTAGTATGTTATGTAGTCGGCTACAATTTTTGCTTTGTCAGGAGAGGGCAAATGATTTTGGTTTTGTTGTTCGGGTTCTTTGTACTCATTTACCGCGACTTCTATTACATTAGCATTAGTAGTTCATTCTAGTCGTTTCATCAGTGGACAGTTTGACCAATGACGAGACAGCTTTACTAAGTGCACTTTCAGGAAAATCTTGTCTACGACCGTTTTCGCGACCAGATCACGACGCTCAAGTTTGAGCAGAAACTTTGCATAGATCTGTGACCACATGTATACTCGAGCAACATTCAATTTAGTCCCCTAAGTATAAAGCTGTTACAATTGGGTATTGGGATATTAAGTATTATATAACACGCAAAGGGAGACCTAGGACAGAGAACTGGGTGCGGAGTGCACTCAGGAGTGCGAGAGCACGAAATGAATGGAGGCCTAATACGATGAAGTCAGATTGAAGAGGAACGTAATTCACATCAAACCAGAGTCAGAATGTCCAAAAGCTATTTACGTTCATTCCAAATCGGATATGCTGCCTAGTTCTTCGACACCCTACAAGCTTGAACTCAAGCTTGGGTTTCGCTTTTGGGATAATCTAGTTCCAGCATAGAACCAGGGGGCTGGTTCTCCACCCACATTCCGGGTTCAGCTAGCATCTTCCGGTCCACTTTGCCATTGTGTGTGAGAGGTAGACTGTTTTTGATGATGATACGATGAGGTACCATGTGTGACGGAAGTCTCTCGCGACAATGTTTGCGCAACCTTGCGATCAAGTCGTGGGTACGGAAGGAAGTCGTGGCAGGTTTCGTATGAGAATTACCGAGTCGGTTGTGAGTCGGGGAAGCTTTAAAATCTGGTGACTTTTGATAGTCGATATCAACATTTTGAACCACATAAGCTATGAGCTTGTCATCTCCAGCGACGACGACAGCAGCTTGGCCAATATCGCCAGGTCCAGCACATAAAATGGCCTCTATCTCTCCAAGCTCGAATCTCTGACCACGAATCTGTACCTGGAAATCATTCCGACCCATGAAGTGTAGCAGAAGTTCATCGCCAGACTTGACGAACTTGCCGATATCACCAGTACGATAAACCCGAGTCGAAGAACCATGTCCTTCGAGATTATTGACCATAACTGAGAAATATTGATTCAACACCAGTAATAGTAATTGGACGGGGATGAATGTACGCACCATATTTCTTTGCTGTCAGATGCTCCTGGCCAATATATCCTGCAGCGAGACCCACCCCGCCAATACATATCTCACCAGGAAGACCGGTGTCCACAGGATGAAGATTATCATCCAAAATGTATACGCTGGCGTTAGGAATGCAGCGACCAATGGGAATAGATTGGGAAGTCGAATCATCGTATTCATTGGCCATGTCTAACGAAGATATTGCGAAAGCTGTAGTGCAGACAGAGGCTTCAGAAGGGCCATACGCATTGATCAAGCTCAGGCTACTAGCGGTGGATGCATGGCGGAAGAAGCTCTGGACACTAGCGGTTTTCAGTTTCTCCCCACCAACAGACAACATGCGAAGTGTAGTAGTCAGAGAGGCCACGTTGGACACGTCACTAGTGATATGATGGAAAATTGGAGTCGGTAGACCAAGCTTGTTAATTTTTTTCTCTCGGATAAATGAGACGACGGTTTCAGCGTCTCCCAAGGGGGCATTATAGGCAAAAAGTGTCCCGCCGTGACAAAGAGTGCCCCATATGTCAATTGCAGAAGCGTCGAAGGCGGGATTAATGGCCATCCCCACATGGTCGCCTGGCTGGATATCCATAACCGGGTTATAGACCAGATTCAAAATACCCATCTATATGAAAAGATCAACGTCAGAAAAAACAAACTAAGTAGTGAGACTGTCATTTACATGCTTCACTAGGACTCCCTTCGGGGGCCCAGTGCTGCCTGATGTGAATAATACAGCAAGAATATCATTTCGCAGGTCGGGATCGAATGGTGGCAGCTCAGTATGGCTAGAAACGCAGGTACGATCAACGAAAGGGACTATGTCGAAAGAGATATCCTGCTCGAGAGTAGGCAGCTTGTGCCATGACACAGTTAGCAGAAGACAAACACCTGCTTGCGAAATTTGAGAATCAAGCTTGGTTGATGTCGAGGATATGTCGAGAGGCAAATATGAGAAGCCTGCTTTAACAATGGCAAAAATGGAGACGACGAGAAGAGCTGAACGAGGGATGAAAACTGCGACTATATTATGACCTTGTTCATGATTGTTTTTGAGACGGGAGCGAATTTCATGAGCAAGGTTATTCGACCATCGCTCCAATTCTGAGTAAGTGAGGGTATGATGATCGTCCTGGATGGCAATAGCTGTGGGTTGAAGCTCCACCTGTTGGCGAAAGAGCTCAATGAGATCCTTGGACGCGGACATGGTGAAAAATGGTTTCCCAACGTTCAGACATTCCTAGCCGGTTTTTGTATAAAAAAAAAAACTTGAATGGATGTTATGTCGAACCTGACATGATGAATCGAACTAATCCGAGAACAAACCGAATAAAGTCAACCGCATCTGCAAAGTGGTCGAACTCGCTTGATAGTTTTATGGCTAAGCGCAATTCAAAAGTATGAGCTAATCCCATTTGGGTTTAAACATACTTTTTAGGACCAATTTCGGTCAGGTGACCAGTGATATTTCGATTTAATAAATGTCAGGATCGCAATATTATATCAAGATGTTTCGAACTCCGAACGCTGTGATGCCGTAATGCACACACTGATAACAAGGCGAACTAGCACTCACAGTGGTATCCCTCACGGTCCCATACTATCTTCAAAGGAATATGATGCTTTATCCAACAAGTCCTGAGGCCGCTAAACGCTTCTTGGCCTTTGTAAACGCATCTCCAACACCGTTCCACGCCGTACACAACGCATCTGCACGATTGGAGGCTGCTGGCTTTTCCAAGGTAAGGCCACGATAGTACCAGTGCTTTCGACTCGTATTTGAATCTAGTACTTCAGATCAGAGAAAAGGATGACTGGGAGAAAAATCTAGCACCTGGGGGGAGGTATTATTTCACGAGGTGAGTGCAGTCCCATGCAGTCCCATCTCCGTGTTGATTAAGGTCGAACCATCAGGAACCAGAGTTCACTCCTCGCGTTTACACTTCCAAGGAGCTGGAGACAAGGAGCTGGCCTTTCTATCGTGGCTACTCATGTTGACAGCCCCAATCTTCGTGTGAGTCGCCGGGAGTTGTGAATTCCACAATAGCCTCCCTCGCCTTACATCATATTCCACATTAGGTACGACCAATCTCGAAGAAATCCAAAGCTGGTTATCTCCAAGTGGGAGTAGAAACGTATGGCGGAGGCATCTGGCATTCGTGGCTGGATCGCGATCTGTCTTTGGCAGGTCGAGTTGTGGTAACACAACGCGACGGTAGCTTCAATTCAAAGCTCGTCAAGATCGACAGACCTCTCTTGCGCATTCCGACCTTGGCAATCCACTGTAAGTTTCATCTACCCATGTATGGCTTGGTTTATGGTATATTTCAGCGCTTTCTTTTCAGTGGATAGAAACGTCAATGATTCGTTGAAATTCAATAAGGAAACCGAATTTGTGCCCATCCTCGGACTTATCGCCTCGCAATTAAATGGTGGCGCAGATTCTTCTGAGGATGGTAAGGAAAGTAACGTCCCGAAACCCAATGCCAACCCATCAAGCATTCAAGAAAACCACCACCCCGCTCTTCTTGCCGCATTAGCCCAAGAACTTTCCATTGCACCCGAAGAAATACATGACTTTGAACTGTAAGCATTCTTTGCGCAATCAATTCGTCCATATCCCAGCTGACTATCGTTCAGGGCACTTTATGACACCCAACCCTCCGTTTTGGGTGGAATTGAAAATGAATTCATCTTCAGTCCACGCCTGGATAACTTGTTATCTTCGTGAGTCTCCCGGTATCCTCTTGGTTTGGCGGCCAACTGATTACCCTGTGCATCAGTTTCTGTGCTGTAGAAGCTCTTTCAGGACATGCTTCTCTCCCAGCTTTCAGTACGCTAGAAGGCAACGTAAATTGCATTGCTCTCTTTAACCATGAGGAAATCGGTAGCGTATCAAATTCCGGAGCCCAATCCTCGTTGATCCCATCGCTATTGAGTAGGCTTTCACCGACCCCTTCGCTTCTATCTCAGTCCGTGGCTCGGTCATTTTTGATATCGGCTGACATGGGCCACGCTGTGCACCCGAATTACACTTCTAAGCATGAAGATAACCATAAGCCGGTTATGAACGGTGGTATCGTGATCAAAACAAACGCGCAGCAAAGGTATTCCAGCGATGCTATTGGGTCTTTCATAGTCAAGAAGCTCGTTGAGCGCAAAGGTGGCAAAGTGCAAGAGTTCGAAGTACGGAATGATATGTACGTCATATCGCGTTACTGCCCGATGTCGCTGTCACTTATCTGTTGTTCAACATCAGAGCTTGCGGTTCAACTGTTGGACCAATGTTGTCGAAGATAGGAATTCGGGTGGTGGACGTGGGTAATGCTATGCTGTCAATGCATTCTATCCGTGAGACGGCAGGCACTCAGGACGTCCAGCATGCTATCGATCTTTTCAGCTCGTTCTTTGAAGGTTTCGCAGGGTTAGATGAGACACTGACTGCAGACTAATTATTGGATTAACTGAAGAGTAGTCTTTGTTGTCGCATGTTCGTCCACTGAGACTTGTAACTGTTTTTTGCACAATACAATGTACATTCACACAAAAATAAATCACAATCAACAAGACATGGATTGTTCTGTAAAATACGTCCTAACAAAACAAATATTGACTGGTGTGATCTGTCGGTACACCAGGTGACCGACTTCATCCATAGAATATTTGGTAGGATGGTCGGCCAAAGTAAGTGCAACGTGGAATCTGCTCTGAGGCACTCAGAGATGAAAGATTGTCACTGAAACGTACGACAATCGAACATGTGGTAAACCGGCGCCTGGGTAGTTGTTAAAAGATGAAGAAAAATAAAATAAGGAACGGGGTGATATATATTGAGGGTCTTTAGGGCAGGCCTACTACGGTCACGGTGGACCGGATGCGGATCAAGTGTTTATGGAGTCCTTTCACTATCTCTTTCAAGTTGATATTGCCGTTAATCATTATGCATCCTGGAACCTCGTTTCCACAGATATCAAGAAGTCTCGATGTCCAATGCGAATCCCTAGAAGATTGGTAACATTGGTGCGCCATACTGTCACCTGGACAATGTTCACTATCGGTATCACATGACATACCTTGAAATATCTCCCAATGGACTTGCGAATCTGTTGGCATTCTTGGGAATCAGCGCCTGGAAAGCAAAGCCGTCTGCCGTGCACGCAAAGTCTCACCTTGATTACGGTCACGAGCGATTATGACCGCAGGGCTTCGTCTCTTAGTCAACCAGGTTTATAAAAGATATATAAGCCTCTCGTCTGCGCCTTTCACATCCATTGCACCTCTTTCCTGCATTCCCTCTTATCAGACGTGCATAATGTCTGTCCCAACTCTCCTCTTGAACGATGGCAACTCTGTCCCCTGGATCGGATTCGGCACTGGAACCGCCCTCTACAGTAAAGACGCTGCAGAAGCTGTGAGCGTCGCTATTCAGAATGGTTTCATCCATCTCGACGGTGCGCAAGTGTATAATAATGAAGAGACGTTGGGCGTCGGTGTGGTTCAGTCTGGGAAACCACGCTCAGAGTTGTTCGTAACAACCAAATTAACCAAATTGAAACCCGGTGCAACGCCAAAGAGCGCTTTGCAAGAGTCCTTAAAGAAACTTGGATTGGATCAGGCGGACCTGTACTTGATTCATACCCCAAATAATCATAAAGGGCAGTTGAAAGAAGTGTGGAAGGGCATGGAAGAGTGTAAGAAGGACGGCTTGACAAAGTCTATCGGTGTTTCCAACTTCGCGGTGGAGCACCTCGAGGAAATTCTCGAAGTTGCCACCATTCCTCCTTCTGTCAACCAGGTTCGATTTCTACTTTGTTTATAATTATCACCCTTATCTCATCGCGCGCTTAGATTGAGCTTCACCCATATGTGTGGAAAGCTCTTCAGCCCGTTTTCGAGATTCACAAACAACATGGCATTGTCACCTCGTCGTACGCTGGTTTATCGCCTCTTTTCCGCGGCAAAGGTGGTCCTTTAGATCCCGTCATAGAAAGCATCAGACAAAGATTGCAAACCACTCGTGGACAACCTGTCACTGACAGTCAGGTCTTGAACAAGTGGCTAAAGCAGAACGGTATCCTTGTCATTACGTGAGTTTCATGCAGATTACGCTGTTATACACAGCCTGATACAATGGAATTAGAACTACTTCCAAAGCGGAGCGGGCGAGGGAATACGTTGATACCGTTAATGTTCCCGATTTGACTGCTGAAGAGATCGCTTTGATTGAAAAGACAGGGTCTCAACTACACCAGAGATACTTCGTACGTCAATTAATTGAAGTCGACTGCTATTCATATTTTTACTGATAATTGATTACAAAGTAGCCCGGGAATTGGCCTCCTGAGTAGATCGTTATTCTATTATGCACGGATCAGCCCCAATTGACTTGAAGATATATCTGCAGAAAGCTCTTTAAAGGTCTCTTGTAGCCCTCCATATGTTTATAGTTTATATTGTCCATGAACCATGAAAGTAGATAGAAAGTGCGCGCAGTCGTTTGACTGATAGTCGTGCGTTACTCTGTGATTATTCCTGTCGTGGTTTTTGTCGGTTGTCGGTCCGGTTCATCACGTGCCTTCCCCATGCTCTTTCGTGATTCTCTTTCGTGGTTGGGTGCACTCCAAATGATCGACGCTCATGCCGCTAAATGGCGCGACATCTGACACACCCAATCGAAATATCATGCCAGTAAAGAGTTTGACACATTCTGTCTCGCAATACAAAGAAAACAAAAAAAAGGATTTGCAAGTCAAAAAACCGATCATGAACATCAATCGTTGAATGCGAATCGGTAAATGCCGGGTCCAGGTCTGCCCCGGAGGGCCATGATATTTCATTGCTCTGAGGATATGGTGTGCTCAAATTACGACAAATATGAATAAATTTATACTATCGTTGGACAATAGGTGCAATTGGTCTGGGGAGAAGGTGAATAACTCACCAGTCGTTGAGCTTTAGACTGTCGGAACTCGACCAGTAGATATAATTTTTAGTGTTCTAGCTGCCTATGTAGAAAAATAAGCAAGAACTTGAAGCATTGGAGCAGCGGAACAAAACCGAAAAGACGACACATGTTTTGGAATGGCTCTGCAATTTCTGGTCACACTGGGTCACAGCGGCACTCACAGACCAAATCAGGCGGAGCTTACAAGTCAAATTCCGCCAGGTCACACCAAGTCCTGACGCTGGTGGTATGTGCGGTACGTACCGAAGCGGAGCTAGCGGTCCTTGATTGATTATCTTGTGGTTGCCTGTTTCGGTCGCCTAGTCACGACTCCATCATTGTTTTCGTTTCTCCAGACGCTTTGAGGCCCCAATCAGCTCAGTAAGTATCTGGCATTGTAGGGGCCTACCTATTGACGTTTTCTAGAGAGATATTGCAATATTCCCAGCACGATATCTGGTCAAATCCGGCCATCTTTCCCTCAAAATTCACACTTCTGGAGTTCAAGAGCATAGTGTCAGGTCTGTCGTTGTTGCTACAGATAAGCTATTCACTAAATTCTTTCACAATTATATTCTCTATACTATATTCTACATCTGACAATTTTCTAGCTACCTGTACAGTGATCGTTGAGCCTCTGGAGGCCCAAGTGCATATCTCTTACCGGTTGCATCCGGTGTCCAACGATAGTAGCTCTTCTACAAAAAATAAAGTCTAATAACAGAGGCCCATTAGGACATGTTAACGTGAATCACGTTGGGCTTTTGCTTTTGCTGCAGCCTCTAGCTCACTGAACATCCCACTTTTGAGACACATATCCCTGAATAGACCACCATCTTTGCTTATCAAGTTCAGGGGTGTATCGAATTCGGAAATCTAAGCGGTATAGTATCAATGATAATGCAGGCTCAACGAAAAGATCCACATACCTTGCCCTGGTCTAATACAAGCAGTCGGTCGTAGTCGATGACAGTTTGAAGGCGATGAGCAACTGGCGTACGTTGGATGAGACAATTTTGATATATATAAAATTAATATAAAGATAGTTACCAGTGAGTAGAAGTGAGTCGTTGAACTCTTCGCGAATCGTCGTTTGGATTTTAGCATCTGTTGCAAAGTCTATGCTACTCGTTGCTTCATCAAGAATGATGACTGAGCTTCTACGTAGAAGCGCTCGGGCTAAGGCGATCAGTTGCCTCTGCCCTTGAGAGAAATTGGTACCGCCAGCAGACACTTGCGTGTCCAGAGTAACGACTGTCTTGACGTCCGAGTCGGCGACAGTACGGGAAGCCGATGATACCGAGCCTTCATGGTCTGTACCATGAGAAGAAGGTGATCTAGATGGCTCTCGTGAGGCCCGTTGACTCTCGTAAGAACTTTCGGTGATCATCTGGACACGATACAGGACATCAAGACATTCGCTCTCATCATATTCACCTGCAAGAATTATGAGCCGACGTGAAAAATATCGCGAAATGGTATTTCGTTACCGAAAGGATCTAGATTGTCACGAAGAGTTCCAGAGAAAAGTGTGGCATCCTGTGGAAAGGCAGAGTTAATAAGGCTCAAACGCGATGATCATCGCGTGTGCAGACCTGAGGGATGAATGTCTAATGGAAGACGATGAGTTATCACGAAATTTGAAATATGTATTTCATTACATACCAAACGTGACCGTAGATCTTTCAGGCCGATCGTTGATATATCAATTCCATCGATAACTATTCTTCCACTATAAGGATCAACCTGAAAACAAGATTATGTGAACTGAGGAGTAGAGCACCGACCGAGACTTACAAAGCGTAGAACACTCATAGCAAGAGTAGATTTTCCGCTTCCTGTTCGTCCCAGAATACCGACTCGCTCTCTAGCCTTAAGGGTGAATGAAATGCCGTGTAACACAGGGGGTAAGTCCGGCGCGTATCTAATGACGAGGTCTTCGACGGAAACCAAAGACTCCGTATTAGAACTGGATGGCCAATAGGCAGGAGGCCGATTAGATTCTATTACAGCCGAGGGCTCCTGGGGAAGATCCAAATATTCGACAACTCGTTCCACAGAGCTGATCAAAGGAGTGTCAGTGATCGTTGATAGCTTCATAGTTCCGGACGATGGTACATACTTCAAATCAAGTTCCAAAGCAGTCCAAAATCGACAGGCCCAATAGACACTGACAGTGAATGACATGGCACTAGTTATGCAGATACCGGCGAGACCTGAGCCAGCAAGGCCATACAAAGCGATCAAGGTAGTAAACAAAACCGCGATACCCCCAAGGATATCGAAGTTAAGCAGGAGCCATCGATTCGTCATCCAGAAATTATACCACATCTGTTTGAACTATGTTAAGTACACATTTAACACAGGACGGCAGAGGTACATACCATAGTGGTACCGTCGATTTTGGCGTGCAGATCATCAAGGAAACGCTTCTCGGCTGAGAAAGCTCTGACTGTAACGATTCCTTCTAAAAGTTCACTGAATCCAGAAAATATGGGCGATCGAGAGTTTGACTCCATGCGACGAAGATCACGACCAGTGTTGAGATAACCAACTGCAAGTTGTCTGTATCCCCATGCGATGAAGAAGGCCGGTACGAGGAACGATGGGAAGAACACGCTATGCAAGTTATGTAACGTCAGATTAATGAATACAGTTGGCTGATAAAACAATACTAACGCAACAGTGGCTATAGCTGCGGCGAAACTGGCCAAGGATGAATTGACAGCTTGTAATGATTCGGAGAGGGAGGTGTCTATAGTCTCCATGTCCTATGACACAGATTAGTGGAAAATACTACTTGAAATATATTCAACATACTTTTCCGAAGCGATTGAGCATTCGTCCTAATGATCAATATTAGGACTGTATACAAGAGTCTAAATATGATAATCAAACCTTGAGGAGTTGTATCGTGCCAACGCATAGTAGCTCCCACTACACCAACCAACATCTGCGAAAACAAACGCCGAGATGCCTTAATGCCACCAATATACTGGATCGCAGTCGACAAAAGCATGACGAGGGTGATACCCAAACCGATTGCCGCGTAGATCCCAACGAAAAACATGGGATGCTCTTCAGCATCTGGTAAGGTGGCAAATGATGAATTTGAGCTCTGCATTAACAGCTCTGCTCCCTGAAAATGCCGAGAGTTCCAGAGTACTACCTCGTGCTCTGGTCGTGTATATGACTCAAACGCATAAGAGAATGAGGAGCTCGATACATGACCATACGCTTCTCCCCAGGTCTTTCGTACGAGATTTCAATAAATCAAAGATATTAGCTGATCAAAAAGCGACAACTCACTCTGATCCATAATTTTTGGGCCACGCCTAAGCTCTTCAATAATATGTCAATACAACCGAAGTTAGTTGATACGAGCTATGCTACCCACTTGGTTTACGACAATAAAGGAAGAAAGAATGAACCAAGTCCAGTATGAGCTGTGAATTTAGGCATTTAGTTGGCTTGTGCGAGTGTGTAAATCTATCAAGATGACGTACGAAGCCTTGAGATATGTTTTATATATAACCCACTTCACAGAACCAGACTCGCGATGCTCGTCCTGAATGAGTTTTGATGGTTTCTTTGCTTCTTGCGCAGCATCTTCCGAGCCATTTGTTTCTTCTAATACATTCTTTGCTTGTCCTTCTGCGGCAGATGCATGCTCTGGGGCTTGAAGCACGGAACTCAGTTCGATCGCGTCGAGTATACCTTGTGCACGGAGATCCTTCACAGTACCCTGTGCATCAATGCGGCCATCCAGCATTCGTATAAGATAGTAGGCTCCCGGAAGAACGAGTTCAACGTGATGGGTAACAAGGATCTTTAGAGCAGAGACAAAAGTATGAGCACTCGCAGTAAAACATCCAAGAAAAGAAGAAAACTATAACTTACCACCGAACGGCCTTTCAGCAGAGGACCGCAGAGCAATCGATCGAACAGGAAACGAGCCGTATGACTATCCTACACAGGGATAAGACCGACGCATTGATGCAAAACGGAAGAAAAGTCCTTACAACGGCGCTAAGAGGATCGTCTAACAACACATATTTGGTGCGCGCGTATACAGCACGGGCTAACGCAACCCTAGTAGTATGTGAGCACGAAGTCCACCAGCGGCCAGAAAAAATGGTCAAACCTAGCCTTTTGTCCGCCTGAAAGACTAACTCCCCTGTGATGTGGGAAACAGGCAATGTCAGTTCATTAATCATTGGAAATGCGCCACATAATATCACAAACCTTGCTCCTATCTCAGTCGCGTCACCATCCTCTAGAATAGCAAGATCGGGTTTTAGTGCACAGCATTCGATGACTGCGTTATACCTCTTCTCATCATATGGATAGTCGAACAGAATGTTATCTTTGATAGACTGATGTCTAAGCCACGGAGATTGTGCACCGTATGAAATGGCATACATGAGTCCATTCTCATCCACTTGCGAAGGATTCTTCGACATGATTAGCCTGCCGTGGACTGCAGTCATCTCGCCAAGGAGTGCCATCTACAATTTGCAATAGCTCGTTACTAGTTCATCACATATGAAAAGGATTAACAAACAAGAAGAGCAGTTTTACCACTTGCAGTGGGACCAGTTACCACTGTCAATTCGCCTTCAGGAAACATTACAGAGATATCTTTCAGTTCAAAGTGATGATCTAGCGTTTGAGTGTTTATTGGCGCCTCAGGAACGATAGTGCCGTCGTCAGATGCAGGCTTGCCATGGGTAATCTCTGTGGGCATGTTGCTATCAGTACCGTCTACTTTATTCCATACGAACGATCCCTGGTCAATGCCGAATCCCTCGGTATCTTCTGAGATGCGTTCCGCAGATTTCTTTAGAGATGAAACTTGTTCATCCACCTCGTCCTCATCCAAAAAGGTGGCAATACGGTCCAGAGCTACCTTGGCCTGAAAGATTGCACACAGTCATATAGGAACCAGACAAACCTGTTAGAAGCGCCTTTAACTGTAAAGAATACCAACACACCTGCAAAATTCGCACAATCCACATAGGAATCACATTTAGAGGCAGCCTGATTGGCGGCACATAAATAACTTCAGACAACAAGACAAATCCGAAAAGCACTTACGCAAGCATGTTGAATAGCGTTATAGCCTAACAAATCAAAAGGTTGGAACATGAACCCACCATCAAGGGGGAAAAGACGCACCGTAAAAGCGGTTCCGATCGTTAGATGGCCTCCCAAGAAGACATACGTTGCGAACGCAACGACGGAAACGATCAATGGCGCTGACTGCCAAAGTAAGCTAAAGAACATGAAATTAATCCGTGCTGATCAAATAAGGTCAGTACGATAAGACACTTCAAAGGTTGGATGTCGCACATTTGATCATCCAAGACATCTCTATCTCTCGCGCATCAAATGTACGTTTAATCCAGCGATCCTCCCATGCGAAGAATTTGACGAATTTCACCTGCATTGAATGTCAGCAGATGATGGCGATACGAGATATTCGAGAAACTTACAGCTGTAATGACTTCATTGACAACGCTCATACGCTTGTCTCTAGCAGCTAGCAGGTTCTTCTGGATCATGACACTTCGTTTGGCGACCCAGCTGTTGATGGGCCAACCAGCAAGAACGACAAAAACCCCAGCAAATGCTGAGAGGCCGAGTAACCTAGGGAATATGTCCATAAGTCATCAAAACGAAAGACAGTAATGTCTCAATATTCACTGGTATAAGAAAAGCACGCAAATGACGAGTTCGAATGGAGCTGTAAAATATCAACAGATGAGCGTCTTCTCTTGCCGATAAAAACAACATAACTTACCTCCGTAGAGTAAGTATATTCCTTGTGCCATTTGCGAAATCTAAACGTCAAACGCGTGAGAATTCAACAGCACGCACGACGAGGCTAAAGTACCGTATTCGCGTCACCAGCCATAAGGTTAACAATCTTTCCAACATCAGCTCCAGTTTTTTTGTCATCTTCCTTTTCACTGTCTTTCTTCTTGTCTTTTAATATGAAACAAGTTACATTACATATGTAACTATTCCTTGGAACAGGAAGAGACTCACCACCATCACGACTTTCGTCCTTAGTTTTGCCACCATCGGCATCACCTTTGTTTGTAAGACCTGAAAAATCCCTGCGTTTCAATGCCTTGTCATATATCGCAGCCATGAGCTCTGAGCGCATTCGAGTGGCGGCACGTCGTCCAAACCATAGGTGATGTACTTCAGCCTGCGCCTGAAACGAAAGAAGTCAACAAAGGAGTTGTACCTCCAAAAAAGGAGGTCAATACTTTAATGACAGTACATGCAAAGGCTAAAAAGGCATAAATGTATGCACGAGCCCGGTTTTCCTTCCCGGGTGTAGGATCGTCAATGGAATCGAGGATGCGTCTATAAGATGGACAAGGTGAGTAGGTATATAACCACGAGATAGAAAACGCCTTACTTCAGGAAAAATGGACCCCCATAGGTGAAGATGATACTCGCCAATGTAAGGATGAATTCAAGGCTAATGTTTGTTGTCAAAGACCGAGAAAACAATAAGAGAATCTAAAGCACCAACATGAAATCGAGCGAGTTCGTCACCCAGATGCGACGAAGTAGTGAGATATCCCTGAGATGTCGCACGTGATTACATTGCGTAAGAATGGAACACATTGACGAACCTGTGGGCCATGAATCGGGCGAAGATTGGTCGCGACTGCATGGTGATACTAACGTTCCATACATCCGGTTCATTCAGCGTTGCGGATGTTCCCTACACAGATCCAATTTTGAAAAAAGTAAATACGCATATAACTAGATACAACAGACCTTTTTTATAAGAGGATGTACCCAGAAGAATGTAATCCAACCCCATAACGAAGTATAATCTTCTGGGGAAATAGATTTGCCCTGTATCCAGGATGTCATCATGAGACTGGAAATGCCATTAGAGTTGGAATTGCGACGTACAATATCTTCCTCCTTGACTCTACTGCTTGGTATGGCCAAAGGCATACCAAGGACAATAATCAACTCAATGACAATTGCTACGAGATTGCTAACCATAATGGCAAGCAGGTAGGGTGAGGGAAGAGCGACAGCCCAGACATGGGTTTCGTATAACACACCGCCTAGGAGCAAGGTACCCGCTACGAGATGAGCGAGGTAAAGAGAGAAGAGATCGAAAGGTGGAGTAGGACTTGGCCAGATGATGGGTCGCAGAGCAGCATACAACCAGGAAATTCCGATTAAAAGTGGCACGGATGCATTGAAGGGCTCTCCATTTTGTAAAACAAGTTGCCTTATTCCGATTCCAAACCACGCAAAGGTTGCAAACAGAGCAATCCACGATAGAAATAGGTTCCTTCGTCTCGAAGAATCTTTAGCATTGACCCCTCCAGCACTTTCCACACCTCCTGCTGTCTCGCTTGCAACAGAACATCCGTCGAGCTGCAACCCCTCTGCCTCTTCAAGGGTAATGAATTGGGTGAACGGGATCTTCACCAGCTTTAATGTTGCGTGTGTACATCTAGGGGTCGGTAGCGAAAATATGCAGAATGATAAGACGAGTGCTGCTGGGACGAGGGAGCTCCAGTAACCTCGGACACACGAATCTCGAAAGTCGAAGGGACCAAAGTCAACACAGAGATGCAGGCTTTGCAACATGGTCGCTAAGGAAGTTGAGAGAGAAGTCCAAGATGTTTATTCGTGCTTCCTTGCGGCTGGGGGCTGACTATAAGTGAAAAATGTCAAGAGAGTCCGTGGCACCACAGTCCACACCACTCGCTAGTTTTTTTTACACGTATGCAATGCATGGGTTTACACCAGGGTCCGTGCTTTATAATCTCCCACTGACAGCTTCGCAACCTAGATTCCGTTCTTTTCTTCGCAATGTCGCAATGTCACCTTCTAGATAGCGATAAAAACAGTGTAATTATAAGGGATGAGTTGCGAGAGTACATCATTTACGTAGTATCGCATCAGACTCGGACCTTTACTGAGCGATCTAACTGCGGTTTCTTGGCTACAACATTTCTGAATATGTACGTTCACAGGTGACGACCAAGTACGATATGTCTATATTTCCCAAACCTTGGTTTTCTTGTGGGAGCCTACGACCGAGCCCGAATCTTTTTATCACAGGGCGCCGACTGGAGTGCATCTGATTATTTCGAAACATATCTTCGCGGACTTGCAATGTCTTCGTCTTTTCTTCTCCCTACGGCTACGACTTTCCAGCCACCAATTATAATGGTACTTTTAGTCCCCGTCACGGTACCTTTCTTTACCTCATCTTGCTCTCAAACGCCATTGACAACTACACGTATAACTTCGTCAACGCCCCTGCAAATTCCAGCAAGCTAGCCTCCTTCAAGTGAGAACGCGAGGCATGAGACCTGTTCCTATCATCATTTCATTTCTTCCTTCTTACGGCTGAGTATCTTCCATTTGGTTTCCATTTCGAAGAGCTCACGATAAGGTGATAACTTCCCCAAACTATGCATTCAATCGGCTCTCACAGACCGTGCCCCGTATCCCTGAGCCTAAGGCCATATGAGTCAGATGTGACATCGCTACCATGTCCTCGGACAGAGCCATATGAGCCATATGTGCCGCATCTCTGGATACCACACCGGCAACTATCACGCACTGGCATTCCATGCATGGCTACTTAAGTACCGTAAGTGTGTGGGGGGCGCGATCGCGCTACTGATAGATTCTTTTCTTCGTGGGCACGGTACAATACGTACATTGCTTGTCAGAAGTGTACAGCCTCATGTAAGATAGCATCCGCACAGAATGTACAAGATACCATTCGCTGATTGCAAGGAAATACCCAGAATTGGGCCTTCGAACACCATTACTCTCGGTAAACACGTATGTGATTGCTGTCAATATTATACAAAGTCATCTGATACCAAGACAATAATACAGTGACCAGAGCCTAACGCAGATATCCCGTTCACCTTTTCAGCGCCATCAATCATCGCGAGTCGCAATCGACACACTCAGGGGCATCTGGACCCCCTTCTCCACCTCGCCTTCAACTGTTGGGACCATAACTAGGCACGCCTCGCGCCGGATCCGGTTCGACTTTTCCGTGAGCGAGAACTCGAAGTTGTTGACCATCTCGATGAGGAAAGCTTGGATCTCAACCACACTAAAAGTTTCTCATATGATAAGAGAACTTATCGACCGCTAAATTATTGACAATTACTCACGCAAACCGCCAGCCTATGCAAGACCTGATACCCCCAAGGAATGTCATGCTGGAGAAGAACCCATCAGTATCCATAAGTCATTTAACCGAAAGGCCCTGGGTTTCGGGTTTCGCCAAACTTTAAACTTAGAAAACTCACAGGTTCCCATAAACGCCAACCGACGTCCCTTTTTTCTCGGTTTTACCTGTCAACCATCGGTCCGGATTGAATGTGTGCGCATCTTCGCCCCATACATCCTTGTTTCTATATGTAAACATATGAGAACTTGTCTAAGCGATACCAGAAGAGATTAAGCATCTGACCTGTTGTACCCCGCAATGGACGCAATAATACGGATACCCTTCGGGATCGGCACTTCGCTTACGATTTTGCCAGAAACCGTGGTCATGGGACGAGAGAGGGGTAGCACGTCATCTCGTCCAGCATATCTGTGGACATGATACGCGACAGGGTGGAACCGCAGGACCTCCTATTCAAATTCAGACAGTGTGTTAGTTTGCAAAGGACACATAGACCTCATCAAGGCACTGTGAGACCAGCTAAAGACGTACCTTCATGACAGCGATGGTGTATGGCATAGCATCGAAATCTGCGATAGTGAACTCTGAGTCACCACGCGCACGAACAGACACTTCCGTAGCACGAATTTCAGCCCGAAGACGATCCTGGATTTTGGGGTTTCTCGCGAGTTCGAGGAGGGCCCAGCTTACTGTGTTCGATGTGGTCTCATGGCCTGCAAACAGGACGGTCCTGAGAAGAGGCGAATAAATTAGTCAATTCCTTATGATAATGAATTAAAGGAGAGTCTCACCTCATCTGCGCCAGTAATTCTTCTTCTGTTAGTTTCGTCTTTGCATCTTGGGCCATGTTGGCCTTGACTAACGTGTTATTTTCAGTCCTCTGATTATGCAACAGTGCATCTAAGCAAACCACGTACCTAAAAGTCCAAACACATCACGATTGTTCTTCCCCTGCAACAATGTTTCTGCCTTCTCCTTAACCAGGTCTTTCGCGACACCTGTCGCAACACTTTGCATGTCACGCATGCGCACGATTCGCGGGCTCGATCCGTGATCTCCCAGATAATCAAGTAAACGCATGGGCAAATATTTAGACACCGATTGAAAGAATATCTGTTGTGCGGAGGGAAGACCAAAGATATCGGACCTGATAGTAACGGATAAATGACATCAAATGAGGTGAACTCAAGTTATTGAAGAAAACAGGCGGGAGAATACGAACATGAGGTTACTGTATGACTTGGCAAGAAAGTTACCGCCATCTTGTACAGAACCAAAGTGATAACCAAACGCAGCTTTCGCGTAAAGGAAGATAAAGGTTAATTATTGTATGCACGACAATTTGATAGGAACATGAAAGCAATGATGAGATATAGAAGCGCAGGCAGCAATAACAAGCTCACCGTCTCCTATTGCGTCCAGAGTAGCGCGAGAGAGCCAAGAGGGTACGTTGAGTTCTGCTGACTGATTATCAGTGTTGCTAACGATATCCATCCACTTAGCAGACAGCTACAATAGTTTGGCGTCAACTTCTTCCTCCACAGGATCATCAAAAAAAGACGAAAACACACCTGGCTGGCATAGCCTCTGAACACGGACACGAACGCCTTCGACTCTGGGCCACCAAAACCGGGCAGCATAACCTTCCTCTGTCTCTTATGGTCATCACCTATCGAGGTAAACAGCGATGTAAAATCAGAACCTTACTACCATTCGTATCAAGACAACAAAAAGACGACTTACCGTCTGCCCAGACGATGCCAGGTCCGTTCAGCAGGCGCGAGACAACACGGCGCTCCTTTTGTTTCGGGAAATTGTAACCAGACGTCTGAAACATGTATTGAAGTGCTTTGGGATCAGACACCAACAACACGTCATCCTAGAAGTGATATTGATTTACCAAAAGCAGGTGTGTTTAGAACGTTTGTTTATATCCCCATTTGTGAAAGAGACTAACCCCAATGGCACTCTTGATTCGAACCAGGTCTCCAAACTGTCTTTGCCATTTAAAATCGGCCTCGCCTGCTTGTCCCTGATAGAGTTCGCGCAAGTTACCTTCAAGGATAATGAACGCAAAGATGAGCTCCTGGATAACGACGATGTCTCTTGGGCTCAATCGGACAAACCTAGTAAAAAGGAGTCGGATTTAGGGCCTGGAATGTCCGCCACAGACACGCGTGTGTAGCGACGATAGAGGCCATATACGAGGCCGGTCGCAAGTAAGACGGGCGCGAAGACTGATATGTGATCCAAAATCATTAGTAGCAGGCCTTGGGAAAATTGTGGGAGAACAATGGGACAGAAGAAGATATTTTCATCCGAGCTTATAAGCAGTAACAGTCGAGCTTGTTTCTCACCACGAAGCCGCTGACCAGAGGTGGATGATGTATTGCACGACAACGTGATCGGAAGGGTCGGGGGAACGTTTATGTTTATGGTATATATTGCCTTTTAGAAAATCCACGTCTATCATATGTTTATGTGGATAGGCATGACAAGTGCGGTTTTTTCATATATCGACGTCACTCCGAATCGGCATTGAGGATTGTCAATGAGAGCCAGGGGCAAACTGACTTGTGTATAATATTCATAGACACAGGTGCGCAAGTGAAGGAACTTTGGGTAATTTCGTGTGAGTTCTTTAGGATAAGTGCGACTATTAGGCAACTGACTTACTGTCAGAGATAGAACTCGCGCCGATTTTTGTCAGTATGTACGAGAAGACACAAGACAAAGATCGGAGGCTTTTTTGATTTGCCCCCACGCTCCAAAGCGAACTTGGTTAGCTAGGCTTACTCGCTGGTGCTGATGAAATGTTAACAATCAGGTGGAGATATCACGAGTGCTGAATGAGAAGAAATGATTCAGGTGACAGTTATAGTTATACCTTGCCTGGATAAAGTCTTACGAATAGGTTATGTCAGGAGGCTGAATTCGGACGTGAGTATATTGACGTTCAACTACTATAGTTGATGAGATAGCATCTCGAAATGTACTGGCATGTGCAAGATTACTAAGAGCGCCGCGATGAACTGGCATCGACCCAACTATAAGTATATACATGATAGATAACCATTGCCCTCTGGGCAGACCTGGCCCCGGCTGTGTCCAGATCACACAGCAGGCCATTACAGTTAACATTTTGTGCGGTCTTTACAGCGATCGCAGAGCAACAACGTACAATGGATGCAAGAGTGAGTAGCACCAAGGTAGCCACGTGACAATAGACGGAATGAGGTGCGAGAAAGGTAAACGTAAATGAGTAATGACTAAAAGGTCCTTGGAAAACGCAGCAGACATTTGTGCTTTGGAAACCTGGAACCTACGGGTCCAGGAATACCGTGTCTGTGCGATAAAGACAATGAAATCGGGCTTGATATTCGGTGGCAGTCACATCTCTGAATTAAAAATCTATTATACGACGGAAAACAACAAAGCCATCGAGTAAAACATGCGGTTGTATTCTATAGTAGTGCCACACGTGGGTAAGAGTCAATATCATCAACGCTCATGCAGTCTATGGAGGGTATTAGCTTACTGAAAAAAAGGAAAGGAATTTAATCAGACAGACTTACCGCTTCCTTTAAGTAGGTGATGAGATTGTTTCTGTCCTTTTCTTTCTTCAATCCTGCAAAAGCCATCTTGGTTCCTGGGATATACTGGGACCAACATTGGGTTCTGCTATCCACAGTAATGATGGAACACGTACTTTAGAAGGTTTCTCAAGATATTCAAAAAGAGTTTCCTCGTTCCATGTAATACCCTTCTCCTTATTGGCCGAGGTGTATGAAAAATCTGGGACTTGACCTGTCTTGCGACCGAAGAGACTGGAGTACGATTGAGTGCCTAAAAGTTTGGATAAACACCCTAGATGACGTACCCATGCAAATTGGGTCCTATTTTATTTCCCTGGCTTTCTTCTATGTTATGGCACTGGGCACACCGCGTTTTGAAAATGCTAGCACCTTTAGAGGCGTCACCTGCAAATACAAGTGACTACCGAGTCAGCGAGACATCCATGAAGCTGGAGTATGGACAGACCAGGAGCGTAAGGCATTATGAAGGAATAAGGGTGTCTGGAGAGATATGGTTGTTATTCGAGGTAAGAAGGAGACGGATGTGTTTTAAAACGTAGCCAGAGCGAGGTTGGAGTCCAGATATGATGTCATGAAGAGGTGAATGCCAACTTGGGAGCTCTGTGTCGATCCAGACGGAGCGCCCACATTCCCATCCGAACCTATATTAAATCATGGCATAGCGGAAAGAGCTTTCCTTTTGCTCCAATGCGGTACTATCCAGTTTGACGTAGGCGGCAGCTTTAAATTTTGGGTTAGTGTAAAGCCAGAGTGTTGAAAATCAATGAGCAACTGGTCTTATATTGTGCGTGGAGTGTGGTGGTGTGATTCGCCCTAGAGGTATTTGACTTTTAGCAAGCTGGCGGTGGTATGCGATGGTCATAAATCAAGAGGATGAGTGGCATAAGTCGGGGATTTTCTTGCGAGTCTTCGAATACATACATTTGGAAAGGAGCAGAAGATAATAATGGCGTCATCAGGATCTCAAACGATTGCACTCGTATGCCCGCTTAGCTCAGTGGTAGAGCGCGTCACTCGTATGCCAGTGATGATGAGGTCGGTTGTTCAATCCAGCCAGCGGGCATTGGTTTTAGAAGTATTTTTATCTCTTGTTGTAAAGTTGGTTGAGAAGTTTCCATTTTGAAGCTGGTAACCAAACCTCATTTTTACACTGCGATAACTGAATGAGAGTATGCGGTGTATAATACAATTGTACAATTGCAGAGGATGAATAAATAATTACAAGGTGAGAGTAAATCAAAAGGAGCAAGACTGCCGTGATTTTTTGATGAAAACGAATGGGAATACGAATACAATATAGTGCACAATGAAACTCTGGCTTCTCTATCGTCTCGGGCATCCGCCTCCCTCCCTTTTGTAGAACTTGTATCGTGGTCAAACAATAACACGTACAGTATTAAGACATATCCACACCCCCGCTTTCCGCCTCGAAAACATATAAACCATCCAGTTCCCCCCCCTTCACTAATCCAGCTTTTAACATCTCTCTGTTATCAACACGCGCACGCTTCGCATTATCGACAGACTCCCTGTTGCCACCGTTACCAACACTAACATTATCTCCAGAGGTATCGATCTCCTCAGATGACCGCTTCCGCTGGCGTGTGGGTGTGGACGATTTCACTTGTTCCGCTGGGGTACTACACTGTGAGGATCTCGCCTTGGACTCTGCGTCTCCTCGATTATCAGGTGTAGGCGCAGTGACAGCCAGGACAGGATTTGTGTCACTCGCTTCTCTTCGCGGGCGCTTGGGCGGTGTGCCGCTTTTTTGGGACTGGTTCGTTTCTTGTGCGCCATTTCCCGAGTCACGGTCGACATGATCGCCGTCCAGATCTCCAGAGGACCGTTTCCTTGGCGTCACCGACTGCTGTGTCTGTCGTGTATGCACTTGAGGAGGCAAGCTTAGGTAGATTTTCCCAATTGTCCCCGGGTCCCCAACCACCCTCAAATCCCTACGACCCGCCCTGGTCTTAGCATCATTCTCAGCCTCATCTGAACTAAATTCCAAATCATCACCCTCTTCGCTTTCCTCTTCTTCCTCCGCATAAACTTCCTCTTCCTCCTCTTCCTCCTCCTCCTCAAAGAACCTACGTGGGGACTGCTCCTCGAGACGAACAACATCGACAGCACGCTGTTGCGGATGAGTGGCATAGATTAACTGATTCTGACTCTGCATGGGTAGACAACGAATGTGGAGAAAACGTTCAGTTTGCATTCAACTCTCGCAGCAAGATAAACAAACCTGGACCGGGACCTGTACGGGCTCGCTTGGTCGAACTCCCCCCGAAAATGTCGCCGCCAATTGCAATTTTATCAGGGTGCGCTCACAAATAGCGCAGCGACAAGAATATAAAGGAGCACATGCTTCGCGCCAGACCTATCACGAAGTGTGGATAAGCATTCTAGGTCTAACACGAACGAAAAGGGAGTTGGGATCAATTATAAGATGACGATGAAGGGGTATAGAAGGTCAAAGTTATAGCAGAATATATTACGCACCGATTTGAATGCCTCCATACTGTATTGCGGCATTCCCTGGGATGTAAGCGGGACATAAGGAATGGGATGTAGAAGTGAGGGAGACTCGAGGACAGGGGAAATGGGAATCGGGACGATGGTCAGCTTGGTATTCAAGCCTGCAGTTGATTTTGCACTTGGACTTGTAGTAAGGGAGGTGGTAGACTTCTGTGCCACACTAGAAAATGTCTCTTCCTTCTCCCTGACAGGAGAGGGAGAAGGAGTCGTCCTTAACGTGGTAGTGGAGAGCACGGGGCTAGTAGCATGGGATCCATCGCTCCGTTCCGTTCCCGTACTCGAAGATTCAACATCTTCGTCGTTTTTCTTACCATCCATTCTCAGCCCCCTTTCACTATACCCATCATCCTCTTTGGTCAGACTATCATCAGCACTACCACTCCCTGTGGCAGTCACTTGTTCGTCCTTCACGACGATCCAATCTACTCGATCAAACCACACACCAGGAGTGCGTAATTCTGTAAGAACTTCCTCCATCGACATCCTAGCGGCGCGTGTAGCTGGGTCTACCCTACCATTCTCACTTGCCCCAGCTTCGGCCACCATTCTCTTCACAATATTCTTCATGGCTGGCAGTAATATCAACCGCAATTGTTTCTGGTATGCTCTGTACGCTTGCTCGCAGAGCGCAAATGAAGGGGGAGTAGGCGCGTCGATCGTCCGTGATAGAGGGTGAGAGTGAGTAAGTTTAGGACGTATAACACGGTTATGAGATTGAGACGATGGAAGACAGGGCGAACAGTAAGAGGGAGGCGAGTGATTTGCGGAACGCGAAGCCGTCATTGACGTTTGACGATATTGGTGCTGATGGGCAGACGACCCCAAGTTTCCAGACACGCTCCAGGGACAAGGGTGAACAGCGCGTACGGTTCTCCATCCCCCGTCATCACCTTCTACGTCGTCATCGTTTCCTCTCTTCCCGCTGACATATCCATACCACTCATCCGCTGGGGAGCACCACCAACCATCAAGTATCCGTCCTCTCGCCCAATCCAGGATTGCGAGCTCCCGGATACCACCTAAGTCTTCGGTAAGTGTAAGGAGATCAGGGTCGGAAGTGTCTGAACGGTCAGAGAAATTTGAACAGGCATCATCATCGTCTGAAGGGGAAAGAGTCGGAAAGCCACGGGACAAGTCGACGTGTAAAGAAGCATCGGTATCATCTTGAGTTGAAAGACTGGAGTCCTTTAAGAGGCAAGGGAGCTCAGACGAAGAAGGCGAGGACCGATCTCGATCCTGCGATAAACGGGAAGTGTCGAAACCATAGTCATAGGAATGCGTTGAACGCACCTCCGCTTCTGCCACATCGGATCTAACATCTTGCTCTGCCTCGAAACCCCCTGAGGAGGTATAGGAATGAACATCATCCAGAAGGGTATGAGACGGAGCGTCATCTCGCTGAGGGACATCAGAATGCACGGATGTGGAGCGAGAAAGAGGTCGACCGTCTTCTGATACTGTTTTTTTCCCCTTCGCATTTAAGTTAGACTTGCCATTTCCTACTTCACCTTCCCATTCAGTAGCAAGTAGTGTCTCTTCTGGCGCGCGTTCCTCTACGAGTCCACCCATTTCTTCCATATTCATGTTATCTCCCATTCCACCTCCACCTTCCCACCTAGCAGCAGCTAAAGCCTGCCCCATCAGTTCTACCATCTTCGTCTCCTTCCTTAACCACAGTTTCTCTCTGGCTACACATAGAACCTCACTTATACTCCCTTCTCCTAGTTCGATAAAGGCGTCGACGGTTTGACGAGTTTGGTAGTCCGTGCTGTGAAAAGTAGGGGGCCAACTAGACAACGTGGAGGGTGTAGAAGAACCCATATTGGATGTAAGCTGTGAATGCGAGGAGAGTGGCTGCGAGACCGTGGTAGTAGATGAATTGTTATTTGGAGCATGAGATTTGGTAGGTGCATACAGAGCACCACCTATTGCCTCTCGATCCCTCTCGCTTCCAGAAATACGGCGCCATAGAAACTCTGTTCTGCAGGAGCGACAAGTAGTTTCAACTCCCGGCCATGTTTCATCGTCCTCATTTTCGGCACAGCACACCATGAGGGAAGGATGTATAGGTGCATAGGGGCTAATACCGGCCATTGCATTCGCGCCCATGGTACCAGCAAATGTCCCCCAAGGTGGCGGAAATCCTCCCATGCCAAACCCAGTCAGACCTAATCCACCGGCGCCTCTGTACCCAGTCTCTGGCTCGCATTCGCTGACAGGCGCCTCTCTTAAACAAACTCCACAAAAGAAAGCACGTCGATGGTCTTTGCACAGCGTAACCACTCCCAAAGTCGGTGTAGGATGAGTACGTTTTGCAAGGAAAAGACCTGTGGAGATATAGGTCGCAGGGGGTGCATTTATGAGACATACTATGCAGGATGTCGATGTCAGGGTACGGAAGTGGCGATAGGGTGACGGTGTCTGTCGAGGTGCATGGGAGGAGTGATGGGAGGGTATAAGTGGATTTGTGTGGATATGTTGTGCAAGCGTATCATGAGGATCGATGATTGAACACGCTTGGTACCAAAATAGGTGTGTTTCAACTGTTATCGCGTTGTGTCAGTCATCGTATATATCTGATTGGGACACAAGACATGTCAAGTGCCAAAGATGTATGATAGAAGTTTAGAGGATGATAGATAGATAAGAACAAATTGTATAAACATGGGACAGAAACGTAAAGAATCCACATATAAACAGCCAAAAACTGACAGCAACTCGAAATATATCGTCATAAGAAAGAGAAAGGGACTCACGAGCTGCCTTCCAAGCTGGTGAGACGCGCATGAGACGTTCTAGGTCGTTTGCGTCGCGTAATACTGTATATACTACCCTGTTGTGCCACATCTCTTTTGTGAGCCATGTGTGCGGGATGTAAGTGCTTGCTGTGAAATCAACGAGATAATGTGTCGCAATGATCCTAAAAAGCGATAGGAAAGGAAAGGAAAGAACAACAATGGGGCCACGACGCAATGGGAGATGAAAGGGAACATTAATCAGAATATTACATTTGACGAGCTGCGGGTGGCGTACCTGATGATGTCTGGCGGTAGCTGCTGCCAGGACCGGTTTGTATATTTGCCCTTGTAAACATCGCCCCCGCGCATTAGCCCACTCTTCGTTGTTGTCGTTGCCAACGGCGTTGTCGCCGCCGCTGTTGTCGCTGATGCTGGAACAGATGCCGACGTTGCGCTTGTCGTTGTAGACGACATGACGCTTGTGTGACCAGTGATGAATTTGAGTAATAAATGGAACTGGTGCCGGTGTCGTTTGCTGAGATCTGAAGCGGGGGGTGACTTTATCGAGTGACACTAAACAGAAACGATGCAAATGTCACACCCCTACAATAAGGTTATGGCCACACCCGCAATATTGCCACGCACGGACCATCCAGCCACAGTCAACGGTGCCACATCGTTGTCTAAGTCAGACAAATCATGCCGACCAACAGAATGTGATAGGGCTTTCATCACTCGATGACATACAATGCCGAACAAAAATAAGCATAGGGACACGAGCACCTAGGAGAACATCACGAAAGCAACTCACAAACGCGTCGGCTTTGGTATAAGTTCTCTCAGGTATTTTTGTGACGCGACCCCACCTACCAGGCTGATTTTCATCAACGTGTAACATGCTTTCTACAGTTCTGACATATATACATATGGCCCATGATCGTAAACCATATCGGGTGTCAGTGTCGAGTTCCTACTTTCATCAAGGTCATGATTCTTTCATTCAAACCAGGATTGTATATTGAGGCACGAATCCTTAGAGTAATCAGTTCCTTTCATTACTGAATGTGTTTCACAGAAACTAGGTTCATCCCGCATCGAATACACAGAAGGATGTAAATATTGTCATGCCTCTATTTTTCAGACATGTCATGTTGATGGCATGTCCTTGTGTGAGTGGTTTAGCAACCTTAATCAGAAGCTCAGTGACACTCAACAACAGTAATAAAAAAATAGTCTCTAGAGAACATAGATATCGCATTCTTGAATGGATCCTAACTTGAGATCTGCGAGGTACGTGACATGCTCATATAAATATACAATTCCTGCGAGCAGCGTTCTAATCCTCGTGGTATTAATTATTCTATTTCTAACAGCTGAACCAATACTACAGCAGAATTTAGGTTTTCAGCTTCATCGCATGTGCACAACATGATGCTTGTTATGTCTGGTTCGATTCTCGGCGATCGTCCCCAAAATAAAACATCGTCCATGACGACCTTGATTCTTGCCTGGACCAATGATGTTTTATACTTGTATCTCATTGGTCGCGCTCACAATGTAAGTTTAGCATATATTGCATCAAAATTACACTCAATTCATCTTCTCTAGTTTCGACTTCCTTCGGTTATCATTTCCGTCCTCTAATCCTCCGAATAAACCTTTCTTTGCATTTCAATGTTTGTACTTGCTCATATTCTACTAGACTTGTCAATTCTTTTATCTCTTACTGTATGATTCCATCTCATTTTACTCATGCGTTTTTCCTTCACGTATCACTTCGTGTTCTTGTTTTGTGTGGTTCTTGGCTTCCTGCTGGAGAAACTACTTATGTCTTACTCGTCCACCCAGTCTCATTTTTAGATCTGATAGCTATCTTTACCAGTACTTCGGCTACAGCGGAGATCTGTCACAATCACAGACGGCAATCATACAAGGGCAAAGATGAAACTTGCATATGTTCCGCAACCTTTGAAGTAATACAGGTCTAGTGCTATAGGCAGGATTCCGCCCAATGGAAAGCGTTTTCGTCACTCGTGTTCTTGCTCTGGACAGAGCTGGGCTGTAGTGATACTAAACGGCACATCGCGGCCGGTCTGTGACTAGAAGTCTCTGATCGGGAAGGGTACGTAATTTTACTAACGGTCGGTAAGTTAGACGAATATAATCCTCAAAATAACTGTCGCCTCTCGTTTACTCCTTGGTGGTTGAATCCTCTTTGTTTGTCCGTCTTTCTTTTCTTCCTTCTTCATCTCCATCCACTCACATCGACCTTGTGTTTCTGTCCATCTTCTCATATAAAGCTCGTGTTGCAATTGCTAGGTTGCTACCAGTGACATAACCCACGCTCTTTTTACAATCCTCTCCTTCACTCATTTTTCATAATGTGGTCGTTCAAGACGTGTCTTGTTCTCTTCTCCTTGACACTCTCCGCCGCCGCACTGACAACTCCTCACATTTCTCGCAACATATACAAACGTCACCATGTTCTTGATACCAGCCTTCAAGCTTCTGCTCCCGAAACCCAGGCTCTCGAGGTTCGCGGTGCGCCTAGCTTCCTCACTGGTCAACAAACAGGTCAAGGTAAGATTATTCCGCAGTTTGGCATCGAAAATAAGTACTCATCACGAAGCATATATTCAATAGGTACATATTACGCAGCGGGTCTCGGTGCTTGCGGTATTACCAATACCGACGCTGACTACATATGTGCTGTATCTCATGAGTTGTTCGATCAATTCCCGTAAGCTACTTGCAGCTGTCATCGTCTGAACAGTAAAACTGACGTGTCACCTTCTAACAAGGGGTTACGACGGCCAAGATCCTAACACGAATCCTGTCTGCGGCCTCAAAATCACACTTTCTTGTACGTATTTTCCCCATGCACCGAGTTCCTGTACTAAATTATGTTTCAACAGATCAAGGCAAGAGTGTAACAGTCGAGGTCACTGACCGTTGTACTGGCTGTGATATGACTTCCATAGATCTTACACCGACTGCATTTGGGCAGCTGGCTGATCTAGGTGTTGGTCGTCTCTGGGGGATGACATGGACATGGAACAGTCTACCCACGCTCGGTTGAGTCGCTCCATCTTAATGGACCGTTCGCATCTTGTGACAGTCGCATCGGTGTCTTGTCCTGATATGGCACACTTCTTTCATCCTTATCCCATTAATTGGAACATACTTTTGACTTAAATGTTGCTGATCTTCTTTGAGACTTTATATTCAATCACTCTTACTTTCATATACGTGCTGTTTGTACCGGCATGATGGACCTACAGGCTAGTGTTTAGACGTAGCTTTACAAGTAGAGCGAAATATTTACAAATCTACTGAGCTTGCTCAGTACTGCTGATTAGTCGGACTAGATATTTTATCTACAATTTCTTTGCTCGTATACGCTAGGCTGCACTCACATTGGGTATATATGTTACAACTTGCCGCATCGTATTTTTCTTTAGGCACTTATGTTTTGTTCGAGTATTAGAAAATTCATTTTGGCGCTCTCGCAATAGATCTATAAGACTGCCCCATTTACTACCTTCCTTATTTGGGATTTTCGTTGTCAGCTTCGAATTCAAGCAATCGAGTATTTGAAAAACTCATTGTATAACAAACACTATTCAAGGACAAAGTGTACAGTCGCGCATCAAAACAATTTTTGTCCGGATTGCTATGTTCTTGTTACTCCCACCCGATAGTTTCTGCCCACATCTCCTCCCACAACATAGGTAATACAAAGTTACCGTGAACCTGTATGTCCTTATCCAAACCTCCTCTGTCTTCATCGCCATGTACCCCCAAGCGTACTTTAATCGCGCGTCCATTATGATCCGATCTGTCGTTAGCATTAAGAATATCGGTGATCCAACCCTCATTCCTCCCATTTATGATATTTTTGATACCATTCGTGTTCAGAAACAACATGTCAAACTCAGACACAAGGGATTGGCTTGTAGCGCGAGGGATTGGCAGTGCGATTTCCTTGGCATTGGAAAAGATTGACCAAGGTGCATAAATGGTCCACGATGGAAGAACGCGGTGGAAGTCCCCGTCTTTCCATGGTATGAGCAGCACAATGCGTTCTAGGGACCTTAGGAAAGCCTCTCCTTCAACTTTAGAGATAAAGTACTCGAATTGAAAGGAGTCTCCCGCGATAGTGAGGGAAGTAGTCTTCCACGGCAGAGGTGTGGTGATGGGGCGAGCAATCTCGTACTCCCTCTTCCAGACAGTTTCGAGACAGTAATAGAGGATATTAGAGCTACAATTAATGCCAAGCGAAGATGTTGCGAGGAGAACGGGTGCAAGAATGGCGTAGTCGGACTCGACCCCAGCATCGACCTCGTGAATGGTGGAGGCTCGCGTCGGGACTTCTGGTTTTGTGCTTGGGATGTTCCAGCATTCTCCAATCCACATGCGATGGACGTATTTGGAATAGTCGCAGTAAAGCAAACGCGCGCGGATGATGGGCACATCTGAATCAAAATGGTAATTGCCACAGCTTGGAATATGGGTGGCGGGGCTAGTCATGCAGATATAATAGGCCCGCTGGATGCGTAGGGCCTTTATGAACGAATGGATATTGTTTGTTTTGGACAGAATAATGCTGTGGAGCATTTGAGGGAGAGCGACAGCACGGAAAGCATGAGAGACTAGACATAAATTGACGGCAGTTTTGTATGGATTGACACCAAGGTGCAGTTTCTTGAAATCTGGTGTCGCAGCCTGCTTGATAATCTCCAGGACAAGTTCGACCGAGAGTTTGGTGAACGGAAAAGTGATTTTCACCATCGTTAGTGGGAAAGCTGGTGAGTACTTCAAGCAGGAATTTGGAGTCCTTATATAGCCATGCACCTGTGGTCAAAGAGATACGGGTACGGGGTGGCCGCCCGACAGTGGACTAAGGTGAACGTGTGTTCCGCTATGGAAAGCGCAATTTGGACACAAAAATTCCCAAGTTGATAAAGCTGGGTGAGGAATGACTGATCAGCATTAATCACTGTCTTATTGCTTTATAAATAGGTACTGATAATGTTCACCTTGGCCTTAGCACATTGCTTTTGAAGGCAAGCGTCTTATCATTATGTCAGATCTTGACTAGTATTTGCACAAATTTTGGGCCAACCATCTTCATGTCGCTTAAGGCACGAATGTCTGGGAGTACCTGGAACAATTCCAGTCACAATGACCCCTTATGACTGGGGTTGTTTATGCTCTGTAGATCCTACACGAATGAGTTATACAAGAATTAAAACTTCGAAAATTATAGTAGTTATCATACTTCAATTTATGTCCCGTCTTCACGATTCCTTTACAATCCTTGTTGTAGCTTGACAGGGGGTGGAAGCGGCTGCCTGTCCAAGCTCATACGACCACACCAATCACACGGTATATACAGCCATCAGTCAATGAAAAAGAAACTCACGTATTGTTCTTTTCTCCGTAAAATCCGCAATTTCAAGCAGGTCAGTGGGTCGCTAAGTAGTAAGTCGTGGTTAAAGAGTCGTCATTGGTTCAACAAACCTTAACCCGAGGTGAATGTTCTTGTTCGTTTTACGAATCGGGCAGGTCTCAAATTGTCCTCAGGTCCGGGCTAGCGTTGACCAGAGACGCTGGTTTACAGGGAAAAGAGCAGCTTTGGGGTCACGTAATATCGGTCTATCTTTGTTACACCCATGTCCCACCAATCAACGTCAGAACGGCCTCAGATACCTTCCTCCGTCCTTGTTTTCTGTATGTCTTCAAGGTAGTGTACTAGACTGATGATAAATATCTCGCAGGTTCATACCATATGCAAAGCAGCTTTTACGCTCCTTGTCTTCGCATACAAGGTGAGATTTGTGATCATCCACTCAACCTCCATTTACTGAACCCGCACTGTACCTCAGGCCCTCAAACAGCAGATCGAGCAAGACGATGCAATCAAGGCCTTATGTGTGCAACTCCGGAATATGCTGTTGGCTGTCCTGACCTGTGAGGACTTGGTACGGATAGTATTGCAGAAACTGCGCGTGCTGTTGTTACTGGAGCAACACTCATTGACGATTTTGTAAAGCACTCTTTTCTCGGTAGGCATTTTCCATTCTGTCCTCCATAATTTGTAGACTTATGGTATGCTTCTCTCACTCTTAGGTAGAACAGTGCGGTCGGCTTTCTCTTCCAGTATGAACAATCGTATTACCGCTTGTTTGGCGCGGTTCGCCGAGACCAGAGCCCGCTTTGAGTTAACTTTGAATGTCCAAACATGGAAGACGGTTCAAAACATTCAGCAGGACCTGAATTTGAAAGTGAGCTCAAAATGTGATCGCACTCCACTGAATCTGACGTTTATCTTATTTGCGCAGAGACTAAGGAAACCCTCGAGGAAGTCATCCGTTGGGTATCAAACGTCGATCCCAATCAGCCGCGTACTTTCTCGCTCTATGGGATGGGTGGAGAGGGGAAGTCAACTATAGCGATGACTATAGCGCGCCATCTCGAGGATGAACTCGACTGCCTCGGAGCAATTTTTTTTTTCTCTCGCGATATTGCTGCACGAAGTCGTCCCGATGATGGATGATGTCTTTAGCACCATCGCTTTTTGAGTTGTCGTCTCACCGTCCAGCCTTAGGGTCAGCAGTTTGTAAAGCATTCAGGGACAGCCAAAGTGGATCCTCCACTGTGACCAATCAGCTCCATACTCTTCTGAGGAAACTTGTGCAAAATTCACAAGACGCTTTGGGGAAGCGGCCAATAGCTGTTATCTTTGACGCGTTAGATGATTGTGGTTCTGAAAGACAAAGAGTCGATTTCCTGGCGGCCTGCCAAGAGCTACCCAAATTTCCGGCGATTTTCAAATTTTTTTTTTTTTTCTAAGTCGGCCGGAGCGCGACATCAAGATAGCTTTCGATGAATTTCGGTCTTCAGTTCACCAGTACAATCTGAGTGAAGTTTTCAATGACATTGTCAACCGCGATATATCTCTGTTTGTTCAGACCAGCCTCTTAGGATTGGCCAGACGCTATCCAGGCACACGCGGAACATCTGACTGGCAAAGCCTGGAGATGCAACAGGCTTTGGTAACAAGAGCTGCTGGGCTCTTTATGTGGGTATATACTGCCGTAGAGTTCATTGGAGATGGTGATGTCGATGATCCTGAAAGTCAGCGAGAAGTCTTATTCAGCAAGTCCATGAATCTTTCTATACAAGGCTCCCCTTCTACCATTCTACACTCCTTGTACTTGCAAGTGTTGAACAAGGCTTATTCCAATAGGACTTCCCCTCGCAGCCTCACATTGTTTAGGGAGATAGTTGGTTCTATCCTTTTAATCAAGGATCCTTTATCTACATTCGCTTTGGGTGGTTTACTGAATCTTGGACGCTCTGAAGAACCTGACAGTGGATCTACCGATACTCCTTTGCCGAGATGATTGGGTTTTGGGTCCAGAGATTATGGTGGATGCCAGTGGAAAATATGAATTCAGGTGATTCATTCAGACATGTATATGTATATTCCACAAGAAATAGATTGTTAGTCGTTGGTAGTGGATCTGGAATTCTAACATTTGTGGATCGTTCTTCTGTTCTACGGAGTATATATCCACACTGGCGCAGGTGCTAGAAAACTAATTATACATTTGTCGCACGAGAGGCGAAAGTCTACTTTTCAACACAATAAAATTGACGTAGGTTCCATAAGGCTGCTTTCATCTGTAAGGGCATGAATAGTACGAATAGTGATTAGATATCACGAAACATCGCGGCCAGCTCAACAGTTTTTTTTTGAGGGACCTACATAACAAACCTCAATTGAATAAACTAATTTGCATAACGAGGAATAATATTTAAGACAAAGTGTACAGTCACACATCAAAACAATTTTGATCCACATTGCTATGTACTTGCTCCTACTCGAAAACCTCTGCCCACATCTCCTCCCATAACGTAGGTAACACAAAGTTACCATGAACTTGTATGTCCCTATCCAAACCTCCACTATTTTCATTTCCATGTACCCCCAAGCGTACTTTAATTGCGCGTCCATTACGATCCGATCTATCTTGGGCATTGAGAATATCGATGATCCAACCAATATTCCTCCTGTATAGGATGTCTCTGATACCATTCGTGTTTAGAAACAACATGTCAAATTCAGACACAAGGAATTGGTTTGTAGCGCGAGGGATCGGCAGTGCGATTTCCTTGACTTTAGAAAAAAATGACCAAGATACACTATTGGCCCATGATGGAAGAACGCGGTGGAGGTCCCCGTCTTTCCATGGTATGAGCAGCACAACGCGCTCTAGGGTACTTAGGAAAGCCTCTCCTTCAGTTGCATATATATATGTGAATAGAGGGAAGCCCGTGAGAGTGAGTGAAGTAATCTTCCACGGCAGAGGTGTAGTGATGGGGCGAGCAATCTCGTACTCCCTCTTCCAGACAGTTTCGAGAGCGCGAAAGAGGATTTTAAAGCTCATAAAATCAATGCCAAGCGAAGAAGTCGCGAAGAGAACGGGTGCAAGAATGGCGTAGTCGGTCTCGATGCAAGCGTCGATTTCGTGAATGGTGGGGGCTCGCCCCGGTTCTCCTGGTTCTGCGCTTGGGATGTACTCGCATTCTCCGATCCACATGCGATGGACGTATTTGGAATAGTCGCAGTACAGCAAACGCGCGCGGATAATGGGCTCATTCGTTATAAAATGGTAATTTTCGCAGCTTGGGATATGGGTGGCGGGGCTAGTCATGCAGATATAATAGGCCCGCTGGATGCGTAGGGCCTTTATGAACGAATGGATATTGTTTGTTTTGGACAGAATAACGCTGTGGAGCATTTGAGGGAGAGCGACAGCACGGAAAGCATGAGAGACTAGACATAAATTGACGGCAGTTTTGTATGGATTGACACCAAGGTGCAGTTTCTTGAAATCTGGTGTCGCAGCCTGCTTGATAATCTCCAAGACAATTTCGACCGAGAGTTCGGTGATAGGGAAAGTGATCTCTGCCATCGTAGTAGGAAAGCAAGTGAGAACTGACTAGCAGGACTTTAGAGAGGACTTTATATAGCCATACGCCCGTGGTCAAAGAGATATGGGGATGGCCACCAGACAGTGATTTAAAGAGAACGTGTGGTCCACTATGTAAAGCGCATTCTGGACAAAAAATTCCTGAGTCGGCAAAGCTGTACTGAAGAGTTGCCGATCAGCGGTACTTACTGTCTTTTGCTTTGAAAATCGGTGGCCATAATGTTCACCTGGGTCTTCGCGCATCTTTTTTGGGGGCAAGCGTCTGCGTTACTTTGTCATGATTTCAGAACCTATCGGTTGCAAGATAATTGAGCCTACCACAAAACGCTTCTATGTATCTTGAAGCTCCCAAGGTTCGAATATTTGGAAAGGACACCTTGAAGGATCATTTTCCGAACAAGGTGAAAATAGTACCTGCGCCAATTTAATTCCACACAAATGGGTGGATCCATGGAACAAAAATAAATATATTGCAATTGTAGCACCTATCACAGTGGGTTTATTCACCGTCTTTGTGCGTCCTTGACGATCCTGGTTGTGACTTGACCTCCCTGGGTCCGTCCAAGCTCACACAGCTATATATCACATGATAATTCACACAGCCAACAGTCAGTGGAACAGAAACTCACGTACTGTCCTTTACTCCGTAAAATCCACAACTTCAACACAGGTCAATGGCTCGCTAAACTGGCCATGGTACCCACCAACAAAGCATGAGATCGTGATAAGTGTTAAGATTTTCAAATTGACTGAGTGTAATCCAAATCGGCATGTGAAGCAAACATAACCTTAAGTTAAGGTTGCTCCAGCTAAATTAGCGCCGGATGCCTTGTTCACGCACACTCGCGCTGGTAGTTGATAGATTACATTAGTTACTTATTGCATGTTCATAACGGTTACAATCTAATAAAGTAATCGTAGGGACTATAAGACTGCTTTCATTTGTAAGGACATGAATAGCTGAAGGATATCACACAGCATCACGGCTAGCTCTACAGGTTTTTCTTGAGGGACCTACACAACAAACCTCAGCAGGAAATCCAGTCGGTAATTGAAAAGAGTTAGACCCACTAGATGACCAGCACCCTTAATAGTCCTTATCGAAGCCATCTTTCTCCCTTCGGAAGCATCACATATTTGTGCTTTAGCAGTCGGCGAGCTTGGTGTCGTGGCTGAGTTCAGACCTAGCGCAAAGACCCAAGAGGCACAAAGCTCACATAAATTCAGGATATTCCGCAAAGATAGTGTGCACCGGCATTTGTGCACATATCGCTGCCAATTCACTCCCAGGCATCGAATGACACTCAGCCAGATACAAAGGTGCTTCTTCCTTCTTGCTTAACTTTGGAGTGACATAACTGGCACCGTCGTCTGTTTCCACAGTCATGAACGCGTGGTCCTGATAATTTCAGGGTCAGATTTGGAGCGATCAGGGCTTTCCAGTCAGTGTAGGGTACTCCATAACTCACGCACCAGGTATATTTGAAAGATACGGGAATCCCATTTCCTCCATGGATGCCGAACAGACAAATAGCTTGCCAGTTCGTCACGACTGCTCCATCGATCACGTCTCGCGACGACACCCTTCTCATTCGCAATACCTCGAACAACGCGTGGGTCTTCCGGTGAAAGTGGAGGCAGTATCAGTGTAGGTTCCACTAAAATCATGCCTTCAAGTGGAAGCTTATAATTTCTACTAGCTAATACCCTGGAAAGGATCAAGGCTGATAAGTTTAGAGTACGCAGCCAAAAAGAAAAGCCAACCATGCTGTCGCACTGCCTGAATGTGCGATCCCTACGAGCCTCCTACCAGAGACGTGCGACGACGACAGGAAATGGCGGAGCATGATCCCATAGTCCATAGTAGCTTAAGTTCAATAACTCGTTAAAGGGATACTATGTTACACAGAAAAGACGTACAGCAGATGGATTTTCTCGTTGATAGGGCCGGACGGTTGACCACTGCGGCCTCCCCGTGGTTAGGGAAATCGACAGCCCAAATTTCGCAAATTCCATTTTGTCCAGAATTGGTGTCCAAGTCTAATAGTTTACTTATTGTCAAATCCCATTGCTCTTTATCTAGTAGAACACACAAGAGATGTTAGCTTCAACTTGTCTGGTAGCAGATGGGTCTGAAAACTCACGTCCACCCAAACCATGTGTAAATATCAACGTAAGCCCATCCCTAACGGAATGGTGTTCAGTACGACTGGATGTGTAGCTGGTAGCGCAACACTGGAGGCCCTCTGGTGGTAAAGGGAACACGTGAGATTTGGCGATCACTGGCATACTAGATGCTCAGGCAGCTGGAAGATTGAGTAATATTTTCGAGTTGCCAAACTCTCGATATCTTCCCTTGCTCGTCAACCTGAGCAGCGTAATAGCTATAAACCAGAGCTGGGAAGATGAAAGGGTAAGAAGTTATAAATCTCATAACGGCATTGGCAGGCATCGCTGTTAACGAAAAGCCTGAAATGGATACTTGTGTCGGTGGTTGATTAGAGGCGACTTTCATTACGGCATGATAATGCCGCTGTCCCCGCGATAACCATAGCACCGCAAAGTGATAGTATGGATTGTCAAATCGGAACTCTAGTGTTTATCATTGACAAAAAAAACATTCAAGAAAGCGATGTCAAGTGGGATACTACGCTACCAGTCTAGTAATTATGTTTTTCATCCATTACTTCTGCAAGCAATCAGCAATCCACATCTGATGAAGTCTACAGGAGTCCCTTGTAGATATACCTTCTGCAACTCGGTCGTAAGTGACATTCAATCTACTCAGAAAGCCAATTTCCTTGCTAAGGTGTAACAGATGGTCAGCATCAAGACATAAAATTTATCGCTTCAACGTACAAAGAACCTCTGATGGAGTAAAGATCCTGCGCGCTCGACTAAAGCAAGCTCTTCAGCAGTCAAATCGGGAACGTTGGTAGTATCGATGTATTCCCTGACCCGCTCAGCTTTGGAAGAAGTTCTGGGATTATATTATGAGACTTTAAATAGTAGCAGATTCTGTACGGTACTCACGTAATAACAAGCACGCCTTTCTGCTGCAACCATTTACTTAGGACCTGACTATCAGATACCGGTTGTCCTCGAGTGGCTTGCAGCCGCTCCCTGATGCTTTCCACGACTTCATTTAATGGACCACTTTCACCACGGAAAAGGGGTGATAAACCGCCATATGACGAGGTGACAATGCCGTGTTCTTTGTGAATTTCAAGGACTGGTTGGAGGGCTTTCCATACATATGGGTGCAGCTCGAGCTACGGTTACGGTAAGATACGGATAATAAAACTGCGATGGGTTGAAAATCAAACCTGGTTGACAGAAGGAGGAATCGATGCAACCTCAAAAATTTCTTTGAAGTGTTCAACAGCGAAATTGGAAACACCGATAGACTTTGTCAAACCGTCCTTCTTGCACTCTTCCATGCCTTTCCATACTTCTTTCAACTGCCCCACATGATTATTCGGATTGTGAACCAAGTACAGGTCCACTTGATCCAACTTCAGTCTCTTCAAAGACTCCTGCAAAGCGCTTTTCGGTGTTGCACCAGGTTGTAACTTGTACAATTTGGTCGTTATGAACAATTCTGAACGTGGTTTGCCGGACTGAATCACTCCAGTTCCCAAAGTCTCCTCGTTGGTGTACACTTGTGCGCCGTCGATATGCGTGAAGCCGTTCTGAATGGCGACATGTACGGCTTCTCTAGCGTCCTTATAGAAGAGGGCCGTGCCGGTGCCGAATCCTATCCAAGGGACTGCATTGCCATCGTTCAAGGCAAGAGTTGGGACAGTCATTTTGAGTCGGATATAAAGAAAAGCGAGAGAAGGTGGAAGAAATGGATAACGTGCAGACGATAAGCTTAAATACCGTTTATACACCTGGTTGACTAAGAGACGAGATACTGCGGTCCTAGTTGCTCGTGACCGCAATCAAAGTAGAGCTCAGCGCGGGCAGCAAATCGCTTTGATTTTCCGATACCGGGGTGCAGCTCTGCGTGTTCGAGCAGTCTGCTTTGCATTTCAGGCGTTAATCCTCAATGGTACTATTCGGGTTGGGATTCGCGCGGGCTGGGTATCGTTATTGTGATGGCGATAGTGAATCCTGTCCACCTGACTGTAAAATAGATAGGTGTTATCTGCAATCCTGAATATATGAGTCATTGAACATTGAAAAACAATGGCACAACGCGTGAAAGCAGTGTCACTTGAGGATAAAAGGCACTTCGAGGACTCCGAGAAAGTAGTAGAGCCAGCGTGCCTTTGCGGTGGACAAGGATATGTAACTACTCACGAAAATTCAAATTTGCCAAGCTTGCCCAATACGGAAGAAGAGTTGTAGTGATGGGTGTATGTTTCCGATGTCAACGAACTCTGTGTCAAAATGGTACCTCGTATTAAGTCCTGAATACGTGTACGTTAGCAGATACACTGCCTTCCAACGAGCACGAGCAATTCTCGACTCTTCTCCTGGCTGCATGCGTTGTATGCGGAACAAACTTCAAAAAAACTGAGTATTTGGAGGCATCAAGCGGTGATGCGTCGATACTTTTGAGACGGGAGCTGTTTCAAGGATAATCCAAATGAGTTTACCAAGACTTTAGATGCCACCGAAATCCTATGATTCTTGTATGGTCAAGGCTTGGAAGATACATACTATAGTATATTTCACTGCAAAACGACCAACGCCGCCGGTTAGGCGGTGTTCTGCGAATCCCCAAATGATATTCCCACGCCTTGGAGAGGGTGCAACTGTCGGTAACTTTACAGTCTGAGCCTGATATGTGAAATGTTCTTGTTATCCCACCACAAGCAGCAAGATTGTGGGCGTCGCACTAGGCGGAACTCCGGGTTTAGGCCCAGTGACCCTTTGTTACTTATTTTTATGATAGGTTCAGCAGCTTCAACTAGGCTCTCGAACGTCTTGCCTTCCCCAAGCGACATCGCTATGAGAGGTCCGGAGGAGCCTAAATGGTCCCTAGTCCTGAGGAATAAGGGCCAGTGATGGATTCCTACCGTCACGAGGCAGGGATGTCAAGTGTAGTATGAGATAGTGAGGACTCCGATCTACTGGTTGTGAGGTCTCTGTATTGAATGCTGGCGCTCGATGTATACTGACTGCGTCTTTTTTTACAGCCATCAACGCCAGTCATCCAGTTACAAGCGAATGTCATGGTCAGTTGCATGGCGAAAGACGGTCAACCAGATAGAGTATGGTCATACTATGATGACATTGATTGTTATTGAGTTCTGGTCTTCGCGGGATATTGTCTCATACCATCTCTCGTAACTGATACATGCGGGCGCATTTACTAGAGAGAAACAAAGTCAGTCACAGGATCAAGAAATGACATGTGTACGTTTACTGTAAAACCGCATCTCTCAAAATGTACTCTTTTTTCATGAAGTCAAATTCGTATAGCTCGTACAACAGCCATACCACCCAAAATCAAGCAAAAAACACCACAAGACGAAGAGAACTTTGGATAGTACATGAGGTAACCGCAATAGCCTTTCTGTCCGCGTACTATTTCTAACATCTCTACTTTACATAGTCAGGCAAATTGTCGTTCTTCAAAATCCATATAACACTGGCGCCAGGTCGGTAGAGGACAAGATGATCATTCATCCCCGAGTGATCATAGTCAAACGCATAGACGCGGTCTGCGGTGGACGCAAGGTCATATCCACCGATGCCACTACCAGGTGCACCCTGGTAATAACTAGGGCTGAATTTCCCGTCGTCATTTTTCAAAATCCAGATGGTGCCGCTACCAGGCTGATAGAGGGTAAGGTGGTCGAGCCTGTGGTCCGCGTTATAATCAAAGGTAATGGCGAGATCGTCAGGTGATTGTAAGTTGAACCCTCCAATCCCGCTGCTGGATTGAAAAACCGGGCTGAAGGTTTCTTTAAAGTTTTGCACAATCCATACGACGCCAGTGTTAGGGCGATAGAAAACGAAATGGTCAAGTTTTCCGGAGTTGTTATAATCGAATGCGAGAGCTCGATCTGCAGTGGAAGCCAAATCATAGCCACCAATACCTTGACCAGAACTTTGACTATAGACTGGGCTGAAATACCCATAATCGTTCTTCATTATCCATATGGTACCAACGCCAGGTCGATAGAGCACGATGTGATCAAGCCTGCCCGAGTGATCATAATCAAATGCGAAGGATCGGTCTGTGGTGGACCTTAGGTCGTACCCTCCAATCCCGTTGTTGGATTGGAACACTGGGCTGAAGGTTCCAGCTGTGTTCTTCAGAATCCATATGGTGCCAGTGTTGGGACGGTAAAGAACAAGATGATCGAGTTTGCCCGAATGGTCGTAATCGAATGCGAAAGCTCGGTCTGCAGTGGAAGCCAAATCATAGCCACCAATACCTTGACCAGAACTTTGACTATAGACTGGGCTGAAATACCCATAATCGTTCTTCATTATCCATATGGTACCAACGCCAGGTCGATAGAGCACGATGTGATCAAGCCTGCCCGAGTGATCATAATCAAATGCGAAGGATCGGTCTGTGGTGGACTTTAGGTCGTACCCTCCGATTCCATTGTCTGACTGGGATACCGGTGTGAATGTCAATGGGTCAGACATGCTGAACTGCGTCAAAAAGTCAGCTGAAGGAAAGCTTGGGGAAGTAGACAACGACTTACTTGGAGAAATGGACCAAATGCTAAGGTACGAATACCAGCATTTTCACCGTATTTATACTGGAATGCAGGCGCTTCTATCTACCTTCTCCTTCCTTCAAGTTCGGGATATCGATATCTGCATAACCCAATCAACAGACCTGAGATTCCCAACTGAGTTACTCTGTCGCCGCAGCATGCTAGCGCTGAAGCTCCTTGCTTCATACGTTACTGAATGAGATCGCTGTAGCTTTATTGAAAGATCAGTGGTGAGGCGATGTTCTGCTTGCGTGAGTGCAAAGTCATTGTATTTATATTTCGCGAATTTAAAAACCTGCCAATTTCAGAAAGCTTCTTTGCGAAGCATCCCACAAATGCCCTGACCACTTCTCAGCCTGGTATTGCGCTCTTTCATCTACATACATACCGACTTCCAAAATTGTGGGTAAAAAGCATGATAGGAGTAGTGTGTATAAAGCTTTGTATCACCACCTCACGTGCTAATCGCAGAAAACGCGTTTTTAGGTGCAGGCGCCTACATAGCCCTCGACCCCTGAGGTGGATAAGATCGCGAAGCAGTATCGGAGAAACATCGCCTAGGCCTCCCAACGTTGTAATAAACACAACCACCTCCTCCTTTGTGTGGAGATTCATACATCTTCTGCCGTGATATTGTCGCCGTCCGGCGGTCTTGAACGATACATGAATACTGGCATTAAAATAAAAAAAAACAAGCGCCTCGCGTGTGCATCGCATCAAGGATTGGCGCTGAAGAGCATCTCGAAGCTTGGGCTGCGCAGTCCAGGGAAAACCGGTATCCCCCTCCAGTCGTTTGACAAAAGGTCATGTGCTCTTACAGCTGTCCAGGATTCGCCATGACTCCAGGGCCAGAGATCTTCGGCAAGCTGTTGGCACGACCGCATTCTCACTCGATCGAGCACTGCGAATGTATGTTCGGGGGACTGGCGACACGAGAGAGAGTGTGTGCGATTGCATGTGGGAGACGTCGTCGTTTGGATGTTTATCTTGGCTTGAGGCCGCGGTATTGCAGAAGGTGCGGCGGTCGAATGAAGACTAGAAAACAATCCTTCCGTGCCCGTCTAGTGATCCTCCTCTCGCGAACCTGCCAGAATGACATATGGGCTCCATACTAACAGCCATTCTCTCCAGTGTTCGATATCTTTTTGCATGACGTTCGAAAACTGCAGCTGCGAGCTTTATTATGATTATTAAAGTAGATCAGGAGGCCATCGAGATAGCTCGAGATGCTAGTGCCCCTTGGCCCTCGACACAATGCGACGATGACCCACAAAATGTACATGCTAGAGTGATTGAGAATGTGCCGTTTTCTTTTGCTTTGCGTGATAATAAGAAATAATGATACTACATGCTTTTTATAACCGGCTGTTATAGTCTCCTCTCCCCTTCCCTTCCCTTCCCTTCCCTCCCCTCCCCTCCCCGCATCCTCCCCACAACCCACAACACCGCACACACCCCCACGAACAGAACAGGGGGTCCCATCGAGACCGCTCATCGGGCACGCGGCGCAGAGTCCCCAATCAAGCATGGACCCCTCCGCACGTCTGAACATCCCCCCCCCCCAAAGTCTGAAAGCCTATTTCATAGCCTCAAAAACGAACGTCCGAACGAGCCGGTCACCGACGATACAACTTGGGTGCGCCTCCCACATCTGAAAGGATAAGGGGCAAATTCTTGTCAGCACCGACCCCTTTCACAAACCCAAAAACCAGAAAGAAAAAACCAAGAAACCGGCGCATGCATACACGGCAAAAAAGGCACAAAACTCACTTATCGGCGACGTAAACTGATGCACGAGCCGGTTCATCGTCGACGCATTATGTCTCGTCAGATTTCCCTCCGTCAGCATCGACAGGCCGCCCAGCTCGACGTCGCCGTTCTTCGTGCGCCGGTTGGGCTGCATCATCACGGAGGGCGGGCGGATTTTGTCGTCGGGGTCGATTTCTTTGGCCCAGCCCATGCCGGCGCCGTTGACGCCGAAGTTGGGGGTGGGGGTGTCGCCTGGGGGGAGGCGCGGTGATTTGTAGGTGGAGAGGGGGAGCGGAGGCCCGTCGTACCCCAGCCCATCATACCCAAACCCGTCCCCCTCATCATACTTATCGTCCTCGTCGATCCCCTTCAACTGTCCCCCGCCTCCCACCCCACTCACAGCCCCCACCCCGTTCCCGGCCTTCTTCCCCTCCCCACCCCCACCCCCCTGCCCCTCCTCCTGACACTGGCACGCATACGGATACTGCGAATACTGCGAGTGGACGTGGCTCGAGTCGAGCGCGGTGCGCCGGAGGGTGGGCGTGGAGTGGGAGGCATCGGGGCGTCTGATTCGGGAGGCGTCGCGGGCGGCTATTTCGGTTTCGATGGAGCGGGGGAAGAAGATCTGGGGGGAGTTAGTTTTGGGTGGGGGAGGAAAAGGAGGGGGGGGACGTACGACTAGAGTGATCCCTGAAGACACCGTACACCCCACAGCAGCGATCATCGCCAACAAGTCTTTGTATTTTCAAATTTCAGACTTTGACACTGCCGTTCATGAAGGGAGGGAAAGTTACATACCGACAGGGAACCTAGGGAGCGAGTTAGAAATGATTAATTATGTTGTTATGAAGATCATCAAGGGAGAGAGAGAGAGAGAGAGGAAGGTAAGGAAGTGGGGAAACAGAAACAAGTAACGAAGCGAACGAACGAACGAAAGTACATAGTAATAACAAGAAGAAACAACACTCACATCTTATCATTAATATGCTGATGCGGCCTCACGCCATCAATACCCAGAATGACAAAAGGCACCGTGAACAAGAACCGAAACACGACGCGGATGCACTGGCGAACGAAAAGTGATTGGAAGCAGTGAGCATTATTGGTACGCCAAAGGGAAGTAGGGAGGTAGGAGGGGGGGGAGGGACGCACATTGAGCTCGTGAAACTTGGTAAGCCTCACTATGGTATTAATATCCACGTGCTCGTTCCTCTACCGAAATGCACAACACGTAAGCCATCGTGAACACCATCAACGACGAGCAAAGATGTGCTTACGAGAGATCGGAGGAAGACTGGGAAGGTCCATCTAAGGGGGTGGGGGTGAGTTGAGGTATTACGATGGGATGGGGACGCACAGGATGGGGAGGAACCAGATGGTGAGAGACAGACTTCCGAGGCTTCCAGCCAAAAACGTATAGGCCTCGCACTATCGCCGTCCTCGTCAACGAAGATGATCCAAGTCAACGAAGAAAGGCAAAGCACCCACCTTGTACGGATCCTGCCTGGTAAATATCGTCACGAGGGGCATGTAGATGACGGCGACGAAAGAGCCGAATGTCCATGTTCTGAAATAGGCACTGCGGAACCAGTCTTGTTGGGCCGAGCCTGCGTTGACGAGGAAGAGCCAGAAGCAGAGTTCTGGTGGGGCGATGAGTGCGTGAGTGAGTGAGGGGAGGGGAAGAGCGTACCTTCGAGATGGGTGACCCTATGAGAATAAGGCGGTGAGTAAGACGAGTGGACAGCGAAGGAGCGAGGGACGTACATCTCCAGACTCCAGCCTACGGAGAAACATAGATAGAGCGGGAGAATCGCGCTACGCGCCGTATGGCTCCACATCTCATATGGGACGGGAATGACTATGTGATTGCCGTAAGTAAGTACGTAAATAGATAGATGTAAAATCAGCGGAAAGGGGGAAAGGGGAAAGGCACAGATGGAAGGGATGACGGAGGGATGTGGATGGAGCGAGAGGGGAAGGACGGGGGGGATGTGGGGTGGGAGGAGTGGCTTACCGCCTTGGACGGGGAGATAGGTGAAGCCGTAGTGGTATTTGATGATGGCGAAGCCGACGGAGTAGACGGTGATGAGTGGGACGCTGCATAGGTATGAATACTGGAGAGTGTCAGTGGGTGAGCGAGTGAGGGAAGGGCGCGGGGGCGTACGGTCATGACGCGTTTGAAGGCGCCAGAGTAGGGCCCGGTGTTCCACCTGCAGCGCGTCAGTGAGCCACGAATGAAGAAGTGGGCAAGGAGGACGCACTTGAGGCACTTGAAGCGGTCGAAAGACCAGAGATGAAAGAGGAGGAAGACACCGAGCTGGAGGAGGAGTGTCAGCGCAAGCGTAACGAGGACGGAAGAGGATACGGACGAGAAGGGAGAAGACGGCCCATACGAGCATGGCTGCTGGGCTTGTGTGAGCCATGGAGGAAAGGAGAGGAGTGGAGATGGGAAGTGACCAGCACAGAGGAGAGATAAAAGGGGGCTATAATTGGAGAAAAGGGAGATATTTGTGTGGATGATACAGGAAAGGAGGAGCACATGCTACTCGGATCAACATCGCCCTGGACAATATCAGCACACGAAACATATCACGGACACTAATACGGTACACGAACATATCACGGACACTAATACGGTACACGAAACATATCACGGACACTAATACGGTACACGAACATATCACGGACACTCACTCTAACAGTAACCAGTACGTACTCCCTCGGTGATCTCCGTACCACGCTCACCGCCAACGACAATGTCCCCCGACGACCATTCCGACTTTCTTCTCTCCTGTCGCTACGGCGACATCGACGACATCAACGCCTTCATCGCCCACTTCGGTCCCGCCGTCCTCCCCTCCATCCGCGACGACAATGCCAACACCCCCCCTCCACATGATCGCCGCCAACGGCCACACAGGTCAGTCCCCCCCCCCGCGTTCATTCTGCTACTGAGAACCTGACGCTGACGACGCACAGACGCCCTCGCCCTCCTCCTCCCGCTCCTCCCCCCCGCCCTCCTCTCCGCACAGAACGCCTCCGGCTCAACCCCCCTCCACTGGGCATCCCTCAACGCCCACCTCCCCATCGCCAAAGCCCTCGTCGCCCACTCCCCAGGCCCAGGCGTCGATCTCATCGATATCAAGAATCACGCTGGCAGGTCCCCGCTGGGAGAGGCGGAGATGGCGGGCTGGGAGGAGGGCGCGAGCTGGTTTGTGGAGGTGATGAATCTTGGGGAGGGGAAGGGTGCCGAGGGTGCTAGTGCTGACGAGGTTGCCGACGCTGACGACGACGCGCCCATCCACCTCGAGATCCAAGACGCAGACGGCCACATCGCCAACCTCACCATCCACGACCCCCCTCTTCCCCCATCCTAACCTCCCCCCTCATCATCGCCCATCGGCCCCGATCACGCACCCTTCCCACCTCACGAGGATACCGACATCTTCCTTTCCAGAAACACCCAACCCCTGACGGCTGATCCCACCTATCGCTGCCATCTACTCCCCGACTTGTACCATCGCCCCCCCCTCATCGCCTCATCAGCCAATCAACCAACCACAGAAAAGCCTCGGCGCTGTCATCATCCCATCTAGAAAGCCAAGACAGTTCCACTTTCCAATCCAATCCAAAAAAAAAGAATAAAAAAGGTCCACTCGCAACCGCATTCGTGATAGAACAGGCATCTTGAATGAACGCCCCCCCTCCTCACATGTCCCCCTACCTCCCCCCACCCAGCTCTATACAGCAACCCAAAAGACGTCTTCTCCTACGTCACACGCACACGTACCGGCGCTCGGACGTATATAGACCTTATACAGTGTCCCTACCTGCTGTAGTATACACCTACGATAAGTGATAGCCCTTGCGCCCTTTCATTTAGAACACGGATAGGATCTCGTCCTCGTCATAAGATACCAACCGATAAGATTCATTTCATCTACGTACAACGATACTCACGAATAATACACCCAACTCCTAAGACGGTCCACATCAGTGATCGCACAAAGTGTTGATTCATACGGCAACAGCGCCGATCGCGTCACCTCACTCACCCCGGCGCCAGCTTCATCTTCATCTTCGGTGCCTACACCAAACCCTCTCTTCTCACCATCATCCCATCACTCATCCTCATCCGCAACTTTCTCCGCGGCCAGTCCCAGCCGACTCAGGCGAGCCCCCATCCCAACCCCGTTCGACACCACCCCGTCAAAACTCACGCCTCAACTCCCCGCCCCCGCCCCCACCTCCCCTTCCCAGGAACGACATACGCAACCTCCCCCTCCACCCTCTTCTGCGGACGTACTCCGCATACACCCGTCCCGGGGTGTACACCCCGCCAACGGGGGCGGTGGCTCTGCTGACGTGGCTGTCCTTGCTGACGTTGCTGTCGTCGTGCATCTTGCTGTCCTTGTGGTCCTTGCGGTCCTCGCGGAGTTTGCCGCACCCGTGATGGCTGTCGAGGCTCGAGTTGACAGGATCGATCATACGCTCCAGTCCCGTTCGGGGCATCACCATCAACCATCACCATCCCATCACACCATCACGTCGGCGTCATCCCGGCGTTCGGGATATCACAAAGGAAGAGAGAAATAACAAGAACGAACAGCAAGACAAGAGCGCTGGGTTAGCATCACCATCCATCCCACCGCGTCATCCCAGCGTTCATGGTTCGCGATACCAACAAGGGGAACATGAGCGCACAGGCAAGAATCGAACAGCAAGGATGTTCGGGCGTTGGGCGTAAACCGCGTCAATAAGGAAAGAAGAAAAGATGGGAAGTGAAATATGGAAAGATGAATGGAAGGATGAAAGGAAAGAAAGGGGCAAGTCATCGTCAAACCCAAATTACACAGCAAACCTCAAAGGGAGAAGCAAAAACGTGTCATTCTCACCTTTCACCGCTCATCCCCGTACATACAGTCCCGTCCCCATCTCCTCCGCTCATCATCCTCATCCTCGTCACTATGACGCTCGCGCTCACAATCTCCCTTCAAACTCGACGTCGACTTTGCAGAAGCATCAACATCACCCACCCAAAAACAATCCACTCCCTCGAACCACTCCCCCTCCCCCTCATCTTCACCAATCGACCCCTCGATGTCCGAGTGAAGCTCACACTCCGTATAGTCTATAGGTAAAACGCGCAAAAGCCCGTTAAATGAAAACGTCTTGCCTTTTTCCGCCGACATGGATGCTTGGGGAGGTGGGTGGCTGGTGATGTGCCGTCCTTGCTCTTGGCCTTGCTCTTTGCTTCCGTCACAGTTGTCAAGAGACGGCAGACATAGCGCCTTCATTCGCGATGGCGATCCGTCTGCTTGGCCTACAGGCCGATCGTTCGCATTGTCGCTCTTGCCCTTCTCGTCGGACTTGTGCGCGGGAGACAGAGGCAACTTACAAATCGCAGGACCACTCCCAGGCTTACACACCCAAAAACCACACCGCGACCTCATTTCAGACCTAGACCTCACCCGCGACCCGGGGGTAGAGCCCATCGCAGGCGACGCTTCAGGCGTACAGGACAACACGGCATAGGCAGGTTTCGAGAGCGAGTGGGTGGGCGGTACCGCCTGGGGAGAGTCAGAGCTGGGTCCTATGCACGATGACGGGTTACTTAGGTCTTCATTAGGTATGCGATGTGAAGTATCTTTAGGAGCCCGTTCACGATATTGTGTAGCTTTTGATGGGAGTGCTCGGGCCTGATCCGGTTCGTGGATAGATTGTGTGGACGGTCCCGGCCTGTCCTGGTTCTCGTCTTGGTCGTCAATTCGAATTGAGATAACAGGAGGAGGGAGCACTTTGATTACTCCAAAATCATCATTTACTTTACAGCGTTGTTGAGTAAAAGAGGCATAACGGGCCGAGTCGTACCATCCAGCGGAGCCACAGGAATAGCCAGAGGGAGCTGTACAACAGAGGTCCCCAACGAAGCCGCCGACCCAAGTCCAGAGATAGCAGTTTCAGCAACAGGCCCGACATCGTCACGGTCACCGCCATCGACAACACCCGTTTTCGATAAACCATCATGGAGCTTCGCTTGCAGTCCCGTCGTACCCGACCTGCGCCGCCTATTAGTGTTAGACGGCACATCCGACGCCTGTACCTGTACGTGAACGACTCCACGGTCCGCAAGCCAATCAAGGTCTTCGAGTTGGAAGGACAAGCACGAACTGACGAGTATGCTACACCCGATGAGCGCCTTTGTGAGTGGGTAGGTCAGTGTGAGAAGGAGGGCGAGTCGGATGCTGCCATAGACCCTGTTTTCTATTGAAAAATCGGCGCTTCCGAGTTTGGCCATGAAGGGGCAGCCGAGGCTTGAGGGGAGGGTGAAGCGAGAGGCGTCTGAGTGGCTTGGGTGAGCAAAGGTGGGGGGTCGTCATCGTTGTAGAAAGTATCGTTCTTGAATAATGTCGATCACTTCAGATAGGACGCCAGCGTCTTCTGTCATGGTAAACGTATAATTTATCGTTCTCGACTCTGCCTCGAAATAATCGACGTCGGCCAGAGTCATCATCCACCCGTCGTCCTGATCTTCCAGTCCATCAATCGACCTCCTGATCACGTCGAAGCTATCGGCATTTTCAACTTGAAAATCCTGGGAAAATTGGGGGCCCGCATCCAAAGTGGGAGTAAGAGTAGAAGTAAAAGCAGCGATAGTAGCGTGTTTGAGCCCCGTGACAAACTGCGGTACTGAGAGTACGATGATATCGGCTGCGTATTGGTACTGGAGGGTTGTGCACCATGAGCGCACGCTGTCTAGGAAAGCATCGAAGGCTTTTGAAAAGAATGGATTCATAGATAATGTCGATGTGGTTGCCCTTGGATGGCGTGGCGCGAACAGAGTTGTAGACGCATTGATGACCTTTGTTTATCCTTGTTTGCGCTCAGCTGTCGACGCGTTACCTTCCACTGAACAAACTGTACTTGATGTCTTACTCTGTCTCATATGAAGTCCATCTAGGAGCAAATTTCTGCTTTCAGCGGAGACCTTCTCCTTAGGAACTTGAATCTCAAGGGTAGATGTTCAGGCAAAGTCCTAGATTGAAAGCATCAAATCAAGTCTGCATTTCGTCCTTTCTCATGGCAATTTAAACTACATCCCCTTACAACTGATTGGACTGGCGGTGCAGCCGATTCGACCGTTCTGGCCAGGAGTCCATCAAAGCCCCACACGCCTAGAGAGAATCGGAGTCCTCTGGGCTTACTGCGCTGATTTCACCCCAGCAATCCTCCCCGGTACACGATTCATTCCGTACCGCATCACGGAGAAACAGGCTCCGTTCACACGACGGCACACTGGAATAAGAAGGACAAGAAGAAGAGGAAGAAGAACGCCCTTGCAACACCATCATGGCGCAATCATTCCCTAAACCAACCATGATAGTCCTGTCAAGAATCAAGGTTATTACCCCTTGCAACATCATCGCGGTAGGCTTGATTATTTCCATTCGAGAGCCCTCCCAGTGCACGCGGCATGTTTTATTCCTCAGGCCCTGGTGCATCGAGTCGGTACCTCATTTTAGGATTCTGATGCCATGACTTCAGATAGTAGAGGGAGTTTATCCAACGACCGCAGGTATAGGCCTTGTCATGGTAGAGTTGTATACCGAAAAAAGCGAATTGAGGGAGAAATTGAGGACAATATGTACGAGATATGAGCCATCGATGCTATGTTGTGGTCGTAGTGCGGACTCGAGCGCGGGAGCGCATACCATCACTGTTCTCTCTCTACAAACATCATCACAGTACATCCATCCCCTTGTATATCCCTACAACGTGAGCACGGCTATCGTTATCAAGGTTGCTCAGAATGAAAGCATTTCTACCAGTGCTGAAGTCTTTCTTTTGTCCAACAAATTGGTTATGACGAATCACCCAACCTGAGATCGCAGGCGAGTTTCTAACCTTTCAGTTGTTGAGCTATTGTTCTAAACTGACAGTAACAGGGTGCAGCGTACAGCTTATCACTCGCAATAACGGTCCTGTGCTGATGATTGTTTGTCAACATATAAGCTAAGGGCGTCAGTAGGCCTCCGGCCAAACCTTAGAGCACCGGTCTGAAACGCCAAGGTCTTGTCCTCGGATTTTTGCGTGATTGCTGCCCACCTCATACTTTTACCCATCTCAGAGTCGACGCGCAACGGTACTCCAAAGGGCATACTCGAAGTCCCCGACACCTCAGTAATTTGGGCCCATGATGCCAATGTTATCGATTCAATAGGCCAGTCAAGATCTGTCGACGCACGCCACAGTACATTCAACGAGGTCCATGGACAGCAGATCAATGGCGATCACACAATAATTAACCAATACCACAGAAATACTTGCTGCATTTTCTTCAGCAGCCTACAATGTGATTTTAACATGTAGCCCAAGAACGACAGGAGTTTGCAGAGTCGCTATCCTCTGAATTTCCATCGGACACAAATCGATGTCTACAAAAGCCGACGTGAGGGGACTGGAGAGCGGGTCCTCCATGACAAGGCATTTAAGGAGTGGCAAAGGTAAAAAGCAAGAATCCCGTGGTGTCCTGAAATTCGTAAGCGTTTACTATATCACACGTTGTCGATGCTGATACGAGCCTTGCAGCTGGCGTTGGAAAACGGTCCTTGCGTATTTGCTTCAGAAACTGACCGTAATTGCCTCCTGATCAATATCTGCACTTCAGATCATACACAGTTGATTTACTTATCAAGAAGCACGAGAAAAGTGACGAACGTTGCAGTGATCTTTACCTATCGACTGCAACTGTAAAGAACAAGGAACACAAACAGTTTACAACCCTGTTACAAGCCTTTTGAAACGACTCATCGAGGATGCCCCTTACATTTATCTTACATTTAAAGACATAAAGGATTACCGATCTCATCAAATTAAAAAAATGTGCTCGACTTTACGCGAGGTTCAAGCCTTGAGGATAGTTATGTTTTCTGGACGGGACATTAGTTCGATGGTGATCTTAGCCAAGGTTAATTCTTATATTAGGATAGAGGTGCTCCTCAGGCGTATTTTAGACCTAGCGTAGAGTATCATGCAAGGATAAGAGAGAAAAGAATAACCACAATAAAAAGATCATATATCTCGAGAAAAACACGCCCGTCTGACTCACTACGCATACACCATCATTACCCCAACAAATTCAACAACGAGCACGTAGACTAGACCGTATTAATACCAAAATCCCTCAACCTACAAATACTCAACGATAAAGCGGCAAGTAACGTCTTCAAAATCAAGAGCTCGCAGTGAAGGACCGTAGCTTTTCGTCCCAGCCTGGCTCGATAGGAATATAGTGCGGTCACTCAGGGATACCTGCTGGGTAATGGTGAGGTTGATGAGCCCATCAGCAAGGTAGAGTGTCCCCAGAGTGACAGCATCTGAATTGTTCATAGCGTCACACCTGATGTCGAAATTGCTGCTTTCGTATATTCTGACATACTTTGCATTGGATCCTAAAAATTGAACAGTGATGTGAGCGTGAATTTGTCAGGCGTTGAGGATATGCGCACCTGACAATACAGTCTGATTAGGGCCGGCGATCTCGACAGTGAATTTGGCACTGGGATCATAATTTTGGTCGGCAAACGCAAGCCCATCGCCAGTCACTTTCAGGTATCTTCCGTCAACACTCTTAATAGCGACATTTCCTTTCAGTGGGGTGATTCTGAACCACAGGTGTAATCAGCACAAGAAAGAACAGCCTAGAAGGGCGGATACTCACTTCCACTTCATGTTGAGCGTGATTTGCACTTGTTTCAAATTGCACAATCAAGAGTTGTCATATCCAAACCAATAGTACGCAGAGATTTATATCGCCGGGGAGTGATCTCCAACAGCGCCTCTTTTCCTTCAATGGGCTTAAAGCGATACCTCGGATAAAAACGTCGAGGGCACACCGGAGATCCTATACTATAGCTACTGGCCCAGGTTCCTAGGACTGCAGGGCCTCCGCCGCTTGAAAGTAGCAAAACTTTGGCATAGCCATAGCGGCACTGACTCAGACTGTCATTGGCTTTTACAGCCCTGGACCTTGACACTTTGGAAGTTGAAGGCCTCCATTCGCTATGATAAACATTGCATGAACTGGAAATGGTCGAGGTACTAGTTTGCAGTTTTGCAGATCACCCAAATTACAGTAGCAGGTTAAGGAGAGGTAGTTTCTATGCGGTGCAATATAGCATTACAACAGTTCCGAGCCTTGAGTTTCTTCACTTATCGTTGTTTTGTAGAGATAAGCCACCGAACGAATGTAACATAGCCGCATCGGATGTGGAAGAGTTCCGGGGCAACTCCGTCATAGCAAGGAAAATCAAAAATCGGTCGAGCCGATTGACCGTTCTGACCGTTGTTCCACCGCACTACAAGAAAAATAATGTTGCACAATCATTCAGCTGAAACCCTCAGTAATCAATGAGGAGCTTTGCGTCCTGTCAATGTAACAAATGAATACAAGCTTCGTTCTCATTTTGTCCAAGCATGAAGTAATATATTGTGTCAATGGCTTCGGTTACAATTTCATGAATAGGGTCGGGAATAAAAAAATATAACACGGACTGAGTACATAGAATAGAGTCAAATGAGTAGTAAGAGCTGTGATGTTGAATACAATAAATTCCGCCCTTAAATCGACCCGCTACCATCAATCACGCGGAGCAACAGATACCTTCAGAGGCATTTGCACTCCCTTCTCCATCTCCCCTTCAATGGTAGGAACCATAATAATACAATTCTCCCGACGAATTTTACCAGGATCAACAGCCAGTGCAAACTCAAAGTTGCCCACCATCTCGATGAGGAACGTTTGAATCTCGATTAACCTGCACCAAGCTCAATCGACTATGTTGACACGAAAAGAGAGGGACAACTCACGCGAATCTCCAGCCTATACAAGAACGTATGCCTCCTGCAAAGGTGAGGCTGTAACAAAGTGTGAGCCATGCCACGAGGCGTAGATCAAGAGATGGCTTACAGGTTACCGTAAACGCCGACCGATCCTGCCTTCTTCGAATGGTCCCTCTCGTTGAACCACCTCTCCGGGTTAAAGCGATCAGCATCAGCACCCCACAGATCGCGGTTCCTGTAAGCGCCGACGTAAGCATTACAAAACTGTGTACAGGTAGAATACCCTAACCTGTTGTATCCCGCGATCGAGGTGATGATCCTCGTGCCCTTTGAAATCGGTATTTCTGTTATCGCTTCCCCTGTTTCGGTGATGATGGGCTTCGCGAGCGGGAGTACATCATCTCGACCAGCTTGTCTGTAAGTATTCGCCACGACCGGATGGAAACGCAGTACCTCCTGTGAAATTCGACACCATTGTTAATATATAATAATCGCAGTGGGTAATGGCCAACCTTGATAACTGCAAGTAGATACGGCATACCATCCAAGTCGGCCAATTTGAAGTCACCATCACCCCTCGAGTGAACGTACGACTCTTTCTCTCTGATCTCATTACGGAGTTTTACCTGGATATCGGGCTGCTTGGATAGTTCGAATAGGGCCCAGCTCATAGTGTTGGCAGTGGTGTCATGTCCAGCAAGCATGAGCGTCCTATAGACGGGTTTTATACACAAAGCTGACAAAAAGCCAAGAGAATACTCATACCTCATCTGTGCCACCATTTCAGCCTCGCTCAATTTTGTATTTTCGTTTTCAGATGCGTTTGCTTTTACTGAAAGCACATACCATATGAATACAGTCAAGATTTGGTGGTCCAGTAACGACTCACCCAACAAACTCATCACGTCGCGACCTCCTTTTCCGAGTAAGAGCTCACTGGACTTGGATTGAATGAGCTCCTTTGCAACACTTGCCGCGACATCGCTGTTCTTTCGGCTGCGGTCAAGGGCTGCGCTCGGTAAGTAATCCGTGATAGACTGAACTAGCCACATGGGTAGCCAGTGTGATGTGTTTTGAGCGAAAATGCCGAGGGCAGTAGGGGAACCAAATAAATCAGCCCTAAAGACTGAAAGTTAGAACACAGGTGATGCCCCTGAACCGAGAAATAATAATCACAAAAGGTTGCTGTAAGCTCTCTTCAACTCGTTATCTGCGTTATCCATAGCACCGAAGTTGTAATCAAAAGCACCTTAAATGTTAAAGAAGCATAAATCTATGAAACCCCGGAAATGCAGAAAGGTTACCTAGCCCAAGAGCGTCCAAGGTTGCACGAGCCATCCACGCAGATACGTTGAATACTTTCTCTCCCGATTTCTCGTCGTCCAAAATATCTTTCCATTGGGTTGTTAGCTAGCAAACATAATCAGAATGTATCTTTCAATATTCATTCATTCGCACACACCTGCTCAGCACATCTGGAAAATATGGGTACAAGTGCTTTCGTTTCGGGCATACCGAATCCTGGAAGCATCACCTTCCTTTGTCGTTTATGAATATCCCCTACGAAACATGCATGTCAAAATATACCATAGATAACGTGCTTCAAAGATTGTGCACCATCAGCCCACGTGAGTCCTCTGCCAGCGACGAGACGTGATAGTTCACGTCGCTCAGGGGTTTTTGGGAAGTTGTAGCCACAGGTTTGATATACATATTGCAGAGCTTTAGGATCAGAGACGAGTAATTTATCTTCCTAATAATAGCTCGATAAGTGAGTTGGTATAGGCACTTGGAAATGAAACAAGACTCACTCTAAAAGCAGCTTTGATACGAACAACGTCTCCAAACTCTTCCTCCCATTTGAATTCGGCTATACCTGCTTGGCTTTGATAAAACTCCTTTAAATTTCCTGCCAACGTTATTAGATATCAACTCGAGATGTTATGGAGCAATAGGATACCTAAGAAGAACGACTCTGATCGTGGACCTCGAATATGGCGAATGGATATTCGAGTAAACCTTCGATAGACCGTATAAAGGACTGCGAGGACCCCTAATGAGGCTATTGCGAGTAAAGTCATGGCTGTAGTCTTTAGATGATAATGAAAAGAGGATATGTGATGCTGAGAGAAATGGTTCCCAAGGTATATATACCGAAGTCAGATGCGACACCCTCGTGAGCAAACCAGTCAGATGTGTTCACGCCTACATCCGTACATAGCGCTTGTTAGCATCTCTGTGCGCCATGGATCTTCAGGAACCGACGGCAACGCACGGGCCTATTTCGCCAACTTATTCCTCGGATATCTCGGAAACTCCGTCTGTAGTATCTAGGAAATCTGAAGAAGAAATCCCATAAGGCATTTTAACAGCTGAACATTATGAATGTAACGTACTCGAATGAGTTGATACCAAGAGGACTCTAGCCACCTTTGAAAACCACGTGACCTTGCGCATTGTTGACTGTCATGGAGTTCGATCACCCATGACTTCAGCGTTAGGGTCCGCCCCACACGAACAAGCGACTGGTGCTTCTCTGCCCGAAATACCGGCACCAAGTCTCTTGAAAGTGTACAGGTCAGCTGCACGAGTGTAGGAAAATAAGAAGATAGAAAGGTCATCGGCGGATGCAAATGGGTCGCGATCAATACGGAAGAAGAACGCTGTCATGGGTAGGGGCAAAGCAGCGAATCACATACCCCATTAAGGATGCATTGTCCGTGAGATAGCTAGATAACAGAATCACCACATACTCATCTCGTAGTCGTGGCTGATACATTCTGCAGCGCCTAACGTCGGACGCAAGTAAAGCAGTCATCTAGAAAACGAAGGATAACTTGAACGATCGACCGTCATCAAGATATTGAATTAGGTAAGCAAAGATGATTAGCTTCGACGGTAAATAAAAGCTGAGTCCCCATCGGCCGACTTGACCTATCTTGCATACTTATGAGTACCACTGCGCAGAGTTTGGTTCTATTGGTATGCCTCGGAGTGCATACATGATGTCGATGGGATAGAAGGTCGATTCTCTCGGCACCGAAAACGAGTCGATGAGAAGGATATAGCCAATATTGCACACGCGACGTTAGATGACCAGTGTATTGATCCAGTTTGAGCGGGCTTAGAAATTTTTATCAAACCCGGAGGATAGAAAAATAAGCGCAGAGGATGTATCGAAGGTTCGAACGAATGATCCCACTGCAGTATACCGGGAAATGATATCTTGAGTAAATGCTGTTAGTGTGGATCACTATCTATAGCGGGTACCTCCAAAGACAGCATATTGACGGGGATGAGATAAGAGTTTCGAAGCCATTACGCCCCATGGAACCACGTTCGAAGAAGTCGTAGCGCCCGCCACATCTATTTTTCTGCCAGTGTGGTGGGCCATCCATTTGCCGGAGCTGATAGCACCGAGTCACCGGGGGAAGTATGGATTATATTGAGAAGAGCTTCAACGAATGACGTTGCCTGTTTTACTGAAAGACCCGACTCATCGGATTCCGAGACGCAATTGTACAGGTCATGAGTTGCTGATTATGAGTATTGACCTTTTTGGACAGTGTCATTCGGACTCTATCATCGAAATCATTGTTTTCCACTTACCATATGTCTGGTCACTCTATCATTCCGGAACAAACGAATTCAAGTTGAACGAGTATCAGATATCAATTCAGTCCCGCATATATTGAAACATCCCACTGGAATCGCTTAGCTCCATCAAGATAGACATTTTAGCAGGGGTAACGAGTTGTGACCATATGTCCAAATTGCACCTATGATTCATATTAACTGCACAGGGAAACAACGGTAACAGGTATCCGCAGACAAAGCGTAGTGGAGACTCAGCAATCTGGAAGAATTGGTATAAGCTAAGTCTAGTAATACAACATAAATGATGCCCACAGTTAGAACCTTGAAGCAATATATCATAGCGCAACCCATGACTTACGACGAGGTCACCAAGTTGACAACATTGGCGAGCTCGCCAACGTTGCAATCTCGGTGATGAGATGAAAATATGTGCATCCTTCCCTGCCGGCTAGTATGCGTAAACATTGCGAAGACCTATTAGTCACGTCATGATGGGGAAATGCGATGGAAACGAAAAGGGTACGATTGAGACATTTCTAATGGGCGCAAATCCACATTACTTGCGATAACGATGTCATGATATTTCTATTTCTTGACAAAAGTTTACCAGGCTGCTGTAAATGTTGCAGATTGGAAGTTGTTGCTCACAAAAGGGCGAAAGGTGCCACGGAACCATAATTCGAGCGGAGTTCATTCACATTCCCGCAGTGAGCGTCTGATCACGCTCGAGTCTGGTCACTCCAAGTCTGACCAGAATAACAGAAAATTCATAATGTCTACAGCCCACAGACCGACATGGGATCCCGCTCAGGCAAAAGATGTAAAGGGCGGGTCTCGCCAGTTTTCCGTACGGGACATGGCAGCGCATACAAAGCTCAAGTTCCGGTCAGTTGTCGCCCACTTTTGATAGTTGAACCATTGTGCTGAAAGTTCTCACTCACATAGGCAACCTGGACAAACTTCGGTTGGAGAAGTCGCAAAGAAGGATCTACGCGCTGAACTCATTGCAGCAGAGGAGGAAGCGCGTAACAAGAAGAGAAAGGCGGAAGGAAAACCGCCTTTGGCTGTCGAGAATGGTTCAACAGATGAGGAGGCAAACAAGAGGCGGAAGCTATTGCAGCAGGCTTTAGAGTTGGATAAGGACGATGACGATGAAGACGAAGACAAGAGTGAGAAAGGTGAAAATGGTGAGAAGGGCGACAAGGATGAGGATGAGAGGTACGCGCCTCTTCTATGATACGTGGTCCACTTTCGTAACGACAAACCTATAGCGAGGAAGAGTCAGAAGATGAAGATGATGATACAGCAGAGCTGCTTCGGGAACTGGAAAAAATAAAGCGGGAAAGAGCGGAGGAGAAAGAACGACTAGAACGTGAACAATCTGCATCCGAAGCAGCTTCTCGAGAGGCCGAGGCAGCGACTTCAAATCCCCTGCTTAACCTGGCTGCTGCTTTAGGACAGTCACCAGGAGTTAATACAACTGTACCAGGAACTTTCTCTGTCAAGAGGCGGTGGGACGACGGTATGCTCATCATTGCTCCATTTATCTCATTACAGATCTCATCTTGATTGCCAGACCTAATATTCAAAAACCAGGCAATGAGCTCAAGAGACAAGCCACAACACTTTGTCAATGACTTGCTACGGACGGAGTTTCACAAGTACGTTGGTGCATCTTTCTCTCACACCATAATGTTGAACCATTGTCATATAGGAAGTTTATGGCAAAGTTTATCAAGGTACGCACTCTGTTTGTCCACTTGATTTTGTCTATTCTCACGATATTCCTGCAGTGAAATGTATATGTATTGTACTATGTGCTATTTTGACTTGCATGGGAGGGCTTCTTTCATTCTTCCAAAACCTCTCATACGAGTTGGTCATCTCGACTTCTTGACGCGTCATCAACTCATTATAATACCTCCAATCCTATATCGTAAGTAGTCTGCCATGACTGATCCCACTCCCATCCCTCGGCGGTCCATTCAGGCATCTCCGTCTCGAATGATCCCAAACTAGTAGTATACCTGAGTGCGTGCAAGAATATATACAACCTCTCTGGCTTGGGATCTGGGTGCAGCGGTAAGTAACACTCTGGGCAGTACAGTGTTTCGGTCTTCCCAGTGTCTGTCGTGTTAGGTTCGTTGTCACGCTGTTGCTTGGGAGGTGTTTGCATGTTAGGCAATCTCGCGAGAGCTTCTTCTGTCGAAAATTGTAGGCTAGGGTCCCCTTCAGGAGTGGAACATTCCTCCCCTGTTTCGGATGATTTCACTTTATCATTCACAGCGATATTGATGGTGTCTTTTGAAGCCTCATCTACCTGGCTTGGTCCCCCTCTTTTTCTTCTGTTTTGGGGTGGAAGCGGCACTTGAGGTAACCCCTTGGGCACCAGTGCGCCTTTCGCTCGGAAGACGACATCTCGCCATCGACTCCAGTCTTCATCCTCGTCCTGCACCGATGATTAACACGACTCTGATACTCTCAAGAGGCTCATCGAATCAACTGCCTACCTTCATATTTCGTAAACGCGTGATGATACCCACCGCCTCTGCAGAGAGTGGCACAGGTGATCCCATGCCGATATCGTGTCCTGTTTCTCTTGGAAGCAGTTTCGGCTTGTCAACTGCAGGGTCTATATTTTCAACCTCTGTTATTTTATCAGATAATGATTCAGGGCTTATTTCTGAGTGAAGATGTGGTGGAGGCGCAGGAGCAGAACGCTCTTCACTAGGTACGACATCTACGCCCCCTCTACCAAGATTAGGCCCCTGCAAATGTTTGGTTGGATCGTGAGCGTTGCCGTAGTGAAGGGCACTGGACTGACCCATATTTTTGTCTCAGAATAAATTGGATCGTTCGCAATTGGGAATCCAAGGAATTGGAGATGTACACGAATTTGGTGTGCTGCGACTTTCTTTTAAATTCAAGAAGTACATGAGGAGACGATGACTTACAGCGACCTGTGAGAGGTTGACCTAGAAAATTATCAGCTATCACAAGGGTTAAGGCACACCAGAACACTGAGCTCACAACGGATGACACTGGTATTAGTATTTTCATCGTAACGTATTAGTTTGAATATAGTTTGAGCTGGCTATAATAAGTCACTGATCCATTATTCAACTCAAAAGACAAACGAATGTAACATACTTTTCCTTCAGGATGGACAATATTTAATCCCATTTGACGATCAACAGTTAGAAGAGGCTCTTCGCAAGTGAGTTCATCGCTGATGAACCGTGATTTAGCGAGAACACGGTTCTCCAGAGAATTTACAGCGACTCACGCTGGAAACTTCCCTCTACACCTAGCCACGTACTCTTTACGCACAGTACCGGCCATGAACTCCTTTGACATTGCTTGAGCGCACTCAGACGACAAAGGTATAATCATCAGACCCGATGTTAATCTATCCAGGCGGTTAATAGCTATAAAAAGACCGATGAGTGTCGAGATTTATGAGGGATGCACGAAATTTCACAAGCATACTGTAAACTTTCTTGTATCCGAATTCATTCTTCAGGATCTCGACGAGACTGTGTCGGAAGTACCTCCCAGAAGCGTGAACAGGCTAGGGTCAATCGTGAGTTTGATACAGACCAAGTGAAAAAGAGGGGTTACACACAATGCTTCCTGGCTTATCTATGACAATAAATCCTCGTTCATCGTCTTGTAATAATACTTTGACTGGGCTGGACGTCACTGGAGGTTCGTGTCTATGCACTACGTTTCTAGAAAGGATTATTTAGTGGTGTGAAGTCATGTCTTCGCATCCTGGTGCAAGCCATCCAAGAGTAGATCTCTAAATGCGATCTGGAACTATACATACTCTATGCGGTCTCCATTTCTAATGACAGTGTCCGGTTTTGCGACTTTACCATTGATAGTTGTCACACCCGATTCGAGTGCGTATCTCTGGGAGGAGACCAGTTTTAAACACAGCCTGCATTCTTCCTGAATTACGCACATAGTACTCCATAGAACGATCCCTAAACTCCGTTGAAACCACCTCCAAGATCTCGCGATCAAGCCATCTCATTTTCGCCATCGTGGTATACGGGTACCAATACGGGGGTATCTTCTTGAGGCCAGGTGTCTGAAGAAACGTCGCTGGTGCAGCTTGACACTGTTCTGGAGCCATGCCAGCAGTGACAAGGCGGGCAAGAACGTGTCGAAATTGGTCTCTGGGAGGCAAAGGGGTGAGTGGAAGATGGACTCTGGACGTGCGTCGAGTAACTTGGAGGTTGGCCAGGATGCCAATCTTATGTGTGGTGGAATGGAACAGCCCGAGTATTTGTTTTTGAGGTAATTTCTACTGTTAGCGGGACATGAAGGTTATGAGCAAGCTGAGTCGATCGGCTAGTAAAATACTGTGGTGTTCAATATATGGCTTCAAGTTCAACGTTCAAATTCAGATACTATTGCAACTGAGGTTTCTTTTATTTTCTTACTATATATTATTTTGTCTAATGTAGCGTAATTTCTTTCAGAATCAATATCAATTAAGTCGTCAACCTCATCTACAACTTCGATTTCACTAAGTTATGCCTGGCGTGCAAGGCACGGTCTTGGCCATATTTCAGTTCAGATTGGTATCTCCCCTGCCCCTTTTCCGTACGTTTGCCTCCAACTCCATCGATTCCACGATTCCAACTGATGTCTTGGAGAGTTCTTGTGAATAGTAGCTTCATCACCCCTAACATTCCACCAAGAACAACTGCGATCATCAATGGCATGTGTCCATCCTTATCCTTCAATGTGACCAGGGTGTCGTCTCGTGCAAGAAGAGCTTTCACCACTGCCTCGTGACCATTACGCGTCGCACAGTGAAGTGGCGTTTGTCCTGTATTGTCCTTCAGATTGACCAAGGTGTCACCTCGCGACAGAAGGAGCTTGACTACCGCATCATGTCCTTGAGATGCCGCAGTGTGCAAAGGAGCTTGGCCAGCGGTGTTTTTCTCGTTCACTGAAATGTCCTCTCGTGTGAGAAGTGCTTTTACCGTGGCCTCATGTCCTGCAAGAGCAGCACAGTGTAAAGGCGTATGTCCGTCGGCATCCTTCAAGTTGACGAATACATTATTTCCGTCAAGAAGAATTGTCGCCACCTCTTCGTGACCATTACGTGCTGCCCAATGTAGCGGAGCTTCGCCGCGGTCGTTGACCAGGTTCACATCAATGTCATCTCTACTCATCAGCAGTGAAACCAATAGCGCGTAACCAGCCTTTGCTCCTCGTATAAGCAACGTTTCACCCCCCTTGATCTTGAAGTTGACATCGACATCTCGCCGTGCGAGTAGTAGCTTTACTATTGCTTCGTATTTGGACTGCTTCCTGCGGCGGGGATCGTGGTAATCGTCACCATTATCGTTGCCGGGCATCGCGAGCATACTCTGTGTGACCGCGGCCCATAGCGGCGGCTTCACCATAGCGTAACCGTCCTCATTGGACACCAAATTCACTTCAGCATCATCGCGCGCCAGTAAGACCTCGACGACTTCATCATCACCGTTCCAGGCTGCTAACCACAACAGCGTGCATCCGTAATCATTTTGCCAGTTCACTTTAGCCGTACTGGGCCCTCGCCTAAGGATTGATTTTACGAGCTCACCGTCCCAGGGAGTCTCATAAAGAAGTGGTAAGGACAAACAAAAACCCATGTCCTCTTGATCTATTTCAATGCTGTCTTTTGATAATAGCAAGCGCGTCATCCGTCGATGGTTAGCGTTTTGATAGCCGCCGTAGCGTATGACATGGTGGAATGCTGTTTTGCCGCCTTTATTTCTGGAGTTCACGTTGATGTCAGGATGGGCGAGCAGCATCTCCGCTACGGTTGTGTATCCTTTGTCCACAACAGTAATTAACGGCGTATCTCCGGCTTTGTTCGCTGTATTGACATCGATACCAGGATGAGCGAGTAGATCTCGTGTCATCTGCGCGCTTCCCGCCCACGCCGCATACGAGAGCGGAGTATTTCCATAGTCATCCTGTGCATTCACATCGATGTCAGGATGTGCTAGTAGAAGCCGTGGTACTTCATCAGCATCATACGACCTCGACGCAAGCATAAGCGCGGTTGTACCACCCTTATCTCTTGCGTTGATGTCGACGCCCCCCATTTTCAACAGCTGCGACACCATTGCTACACATCCTGTTCTTGCTGCAGCCATGAGAGGCGTCGAATTACTGACGTCCACCATATCAATCTGCACCCCTGGATGTTCGAGAATCAATTTCGCCATGTGAAAGCTGGTATTTTTCAGACCTGCCGCGTGATGCAGTAAACCGCGACCATCATTGTCTTTCAAGTTGACCTCTATATCAGGGTGCTTGAGCAGCTCTTGGACCACTTCCAAGTAACCAGACGATGCAGCAGCCATCAGAGGGGTCCAGCCGTGCTTGTCCTTCGTATCAACCAATATCCCGTCCTTTTCAAGCAGTAACTTTACTACCGCCGCGTTCCCGTTTCGTGCAGCAAAAAACAACGGAGTGTAGCCGTCGGTATTTTGCAGGTTCGCTTCTATATCGTTCCTTGCCAACAATAGCTCCACGGTTTTCGCGCTTCCATTTTCAGCTGCAAACGAGAGCGGAGTGCGACCGTCTCGTCTCTTCGAATTAATGTCGACATCCTCCCTTGATAATAACAGCTTCACCACATCATCAGCCCCATACTCCGCCGCAAATGAGAGCGGCGTTCTGCCATCCTGCCCCATGCAGTTAACGTCAACGTCCCCCCTTTCCAGAAATAGCTTTACAGCGGCTGTAGCCTTACTCTGTGCCGCGAATGAGAGTGGTGTACGACCATCCCGCCTCTGCGAATTGACGTTGATGTCTATTTTTGCCAACAGTAGCTTCACTATTCCATCGACTCCGAGCTGTGCTGCAAACGCAAGTGACGTCATTCCATCCAGCCTTGCGCAGTTGACATCGACATCATCCCTCCCCAGTAATAGCTTCGCAGCGGCTTCGGCTCCGTTTTGCACTGCAAATAAGAGAGGTGTTCGGCCGTCAGCCGCCTTAGCGTTTATGTCAACGTCACGTCTAGACATCAACAGCCGGACGACGGTATTTGCCCCGTTCTGGGCTGCAAAGGAGAGTGGAGTCTTCCCGTCCCGTCTCGGCGCATTAACGTCGATGTCCTTTCTCGCTAACAACAGTTTCACCACTGCATCAGCCCCTCGTTCTGCCGCAAACGATAGAGGTGTACGACCATCCTGCCTCTTGGAGTTGACATCGAGATCATTCCTAGCCAAGAAGAGCTTCACAACTATCTCAGCCCCGGTTTCTGCAGCAAACGAGAGAGATGTTCGACCATCTGCTGTCGCCGAATCGACTTTGATATCATGCCTGGCCAATAGCTGCGCTACAACCGATCCTGCACCACGTTCTGCTGCGAATGAAAGTGATGTTCGACCGTCTTGCCTTTTGGAATTGACATCAATCTCAGGCCTTTCCAATAAGAGTCGTACAACTCCGTCTGCACCACTTTCTGCTGCGAGAGACAGCGGCGTTCGACCATCTCGAGTCCTAGTGTTAGCATCAATGTCTTTTCTCTCCAGCAGGAGCCTGGCGACAGCCACAGATCCGCTTTGCGCTGCGAATGAGAGCGGTGATCTACCATCCTCTGATTTGCTGTTGACGTCAATCTTATCTCTCGATAATAACATCTTCGCAGTCTCCTCGTTCCCGCTTTGCGCAACAAATGACAGTGGCGTCCGGCCGTCTCGGTTTGACAAGTTGACGTCAATGTCGTCCCTGGACAACAACAATTTTACCACTGAGTCGTTGCCATGCTCCGCAGCGTAGGACAGTGGTGTGCGCCCCGAACGGTCCGCCGCGTTGACGTTGACGCCGCTTTCAAAAAGCAGTATATGCACGACAGTTTCAAAACCCTTTTCAGCTGCGATAGACAAAGGTGTCCTGCCCTCACGATCCAAAGGATCTGCTTGGTGGTCGTCCTTCAACTGATAGCCGATGGTATATGCCAAACCAAAGAAAGTGCATAGGTGCAGTGCAGTGCTGCTGCCTGTGACGCCGGGGTCTCTGAGGAAATATATTGCGTTTGTGAAACTTGTCTTTCTTTGAAGGAGACTCTGGATGGTGGCTTTACTGATTTCTTCGACGTGGCCACGAGCGTGACGACCCCAGTATTGTGCGGCATAACCAAGGAACACATTATTTTGGAGTAAAAGCTTTCGATCAGAAGCATTAAGGGGAGACTTTTCAGTGTTAAAAGAAAGATATGCCAGGCACGCTTCAGTAATTTCTGTTTGGGCATTAGGGAAACGTATGGCACGGGTTTTGTCAAAATATTCTTGGGCCGTATAGTCTTGAGGTTATGATGAGCAAGCGAGAATATATGAAACGCCCGATCACTTACGAACTAGACGAACCACATTAGTCTTCTTGTCCACCATAACCAAGCCGCCACACACAGAAGTCAGGATAGTGACATCCACGAGTGCGTCTGGATCCATTTCAGACATACCAGGCAAAACAGCTAGAGCATGCTGAAGTTCTTTGAAGAATAAAGGCCGGGAGGCATGAGTTATCCAGCCAAGGGCCCTCATGGCTAATTCACTATCATCTTTATTCTGTCCCTCGATTCGAGCCATTGTTTCATCGTAAGTGCTGTCTACCCCTCTGGGCAGATTTTTCAGCGCCTTTCGAACATCTCGCCGGCTGACCTTGGTACCCAGAGAATCCAAATGCAGTCGGGCTAGTAGAAACCTTCACACAGTATTAGTTCACCCATAGCATGAAGTTAAATTGGTGTACACTTACATTCCTTGCACATTTTCCGCGATAGCATCTGAAATCTCTCCCTGTAACTTGAAATCCCCAGCTACGTGCTTGCTTAGTCTTGGTTCCTCGGGTATGCGATTTTCGATGTACTTCCGCACATCGGCTTCGTGAGCGCGGATCTCGAGATGTACATGATCATCAAGACTATTACCTATCGAGGCAACATCGCGAGAGGTAACCAGCAGTTGAACATTAGCTCCCAAGGAACGAAGCATACGAAGCAGCCCTGATCGCGTCCCACGGTCCTCGGTGGTTTCGTCTATAGCATCTACAACAATATAGACTGTAGAGAACCTCTCTATTTCTGATTTCAGCGTTTGTTGAATATCTTGGAGAGTTGGGCGCGAATCTGCTAATTTGTGAAACTCGTACAGGTCCCTGACGTTTTCATAGGTTACAGTGCTTTGTTGAGCGAGCTGTTTTAGCATGCTTCCAACGAGGTTGTATTCTGTTTGTTTCGCGTGGTCTTTATGGTTACAATACATGTACAACACGGCGACGTTATCGCTTTTGTACTTCTTTTGGAGAAGATTGATGATGATTGATCTAAGAAAATGATCAATGATGATGCTTCATCCTACGATGGAAACCCTTACGCAAGGACAGTCTTTCCGGCGCCAGCTGTTAAGAGGTAACGTCAGGTGAGAGTATATGCGTGACTCTATCGTACTAGGAGGGGATATCCTTACGCATTCCAGAACACCATAATGTCTTTGTCTTTCCTCCTATCCAGTCTTTGAATTCGTCTGCTTCAAGCAACCAGTTGCCCGTTCCTTCTTGCCGACTTTGAAAGATTTCAGCCTGCGCTAAGTGGAAATTTAAAGGAGACAGCCAGTTCACTAAGTCCTGTCGTTCCCGATCTGAGAATCAACATTGCATTAGCTCAACAGCAACAGATACACTAGAAATCCGCACTTGGAGCCTGGTAGTTATTGTTAATTGTGGTATTGTTGATTTGATCACGACCAATATCGCTGAATGTACTGTGGTGAGCATCAACCGTCACTGCCGCTTGCATTAGTTCATGAAGCTGAGAGCCAGAAATAGCCTGCGACGATGCTATGAGGTCCTGAGCTACTAGTTGAGTTGACTGAGACATGACGTGCTAGGTTCATGGGTCTGTGAAATTGAATTTTGAGGTGCTTTAATAGTCAAAATGCATCAAGGTGGTGCAGACTGTGGCAGGACCGTGACGGACACGTTGAAGCATACAGTGATCCCTGATCCCACACGATGTAAAGGTTAAGCTCCCCATTGAGGCAACTAACGCCGATTGGCTATGCGGATTATACGTCGTAGGTACCCGGTTGACCATGGGATCAATGACACCTAAGGAATGCCTTGATGCAACATCCTCTTTTCGTACTTTTCAGACGCAAACAAGGAAAACAAGTACGCGGCGACGTACTAGATATTCACGCAATTAAGTTGACATGATAATGGATGGCATGGTGCTGACGCCATGCTCGAAAGGCGTGCATTAAAATGCCTTGATGTTGGGCAAATGACAGTTAGCATTTGGTTAGACCTTCTAAAATTAAGGGCAGGGCTTGCGGAGCATACCTGCCGTATAGGTGAGCGGCTTGGGGGGTACGAGATTTTAAGTAAAAACATATTCCATACCTCGTGCTGGTGAATGTCTGTAGTAAACCTTTGATAAATCGCTGCCAGTCGCATTGTATACTTAAACGTACACCAGCAAGCAAGTGTAACGCGTTCTTCCGCTGGTTCGGCGTTAAACTTTGTCACGTGCCTATAATACCCCTATCTATGTCTATCAGTGTTCTGTAATTAAACATAGCAATATATCTTGTTTGATATTATCTGTAAGGGATTGTAAGCATTGTTGGGCAAAAACCAAAGGTTTTTCGGCTCAAAACATGCCTTGAAAGAAAAATATATTGAGGTGAGCTGTACCCAGATACTAGGAGAACAAAAGATGACACATGAGGCGCAGCTCAAAACCTATGTTGTAGGAGTAGGGATGTTGCTTACAAAGGGAATTATGCTTTATCGCACTGGAGGCATTGTGTACCCCGTGAACAGTTCTAGTGATGGTGAATCTTGTAGGTATGGAGCTAGGATCAAAGCATGGTCTCTCAAGTAGATGGTGAAAGCTTCGCTTGACCATCTACCCATTGTCTTGACTACGTCGAAAGGGACTCCTTGCAGGAGGTACTCTAGGGTTCCTCCGATGCAAATGCTGTGCCCTTTCATTTTGTTGAGTCCTTTTGCATTCACGATGATTGTGATTTGCTTGGTAAACTCTTTCTTTGATAATGGTTGCAAACCCTTCTTATGCTTCCATGCAAATAAAATAAATGTTGCTGACCATCTGCAGGATTGACGCGTCAATGTCAGGCAACAAATACAAAGCTATATAACAAAGCACAATGCCTGGTCAAGTCCTTGCTGGAAGGCGGTGAATCAGGGTATGAGAATGAAGAGTATCGGTATGAGCGCAAATCCAAACTAATATTGAACTAGAGAACAATACATCGAGTATGTACTTCTTTATATAGTGAACAGCGATGGTCAGACCAAGAAAGGGAAGAACTGAGAAAGTGGTCTGACCAGCTAGCTAACCAATAAGAAAAAAGGAGAAGGTGGTCCGATCTATCGTATTTACTAATCGTATGAGAAAACGTATTGGTAAGGGATGTGCGATTGGCTGTATCAGTAAGCCCATGAGAAGGTGCTGACTCACAACCTTCTTTGCTTATCAATATTCCTCCGAAGTATTCCCAAACATAGCATTGGATTGTGGCTATGTCATCTGGATATCTTCTCGAGGGTCGACAACAAGTCTACCTCGTCATAGGTACGATAGGACGTGAGTGTGAATAGAGAATAAGAAGAAAAAGGATAAAAGTAATAAGACACCTGCTGTAATCTCTAGTCCAAGGGCAAGATGAGTGACGGGAATGCGATAAGAAAAATCGATTCCTCACAGTAAATGGTTGTCAAGCGCTGCTTTAGGATCTGTAGGACCTTCCTGAACCACCCATTGAGTGTCCTCTCTAATAAATCTAAGTGAAACTCAGCCGCTGCCTAAGAGGCTATAGAAATGACTTTATTATTTACCTAAGTGAAACTACAATAGATGTTAGTTTAAGGTGATCTCTAATAAATGTAATGTAACATACCTCAGCCGCTGCCTAAGAAGCTATAGAAACAACTGAGGTATTCCTATACTAAACCCCCTACTACTTATAGTCGGAGATGCTACTCACTACAATATAATGACTCCATGGAGTGGTGGCTATGCTCCATAAAAAACAATGGCTGCTTTAGCAGAGACTGGGTTTATCCAGTTTTGTCACTCTCCTGTGACTGGCGCCGATTTGGTGGTTGGTAAATGGAACTTGGTTACTTTTAGACCATTCCTGTCTGTTGTTTCTGATACATCTGAGCGGGTGACATGTTTAGCTGGGTCAAAGTCTTTGATTGCAGGAACAGTGAACTCCCCTAGACGGGCAACACTGTAAAAAGTGGTTGTCAGGCAAGCCTAAATGGCTGTATCTTGCAGTTCGTCCAGGTTGAGTTCGGTTCTCATTATTGTGATCAAAGCTGGCATGATAGGCATTCTCCTGGGCCTTTTTGATGAAATTGGAGCGGGCCTTCTGGCTCCCTCGAGTATTGCCCTCAATTCATCTCTACCGATTGTCCAGGTGTATCCATGCAATAAATGCCAAGCTCTGAGCCTGGCCGCATAGTTTGCTAAGGTCAAACCTGCATATGATCTGGCACAGCTGGATAAGAACATGATCAGAAATGTGGGAGCTATAGGACACCTGTGAGGCAACAATAAACTATAACAAAAACAATACCCGTCTCTGACTGCACTTGCAGGGAGTAAGAGGTACAATGAGTTTTGAAGATCAACAGATGCTAGTGAATATAGCAGGTAGAGGATATGGGAGTAGGCTCAGAGGTTTCTGATGAGGAGTAAAGTGGATATTTCAAGTAATAGAAAGCTAAAGAACTATACATGAGTGTGTAGGGTGTTTATAGCTAACCGTCTATCTGTTACAATTGACATACCAGCACCTACTTACGCTTCACTTTTTGTACTTTTACTTTTACTTTTTCCAAGTCACATGACTGACCATATGACCGTTTACTTTACTTTACATTTTCGGACTTTTCATAGTCACCTGACCAGTGTCTAGGCTCACCATGTGACTGGTCACATGCTAAACATTGGACTTTAAACTTTATTTACAACTGTACAGTACCTCATGTATTTAGTATATATATATATACAGGAGCAATACATGGGGAAGGACTCAGCAAGTCCTCCTGTTGTCTACCAACAACTCACTTGTTGAAACCCAATGGGTAACCACTCCCACCTTTTCCTCTTCTTTTGAGTGTTGTTTTCATTGTGCTCCAGTGCCCCAAGACTGAGTCTTGTTGGTGTTGTCACACTATCCCTCAGACCGAAAGAGGAATAAGAGAAAAGTGGTCTGAGGGGGAACCAACCAATAAGAAAAAGGATAACTATTGTACGACTTTGAAGATTAATCAGCAGATGAGAAAGTGTACTAATAATAAGTGTTGTCACGCATGTTCAGGAACCATATCCTCGTGGTGAGGTACAATCCTGACTAAAGTGTCTATTAATATCTCCAGGCACTGATGGGGCTTGGAGCTGGTCGGCGAGATGTCTACCACCAGTTCTTACCCATTGTGCTGGCTGGCTGGGAGTGATACCCAGTCTCTGATCTGCGATACAAAGTGGTAACAATGATTAAAAAAGTTTGTGAGGGCTATGAGAAGCAGGATAGCAAAAGATACCTTTAGCCCTAGAGCCAGAGGTGTAACAGGAAAAGTGTTTGAGAACTAAGACATGGAGTGAGAAGATAAGAAAATAATAAATGGTCCTTACAACACCTTTGTTCTTCAGGTATGCTGTATATATCACAATATGTGTGGGAAACAAGCAGTCCTGCTCTGTATGTCTCCTTTGTTGTTGCCGCCCACAACGCACCAATGATTTCTAGCATCTTGTCTAGTTGTTCTTTGTTTGGCCGTGAGCCATTACTAGACTTGTTGAATAAATTAGATCACGGGGGATTACCAGCCGGCGTCCACAGGTGCTGTTGGATATTTGGTCCCTCAGGGCGCGGGAACAGGCACGGGAGAAGGATTCTTTTGGCAAATGAATGCCGTAACAACATAAATACATGCTTCTTATATAACAAACATATGTAAATATCATGTGAAAGACAATGATAGCCACAAAAGGCTGGTTGTAATCACAGAGTAAAACTTCGGCGAAGCTCCAAAGTTTGCTTATATAATATAATTTCTACAGTCCACAGTGCAAACAACCCCACAGACAAACCTTCCTGGGGCATATACGGGCCCCAGCATCTTCTGCTCCCACCCATCCCTATCTCATCCCACCTCCAACAGTTCCTCATTGGCACAATGGAACCTCTATCCCCAACAGAACTTTGACTTCTCCCTAGTGGGAAGTACCCTCCTACTGCAGAAAAGTTTATTGATCAAATCCAACTCCGCCAAGAAGCAAGTGAGTGAGCAAGAGCCTCAGCAAATAGCAAAGAAATTGCAATCACAGAGGCTCTTGGCACCCCCAGCCGCAAACGCAAGATTTAGTGCCCTGCTACACAGCACAGCAAGCACCCCATCCTCAAACCCTCAACCATACCCCCCCAATCTCAACCCACAGTGTTCACAGCTCCGCCCACACTGCCTAACTCAAGAAGAACAACTGTGGCATTGGCTACCAGCAGGTGCTCCGCCATGACCAAACTCCACCGCAATCAGTGCCAATTTCACAATTTTGTCAGATGAACAACTACACCAGATTTTAGAAGTCATTGGCGCGTCATGGGCACAATCAACAAAAGAGACTTACAGAGCAGGACTCCTAGTCTTCCACACCTACTGCGACCTACACAACATACCAGAAGAACAACGCTGTCTTATAATACCAACCCTCTTCCTCTCCTTCTTATCCAGCTGTGCCAGCTCGTATGCAGGATCCACACTATCTAACTATGCAGCAGGCTTACAAACTTGGCGCTTACTCCATGGGCATATCTGGGAACATCAATGG